GGCTGATGAAGATTGGGTATTCTAATTCGGTATGTTTCTTATATAATGAATGATGAATTCATTTGCTCTTGTTGTTGAATAGATTGAGGAAATAATTAGGGAAAGGGAAAGATGTGTAGTTTACGATTTTTCCACGTACATAGGGCGTTATTGAAATTCGAAAATTAATCAAATGTGGAACTTCACTGGTAAAGACTTGTCTCTTTTGAGCAGGCATACACTCTCATCTCGTTCTTATGTTGAACAACATCATCATTTAAATATTTTGTTTGTGGGTACAAGTTATATCTTTGTATCTGTTTGTGCCAGACTCGAATATACTTAAATTTCAGCATGCTTGATGCGTTTGAATACCTTCTCTTTTTGTTTGTACTGGGTGTTTCTTGACTTTGTCTTATTTTATAGCCCTGTCGGGGTTGTATCTTGAGAGAAATGGTTGTTGTTAGAAGGACTTTACAAGGTGACAGTACTCTTGTTGTAGCTTTGTGCTGATCCGCAAACAGGATATCTACTGATCAACATAAAGGCGGTAGCAACTAAATACCTTTTGAATTCAGAGGCTTTTGTCGTCTAGTTGCTTGATGGGATTGGAAAACTATCTTGTAATATCTTGAGATATTATATCTTCTCCTTGGTGTATTTTTACAACTCTAGTGATTCATCTCCAGGGTATGTTTAATATATCACTAGCTTCTACAACTCGTCGACTAAAAGGAAAACGTTTAGCGTAGACCAAGATGATTTTCAAATATCTTTTCAGAAATTAGATTTTGTATTTCATGATTAATATGAAGTAGGTGATTGTTAGCTTTTGCTGGTAGTGACTAGGCAATAGATAAATACAATAAAAAATCAATCTCTGTCAACATGGTGAGGTATGGTGATTCTCCAGTGATATGGTCATCAAAGAATCAAACACATAGTTCAGTTTGTGAAGCTGAATACTAAGTATTGAGATAGAAAAAGATTAAATGTCAAATTTAATGCAATAAAAATTTTAAAATTGGCAAATATTAGATATAAATGAATAACCAAATAGATTTTAATATTATTGATTACATTACAAAATCGATAGAGCCACTAACATTGTTAGAGTACTATATATACAAGACTAAGATCGATCAATGGTTCCATTAATCTCTCTGAAAGTACTTCTTGCAACTCCTCTTATGGACAAGGAAATCATATTGGATTGTCGGATAGGATAATTTTCGATATTTATAAGATTGATAGGTGATATTGGAATAGAAGAAAGTAAAGCTCATCCTCCTTTGAATTATTTATCTCACACGCAACACCGTAATGCATTGTTATCAGCAACTACTGAAAAGTAAGAATTCAAGGCTACTGGCTGTTAGATGAGCTTGTACTTAACGGGAAAGTGGATCCTTGAAAAGATGATGGACGTGCCTGTATGATTGACTTGAACAGTCGATTGAACAGGAACGGGGTTCACTAATATTACTTCAACTGATAGTATATACGTCTCTTTCACCTCAACCATGATCTTCACTCACTATGTGATAATACGTGTCCTTACCACCAACAGTATCAGTATTTCCACATAATAAGATTTCGCGGGTGAGTCGCATCTCATCAAAAATTTTTTAATACTTGATGGGGCTTGCTGGAACAAAGGTTAAACAGAGATTCGGATTGGATCCTAGAAATACAAACTGGTCCAATGATACGACTAGATTTGGTCATCAGCATTTGGAAAAACTTGGCTGGAAGCCTGGAAAGGGGTTGGGTTTAGTCGGTCACGCTTTGACTACCCACGTTAAGGTGTCAATAAAGGATGATAATTTGGGTTTGGGAGCGAAGATGAAGAAGAAAGACAAAGAATTGCTTAATGATGATGTTGCATACGGGCTAGATGCGTTTCAAAGGATCTTAGGCAGATTAAATGGGAATGAAACACAAGTCAATCAAGAACTTGAGAGAAGTAGAAAAGAAAAAATAATAAATGGTAAACTTGGTATCCAGTTCATCAAAGGTGATGTTTTGAAGAGTACTTGGGATTCAGAGATGAAACAATTGAAAGAGATACCAGAAAAGGCAACACAAGAAAAGAAAAGAAAACACGAAGACCATGGTGAGTTCCAGGGGATGAAGATAAAAAAAGTGAAGAAGAAAAACCTGAAGGAAAGTAAACAGAAAGAAAAGAAACTAAACAAAGATAGAGTACTGAAATCGCTGAAATCAAAAAAGTCAAAAACGAAGGATAATAGAGAAGAAAACAAACTGGCGAAAGATAGAGGATTGATAATAAAAAAGTCAAAATCGAAAGATAATAGAGAAGAAAAGAGCAGCAAGGATATAGATGAACTGATCTCTGATAAAAAGAAAAGCAAGAAGAAACAAAATCAGAAGAATGAAGATACTGCAGAAATGCTGCAACCAGTTGCCATATCATCTAGATTATCGGCACGTTCTAAATATATCAAACAAAAGAAAGCGTCCATCATGGATCCTAAACTACTTAACGAAATTTTTATGATTACAAAATAGATGAGGTCAAAAACTACATAAAAAAATATAGATTTATTTAATCGAACAAAACAAAGCTGATACCTCCAATAAATGAAGTAATAATGGTGGTTATACCAATTAACTGGCTTATTGACCAAGACTCGACAATAGTTGCAGATGAGCCTTTGCTGTTAGAAGAGTCTGAATCAGCAGTTCCAGAAGCACCGGATCCAGAACCAGAAGTACTTCCAGAGCTTGATTCGCCAGATTCTGAAGCTTCAGAGGACGCACAAGTAGCATCGGTTTTGGCGTCTTTGTTAATCGAAGCAGATCCGCTGAAGTCACAAGCTGATTTGTCTTCATTTTGATCCTTATAGTATGCATTCAAGACATAGGACAATTTGTCTTCATCAGAACAGAATGAATAATCACCATATTTTCCCTTTTTACCGTCACTTGATATATCACTACAGTCAATCTTATCACAGATATAGCCGTACAAATCACTGTAATCAGAAGTATCAACATCGTCGGCGAGGACACAACTCAAACTCAGAGCCATACATTTACAGACTTCCAGGTCTGGAGTTGGGGGCAACTTGGTGGATGCAGACCAGGTAGCCGCTGAGGTTGGACAAGCAATAGTAGAAGCCGAATCAGAAACTTCTGAGGACTGTGCCAAAGATGGCGAAATGTTGTTCATCTCAGAGGAATAGTACTTGAAATCGCTCAAAGTTTTAACAGTATCACCATCAACTGAAACCAATCCATAATCGTTATCCTCCTGAAAGTACATATAAACAATACCACCAGACCATACGTCTGTCATATCATCTCCATAAATTGTACCAATCTCTGTAAACTTTCTAGGTCTCTCAGCATTACATCCATATTCAGAAAAGAAGATAGGAATTGAAAGGTTCTTGTATTCTTCAGTACGAGCTTCATAACCAGAGCTTTTGAAAGAAGAATCTCCACACCATTCATACATATTAATACCAAAAAAATCGGCACTTTCATCCAGATCTCCACATGCAAAGTAGTCAGCAATAGCGACCCTAATATCTTCATCATCATTTGAAGAATATCCAACAGGAATTGATCTATACTTCTTATCAGACATATATTTTTTTGTATCCCTTACAGCAGCTTTAACAAATGCTGAAGCATCGGTGTTACTTTTGTTATTGCTGACTTCATTACCAGCAAAGAAACCCAAAACATTCGTGTAATTGGCAAACATATCAACAACATTAGTGTATCTTTCATATAAATCGAGGTTCCATTCTGGAGATTCTCGGTTAATGGATTTGTCTGGTTCCGACAAATCAGCAATGATGTAAATCCCAGCATCGGCAAACGTTTTCATACACTCATCGTGGTTCAAACTTGTATTAACAGCGTAAACTCTTAAGGCATTAGTATTTGATTCTTGGAAGTACTTAACATCTCTTTTACAAGAATCTGGATCTGCCAAGGGGTCATTAATTGAAGTGGAACCACCATCAGCAGTGCTATTGGCAGTATTTTCCTGGTAAGCAATACCCCTGATTAAAAATTGAGTACCGTTGTCTTTGAAAAAAAACTTGTTGCCCACAACCTCAATCTCGGACAATTCGTCGGCAGTTGTAAGATTAAGCAAGCTTAATAAGAGGCATAAGAGAACGAAGGAAAAGTTTCTTAACATTGTTAACGATAGTTTAGATAATACAGAACGTGAATTCGACCGGCGGATCAAATTTATTTATACAATTTCAAGATCAACACACACGAAATGAAGAATCACACAAAACACGGTCCAGTTTGCCGTTTCTACAAAAGTGGGCTATAAATAACTTGAACACTGGTCCCTATTAATGGATACTCTTTTGACCAATAATGTTTTTCTAAACAAACTTAACATTTTGATCTCTGATACAGATGTTGAAGTGAACGTAAGTGCTAGAAATCGCATGCCTGTGTGAAGTGCAACCTTTGTCCCAATTAGGAATATTCACCTCGAGTTTAGTTGCTTTCTAGAAATGAATCAAACTTGGGAATGTATGTAACAAATGCAGGTACACAGGAGCTTGTATTTAATGGTGGCGATGTTTTGCCGACGTGAAACTCGACTAGAGTGTTGTTTATATCAAATAATAGACGAGAAGAGAATCTAGATGACGGTAGTGCTAGCGCAAATGCAAAGAGAGACAATTATGCATTTTTCAATAAGCGTATCTAGTGTTTAACCAAGTATACCGCATTTCTAAAGTGCCCCCTGGTGGTGCCCTCTTTGGTTTCTAGAAAGCTTCAACAAAATGTCCGCTCTTGCATGCGAGATATCTTTTTTTGCGAAATTGATTTGTTGCAAAATCCACAGACATAAGACATGATGAAATTCAGCTGTATTACAACATTTGTTTTCTTACTTGGGTGTGTGACTAGTTCAAAGAACCTTGAGTTTGGAACATATGTAAACCCTAATCCTAGACCTTATGAAAGGTGTTCTTCTCCTGATTTGATTAAGTTATCTTCCTGCTGTAATGTTGTTCTCACTAAGCTTGATGATTGCAAAGCTAATGATTTAGCTTGTGAGTGTTGTGCTTTGCAAAGTATACAACAGGAATGCTTTAATATTTGTCCAGGTAATCCATCAACTAATTTCTTGACAGTGTTGTACCAAGATTGTGCCCCTTTGAACGATATAAATGCCTGTTCCTTACCCTTCAAAAAAAGTAATGAATTGCCACAAAAAACACAAAGGTTAAAGGAAAAATTTGAAAATGACAAAGAAGGAGGCATCTACGAGAAAGACGTCAAGGGACAACCTGCTATTTTCAAGTCTAAGGTATCTGGTAAGGCTTCCACCAGACAAGAAGAAGGGGAGTTTTTCATAGGAGGTGATACAGAGAGACAACCAAAAAACATTGAAGATGGATTGGGAACGAAGAACGAAACTTATTTTGACAAAGACGCCGTGATTGCCGAGTCTAACATCACGAAAAGCAGTTCAAGTGCTGTTTCCAATTTATTGGACGTGAGCCTAGTTACCTCAATATGCTTGGGGTTGTCACTTTTACTATGCACCTATTTAATTTAAGTCAAACAAAATTACTTATTCATTCATCCAGTCCAAAGTGTATCTAATTCCCTCTGAAATACTGACAGCAGGATTGTAGCCCAAGAGTTCTTTAGCCTTCGAAATATCATGGTAACGATAGGCATTAGAGATTTTGACCCTAAACACCGTTAAACCTCCTTCTTTTCCTGTGAGCTTTGCAATATTCTGACTGATGAACCCAATTAAGATACCAATTGGCTTACTTATCACAATATTTCTATCAGCGACGAAGCCATCAGCCTTCCAAACAGCTCTTGCCAAAGTCCAGAAATAACAAGGTTCATCATTAGTAATGAAGAATGTATGCCCAGATATTAAACTTGCTTTTGAAGGAATCAAAATTTTCTGTGCTGCAAGGACATGGGCATCAGCAACGTTTCCTACGAAGGTCCAATCGAAGAGGTTATTATTGTCACCAACCTGAAACTTGAATTGACCAGCACGGGCAACATCTCTGAGACCAGGGACAAGTTGCCTATCTCCTGGGCCAAAGATACCAGCGGGTCTCAAGCATACAGTCAAGAAATCTTCGGAGTTACTAGCCATAACGGCTCGTTCTGCAATTTCTTTTGTTCTATTATAACCATCCATGTGGACTTTTGGATATGGCCAACTTTCATTAGCATTACGTATATCCTCTCCGTTGAAGATAACACCAGCAGAGGAGGTGTATACCATGGCCTTCACTTTCAATTTTTTAGCCGTTTCAAGCAAGTTGATGGTGCCTTCAACGTTGACCTTCTGATATACAGAATCAGAATTCCCATGAACAGGAGAAGCCGAGTGAACGATTACATCACATTTTGAGGCTTTTATAGCTGCTGCCACATCTTCAGGGGAGGTTAAATCACCTTTGTGAAACCGAATCGAACTTTTGTCGAAGGTAAAGTAGCTTGAAATGGTGTCGGGAATTGGGCGAATGTCAAACACATGAATCTTTGTTTTTGGACATCCTTTGGTGAACTGCTCAATCAAGTGAAGTCCCAAGAATCCTGATCCTCCAACAAGGAGTACAGATTGAAGCTCAGACATATCAGGCTAATTGTGCGATCGTATAATCTGTTTGAACTTCAACGCGAGAAAATTACATGGTATACACACGAAAACGACGCCATTTTAATTGTACACAGTAGATGCTATTCATTGAACGAGAAGAGATACTTGTAATTGCTGACCTTTACGGAATCAAGCTCCACTGCGACCAACTCTAGTTGTGGGAAATTGAAAGGCCCTCCATTTGAAGCTAAGCCGCTGGAGCTAAGGTTTAGAGGGGGAACAGACGCATCAGGCAAGATCACATTTGCTGAAATGGACAGGGAACTCTGCCTGTATTCTTTTTTAGGGCTTTGCTCAAGCAGTCCCAAATATTTTAGGCTCGTTGAGTCAAATGCTTGCAGTGGGCCGGATGAGCTTGAGTTTGAGTTTGTGTTTGTGTTTGATTCATGTGCATCCAAAATTTGTGGTTCCTTTGTGCTGCTATCAGAAGATCCATTGGAGGCATTTGGGTTTCCTCCAGAGCTCAAAGAAGGAGTTGTTGCTGATACGGATGAGTTGTTGAAAAGGTTGCCATTTTTGATAGCTGATACCTGAGGGTGAGCACTCACAGACGTAGGAAAAGAAACAGAATATGTGGAGGAAGCTTTATCCGTGGGAATAATAGCTTGTGCTGCTGCATTTATAGATAAATTATTGACATTCGTATTAGCAGCAGATGCCGTTTCAGCTGCTGGAGTGGTAATAGAACTATTGTTTGACACGGTATCGGGCAAATCTGTGGACTGATCAAACATTATTGAGGAGTTGATAACGTCAGCAGTTAGATTGTGTTGCCTTTTTGCTATTGCAGACTTTCCCATGTATGGATTTGAAAATTGATGAAGATAGGTGTTTTGATTCCTCTTATTGTTATCCAAAACAGAAAGCAAAGAAGATGCAGTCTTGTTCAAAGGTTTTCCAACATCTCTTGACGACTTTTCTATCAAAGAGTCCATATGGTTAGTGTCAAATTGATGAACCTTTTTGTTCGAGGATAACACTGGGGCTTTGATTTTGGTTCTATAAGGTGATGGTAAACCGGAGAATTGATAGACTCTTTTGATAGACGGAGCACTTCTTTTCACAGAGCTTATAGCCGATTCAGTGGTACCATGCAACTTGTGTTTATATTCGGGAGTGGCAAAAGTTTGAGGGCTTAAACCTCTTGTATTCAGGGTATTTTTCAAAACACTCTGTTGTGATGGCGTCGATTCGATCAACAGCCTTTCTTTATTAGACTTCTCAGGTAACTTTAAACGAGATGGACTATCATACCTTGTAAAAGATCCTGGCATTTTAGGAGATATTATTCCATTATTAGACTTTCCCTGTGATTGTGAAAGAAGGGACATAACACCCTGATATTCGATTGGCGTCAATGGTTTATTGCCTTTTTGCAGGAAAAACTCTGACAACAAAACATTGGGTGTCTTATTAAGAGAAGGGGCAAAGTCCAATTGAGTATTGTTTGGTGTAACGATGATGCTTGCATCCTCACCAAAGGCTTTGGGTGTAGGAGTAGGAGTGGATGGGGGAAGAGGTACGCTGTTGTCAGGGAATGAATCCGCTTTCTTCCACATTGAGGATACGAGGATTCCTACCTTAGACAATAGATTCCTCCTCTTCTCCTTTGCATTCGTTTGTTTTTTGTAAACTCTTCTGTTATCCATGAGCTACTTGGTTTAATGACAATAATTAGTTCGTTGATAGAATTTTGAGAAGATGAGTGTTATTGAGACACGACCTTAAATATGCCTATGGTTTCACACTTACTGTATTCTGGTTTATTTACCAAGTAAAGAAACTACAACAGAAGAGACTTTTAGATGATATTATGATACTTTTCGGAGTATTTATTGTCCAATTCAAAGATAAAACCAATTAGAGGATGTGCAGAAAAGGTTTTCAATAATAGCGGAGGCTGAAAATCCAGTTAATATAGCTAGCAGTTATTGAATATACTCAATTATTGACTCATGTTGACTCTACCAGCAGTCCTTCAATGATCCCAAAGTGAACTGTAGTAATACTGTTTGGTTGGACCATAAATTATTAGTCCCCCGTATTTTCATGAATCGCATTAAGACAAACAAACACGAAAAATACTAAGCTTTATCTTTTAATCTAGGGACTTCACGGGTTGCAGAATAAAGTCTCCTTAACCCAATAAATAACGTACAAATAAACCGAAATCCCATTTGCATACTCATGAAGACACGAACATGACTGAACACGTATCAGACTCAGAACCTGAATGTGAGCTTCTACCGTTATCCAGCATTTCAAGAGGTCGATTTCAGTCTATGATAAATCTGCTTTCACCAGTAGTAAAGCTGCAAGTCATCACCAAGATTGAATCATCTCGATACACTTCCTTGTTGCAAACTAAACCAGCACTTCAGTTACAAAGACGAATAACACCTGAATCAGAACAAGCAAATAAGAGCAATGAAAGCAAAGAAATCGAGGAGGCATTAGAGACTATTATGCCCTTTGCTGCAAGCTCTATATTAAATCTGCGCCGTGGGCTAAGAAAGAGAAACTTTGCAAGTACTCATCCTTACCTAGCAGATCAAGCGCATTGGCTTGATCTTGCAAGCATTAACTATTTGAATGATATCTACGAGGAAAACCGAAACTTAGAGTCTATGCTTAAGTTTTTAAATCAGCAGTATCTCAGAAAAAAGTCCAGATATCCAGATGAAGATAGGTATAAATCTAAAAGTTTCTATAAATTCTTGGGAAGAACTAATCCAAATGTCCACATTGGATCGCTCTCACAGAACGACCCTGAAGTACCAGATTTGGCCACAACAAGAAATGGCGAGCGAACAGAAAGTGATATAGAAGAATTGCAACTGGTGGACTACGAATCTGATGATTCCATCGCTAATATTCGACATAGGAGTGTTTATATAGATGACTCGGATGAAAATGATTCAAGCCACAGACGAGATAGTGAATCTTCTGAAATATCGTTGATTGATATTAACGAGTTACAGAGGTACAAATTGGAAGATGCCAATTCCGTCTTTACAAAGATAAATAAAAATGACAATGGTGGTAATAGTCAAAAGGAAAGGGAAGATGAAGATGGTGCAATGGTCCATGTTGGAGGACGTGTTAGGAGAGGAAAGAATATCCTTCATGGTGTTTTACCGGAATCTGCAAAGAGGCTTTCAATTTGGAAGGGAAAAAAACTTACAACGAAAACAAAGAGAGTTGGAGCAACTGATTTGAGAAAAGGGTTGGCCATAAAGAAGAAAGGATCCTCTATATCGAAGACGAATTTTATCAATGAAATGAATTTATATGATGAACTATTTCAGGAAAAAGACTCCGATGAAGTAAACATGCAAGAAATTGGGGAACACTATCTCACATTCAATAATGACGACCTCAACAAATATATGAACGAAGCTTTGAATGAAAGTCATGCTTTTGATTTTAGATACAATTCCTATATGTTTTCTGAATCGGAAAGCGATGAAGAGGAAAATGAGCCAACAATTTTATTTGCAAATAAAGGGCATCTTGATAGTTCAGAAGAACCAGAAATTAGTCATGATATCAGCTTATCGGATATAGATATGTTTGATGGTGCCGCTTTCCCCAATAAAGTGGGTTCAGCACCTCAGAAGAGAATCAGCGATTATTTGAAAGATGAAAGTGAAATAAATCCCGATATTGTTAAGCAGCCCAAAAGAGCTTCCACTTTTAGAGGGGTACCTTGGAACAAACAGCAGAATTCTCGTGGAACTGATCCTGTATTAAAAAGAAAGTATCAAAAGTTTGGAGTGAAACGGTTGAGAAGGAAGGAATTTAATGCACCCTCAAGAAAGTTGCACGAGAAGCCAACTAAAGCCAAAGAACAGGAGGAAGCCAAAGGAAGTTCAACAAAGACCAAAAATTCCCAAAGTGAGGTATATCAACCTCCTATTTCAAACTACTACTACAAAAAATCTCCTGCTACCTTCACCACTTCAATAGAAGTTGAAAGTACCAAAAAGTTCATCAAGACTAGTAGATTCGATCAGATACACCAAAGAGATTTCCAATTTAATCGAAGAAAAGAGCGGTTAGTTGACATTGACATATCCAAACTACATTTGTTGAGCCAAGATTATATTTCCTTTGGAAGTGCTAGACCATTGACTGTAAACCTTGGAGATAGGGGATTTACACTCAGTTTGGTGACAAAATTAAATTCTATTAATGAAGCTGTTCAGCTTTTGCAGTCGATTTCTAGAAGACTAAATGGTACGATTGTTGACTTGTCAGGGATTGCAGGGGCTCTTCGAACCTTGTTAAATTGGTATGTCACATTGCAAGAAATTCCCAATGAAGTTGAATGGAAGTACCTCAGGTACATTGTGAAAAGATCTGCTCGAAGAGATCCAAAAGAAGTTTCTGAACTTCTTCCCTCTACTCTATGCATTTTTTACACTTTTTTGAATTTGACTGAAAAGTATAATGGTAGCAGCAAGGTACTATTTGATGAATTCAAAGACTACTGTGGGTTCTTTTGGTGGTTGGTTTATGAGAAATTACACGAGAATACAGAATTTGGAACTTTTAATGAAGCTGACATGTATTATAGTTTTATCCTTGAGTTGTTATCTTCTAACATGGAGTTGTTTTGGTCAACAGTGATAAACAGTGTTGAAAAAGTTAACGAACAAAGAACTGGTATGTGTTTGGAGGGTATGTTTTACTTATGCAACAAGATTTCACCCAAGAATTATAACTGGGAATGCCTTTACAAATTGTATGACACTTTCAACGAACAGATTCCAAGTACACTATACAAAGAATTCATTGACATATGTTTCCTTTTGAATCAGCGGAGATCTTGGCCTCTAGAAGAAAAGCTTATAATGCTTTTGTATTCTACCGTCACGAAAAGAAAATTCTTCAACTTTGAAGACGAGAGCTTGGATGCAGCCCCAATTTCGAAGATCTCTACTATCAATGATATACCGAACTCTTCCTTTTTTGAGTGCTTTATCCAGTTTTTTTACTACTACGTCTCAGCTTTGTCTGCCGATTCCTCAACCAAAAGGCTTTCAACGAAGTTGTTAACGTCCAGCCATTTTAGCTATGGAAAAGGAAAGAAACACCAGGTGGCTTTCATCAATAGGTTTAACTTCATTATAATATTAAGCCAAGTTTCAAGTCTAAATCAGAACAATCTGGTCACCGATTTGATAAAGCTGATTCAAGAATCTAAAGACCTTGATATCTACCTGTTGGCCATCAGAAATCTCAAGACATATACTGAAATTGTGATTTCAAAAGATCAGACTGCACCGATAGAGTCTTTTAGTTTGTTGCTTGTTAATACTTCTCTGCTATATCTGTCGGTCCCTGGAATATCCAAGATATTGATACAGTTGTCGGTCTGTATGAAACAGTCTTTCTGCCTTGACAAGCCACTGTCATCATTAAATGCTCTGAACTCATTGCAGTTCTTTAACGTGATGAGAGGAATAGAATTGAAAGATTTTCATGATGACATAGCAATTAGAGTTATTGAATTGTTGAAAGTTGCAGCACATAGTCTAATTCTTGAAAGAGAAACCTTGATTCAGAAGTCAGAACTAGCAAAAAGCCTTGTTGAGAAGATTCGTTCGTATATCAGCCGAATTATGGGAGGCTTCCCAATGAAGACCAGAGTTAGGGAACAGAAATTGACTCTCCTCATTGAGGATTGTTTACAGCTTTGGATATCAATTTCTGCCATTGTCGATCCGAACTGGAACAAGATAATTTTCCAAGAATTCCTCTATATGGGTAATTCTTACCTGAGAGATTTGTTCTCTTTGGAACTATTTTGCAACATTTTGAATTACAATGATATACCGCAGCACTTGGAGGTTGTGCTACAAACCCTTATTAAGCTGTTGGCAAAGCTTCAACCCCCAAAGTACGCTACGAGTATCATAAATGCATTGAGGAGGCTTTCCTTGCCCATCCTCGAATTCAAAAATATTCATTTGAACAGGAGGTTGACACCAATTGAGCTCAATACCAATAAGTCTCAAATCGTTTTATCTGTGTTGTCCAATTTAGTGGAAGGAGCAATGCTGAGGCAAAGTAAGGTTAACTTGATCTGTTCATTCATGGATGCTTTGAATGAAGAATATGATAGGTATTTCAAATCATCAAAGTTTGTTGAATTCTGCAAGCGAAACGTTGAATTTCTTCAGGTTCATGCAACTGAACTTGTAGGAACTCTCTCCATATATCAAGAGTTGGCTAATAAGTTGGATGTAACCCCCATTTCAGCTAATCAAATAAAATGGAAGGGTTTGCCATTAGTCAAAAAACTAGTTGTATTGCATAAGGAATTTATTTCCAGTATAGTGTACCAAAAGGATGTTTTTGCAACATTGAACCAGTACACAGAAACCGGCATTTGGAACTCACTATTTCATCTAGTCAGTATCTACATGAAGGCAATTACCATAAATCAATTGGAATACTGGTTATGTATTTCCATTTTGTTGGATTTTTTGTCTCTAAAACTAGACTCGTTCGAGATAGATGTCACTAGTAGAGAGTTTGCGAGATTCGTCCTTCTGCTCGAAGACATGACTTCGCTATGCTATTCTCATTGGGGTAGTCGATTTGCCAACGTGTTAAGAAACTATCAATTGAAAGCACTTTGTCAGACTTACAGTATTTTGGGCAAGGCCTATTTAATATTTGATGGTTACAAAGATCACCAATTCATCAAAAAAGCAATAGAGAAACTGTTGCTTGATTACGCTTTACCCAGTGCACAGAAAATGCCTGTCCTTGACAAAGCATATTCTTCCTTTTTGTTTCTGGACATTTCGAACAATTCAAAAGACTTGCTTCTTCCAATGGAACAGCATCTTTTGAAACCTGATCATGAAAGGTACGACCCTCAAGAATATGCCGGTCATTTAAGGGTTTTGGCTGCTGACAATGCTTTGTCAGAAACTCTCTACTTTGATTTTTCATTTCAATAAAGAAATGAAGAGCATGAAGAACTGAGAATCGATTATTTAACTAATAGTATACTTAATTATTATTCTAATCCCTTTTGACTTCTGATCAACTGGATTTCAGCTTCCAACTTATCGCGACCCTTCTTCACCTCCAAAAGAGCTACTACGGCCCTTAATAATTCATCATATTTTGCCATTGCTTTCCTCGTCGGCATAACGGGCCTCCAAGAGGTACCTCCAGCAGTAGGTATATCAAGCTCAGTAAAGACACTAGTAACTGATTTAAGAACAGATTGTCTTTGCTGTAAGCCAGGTAGTCTTTGTGAAGATCGAAGTATGACGCCAGGAGTTAACCTTTCGTTAGCATGATAGTGAAGACCGTAGGCTTCTTCTTCTTTTGCAGTAAGTCGCTTCATGAGCAATTTATGGATAGCAGAAATTTCGTTCTTGTTACCTTGGCTTTGGTTTTGTTTAACAAGATTCGATAAGTGCTGTTGCAAATGTGTCTGGAATGTACGCTCTTTCCGAATTGAGGAAGAGGCAGCAAGCGGTATGGGAGGTGGAATAGGATCATGACTCGGAGAAGATTGATTTTGTAATTGGCGCCTTTTCTGATTTTTGTCCATAATCATCAAGTTATTATAGAGGTTAGTCAAGCCTTGAGAAGACTGATATTGTTGGACAGACTGTGAGGTTTGAGGGGAATCAAGCAAGGTCAACAAGTTAGACCTTTCCACGAGCATTTTTTTAGCAGCCAATTCGAAACGGCGTGCTTCAATCACCAAAGACTCTTCTTCAGCAATTTCAGCAGGAGTTCTCTTTAACAATCTTTCCAAATATTGTTTTCTTTCAACCTCCTTGCTCTTTGAGAATGACCCAAGAGAATCAATGAGCGCTGGATTTCCATTTGCGTCGTCCGAATAAATGCGTTTACAAACTCGATAAAACTGTTCTTTCAAATCCTCCAAGGAACGGTGACTTGAATATTCGTATCTATCGAGTATAATATGCCACTTCAATTCGAATGAGTTACACAATTCAAAAAGGTGCTTAGTTTCCTTATAAGTCCAAGGTATTGCATTTGTTTTAGATTCAGGAATTACAGATGCCTCTTCTGATTGTGCTTGGGTCGATTCTTTGGATATTTCAGATTGTGATCCATCCTCTTGAGAGGTGACTTCCGAGCTCGCGTCTTTCTTGCTCTCCGAAATTCCTGTGACTTCTCCTTTCTCTCCTTTGATTTTTTTTTCGTTGTCTCTTGCTGCCTTTTCTTTGGCTAGTTTTTCTTGTCTTTGGCGTTCTTTTTCCATTCTTCTTTCTTCCCATAGTTCACTATTTTTTCTCTCCTCTACCTCAATATCCTCCATATATTTATTGAAAGTCTCTTCATCAACAAAATCAGGTATATCAACATTGGTGCTGAACTTAGTGAAGAAATATGGTTGTTGTACTTGAATATTGTCTTGTTCCAATAATTCTTTTGAGCCACGTACCCAATGGTACAACGTTAATGGATCACCTGATTTGGGCTTGAAGTCTTTAAGTGTCCATGGTGTAGCCTTAGATTTCCATCTGTCTTTAACGCCAACATTATTATTAGCGTTTGTTAGGTTCACGGGCGGTGTGTTTGGGCCCAATAGATTGTACAATTCCCGAGCCATACCCGTTTGCCGAGCTTGTAAGTTAGTGCTATCATTCCCATGTTTGGCTTTCTTTTTTGATGGCTGCCCTGAATTATCCCTTTGAATGTTCAATACATCCAATATATCATTGGCCGACATATCTGTGTACTTATGTTAAAACAATTTCTTTGGACTAAAATTTCTTTCCGCGAAAGCGAATATTCTGTAGATTCATATTATGCTATGTAATGGTATAAGTTTCTATTATTGTCATCTCTCTTGAGATACTCTTTCTCAATAAGGTCTTCAAGATGCCTTTTAATTTGACTATTATTGGGTAAAAATCTGCCCTGTAATTGTCTGATAATTTCCGTAACAAGCTCATTGTGATAAATTGACTGTCTGGACTTCAAAATTCTAACCGTAGCAGCATTAATTTCATGCTTACGACCCTCAGCAATAGACAGCTCAATATCTTCTAGCTCCTCATCTCTACTTTTCCTCAATCTTCCATCTCCTCCCGCAGTATTCGTGGAAGAAGAAGCTGATACCGTTAAGACTTTGACTTTGGTGGAAGGCGACTTGAATTTTTCATTCAATTCAAAAATGTCGTTGTCATTCACATCCTTGGACATGGGAGTCTTGGTCAATAACCTCAGTCTAGATGCAACTGCAATAGATTGAAGATGACGTTTTAATTCTACTTCAGGTATCCCAGTCAACTCTTCTATCTCTTTGTAGGTCAACTTCTTTTTGTCCTTAAAAGGATTGAAGTCCTCTGAGTTTACTTCTGAATCTGAATCCAAAGAATAACTGGGCCCAAATAGCAAGAGAACCACCCCTGCATATGTAGGTAAGTTAATTTCGAATGTTTTACTTGGATATGTAATTTTCAAGTCCATTGATCCAAACTTCGGGCACCAATAGAGAGATTTGTTGCTATTTTTTTTATCAATAGTCCAGAACAGTTCAAATCTTTGAATTGTGTGCTTGATACGACGGGGCCAAATGAAAGTTGTACTAGAATCGGGATTCATTTGTTTTCCAGATAACTTTTTATAGTCTTTTGTCATTGAATTTGGCCAGTATGAAATATTGCAAATTTTTAAATCCATGTCTATTATGGACTTATCCTTATTTTCAACCAAAAAGTTTTTCCACTCCGAAGTGACACCTCTTGACAGTTTTATGTCCATGTTCATTTTGATGATAGTATCTAGCGAGGTCGTTCCCAACTCTTCGCTTAATTTGGAAATAACAAAATCTTCTATATCAATACCAGTGCTTCCATCTTGATTGAATCCCTTAGCATTCAAAAACCTTTTCGCAAAGTGATTCTTGTAGTATGCTTCAAAAGTATCCTTATCAACAATGAACCTCAAAAATTGTAAGGACTTGTTGATGAATTCATCAATGGAGCTGAAAGAGGCATCATTGGATGTGATACCCTTGTCTCTGGAGCCAGCGATTGAATTAGGTTTGAGGTACTGCTTGATATGGTTATCCATACACACAGACAACAACTCAGACGGGTTAACGATTAATAAACTGAAATCATTATTATTCTTCTTGCTTTTAGCATTCAAGTTAATAAATTCCTGAATAGCAGAAATGATACATTGTTCCATTGAATAGTCATGATCAAATGCATCCTTGACAATTTTAGAAAACTGAGCTTTATATAGCAAAATTGAGCCTATCCATTTATTGGCGAACGCAGGTGAGTTGGGGCTTATCGGCTTTTTACGTTCACCAAGTTCACCTGAGTTCAATAAGTTTTTGATCAATGAAGGAAATTGTTTTCCTTCTTTGATGATGATATCTTTCAATCTCACTTTTAATAACTCACAGCTGCTGTCTATTCTGCTGTTAAAGCTGTACAAGATCTTTAGATAATTGAGCAGGTCATTGTCGATGGGAATTCCAGAGTCAGTTGGTTCCCCCAAAATGATGTTATCTTTTATAGGTTGTATCCATGATTGTAAGCTGTCACTGGGAAAATTTATTATATTGTCCAACTGAGATTTGATCAATGTGTTGTTCATCAAATCAATAAGTTTGGGAACAGTCGATTCAGGTAAGTATAGATCAATACGATCTATTTCATCACTAAGAAATTGATTTGTTTCTATCAAGTACTTCAAGCCGCTTCCATAGTTTAAGAACTTCTCTATCAAGTTGTTGAAATAGTCATTGGAGGTTGACAAGAAAACTGGTTCAAAGTACTTTTGGTAGTAATTTTCGAAAACACTCAAATCGTTTTGGGTATTGTCTTCATGAAGGAGCTCGAACATGCCAATGATATTGGTAATATACATCTTAGTAGATATGATTTCACCATTTCTATTTTTCTGGATTTCATTGATTAGAATATTGATGATTCTAGTGCCAACCTCATTATCATTGTACTTGATTATGCAGTCCTTGTAAAGCTTTATACCCAAGTCATATATCAACAATCGGTTCTGCTCTTTGATATAGACTCTATTGAGGTACATCAACACGTCGCTTATGAATTTCATCGCCTGTAAATGCTCGTTCCACTCAGATAAAACGTTCTTAATGAATTCCTCGTCAACATTCACAAAAGACGCAGAAGAGGACTGACTAAATATTGACAATAGCTTGGTTCTTCGTCTCAATAGATGAGTTTCGATTAATTCTTCAACATTCTCATAGAGTCTATTCCCGAATTTGTGTAAGACTAGTGTATAAGCCTTACGATATAACTGCTCATATGACAAATTGGAAACATTTTTGTTTTGGATTTGGACTATAGCACTTGAAAGAACATCCCAAGATTTGTTAAAGTCAAACGCCTGCGTATTTGTTAAAGATGAATTCGTGATTGATTTTCTTGGAGGTTTGATTTTGGATGTTCTACTTCCCGGGGGTAACATATTTATCAAGCTTTGGACAGCACATATACGGTGAGGAGGAAATCACTTAATTGGTGTTAAGTAACCAAATCAAGAAGTTAGAGGGAGAGAAATCGCGAAGCAGAACATGAGAACATGTGCCTATAACCACGTGATAAATAACAGGCTCACAAGTCGTGTTTAGTGTCAATTTAGTGGGTTACAAATTTATCATTGCTCATTGGTTGTTCCGCTGCTCCGCAAACCTCAGGCAAAGTGGCCGGTACCGGCACCCTCACCGGTGAATCATAATCATTTAAAAATGATGAAAAAGTCCTATAAAACCAAACGGCACCCCGACTTGTGCATATTTTAATATTAGTCAAAGCAAATCAACTTTTTGATACGATCTTTCAGCATGACTAACTCAGCAAAGACTTTATATGATAAGGTGTTTGAAAACCATATAGTTCACAAAGATGAATCTGGTTCTTACTTACTTTACATTGACAGACATTTAGTCCATGAGGTTACTTCTCCTCAAGCATTTGAAGGTTTAAAAAATGCTGGTAGATCTGTCAGACGAGTGGACTGTACTTTAGCTACGGTGGATCACAATATTCCTACCACTCCAAGAACCAACTTTAAGGATGTTGAAACCTTTATTGAACAAGAGGATTCTAAATTGCAAGTACAAACCTTAGAACAGAACGTCAAAGATTTTGGTGTCACCTATTTCGGAATGTCTGATTCCAGACAAGGTATAGTTCACATTGTCGGACCTGAGCAAGGATTTACCTTACCAGGTACAACAGTTGTTTGTGGTGATTCTCACACATCCACCCACGGAGCTTTTGGATCCTTAGCCTTTGGTATTGGTACTTCTGAAGTTGAACATGTTTTGGCTACGCAGACTATCATTCAAGCCAAATCCAAAAACATGAGAATCTTTATTGATGGTGATTTATCTAAAGGCATTACTTCTAAAGATTTAATTTTACATGTAATTGGTGTTATTGGTACTGCTGGTGGTACTGGAAGTGTGATTGAATTTGCTGGTTTGGCTATTGAAAATTTATCTATGGAAGCTAGAATGTCTATTTGTAACATGGCTATTGAAGCTGGTGCCAGAGCGGGTATGATCAAACCTGATGAAACAACCTTCGAGTACATCAAGGGTAGACCTTTAGCTCCAAAAGGTGAACAATGGGATAAAGCCGTTAAGTATTGGAAAACTTTACACTCTGATGATGGTGCTCATTTTGATGATGATATCCACATCAAGTCTACTGATATTGTGCCTACGATAACGTGGGGTAACTCGCCTCAAGATGCATTACCCATCACTGCCTCTGTTCCAGATCCTACCAAAGTATCTGACCCAATTGTGAAATCGGGTATGGAAAGAGCCTTGAAATATCAAGGTTTGATCCCTAATACTCCTTTGAAAGATATCCCTATCGACAAGGCTTTTATTGGCTCTTGTACTAATTCAAGAATTGAAGATTTAAGAGCAGCAGCTAAAGTTGCAAAGGGCCACAAGAAGGCTGATAATGTTAAAGAAGTCTTAGTCGTTCCCGGTTCTGGTTTGATCAAAGCGCAAGCTGAACGGGAAGGTTTGGACAAGATCTTCGAAAAAGCCGGATTTAAATGGAGGGAAGCTGGTTGTTCGATGTGCTTAGGTATGAATCCAGATATTTTGGACCCAGAAGAAAGATGTGCATCCACTTCTAACAGAAACTTCGAAGGTCGTCAAGGTGCAAGATCCAGAACTCATTTAATGTCTCCCGCCATGGCTGCCGCAGCTGCCATAAAAGGACATTTCACCGATATCCGTGAATTTGATTATGTGGATGTTGATGAGCCAGTTATGACCATTGGTGAAAACGAAGACAAGGAATTACAAGCTGCTGTATACGAGCATGAAAAAGAGCAACTCAACAATGATTCTGAATCAGTTGAAGAACAACTTTACGATATTCCAAAGGAACCTGAAGCAAAGAAGCATAAACCCGTCGCCGAAGAGAATCCAGATGGTGCAAACACTTCAAATGTTGAAGCCATGAGTAAGTTCACTACTTTAACTGGTATCACTGCTCCTTTAGACAAGGCCAATGTCGATACTGATGCTATCATTCCCAAACAATTCTTAAAGACCATCAAGCGTACTGGTTTAAAGAATGGTTTGTTTTATGAATCGAGATTTGTGAAAGACGAACACGGAAAAGATGTTGAAACCGATTTTGTCTTGAACGTCGATCCATATCGTGAAGCTGACATCTTGTTAGTCACTGGTGACAATTTTGGATGTGGGTCCTCTAGAGAACATGCTCCATGGGCTTTAAAAGACTTTGGAATTAAGTGTATGATTGCTCCTTCTTTTGGTGATATTTTTTACAACAACTCTTGTAAGAATGGATTACTACCTATCAGAATTCCACAAGAGGATATCTTATCTAAATTGCACCCATTAGCTAAAGCGGGTAAGAAGTTGACAGTTGATTTGCCAAAGCAGCAAATAAGAAATGGAGAAACTGATGAGGTTTTAATTGAACATTTTGAGATTGAAGAATTCAGAAAGCATTGTTTGGTCAACGGGTTAGATGATATTGGATTGACCATGCAAAAAGAAGAATATATCCAAAAGTATGAAGAGCTCAGAAGAGACATTTATTCGTTCTTGGAGGGTGGATCCAAACTTATCAAGCCTATCAAGGGAACTAAGAAATCCAAGTTTGGAGTCAAAGCTCAAGAATGGTAGTCTGTTATTAGCTATTTACTATATGATAACCTGTGTAATATATTTATATTTATATTAGTCAATTATTCATCTGTAGACAAGACACAAGATACGAGCCGAAATAAGAAACTTTAGCATGACGTATCATACGCGGAGATGAATGAGAGGAAGACGAGTTATCTTAGGGTATGAGAATAAGTGTTGCCATTGATTTGAAGGCGAGATACTGTTCTTTGCAAAAGGGTAGAAAGTACAAAAGTATGAGCAGAGTAAACCAATCTCTACCACGATTGGTACAACTCATAGTTCCGAATTGACCAGTTTACCAATAGTATGGTTACATGATTGAGTTTTTCTAAAATTATTCTACCTGTAATATCTTTTAGATATATTTTTAGGTAACTATTCAAACAACTGTTTATTAACAGCAGTCTTAGGCTTACCATCCCCATAGAAGTAATCCATCATATTTTGGACACAATTTCTTTCAAATTTTTTCCAAGAAGCTCTACTGACAGCACCCCAGTGCGGCAAGAGAGTAATTCTCCAATCACTCAATAACTTCTCATGTATCTTGGGTTCAAATTCATGAACATCAAATCCACCACCGACAAGTTGGCCCCTTTCTAAAGCATCTATTATGGCTTCTTCTTGAACAATTGGACCTCTAGCTATGTTGACAATTCTCACTTGTATCTTCATTCTTTTGAAAGTATCAAAGCTGATCATGTGTTTTGTCTTTTCAGTGTAAGGGCACATCACAAGAATACAATCAGTGTGTGCCAAAAATTCATCAAAATCAGGGTAGAATACCATAGAATCTTCAGGAAATTCGGCTTCAAGTTCTCTTCTTTGAGTTCGGTTGTGATAAATTGTCTTCATTCCAAATGACTGACATGATTTGGCTACCAACTTACCGATGTCACCCAACCCTATGATTCCCAAAGTATGACCTTCAGGATCATCAGCCAACGTTGAAAAGTCCATGGAAGCATAATAATTTCTAGTTCTAACACAATTTTCAGCAAAAGAGGCATATCTAAAGGAGTTCAAAACCAATAGAGTACCGACATCGGCCGTAGCCCTGGAACAACAATCGGGTGAGTTGCAAAATATTATGTTTCTTGAAGACAAATAGTCAATGTCTACAATATCATAACCATGTCCCGACTGAACACATAACTTAACAGATTTGGGTAATAATCGTACAGGCTCACCACGGAGAATGTAATGTTCAAGGTAAGGAGAACCTTTAAGCCAGGTAGGGCGAAATACAGCATCTATGAAACCAATTTTGCCGTGATCTGGTTTTTTGAGCTCATTCATATAATCTTCAATGGTATCGAAGTCGTACACCACTATCTCAAAGTTTTCATAGACAGTTTTCCATGCTTGGTCATCATGTACTTCTTGGTCACAAGGAACGTAAAGAATTCTGGGCTTTTTGATAGTCATAACTGGAATTTTTGTTAGTCAGACCACTACGCACCTATATTCTTCGGAAAAAATGAGACAAGGCCATCGGCATTAAGCCCGCGAACACTTTTAGAATACTCAGAAGAACCTCTTGCCATTAGGCAGCTCACCAGAGTCACGTGCTAACAATCGTGTTGACATCAGGACTGCTCCATTCATAACCAACGTTTTGTAGAATCGAAGGGGTCTCAAACTGTTCTTTATTTCGACACCCTCTAGCACCCACACACAAACTTAACTGCACCTCGGATAACTACAGATAATATGCCTATCTCTATTTGGTCGATAATATATGATGAATCCCAGTTTCCATTTTTATAGTTACCGGAATTCACACTGGTACGGAGATTACCTAGAGGCATATGGGTCAGAACTTATACATGTGTTGGATTTAGAATAGGCATACGGAATCGCAGCCCAATACACTTACTGATAAACCTGGACTTACTTGGACCTATAAACTTGTCTTAGGTATACAATTAGGTTCCCAGAAAGGAAGAAGACGAATATCCAAATCATCAGCCTGTTTAACCAATATCTGAGGAAGATGTTGCTTCCTAAAGTCTATTGAAAACTTAAAAAGAATCTTTTTGTTCATGTATACCGTACAATGAAGTTCAATCGCCAAGATATGATGTGAATTTGTAAACAAACAAGTAGGCAATAGGTCAAATGAGAGGACTTTGTTTTTTTTTCTGGTGGAGTGGCTTCCAGAAGCGTCAATGCCTACCTGTAATGCTTGTTAGCTTAGAGGAGAGCTAAAGCACCATTTGAAACTACTCTTAGAAGCGTAAAAGGTATAGAAGCACGAAGATCAGGGAAAGAAATCTTAGATTAATTGGTACTGGTATGGTGATGAGGGGATCACTTTTGCAGCCAACGTGCGGAATTAGTGTCATCAACAACGATCGTCTTGAGTGCTCAGCCCCGATGGTGATTGAGATAATTATCTGCAGTATAATTTCAGCGATGAAATACAATATACTCTATTAACCTATGTAAATAGGACCCGTCAGTGGTATGATGAGAATCAAGTCAACATTAGGCAGGGGGGTGGCCGAGTAGGTTTCTTTTTCACTTGAGGAGAATTTATGCCTACTCACCTTTTGGAAAAGATAGAACGTGAAGGCTTTGGACCGCGATAAAGGTCAGGTGAGGGTAAAAAAACTAGTAAATTACAATAAGATGTTTTGAGTCTTGTTAAAGCATTAAGATTTTGAGTTTATTACCTTATCAATGTCCATTCAAATCGGCTTGTTATAGATCCACGAACGTTGAGCACGAACGTTGAGCACGAGCGCATCAAAAGTTGCAAATTTGTTCGCACACATTTGCGTTCTCAAAATTTCTAGGCCCGTTACCTTTATTCCTGAACCGGCTTTACAAAAAAACTCATTATGAACGGTCTTGATGTACAGCCAGTAAGCGTAAAGGTTATGGGTAGAGCTCAAATGGCATGTTTGAGATGCCGTTCCCAAAAAATGAAATGCACCAAAGGTATGTAATTTGATTTAGTCTTCATCATTTCATCACAAGGTGTGACATGTCCGTACTAACATTGATTCTTTAAGAACAACCTACTTGTAAAAGTTGTATTGCTGCTGATAAGGAATGTCGCTATCCAGTGAGAGAGAGGAAGTTGGTATTTCTAGATTCCCAGTTCCAGAAAATCATATCTCGAGTGAAATATTTGGAAAACGAACTCCGTGTGGCTAAGCTGCTTCTGGGGAAAGGTCTAAAAACTCCAAGTGATGATGAAATCTCTGGAGAAGTGGAAGAATATATTGAACCCTTTGAGACCGACACACCTGATGTTGAATATTTTGGAACAGCTACCTGCCAAGTGTTTGACAGCTCGCTCAACCTGTTCTTATTCAAATTCACTCAACAAACCCCAGATGAGCCTTTGGCGCAGCCATCAAGTCGATTTTATTTGGAAGATCCTTCGTTTCTGAAGCCATTTTCAGGACTTATGATGCTCCCAGACAAAGAATATGCTGTATTCTTGGTTCAGAAAGTTCTTGATTTCTTGGGGCATGAGTACTTCCTTATTGATGCTGATGAGTTTTTTGCTAAACTCAATGATGCTTATGAATCCCTTTCTAACCCAAGTTCTGGCTGGCTCTGCTACTTGCTAGCTACATTAGCAGTAGGAGAACAATATCTCAATGAGTCATCAGATGAAAAACCCCCGGGCATGCGATTCTTTGCCCCTGCAATGGACTTGTTCAAGAATTTTTATGAAAACCCTTCTCTAGAATTGGTCCAAACTTTATTGTTACTAGCTTTCTACCAACAGGGGTTAAACAGAAGCTATGGAGCCTTTACGTTTTATGGAATGGCCACCAGAACGTCATTGATGATGGGATTACATAAGGCTCGTGTGCACCCGAACAAATCTCCTGTCATTGAAGAGAAGCGTAAGCGAGTATGGTGGACATGCATTATTATGGACAGTATTTGGTCAGCAAAATTGGGCCAGCCTATACATATAATGCCCAAGGACATCGATGTGGATCTTCCAGATGTTGGGGCTGTTGACCTTCACGATGGCTTTGATAACGAACTACTTGCCTGTAATACAAAACTTGTGTTTATTTTGGGTAAGATAATGAGAGGAGTTTACAGAAATACTCCCAATCGACGTATCAATTTGAAGAGCATCATTGAATGTCTTGAGGAGTTAGATGCTCTTCAGCGAACGCTTCCCAGCAGAATACGAGAGACGCTATTTAAAGGTAAAAGTCGGTCAGTTGCTAACTTATATCTTCGACTCAACCAAGCAGTCATAATAACTACAAGACCGTTAGTTTTGTCTATCTTCAAAGGAATTTACGAAGACAATGCTATCACCAGACGAGTTGTACAAAAATGCACAGTTGCTGCAAAGACTTCCATTGACATTTTATCCAACCTTAAAAACATAGGATGGGTTTCAACATTCGGCTTTTGGGATGCCCAATACTTGTTTTCGTCCCTCTTGATTTTGATCATGAGCAGTTTATCAGGTCACCAGTTTTCTCAAATAGAGACTGGGCGGAGGATAAATGACTACATGAAAGATGCTGGAAACTTCACTGCCATTGAGAATGATTATCGACTCAAAGAATTAGATCAATTACTTGATAAGATTGACCAGAAACGCTCGGTTAAATCTACCCTTAGTGAAGATTTCGAAGCCGATAAGACTCCGATTGGGGCCCTCATCAGCGAAATATCGGAAAATTTCAAGGATAATACAGGTATTACTAAGGATCAACCGCATAGTGCTAAAGACTCATACGACCATCTCAGTAGTTCAGCACTAGAGACAATTTCTCTCACTGAAGATGGTCCAGGACCCCAAACAAATTTGTTCAAAGAAGAACTTTCACCGAAGGCGTGGAATTCACTTGTTTCGAACCTTCAATTTTGGGACTCCTCAGCATTTGGGGATTATCCCTAATAATATCAGTAGCTAGACAAATTGATAATCAAATACAAATAGACAAGGCTAGCAAGGCTAGTAGCAGATTACTCTCATCGCACGCAGGGTTTGTATATTTCAAATTCCCATCAGGTGAGGACACATCTTCCATTGTTCATAAGAAGAGGTTCTTTTTGTTATCGTCTAAAGCCGGTCCTTAGTGGTGACTTTGTTTCGAGCGTGGTTAAACGTTACCAGCCTTGTTAATTAACTTTATCAGGTTCCGGGTTCAATTAAGTTTGAACCTAAAATGCCCACATCAAAAATTGCACTAAACGTTAAAACGCAGCCCTCTTCTTTTAGTGACGGAAAGCTAAGTTCAAATGCCTCTTTAGATCCGATACCTATCGGATCAAAAGATCGTAAGTGGAAATGGCCTTCCATGGTTGGATTTTGGATTGCTGAAGCCTTTTCCATTTCCATGTACCAAGTGGCATCATCAGCTATCGTATCCGGCTTATCACCAGGTTTATCGATTTTGGCCATATTTGTGGGGCACATTATCATCTCCATCCCAGCTATGCTCAATGCTTATGTGGGAGCACAGAGGGGTATTAATTTCCCTATTTCCATGAGATATACTTTTGGAGTTTATGGAGCTTATTTTGGTGTTTTTGTACGAGGATGCGTGGCTCTCTTGTGGTTTGGTACACAAACTTACCAGGGTGGGCAGGCTATGGCTTTAATGATCTCAGCCATATGGCCTTCATTCAAGCATTTCCCCAATGAGTTACCAGAATCTGCTCACGTAACATCTTCCGAATTGCTTTGTTTCTTTATCTTTCTTATTGTGCAAATGCCAGTTTTATTTTTGACGGTGAACCAGCTAAGGTACTTGTTTTACATCAAGATTGTTTTCATGCCTATCTTTGGTCTTGCATTATTTGGATGGGCTGTCTCTCTGGCCAATGGGTTTGGACCTCTATTTCACCAAGGGAATCGAATTACTGATGGAACTCCAGTTGGAGTTGTGTTCTTCAGGTGCGTGATCTCAGTCATTAGTCCGAAGGCTACTTTGGCTTTGAATATAGCCGATTTTACTCGTTTTGCAACCAAACCGAAGCAGGCTTTATGGCCCCAATTTGTGGGTCTTGTGGTACTCGTGTCATTGTGTGGTATATTGGGAATCGTGGTGACTTCTGCAGCGTATGAAGTATATGGGGTTTTGACATGGAATCCATTGGAAGTACTGGTTCTATGGGATAACCGTGCTGCACAATTTTTTTCTGCTTTAATGTGGTCCTTAGCAGTAATCGGTACCAATATTTCAGCTAATTCGGTTTCTTTTGCTAATGATTTATCACTTTGCTTCCCCAAAGTTATTAATCCAAGAAGGGGTGCTCTCATTTGCTGCGTGTTATCTATATTGACAAATCCTTGGCAGATTCAAAATAGTGCTGCAAGCTTCACAAAGTTTTTGGGCGGATATTCAATATTTTTGGCACCAATTGCTTCAATAATGATAGTAGACTACTACATTCTAAGGAAGCAAGTTATGGATGTTCATGGATTATACATATTGAACGGCCCTTACTATTTCTTTAAAGGATTCAATATTCCTGCCTTTATTGCCTTTGTATGTGGCATTTCCCCAAATTTACCTGGTTTGGCTTGGTCCATTGGCAGCAAAAACATTCCCATTGGAGCTGTCTACTTATATAGTGTAAGCTATATTACGGGCTTTACAGTGTCAGGGAGTATATACTATTGTATTTGCAGGTATATTCCTAAGTTATGGATGGCAGATATTGAGACAGTAACGGACGAGATTGTTAGTTTTGAGTGTTCTTCGAATTCTGATATTACAAGGCCAGAAAAGAATGTGGCTAGATTTGATGAAAAAGACTTTGACTAACGCCTATTTAATGAAAATAATAATAGCTAGGGACTTATTTAATAAAGATTAGAAGCCAGGGTTTACGATAGGCTGCGAAAAAATAAATGCAGGTGTTTCATCGCGTCAATCGAAAAATTTGAGATACTTCTATGAGCGAAACAAGAATACGACATGGTAAAGAACAGAATAAGAATATCCAGAGAGCAGTGTACGAGGAATGGTTACGGATGGTAGCTGATAACAAGATAAATCAGAAGAATTCCTGGAGTTTTGGCTTGATAGACTATCTTTATGACTTGTCTATGAAACCCATTGATAACTTTCAAAGGGCTTCAGTAATCTTGGATGGGTGTATCAAAATATATTCTTCAAGAGTGGATTCTGCTGCAACAGAAACAGGAACTTTATTAAGCGGTCTTTCCACGAATTTTCTGTTCGAGCCAATTGTTGAGGAAACGGCAGAACTTATTACGGAAGAACGCCCATTGATCTCAAGAAAAAGGAATGTACGGAGGGAAAGCACACTTGTCAAATCCTTTCAGGAAATCAAGGTAAAAGCCATAGAAACACAATTAATGATAGACCCAATTTTCAAGAAGACCTTATCTTACTTCGACGAAGGAGGTGCCAAGAGTTTATTGTTGAATATTCTAACAACTGACTCTTCTGGAAGAGTTATATTCGATAGTGCATATCCAGGAACAAATGAACAAGTAAACGGGAATAATTCGTATATTTGTTTGAACAAAATTAGCATGATGTTAATAAAGGGAAGACCTTTAGAATCACTAGGGATTTGTCATTCAATCAAGGCCTTGAAGGATTTGATTCATAGAGAAGATCAAGAAGTAATATCAATCCCTTCGCTGGATTTGTTATATGAATTCAGTGGCGATGAAGAGGGCTACAGTGACAACGAAGTATGCGATGATAACATAAGTATCGAGGTTGGCTTGGACGTGCAAGGTATTCCTGACTACGAGCTTATGGACTATTTCAATAACACTATAAAATTTGGTGCAACAGGTAAAGAATCGTGGAAAGTACAAAAGTACAAACAAAACAAAGCACACAATAGAGTCCAGGTATCCTCCCCGAAACCGAATCGGTCTGATTTGATTGACTTCAGAGCCTATAGATCATTTGAAGAGGAGGCTGCTTTTGAGGATGAAATTTTCCAAACATCTTCTGCTAAAATATCCATTCCCGTGATGCATAGAAACAAAGGAAATTTCAGTAATAACCATTGTTTGATTGTGGATGAAAAAATTGACGCTAAGAACTTAATCGAGCTCTTTACGAAGAAGACAAGATTGTTACCCACTTTCAACAAAATTTCCCCTGTTCAACTACAACAAAAACCTCACGAAAATAACGAGGAAGCATACACCGATGCTTATTTTGATGAACCTTCAAGATTATTGAATGAGATCACCAGAGAAGACATTGAAGACTTGCACAAATCTTACATTGAAGAATTTAGCCAACCTTTGAGTTCACAAATTTCAAGTAATTTGATTAGCAAACTAAATTATGAAAAGATCTCCAAAAGAATCGATATACGACATATTAAGGATTTGATTATGGGCAATCTAGACAATGGGAAGTCTTTTCGTGAATTGACCGAGAATATTCCTCGGAATCTTAACGGATCAACTAGTGTCTATTTTATATGCCTTCTACACCTTTGTAACGAGTGCAATTTGACCTTAGAAAAAGTATCAATGGAAGACTTGAAAATCTACAAAAATACATAATATGAATTGAAACCCCTCTGAAAAATGTGGACGTTCAATCGGCTTTATCAGACATAACCTGTTTAACTGGCTCAGTATCGTTGATATACAACCGATGTTCTTGAATATATCTTATAACCGAATTCGGAAGTAAGTACTGGACTGACATACCCCGTCGGATGAACAACCGTATTTTTGTAGAGGAAATATCATTGTAAATCAATTGTTTGATTACCAAGACATTTCTTCTGTGTTCGTACATGATATCGTGACTTAATAAAAAGCTTCTAACATCCGAGCCGGTTCTTTCAACAATTAAGCATCCGTATTTGCCCAAAATATGATGCAAGTCTTGGTCAGCCCAGACATCAGGCTCACCCATTGATTCAATTAGGTCTCCACCTGCTAATAACATAATCTTAACACCTCTTTTTTCTCCAGTAGCGGTTACGATACCACCTCTTTTCGTGTTAATTTCATCATTAAAATGGTCTAAAACCAATGCTGTTCGAGTGTACTTGGGCTGTAAACTTTCCCAAGCATCCACCATTAACCAAGAACTAGTTCTTTCGCATGCTAATTCACAGATTCGAACTCGATGGTGAGCAGGAGCCAATCCTTGTTTCTTATAGTTTGAAGAAACAGGACTGTAATAGCCTCCAATAACTTCAAATCTAGTTTGTTCGTTAATAGCGTCTAAGGCCATTTCAAACATGCGCAAGTGCAAGTAAGTGATAGGAGAAAACGAGCCGCAAGCCACAATCACCAAAGGATATTTGGATTCATCACTCAATTTGGTAGCGAACCGGTGGGTAGGGAATTGATAGTCTTCAAGGGTTTTTGCTTGACGTTGAATGCCATGAGGAACTTCTTCCAAATCAGCGATTTGATTGGGCTGAACTGTTGCTGTTGGAGGAAGAATTAAGTCCGGTTCAGGAAGTATGTCTTGTGAACGTGAACTATTAGCCTCCACAGTCTTTTCGGTATCAGACAGAGAATTGGAATCAATGAGTTCCGTATGCTTGATGGGAATCTTTGAATGAAGTCCCCCAGAATGGTGATGAAGATGAGTCAGAGAGGAGGACGGGTGAGGGGCTGGAGCATCCACTGGATCTCCCATATCAGCAAGAACTAGAGGCTGGATCGGAGCGTTTGAAGGTATTTCCAGGGACGGAGCTGTTGGCTCAATGTTGGGATTCAATGAAGGAGGCGTGAAGTTTGGGTCGTTTGTTGGATCCATTAGCTTTAGGTTGAGTTCAAAGTGCTGATTAAGAAATGCGACTCGCAGTGCCTCTATGGTTTTTAAAAAAATACCCTTGTAGCTTAGAAAGTGCACGCCTTTTTAAACTCCGAAAGGCTATTGTCAACAGAGCCAGTCGATCGGTAGGCTGCAATCTAACAAAAACCAAAGAAAACGTCACAGACAGGATTCGAACCTGCGCACGCAATGCGCAACACCTAACCCACCAAATAAACTTAGCAGGGTGTCGCCTTAACCACTCGGCCACTGTAACACTTCTACAAAGAAATCTCAAATTTTAATTGATATTTTCAAATATAAAGAGCCCAACACAGACTTGTACTTTGTAGCACGATATTGACACATTCCCATTACACCACCGTATATCTAACTTCTACATTCACAATTCGGTACAGATTTAGGCAAATCTTTACTATTATAATAAATTATACTTTCTGTTCAACATGTTCAGGAACCTCTTTGGATTCAACGGTGGATGCCCCTTCCAGATCATCTGCTCGTTGTATCAGATTTGTATCACTTTCAATACCCAAATCCCTGTGATACCTTTCTGGCCCCAAGATTATAATTATAATCATGTAACCAAACACAGCGCCGCAGAAAATAGCCATGACTAATCCATAGTCATACAGCCCTGTTTTATCTCCAATGGGAAACTGCGTACCGATTTGTGCTTCAATAGTTGATGATGCAGAAGAAGCCAAGTTTCCCAATTGGTATACTACACCTGAAAGAAAAGAACGATGGTTAGTGTTCACTAATTCCAATAAATGGATTGGGACCACTCCCCATGCACCCATAACTGCAAAATTAAGGAAAAAGTATCCTCCAATGATTCCAGGAACATGGTCCGAGAAAAATGATGGATATAGAAAAGCGCCCGCCATTATTTGACAGATAATAATAGTAAGTCGTCTTCCTAGCAACTCATTAAGCTGACCAAAGAAAAGACCACCGACAATAGCCCCAAGATTTGAAACGCAGATAATGGTAACTCTAGTCTTTGAGTCAATATTAAGCTGTTTCTGAAGAAGAGTATTGAATAGATCCTGTGAACCGTGTGAAGTGAAGTTAAAGCCAGCCATAAGTAGCACCAAATAAATGAACAAAACCCATTCAGTTTTGATAGTGGTAACAATTGTCTTGTCCAAGTACTTATAAATCCCCACTTTAGCTCTTTCGTCGTGCTCTTTCAAGATCTTCTTCTGTTCCTGCAACTTGATGAAGGTTTGTGTTTCAGGCAAGAAAAACCTCCACGTTATTAAAATACATGGAAGCCCAGCAGAGAACCAGAACAAAGATCTCCAACCTTCACCTTCTTTAAAAGTATGCTCGAATGCAAGGAAGAAAGCCATAGCAAAAATGTATCCCAAGTTATATCCTGGCAAGAAAAGTCCAGACAAAATCCCTCTAGCTTTCGTCGGTTGGTCTTCTAGTGCAGTGGTTGCACAAATAGGATAGAAACCTCCCATGGCTATTCCAAATAGGGCCCTGACCCCTAAGAATTGACCGTAAGTCTTGACGAACCCAGTACCAATTTCAATCACAACAAATAACAAGCAAACTAGAATGTAAGTATACTTTCTTCCGTAATAATCTGATGCTAGTCCAAAGATTGTGGCTCCTAGAGATCTAAACATCAACACGAGAGTGATACCCCAAGTTACTTGGGTGATGGACACATTCAAAGTCAAAGCAATGTTGGGGGCTGTTGCAGATACGCAGAAGAAATCCATCGCATCCACAGTCCAACCCAAGAACCCCAAGAAATAAAAGTTCCACCCACGGGAGTCAACCTGTTTTAACCCTGGGATGGGATTCATGGTTACCCATACACTCAGACTTTGACTCTTATAGGGAATGTCGAACAAAGTTGAAAATCGGGTACCAAAGTAATGGGAAATTGAAGATAGCGATAATTCTGGCTTCTCATTGAAAATCTGGTTGTTGGCATGTTCCACCAAAATATCATCATTAAAGCTCATAACGAAGAAGACTACAAAGGAAAATGTAAAAAAACATAGAATGGATATGGAAGCATATTTATAGTGTCTTTGTGGTTCTAATCATTGGATCCCCGCAAGTACTTAGTTGCACCCTTAAGTGAGTGGTTAGCCAAGTTTATGTATTGGTTGTGAGCAGGAAAAGCCCCTCTCGCCTACTCCACTAATTGACTATAAATGCGAATGGGGAGACCAACAGGTGTCGGGATTTAGCGGGGTCAGGTTAGCAACTGAAGAGGCTACTTATGAACAATACCTCGGTGATTAATTATTAGAACGCCGATTTTCTCAGATCTAAAGCTTTATTTTTTATAGTGCTGTCAAGTTTACAATCAGTTGTACTAAAACTCCGAAAATATCTCGGAAACGAGGACACCTTCTCCACAACCTCATCTTCTGACCCATACTTTTGAAGAAATATACTTGTATACATCTGAACTTTTTTTACATAAACACAATCATTCTAAATACCATTTAAATGTACAGCAGAGAGATTCTTGATACCTGAAGAAACTCCTACTCATCAAGTTCCTCATACTTCTCAACTCTATCTTCTGCTGCATCTTCATCCTCGATCTTGACACCACCACTAACAGAAAATTGTCCTCCAGCACCTATCATCAAGATGTCGTGAAACTTAGTGGCAGTATTGGCAATCCTGGTTGGCTTTTCCACGTCTTCATCTAAAGGTCCTAACCCTGGCCCATAAGTGTCTCCAAATCCCCATGAGTATACGAATCCATCAGTAGTAACGGCGAAAGAATGGTGAGATCCAGTTCCAATTGCTTTACACTTGATGTCTTCCTTAGCACTGAGCTGGAGCTTCGTTGGTACAGGAACTGCACGAACCTTACCATGCTGATCTTTGAAAACAGAATCTGGAAGATTTTTTTCTGGAATACCAACTTCCTTCATATCGTACCTGCCCCAACTAAAAACCTCCCCACCTTTGGTTAATGCCATAGTATGGTGTTCACCACCAACAATTTCGGTGATCTCTTTTTGACTAAGAGGTTGGATTAAAGTAGGTCTGGTGATTAAAGAACCATCTTCTAATTCGCCATGAGAGTTAGTTAAAGCACATTGACCAAACTGATTTAATCCCCAAGCGTAAACATTATCATCGTGATCAATGGCAAAACAGTGAAAGTCACCACTAGCGATGTACTTGATATTGTATAACCCAAATTGTTGGGGCTCTAATGCTTTGTAACGATGTCTCTCTAAAATACGACGTCCGAGTTGAAACTGTTGTCCATTACCCCAAGCATACACTATACCTTTGGAGTCCAAAGCAAGGATGTGATCTTTACCAGCAGCAAGTTGAACAATATTCTTAAGTTGGTCCATTTTGAGTGGCACTCTTTGTAATTTAATTTCATCTCTTAAGAATCCCAATAATCCTTCGTTATTTCTGAAACATCCCCATGCGTAAACTTCCCCTGTATCAAGCAATACTGCACTCAAGTTATCAGTGGCACAAAGTTGGACAATTCGTTTGTTTTTGGGTAAGTTTTCAACTAACCCGGGGGTCGATTCTGCTTCATTTAAATCTCCATCATCATCTTCATCGCTTTCGGCAGCATCCATGTCCTTGAGCTGCTCTTTAACCTTACTAGTGTCACGACCTAAAACTCCACTATCGTTACCACCCCAAGACCAAATTTGGTTGTTGTTATCCAAAGCTAATGTGTGCATACCTCCAACTGCAAAGTCCACGATTTTGCCTTTGATATGATCTTCTAGTAAAAGGGGATTCAATCTAGGTCTCTTAACTTCCTTGTTCTTGGCACTAGGACCGAGGCCCAATTCACACATAGATCCAGTACCCCAAACAAAAATATCCAAAGGTGTTGTTTTGGCAGCTGGAATATCATTGATAGTGGCCAATTTTGAATACGAATGTAATATATTCGAAGATGACGTTGTGAGGGATTTATGCTTCTTAGAAACACCATTACCATTGGCATCTGGTGTAATGTGTTTCCTTTTTCTTTCTAATGCAACCATATTTGACTTTTAAACCGATGTTGTTGAGTAACGATTTGTTTTTGCGATCAAGATTTCTCGAGATGAGTGCGATGACATAATAGATTTGCATTTCGTACATGTACATTAAGGGTATATTAGTTCAATTTATGGGCATTGGGCAAGTTATAACCTTGCCTTTTGTGAAGCCACTTGCTTTTAGTCTCTACAAAGAACCGGGCATAATTTTGAATCAAGTATCCAAATGACCCAATAGCTCTAATGAGAGCAAGGAAGGCAACAGACCACAAAATAAAGCCCAAGTAATAGTTTTGTTTGGTCTCGCCAGCTTTGAATACTTGTAGCATTGTCATGATAAACACCAAGTTAGAAAGCATCCAGATCAACACCACTCTGGTTCTAACATCTTTGGCATAGTCTTCACCATCCATTATATCATCTGGTTGATGAGCTCCCAACACCTTCTTGCTGGATCTCTTTGCTCTGATGTTGTACAAGGTTTCCAAGTAGACTTCATCAATATTTACGTTAAGTACAACAGCCTCAAACTCACCTTCTTCATTCTTTTCAATAATGTATTGATTGGAGAGATCCTCCTTGGGATTATTATCACCTTTAGTACCCCACGACACATCATGAGTGTTACAAAACGCAAAGATCTGTAATGTGCAAGTATAGGAAGGAATCATAAGGAAATACTGTATGGAACAGGTGAGCATGTGCCATGGATCCAAGTATAATACAGACATCAAAGTGTATAATCCGTACGTCGACAATAAGGAAACGATGATACTGATCATAACGTAAGTACTGGAATCTCCGATACCATATTCTTTAATAGTGTTGGCCACAAAGTATATACCAACAACTAAAGCGTACAAAGCACACACCGTCAATAATATAATCAAAGTCTTGAAAATTCCTCTAGATCCTTGAGGTCTATTACCAATGGAGACGATGAATAACGAAGTCAAGACACCAATACAAAGGTAATTGAATATCGTGAAAATCCAGAACCCCCCATTGTGGCCAACTTCATCGATCAAAGATCCTGTCAAAAAGTAAAAGGTTAAGTAAAAGTTACTCAATGAGAAGAATGAGAAAACTAAAGTGATAAACTGGTAGATGAATTCCACATGGAACCAAAATTTTCTTGCAATGGAATGATCTGTTTGCCAAATCTTTTTAGAGTTTTTCAATGCATATAAAGCAGCGAAAAAAGCACCATTAATCCATCTTCTTCTTTGGGATAAGAATTCTGAAATGGTTTCAGGAACATCAGTTTCGGCAGTAGCCAGCTTGACAAATTTTAATACCCAGTTTTCATTACGTTTAGCCACCAATTCCCAACACAAGATTCTATCCTCAGCCAAGTACATATTGGCTTCGAAGAAGTTGGTCTTTGTATTGGAGTGAGCTTTTGAGGTATTCAACAAATCTTCACCTTTGAAGTAAGCATCCAATGGTCCACTTCCATCGTCGTGGTTAGTCAAAGCGATATATCTATATGCTGACAAAGCACCAGGTAAAACAGAAATATACCCGAACAATGACTCCAACGGCTTATCCAAAATGTTAGACATCTTGTATTCAAAGTTTTGAGACGCAACCAATGGATTAGTTAAGTTGATCCAACCTTTTCCTTTCATAGCTTTGATTTCACCCGCTGCTCCAGCAACGTTGGAATCCCTATCAAAAGCTTTCCAAAGATTGTAGATTGCGTGGTTATCAGGCTTAGTACCAACATCTAATAAGACCACCACATTAGGATCCAATAGTGGACAAAAAGCATTGAAAAGCCATCTATGACTGTTAATTTTCTTTTGGTTTTTTTCTTTCAAACAGAATAATACTTGGACAGGAGCCAATGATTTTTCATCACCTTTGAACTTCAAATTTTCATCGATAGAAATCTGAGTGGTATATTCAAAAATGTGGGCGTTGACTTTTTTATTATTAACGTAGGGTCTAGCCAAGTTGCCCTGGTAAACACCAGTAGCAGTTAATAGTTGCAAAACGGATTCGTTTACTTTATTTCTACCATCAGCAACAATAACCACCTGAATTTTCTTCCAGCTGTCTTTTCCCCACATAGCAGATTTGTTTCTACTACATAAATGGGCAATATTCTTCATGATGGCATGCATGGTTCGGGCAAAAGCATATTCATCTTCATTGTACATGGTGACACAAATTACCAATTCCGTTTCACGGTTGTACTTAGCGGCTCTGAGAGAGAATCCATCTTTAATAAAATCATCAGGCTCGGAAGTACAAGCTGAATATGTCATGTTGGTAAACTCTCCAAATGGAGACTCTGTTCTTGTCAAAACTTTCCTTAATTCTTCAGGGACAGGGTTTTCCAACACCAAGTGACCGGCCTGACCATCAACCAATCTGACCTTTCTTTTTGTAATGGTTTTTTCTCTATTTGGAACAAATCCGCTTTTGATATTGTTCATCATGTCGTTATCAATAGAAGCAGCAAAGTATTCACTTTCGGATCCATTGGTATAACCATCATTGGAGGCAGAAGAATGATATGCAGTAGACTCAGAGTATAAGGATCTTTCTTCAAATTCTTGTGCTTTTTGATAAGAGTCGTAGTCGTAACTATCTCTTCCGATGGTTTCTTGATCGTCCTCATCATCTTCATAAGGGTTAGCTTCTGCATATGTTTCAGGAGAAAAGATTGGCTGAGGGGGCTCTAAGAATCTTTCACTACGATGACTGCTGTTAACAGAGCGACCATATTGTGAACCTCTGTGTGGCGATCCAGTCAAATTGATGGATTCAGCATCATCATCGTCATGGTCAAGGGTATCATCCATAGCAATTCCCATGGCCTTTTGACGCTTTGGAGACTCTCTGGAAGTGAATTGGGCTCTAGCAGTCCGTCCTTCGAACTGTAAATTGGGGGTATTATTGAGGGCCACTTTGTTTATGTTAGCATTGATTCTACCACTACGGGTAAAGATATCGGGAGACCTTCTGGTACTTTCTGGAAATGCCACAAAATCATCATCATCATCATTTTGAGGTTTATATCTTCTGGGGGAGTTGCGGTCCACGAATGCCGGGTCAGGGTACGAGGGTTTGTCGGAGAAAGGATTATCTTCAAAAGGACTAGGCATGGTTAGCTTTGGAAGAGTAAGAAGAGGTCTTAAAGAATTGAGACCTTTATCATGTTTTTCATGGGTTTTAAGTGTTTGTTTATTTATGTTTACAAGTGCGCTTGATGTAGAAACTAGATTAAGCGGCAGAAAAAGAATGCGGCGGCGGCGGCGGCAGCGGCAACGGTTCGCAGTAGCAAATTCAATTCCCAAAGTAGAGTTCGCGTTTAACCTGATTGATCCAATTCTGTAAAGCGATGGCAGAAGAACCTTTATCAGCTCAAGGGCAAAGGCCTCATAGTGCATCAACATCCCAGATATCCAGTGTAGGATTTACAAATCTCAAGAAGCTAAATACAAACTCTTCTGTATCAACTGCCTCATCAACTGTGAGTATCTCCAAGCAGAACCCTCTTACAAGGCTCTTCACAAGGAACAAATCCAACGTTACAATCGATGAGCCTCTGCAATCTGATGATGACGACAATAGAAGTATGAGGACAATTCCTATTTCCCCGATTGAACGGAAAGCATCCTCTAATGTGTTCCGGCTATCCAAGATGAATAAACGAAAGGTAAAAAACCAAAAGGATTTAACAGTACAGACAGAAGACATAGGGCCACCTCCATTACTAACCCTCAAATCATCAGTGTCGTCCCCTGTTTCAACGTTTCATAATTTATTTCATCGGACTGGTACTCTCCCCAGTGCTGGGATAGAATCTATCGATGAGCAAATTCCTCGAAGTATTGTCAACTTGTCATCTAATAATTCGAACAGTACAGTGGCAGACGTTAGTTTCGCCCAGGTTTACAAATTTACTGACTCTAGCTATGCGATTGAAGAGGATAATGAAGATAATGAAGCCTTCAAAAAGCTCTTTATGCCTGCTGACCATTTTATAAAACTGAAATTACCTGCAAGCCCGATGGTAGAAGAAGAGAATGAAGAAGCTCACTTTTGGAGTACCATGATGACGCTTATAAAACCAGTTGCGTTACAGTCCCAACAACGAAAGCTTTCGAATGGGCTAAAGGGACCCCCACTCATCATGACAGAGGATGATATTGCAAATTTTGTACGGGAAAATTATACTACGAATCTCTCGTCGAAGGGAAGTGAAAGAGACGATATCAAGGCACGAGAGATTATCCAGGATCTTAGGACTTTCTTCACTCGGATCTTAATTACTTTCGATAAAGATTTTCGAGTGAGTATACGAGATGACTTAGACAAGGTCTGTAGAGGTTGGGTTCGACTCCACGGGCAATGGCAGTTTTTCAGGAATAAAATGCTATATTTTATTCTAAATTGCTTTAATTCTTTGCAGGAAAATTGGATAATCTCCAAATTCCAAATTAACGTTGAACAGCTCTTGCTAAATGTCTTCAAAGAAGTGTTGGTCATCCCTTTGATACAGTTCCGCAAAAAACAGGACGCAAAAGACAACAATTTTCTTGTTAACTACATGGACGGAGCATTGTTGTATGAAATTGTCCAGTGTTTCGGCATGATTAATTCTGTGCAAGTGTACGAACAGAATGATGAAACTGGTTTTCTTGATTTGTTCGTGTGGTTGACACAATTATAGTATTTAATTTAGCATGAATACACCGTAGGTTTTCATTTCTCATAGAAACGCGCTGAGATAATTTTGACCATCGACTGAAACTTACCCACAAACTAATTGTAAGTTCCTCCTCTCCAAGTATTATCACCATCATGTCCTTGCCGTCAAATATCAAGCAGAATCTTATGCCTTCAGAAATCAGTTTCATGACAGAGAATGAGTATATTCAGATTTTGCCCAGATACTCAATGAAGTCAATCCAGCTTATTGGAGTATGTATAAATATTATCTACAGATGTTATGCTTGAAAGCGTTTGTTTTACACAGACTAGTGTAATACATGATATCATATACTAACTGCTATGACAGACCAAAATCCCTAACTTAAGGGCTTTAAGAAGAGAGAAGGTTCCATTATGGGTAGCACTCATACTCAAAAGTCAAGGCAAATGTAACATCGTGATACCTGACTGGCTTAATCTTATCTACTTGAAAGCTCGCTATGATGAAGAAGTTAAATTTCCCATGAAGTTTAGTGATTTGCCGTTTAATTGGATCGATTTGAGCAAGATATTGTTGAGCAAAGCTCCTGATGATTTACCTGATCCCGTTCATCAGCTAAGATCTATAATACAAGATTTGAGAGAAATCAGACAAGTCAAGACTCGAAAAGGTTTGAAGGAAGTTAACGAATCGAACATCGGTTTGAGTGGGTTATCATTGTTAGAGATAAATGAATTGAGACCATTTATGTTGTCAGTGATGAACAAGTTGAGAGAAATCCATGAAAGTGTAAGACATGATGATTATGACGATGAAGAGGTTATAGATGTTGACGATGATGAAGATTAGACGCGTCCATACGATTGTGTCATACGTTGACCTACATGTTCTTCAGTTTTGATAATCAGGTCGTGCACCAATCACGCTCTGTTTTTTTCTCTCGATTACCAGAGACTCTTCATATTAAAGGCATTTTCTTGATGTCCAAACCAAGCCTAACAAGACAACTCACTTCGAACTTGGTGCTACATGAACTGAGTACAAATTCTAAGCGGAATCTAATTCTTTCGATTCTTCGGTCTACTACCACCAAAAGGGAGACCAAGAATTACTTGAATAAGTATCGAAATCAGTTTAGATATAATGACTCACTGGCTCCTGACAAGGACATGCAAAGAAGCATCTTTATAAACCGGTTTCTACAGCAGAAGAATCCATTCACTAACATTTATGACGAGGAAGAGAAGAAATTACAGAAAATTCCATTAAGAATTGCCATCTTCAAATTGAAGTTTTCAAATGTTGACCCACAAAATTGGGCCGGAATTCAGGAAACCTTCAAGCGATTAATCAATTTGGGGGCAAGTCCTATAATTGTAATGGATCATGATGATGAATTAATCAATGATTTCAAATTGAATGAATTTGCCTTGATAAATCAAGGAAATCGGTTGTTAAACAGTTTGAAAGAAATCAATCCCCGGCTCATACGAACTCTTTTCTATAGGAGTGAAAAAGGTGAGATGAAAATTAATAGCCTCGAACAGATATTGATACCCATGTACCAAGGATTTGTCCCGATTATTCAACCAATCGTTTTTGATTCATTATCTTCCAATCAGCAGTTTCTCAAGTCGGACGAATTACTACTTTCGCTCTGCAAGTCTGTGTTGTCAGCAAATCAAGATGATATGTTGTCCATAGAGAAGGTCGTATTTGTAGATAAACATGGTGGAATCCCATCCATTGAAAGAAACCAAACCAGTCATGTGTTCATCAATTTGTCGCAAGAGTATAGCGATATCATTTCCGAACTATATATTGGGTTTTTAGAGCCATCTTTGAGGGACTTGCATATTGAAAACCTAAAGTCTATCGATAAGCTCCTTACAGCTATCCATGATATCACTGGTAATGATGAAACAACTGGTATCATCACTACTCCAGGGATAATTTCCATCAACAATGATCAGTTGAATCCCATTATTTATAACGTGTTGACCGACAGACCTATAATTTCCTCCTCGTTGCCCCTGTCATTCAAAAGAACCCCACAGCTCTCGACTTCGATTCTTAAAAAGGGTATTGATGTTGAGGTTCTTGAGCCTAGGAACTATCCCAAAGAATTCACTCTTGAAAACTTGATAAACGATAATTTGGTTGATAAAGGTAAGTTTTTCCACCTAATAGAAGATTCCTTTGGTAAACCCCTTGATATTGATGCATATATCAAACGAATCAACAAAACTATTACGACCATTATTATAGTTGGTGATTACGATGGAGGAGCAGTTATTACCAACGAAACATCTGATGGCAAGACGGTCCCTTACCTAGATAAATTTGCTGTTGCCAAGAAAAACCAGGGGTTGCCTGGCCTTGCTGATATTATCTTCAAGCTTATTGTTCAATCGAATCCTGATGAGTTGATTTGGAGATCTAGAAAAAATAACCCCATCAATAAGTGGTATTTTGAGAGATGTGTGGGTTCTGCTGCAAAGGCAGGTTCTAAATGGAAGCTCTTTTACACGGGTGATATCTTTAACAAGTCTGTTCAGCTCAAGAAAAAGAGAGATTCGATCAACATCAACGAGAAGATGAAGACTTACTCATCTATTTGTGAGTCTATTCCTCCATCATTTACTGAACCAACCAAATGACACAAAACTAATCTCATTATCAGCCAAAACTATTCGCGATCAGGAATCCAACAGAACCTCAAAAAGAGAAATGGACCGCCAAATTAAAAGAAGAAACAAACAAATGGATCTACTGAGTTCTACGGTTGTGGAAAATACCAATGATTTCCGAGCCACATCGATACCCACAACTATCAATGGATTAAGGTTTTATCATGAGCTTGACGAATGGCAGCAAGACAACCATTTCATCCGATCTGGATACGTCAAGGGAACGAACTCCTATAAATCTAGCTTTAATTCCCTTTTTTACATACACAACGAGACTGGTAACATATATTCTCACTTGTTACCATCCCTTGTGATTGCAGGATCATTGGTTTACTATTTGAAGTTTCAGTTACCTTTATATGAGAGTCATTTGCAGGTATGGGAATGGATCAATTTTCTCCAATTTGGCTTTGCTGCCACATTTTGCTTAGCAATGTCGTCTATTTTCCATTGCATAAAGTCACATTCACACCTGGTGGCTAGGTTTGGAAATCAATTGGATTATTTTGGCATCATTATATTAATCACCTGCTCCCTAATATCCATCATGGTATTTGCGTACCACCGTGAACCCAAATTTAAATATGGATTCTCCTGCTTATTCTTAGTGCTTGGCAGTATTTGTACGTTTTTGACGTTGGATCCAAAGTTCTCCACCTCGGTCTATAGACCCATAAGATCTACAATGTTCATATTGTTTGGATTGTCAGGTGTGGTTCCAATAGTTTCCGCTGTCAATACTTATGGTCTTGAAGTAACGAAAAGAAAGGCCGGGCTCAATTGGTTGATCTGGGAAGGGGTATTATATATTTCAGGTGCTGTTTTGTACGCAATGAGAGTACCTGAAAGATTCAGTCATGTCGAGCAAGATCAAGCGAGTCTTTTGAATAATCCAATGGTAGGAAAGTTCGATATTTGGGGGCATTCGCATCAAATTTTTCATGTGTTGGTGGTTATAGCTGCTTTTTGTCATTGGAAGGGCCTTGTCCAATGTTACCACACTATGCATCAGGACATGCTCGCGTAACTATTTTTTTAGACCAAAGGTAAATATTTAAATTGCATGAACAACTAATGAATTATAACCATTTAGTACTAGTCCCTTGTCATGGTATTTGGAAAGGAGGACCATCGGCCGGCGATGATCCCAATGAATGGTTTTTGGCACCATTCCAATTGGACGGTAAAGATCACTTATGTTTCAAAGAACACCTTTTTCAAGGCTTCGATATCATGAAAAATGATCCTTCAGCCCTTTTGATAATTTCTGGTGGCAAAACGAAGGCAGAGATTGATTTGAGTGAAGCACAGTCTTATTACAACATATTGAAGAGTGTTTATGACTCCAAGGATTTGGGAGCTGTTGAATTGGAAGAATTTGCTAGAGATTCATTTGAAAACGTCATATTTCTGATATGTCGATTCTACGAGATTACCAGTACCTATCCGAAAAAGATCACAGTCACTGGATTTGAATTTAAAAGATCAAGATTCGTGAAGAACCATTTCCAACAAGCATTAGGGTTTCCCCTAGAAAATGTAAAATACATTGGTAATGCCCCAACACCCCCCAAAGAATCAGAGGGAAATTACTTTATGGAGTTGAATCAAAGTGAACACGAATTTGCTGTCAAGTTCTTTGAGGTCGACCTATATGGTCGCAAAGGTTCATTACAGAAAAAGAAGCTCTCAAGAAACCCATTCAATGTTTCCCATGACTATAAATCTTCCAACTCTGTACTCAGAGAAGCGCTTGAGTTGATGGAACAACCGAACAAAACTGACCTAGAAGTCAGGACTGCTTTGTTAACCGTAGCACCTTGGAAAGCAAACTATACATAGTAATGATAATCAAGGACCGATAGATATAGATATAGATATATACAAGTACTTTGGATCCTTTATTTTATTCATTTTAATAAGCTACAATACAGGAGAGGATACTTTTAGTTTTTGTTCTTTGAGGCTCTTCTGGTTTGAACAGCCTTACTCAACTCCTTCAACATAGATACGGTGGTTTCCCAGCCAACACATCCGTCAGTGATAGAAACTCCATATTTCAAAGAACTTCTGTCTTGACCGGCTGGTGGCATTGGTTGCTTACCTTCGTTGATGTTAGACTCGATCATAACTCCTATGATAGCATCTTCACCGTTTGAGATTTGGTCAGCAACACTCGACAACACTGTTGGTTGATTTTGGTAGTTCTTTTGTGAATTGTCATGAGAGCAGTCAATCATTAATTTGGTGGAAGGGGCAGCACTCTTAGCAATAGCTTCCTTGGCAGCCTTTACAGCTTCGGCATCATAGTTAGTCAATTTCTTACCACCTCTTAAGATAACAAAACAGTTGTCGTTACCCTTGGTGGTAGTAATAGCAGCCATACCGTTTTTAGTGACACCCATGAAATGGTGACCTTTTGAAGCAGCTTGAGCAGCATCTAAAGCAACACCGATATTACCATCAGTACCATTTTTGAAACCAATAGGGAAAGATAAACCAGAGGCCAATTCTCTGTGCAATTGGGACTCGGTAGTTCTAGCACCAATGGCACCGAAACTCAACAAGTCACCAAAGTATTGTGGGGAAATGGTATCCAACATCTCAGATCCAATAGGAAGTTCACTCTTACCAGTTAAATCAGCGTATAACTGACGAGATATTCTTAAACCTTTGTTAATATCAAAAGTATTGTCAACATTAGGGTCGTTAATTAAACCTTTCCATCCCACGGTGGTTCTTGGCTTCTCCAAATAGGCCCTCATGACGATAAGCAAATCGTCTTCTAACTCAAGGGATAATTTCTTCAATCTCGCAGCATATTCCAATGCAGCATCAGGGTCATGAATAGAACAAGGTCCGACAATGACAAGACATCTGTCGTCTTTACCCTTTAATATCTGGCCACTTTCGTATCTGCCTTTAATAACCACATCCAAAGCTTTGCTGGTGGCCCTGATTTCGTTAGTCAAAACTAAAGGCGACACCAAAGGGTCGTAACCCAAGATTCTGGTGTCATCGTATTCTTCGGGAATGGGTGTATTGCTCATGATATGTAGTCTCTACTAAAGTAAAAGCGTTTTTGCAATTTTTTTCAAATTTTTCGTCGTTGAAATTATGAGTAACCGGTCGTGCGGGTGCAGTTCATAAGATTTATGAAGTCTATTCTTGTTCTTTTTATAGGATTCTTTGGAGGTAGTGAACTAAAGAGTAAGTTTACTCAATTCAGTTGTCTAGATGAATCTATAACTTTAGCCATAAGGTCGCTTTCAAATTATAGCAAATGACTTAGCTGGTTTCGCCCACACCCCGTGCCTGCTCTGCTCAACCCTCGGAGTGTAGTCCGTCACGGAAAAATAATTTTCCGCAACCATAACCTGCCTTAAGCATACGAAAAATATAACTGTAAACCCCAAGTCTACGCAATTGGCTTCTAAGTATGGTATCATATGTTTTAATTTTGCAGTAAATAATTTTGGTGAAGGCAGATGCCATTTTGAGATATTTGCTGCGGGTCTATGTGAAGGTGACTTCTGGCGTTCTCATCTTATGCAGTGGAAGTTTAGAAAATTGGGGGTAGGAGTATATCAACTAAACCAATTATCTCAATCTGAATCACCTTGAGAAGCTGTAAGTTTGAACTTCTCTCATGGGTGACTTAGGGAAGTACCTCTCGTTGTGATGGCTGCAATTGGGCGTCCACGCAAAAACTACGACAGCCATAAATCATTTCTACATTTCTGTAATAATTGGTGCTTTCGATGGTATGATGATGCTTATCATCACTTCTGAAACTTGTTTTGGTATATCTATTTCTTCATCTAAATTCAAAGAACCAATTTGAAAACTAAAAGTTGTGTAAAAATAATTCAAAACTTGCAATTTTCAGAAAAAAGAGAACAAACTAAGCAAAAATGATTTCCTCCAGTTTCCTTAACTCGTTACGAATGTCACTTGGATATTTCAGCTAGGGGCAATCGTAAAAGACAAGATCCGTGATTAATGGAAAGGGCACAACTAAAGATCACTGAATGCTAATGCAAAATTGCGAACTTGATTTGGATCTGAGTTTATCTCAGTTACGTCTTTTCTCTTATTCGCATGACTTTTTAAGGATAAACAAATGCACCTAATGCTTTCAGATAACCGGCTAATATTCATATCGTTTCTAGGGTTTGGCCTCTTGAATAACATTCTATATGTTGTGATTCTTTCGGCTGCCGTTGATTTGGTGGGTAGTCAAACCCCTAAAGCTGTGGTGCTTTTATCAGACATCTTGCCAGCTTTTATCATCAAACTATTTGCACCATTTTTCATCCATATGATTCCATATCAAACAAGGATATGGCTGCTAGTATTTCTTTCCTCCATTGGAATGTTGGTGATTAGTTTTTCGGCAGAAACTTCTATCTCTTCAAAGATTTTTGGAATTTGCATGGCCTCGTTAAGTTCAGGATTAGGTGAGTTGACATTTCTACAATTGACCCATTATTTTACCGAGGTATACTCGATTGGTGGGTTTTCAATGGGAACCGGGTTAGCTGGCCTTGGTGGAAGTTTTATATTCTTGCTCTTGACCAATATTTTGGGTTTGAGTACATCTACAACCCTTTTAATATTCTCAATCATTCCACTTGGATTCATTGGACTTTTTTACTTTGTTCTTCCATCATCAATTCCAGAACACACACAATACGAGGAATTACCTACATCTTCAACTAGTATGCCTCCTAAGCAAGTCAGCGAACCCGCAATGTTAATCGTCAAAAACCATATCACGAAAACCATCGGAGAAATAAAACCATTATTTAGACCTTTCATGATTCCCTTGTGCACTGTTTACATTTCCGAGTATGTGATAAACCAGGGAATATCACCGAACCTTCTTTTCCCGCTAAAAGACCTTCCTTCGTGGTTATTCAACTCTTATAGAGATATTTACGTGGTTTATGGATTCTTATATCAACTTGGTGTATTTATTTCCAGATCTTCCATTAACATTGGGATCCGATTCAAGAAGCTTCATGTTCTCAGTATTCTCCAGTTTGTCAATGTGGTAATCCTTGTGAATCAGTCCATACTTTATTTCCCATTCTCATCCATTTGGCCCTTACTAATATTGATTCTTTACGAAGGGCTTTTAGGTGGACTTGCTTACGTAAACACATTTTTGTCGGTGAGTGAAGAAACACCCAAGTCCAAAAGAGAGTTTAGTATGGGATGCGTCGGAATGAGCGACAGTTTAGGAATTGTGATTGCCGGACTCATAAATTATTGGCTAGAAAAGAGATTGTGTAATATTCAAGTGGGTAATGGACGGGACTGGTGCTTGTCCGAAAACTAGATAGGAAGAATACACGAATTGTACCGATTGAAAAAAACAGTGGCTAATCACGAGGTATGCGGAAATACACAGTTTTTCGCAGATAAAGAGTGATTATCTGCTTGAACTTTTTCTGGTGCTTGTTGAATGAACTTTTGGCGCTGCAGACTATTTAATACAATACATTACAAAAGCATAAGAAATATGACTACAGGAAAGGCCTCTTCTTTACACAATCCTTACTTCCACAAGGGGGAAGGTGAGAAAGATATCTGGAGTTTGATTAACGAAGCTGCTCACGATGCAACTTTAAAAAGACCTGATAGGCCACTCTACAACTTGGGCCAAGGTTTTTTTTCTTACAATCCTCCAGACTTTGCTATTGAGTCAGTTAACAACGCAATTTCGAAGCCTCAATTCAACCAGTATGCTCCAGCAAAAGGTAATCCTAATTTGGTTCAAAGTTTGAAAGCCAAATACTCTAAGGATTTTGGATATCCAATTGAAGATAATCAGATCTCCATTACTACTGGTGCAAATGAAGGAATGCTTTCAGTGTTTTTTGGATTCTTGACTCCTGGTGACGAAGTGATCGTTTTTGAACCATTCTTTGATCAGTACATTCCTAACATTGAGATGACAGGAGCTAAAGTTAAGTATGTAAATCTCAAATATCCCTCCAAGTTTGACTCTGAAAACGTTACTGGGGATGACTGGGAAGTTGATTGGGATCAATTAGAAGGTGCAATCACCCCCAAAACCAAAATTATTGTCATTAACACCCCTCATAACCCAATTGGAAAAGTGTTCAATGAACAAGAACTTGAAAGAATTGGAAAGCTCTGTATCGCCAACAACTTGATCTTGTTGAGTGATGAAGTGTACGAAAATTTGTACTACGATGCTACTTTTCCAAGACCTGCCACTTTGAAGAATTTACCAGAATTAAGAGATAGAGTATTGACGGTCGGATCTGCTGGGAAGTCCTTTGCGGCAACTGGTTGGAGAATTGGTTGGGTTATTGGGGCATCTGATTTGATTAAGTATGTAATCTCTGCTCACACTAGAATCTGTTTCTCAACACCAGCTCCTTTACAACAAGCTGTGAGTGAAGCTTTTACCAAGTCTGACGAAAGAGATTATTTTGCTCTTACAAGAAAAGCGTACCTTAAAAAGTACGAACTTTTCACCAAGGTATTTCAAGAATTGGGATTACCATACACAGAACCTGCCGGAGGATACTTTTTGTTGGTGAACTTGCTGAAATTAAAGGTCCCAACTGATTACCAATATCCAGAATCATTCAAGAACAAGACGTATGATTTCAAATTGGCATACTGGTTAATTTATGAATTTGGAATAGTGGGTATCCCCCCAACCGAATTTCTCCAACCTACTTCTAGAGAAGGTAGTGGATTAGAGAGATGTATTAGATTTGCCGTTTGCAAAGATGACGAATTTTTGCAAAACGCTGTAGAAAGAATTAGACTGTTGAAGGATTACGTATAGGGAATATTTATTTTAATACAAGCCTCTTGAAACAATATTCGACATCTCCAAATTCGTCAGCACCTAGTTCAATACTAGTTTCAATCGGAGTAAAAGATTGGTCGAGGAGATTCCAAAGTGTCTCTCTAACGTCTTCATAGTTTCTTCTTAGTGGAACTTGAATCAAGACATGTGTTTGTGGACCAGTGAATTTTTTAAGCACCTTATGAATTAGTGCTGGATGATCAGATGAGTAAATAGGGTCACTAAGGATGATTGTTTTGAAGTTTATTTGGGAATGTTTCACAAGAAAGCCAGTTGGATCATTCCAATCCAACTCTTCAACCTCGGTATCCACCTGGTTAATCAATAGATTGTGTTTGAGGTTTGGAAGGATCTCTTCCAAATCTGTTAAAAAAACCTTCTTAAACCCTAATAGGAGACAAACTATACCGACTAAACCTGTGCCAGCTCCTAGTTCAAGAATTGGTTCTTGGAGTAAAGACCTCTCATTTAGTAATTTTTGCGAGAGGATTAAAGATGAGCCCCAGGTCTTCAATCCTAAGTTGTCACTAGTTAAAGATGGTTCCTTTAACTTTAAGTAATCACGTTGAATCTGATTCATATTATCGAGTTTAATTTTACGAATGATGTCTGGTTGGGCTGTTCTACCACAATTTTCAGATATTCTCAAGCTAGCTTCTTTCTGAATTTCATCTATTTCTTCTTTTTGCAACCATTTTAGATCACTGGATATTATACGGGTTAGCCAGTCATTATATTCATTGGTTTTCTTCAAGTTAATGCTTAACATAGGTAGGTACCCCACCTTTACCATTGTATTGAATCTAGTACTGTGAGATGAAAGCCATGCAAGGGAGGAATGAACCAAGTCTAAACTCACCAGCTTTTCTTGAAAAAGGGCCATCAGGTCCCTGGGGTTCTGCTGATGTTGCTTGAAGTTCCACACTTCATCTGCTGCCAATAGCTTCAAAAACAATAAGAGAACATGTGCGGGAGGCTTCATTTTGAGCATCGGTAAATCAAGAATGTGAATAGGAATCAAGTAGTCTTCAGCTTCTTCAGCCATATCAGGAGAGACCTGTACAAATATATCATCATGAGGATGCTGCACAGTGACTTCAGGTTCCACTTGATCTACTTGCTTGGGAGTGAATAATGAAAGAGGATCAAAGCTCATACTGAAAATTTGAGATGAGTAGTTGAGAGTTTTCAATTTGTAAGATGAAGTGTAATAAAAAAAAGAGAGATGTATTTTCTGCAGGGGTGGCAAGCACATGTGAAGCATTACTGTAAGAACACCTAGTATTGAGGATCGTGATTATCTTTGAAAGAAATTATTTATTTGTCTATCAAACCTCATCTTCTACGCATTAAACCTTCGTAAACCAAACATATACGCTGTGTAAGTGTTCAGGTGAAGAACTAGAAATCGGTGACTCTACCATTGAAAGACCAATCATTAAACTTCAAAGGATCTTGTTTTGGACCACCTCTTTCACCTGTTTTGGGATTAACATCACCTTCAAACTCAGGAATCGTCTTTAGATAACTGGTGGAGAATCCACCGATATCAGTCTTCAATTCAGGAGGAGCACCCGCAGCTACAGCATCACCAGAAGCCACAGTTCCGTTGGCCAGAATTTTTCTATTATAATCATCAATAGCAGCTTGAGAGCCTGCAATTCTTTGTAATCTCTCAAACTCGTCTTGTTGCTCTTTTGGAAGTTTTGGAGGTGATGGCATTTGCTCAGGAGCAAACTTAGACGAGTAGAATCTAGTCACCAGTCTCAGTTTAGCTATGGTTGTTCTCGTGAGTTGTCTGAACATTGAATGATAATCTTGATAGAGTAACTAAACCCGGGAACGGATTACAAGTCGCGCAGGAATCCAACCACCTTAAATTCTGGAGTGATGATATTTCGGGTGAGTGTGAATCCGAGCCTTTGGCTTTTACGACACCTTACCGGAGATAGGATGGTGGGCGAGCACCTGACCAACTTGCATCTTGGTTGCCTTTAAAATTGTACTATTCCTACATGTTAACGGTGGGATATAAACTTGGACTAAGTTTATGTAACGTAAACCTTTAATAATAACTTACTAGGAACACGAGGAGAATGGTCTTGTGACCATGCATCCCCTCCGATGTTCTTGTCACAGAAGGCGACACCCCTGATTATTATGTGTCTAACACTCTGAGCTTCTGAGCCCGAATTTTCTTGAACTTCACAATCGCTGCGAACCGATTCTGTGTGATAACATACCTCATCTCATCTCAGCACTCACTTTATATAATGGATGAGTTTCCTCCTAAACCTCCAGCACCAGGAGTAATTCTTAAAGATCCCCTTAAGCTTAAAGATCTTGATGATCGTATACTGTTTGATAATGAAAAGAAACAATTTATTTTCACACAAGTAAAAGGTGATAAAACATTTGAATACCAATACAGCTTTATTGTTGACAAATGGATAGGCATCACCAAGCATGTGTTGAATCAAGATGAACTCGAAGAAGAAGCAAACAAAGAAGAGATAAAACAGCTCAAGAAGCAAAAAATTTCTGAAATTAAACAAGAGAAAGACAAGCTAAAGCTGATGTCTTCGAGGTCCACTGGAATTTTCATTAGTAACCTCCCACAGTCGATTACAGTTGACGAGCTAAATGAAGAATTCGCTAAATATGGTACCATAAGTCTCGATAAGGGGAACAGTCCTCGTATAAAGCTTTATTACGATGAAAAAGATAAATTTAAACAGGAAGCGTTGATAATCTATGACAATGCAACGTCGGTGGATTTAGCTATTCAAATGATGAATCAAGTGAAGATGAAAAACAACATATTAAACGTGGAAGAGGCCAAATTCGAGCCAATAGAAGATAAATCCCAAAGAGCAGATGAAATAAGAAGTAAATTTTACTCCAAGGTTATGGTGATTGAAAATATGTTTCGCAAACAAGAATACAAGGAAAATACCAAATTGGCAGAAGATATAGAAGAAGATATCCGTGAAGAGTGTGAGAAAAGTGGAATTAAAGATATTTTAAATGTGACATTCTTTCCCAGCGACTGTGTTGTCACGGTGAAATTTAAGTCTCTGTCACTGGTTGACACAATAATAGAGAGTTTTGACAAAAGAGACTATGATGGGTTGAAATTGAATGTTCATACGTTCACGGGGACTCGGTACACATAGTAAAGGTAAGAGCAAGGGAAAGTTAGATTCGCGTGTATTAGAAGGTATAGATTAAATGCTACGCTTGGATCATGGCACCTTCTGCCATTAATTCCGATACTTTGTCTTTCAAAGACGTCAATGTATTTCCTTGAGAGTCCACAAGCGCTTTAACTCGGTTCAATTCTCTTGAATTTTCGACCTTCATATCTTGTAGAGGCTTGAAATCAAGGTGCTCTTTTATATAATTGACCTGGTTTTTCAATTCAGTAACACTGCTGTAAAGACCAGATTCTGTGCCTGAGTTCCCCACCTTCTCATTTATGTCATTGATCTCTTGAAACCACTTTTTCTCGTTTTCCGAGAGTGGAACTTGCCTGTGTACTTTTATGGCTTCGATTCGCTTAACCAACTTTTGGTGGAGCGATTTCAGCTTGTTGATTAATGCGTCTTCCTTCTCAATTAATTTCTTTATCTTTGCACTATGCTCTTTCTTAGCATCAATGTTACTAATATTACCCACTAGTTCATTTTGATATTGCAACTCCAATAAATTCGTTTTCATTTGGAGGCACAATTTCATAAGTAGCAGTTCATAGATAGATATAATAGAAAGCGATTCAGTTGAGAACTCGTTCACTTTTTGTAAGATTTCCACAGACTCATCCAGACTACCGACTCTGTACTTAATTTCACTGATCTTTTTCACTTTCTTCAAGTCACTTTCAATTTCCACTAATAAGTTAGAATTGAGTTTACTATCAACAACCACCTGTTCTTTTTCTTCGTTCTTCAATTTCAAAGTATCAAACTTGTAAATGAGTGGGTTTAGCTCCGGTGGACTGCTCACTTTTACAACATTGACATCCTTTTTTCCTTTGTCATGGAAATTGATTAAATAATCACCAGTAAATGAAATATCATCTCTAATCAACGTCACACCCGAGGAGGCATCATCATTTTCCACTACAGAATAATGATTTTGGATCTCTATTCCTGGAGTATCTGGTAATATTCCGACCCAATCAGATAGGGTGCTTACAACGGTTTTATGTTCAGTAGAGATCAAAAACCGATGTGGATCAACGCTTGACAATATGATTTTTCTCTTACTAGACAATGAGCAATCCAGTATGATTTCAATCAATACTTCGTTGATGAAGAAAAGTTCTGGTTTGTTCAAAGTTTGTTTCGCAATAGTGTTGGTCCCATTAGAGTCACAGTCATCATCAGAACCATCATCGTCGATATACCCAAATCCAATTTTTGGAACCTTGTAGGTTTGTTTCTCTGGCTCGTTGATCGAGTCCACTGTGTTGGCAATGATTAGTGACACATTTGGTTTCGAGTCAAAGGAAACTGATTCTGGTTTAGCATCTTCCAAGGAAAGATATTCGTCTGCAGACGTGAAGTTCATCACCAAGGGTCTTATTTGTGCCAAATATTTGACGGTCAAGTCTACCTTGTCACCATTGATAGCAACAAGTAAGGGAATAGAACCATTCGATTTCAAACAACAAATATCCTTAATTGTTCCCATCTGGAGATTGGCCAAAGGCCCTTGAATTCGTTTGTAATTGAGGGACCACAGAGGTGGTTTTATGTCGTACGTGAAGCTTTCCTTATTGAGATAAGTTTTGACTCCTGATACATTAGACCGGCATAACTCAGATTGAAGATGGTTGAAAAAGTTAAATTGGAGCCTAGCTTGCCTGGTTATATAATCATCATCATCGCAGTTGGCGGTGATGAAATTCAAAGTATCAATTGATTCGGCTAATGCAAGTTCGACTTCTCGTTCTGTAGTAGAAATAGAACTATTAGCAAACACAAATGGGGAAATTTCAAATATTTTTGAGCTTTCAGTAGTGATATAAAGTGTCAACCCACCAGTAAGTGTCTCCAAAGAACCGAAAGATATGGAAGTGGCAATTTCGTTTTTGAAGCATTCGCTAGTCTTTAAATCTAGGGTGAATAATGGAGCATCAGAAACCCTTAGATTGTAGAACTTGATAACGTTTGTTGCTTCCAAAATCACCAAACCCAATCCATGTGCGATATAGCTATGCCATAACACTTTGACAATGGGGGCTGAAATTTCCTTCAAATCATATTTTTCAGTGGGTATATGAAAGTTTTGACACTTATCAATATGAAGGGGAACACTTTGCACAACCACTCTTTTTTTGCCAATGGAGCACAAAAATGTTCTTTGGGGGTTCATAGTGAGTTCTACTATATCGAATGGCTGGTAAGTGTTTATCAAAACCTTATAGCCCATACTCTTGGAATTTATGGTACACATTCGGATAGCGTTTTCAACAGCAACAAAAATATCTCTATTTTCGTTTAAGACCATTTTGTTACCAAATCCAACCTCATATTGTGTATCCACCCATCTCTTGAAGATGGATTGTTTCTTAATACTTTTGACAAAATCGAAGTCTACCATATGGAACTATTCAGATATTTTTTTTTGTGCGACTAGATGTACATAATTGAAGATCGGCTGCATAAGGAATCTTGAAAACATATATTCAAAACCTATTCAGAACTGAAATGAATCCTCTTTGAACGTTTCAAATAGTTGGGTAAGATTCAAGCCAATCGAATGGGGAGCTTTCACGGGGAGATGGTGTACCAAACGCGAAGGTGAATAAAGACTAAGATCCTTTTCGGAGTTTTCAGTTTCTGATCCGTCAGTCTGTACCCTTTCAGCGCTCACATTAATGGATACATCAGTTAGCAGCTTGCTAGGACTTCCTCCAGTAAATAATGAGCCCACACTCTTGAAAAACCCTGATACATTGGCAATCAACTCCATGTTTCTGTTCATAACTCTTACATCCTTCTGAGAAGATGAAGAAGAGGAAGGACCGAGAAAAGAAGAAGACTCAGACTCATTGAAGACACAAGATTGGGATCTCTTTATCTTGAGAGAAGCCAAGTCATTAACGAAGACAGCATGTCTTTGCATCTGGATCCTCTCCCACTTAGCATGGTAATCTTTGGGCAAGTGAGAAGGTGGTTCTTCAATGGAGAATGAATGGTCGTACCTTGGAACAAACTGGGATTCCCCGGAAAACAACAATGGTGAGTGTAATTTTGGGTGCAGGTTCTTGTATTGTTCCTTATCATTGTAAGAATTAAGGAGATTCCTTGTAAAATAAGGATCTAAAGTGCTTTGTCTTTGTAAGCTTTCTGAACTATGACTGGATTGATCACAAAGAACAGTTCTTTCTGTACAAGAAGTAGCGCCTGAGAAAAGCTTAGGTGGCAGGGAAGCTTCTAAAGTCAACGTAGAAGGAGCCGTTACTTGCTCTATAGAAGCGGGAAACTTGCTTCGAGGAAAATAGTACTCAAAAAAACTCCAGAATCTGTTTCTTTTACGTTTCTTCACATCAGTCTCCTCAGGGGTGATTGAAGTCCGAGAAGCAGGTAACTGCACTAATAAAGAGCTAAGGTCATATCCTTTCTTCTCCCTACCTCTAAATGTATCCTTTAAATGACGTAGAGTGTTGCTTCTTTCAAGAGCCATTGGTGTAAATGAGATGTATTTGTGGATAGCGAGGCAAATATATTTGCAGCCAGACATGAAATATTTTTAAAGAGACCAAATGGTTAAGTTGATATGATTATGAACATAACAATCAGAAGTCCCCTGAGAATAATTGTTAATGGACTGAAAACCAGTGGTTGAAGAGACATTTTTAACGAACACGGGCATTTTCAGCAATTAAATGGCGGTTCAGCGTTTTCAGAGTCCCGGAAGAGAGCCATTCACAATTTGGCTACAAATGGTGTGCTTTTTTTCCACCAATGATCTACCATAGCCCATCGGGAGCTTTCTAAATAAGTCTGTATTCCTTCTACCTTATACTTTTCATTTCCGCACAAGTCTTCAAATTTAACAATGTCAAAGCAGTACATCTCCACAAATTGTGTCAGTGGCGCCCATAATCTGGACATATTTGATGTGGCTGTTGTCAACAAATACACCATAACAGTAGGGAGTGATGGATATGCCCGATTCTGGGACAACAAGTTGGACGAAATCCACAATCCCAAAGACCACTGTGTGAGCCATCAGATTGATCCAACAGGCATTCACCACATTAACACCTACGAGAATACTTTGAACTTGAACGGAGACCATGTTAAAGTGGTGTTGGTCGGATTCGGTTGTTTTTCTGGATATACAAAAATCCTGTTCTTCGTGGGTGATGATGTAAGTGGTTTGAAAGAAATTAAAGTACCTAAAGAGCTCCAGAAATCTTCATGGACACCCATTTTTTACAAGGATCCCGAATCTAAACAAGATTATCTCGTAGTTACACAAATGGATGGAGGGATTGTGCTCTATAAGCTTGACATTACTGGTTCTAAGGATGAAATTTTCATTGAATTAACCAAACAGACAGAGTTGAAGACCATAGAAGGATCGTTCCCAATATCTGTTGATGTCAGTCAGGTAGTGGATGGAAATATTGCAGTGGGATACACGAATGGAGATGTTGTGTTGTATACATTGGAAACGTTAAAGGTTATCAACTCATTTCACTCAACTGATTTACAGACTTCAGGGAACTCCAAGACTTCTAATGCCGTTCCCCGGGTTGTAACGTTTTCTCCCGGTGGATCAGTATTAGCAGTGGCCAGAGATAACCAGAACTCAGGATCAATAACGTTGTATGATGTTAAGTACGGAGAGAATGTGGGTACTTTAACTAAACCATCTCATTCGACTCTGGCAACAGTTGGAGGTTTTGCACATGATGGATGGATCATGGGATTGAGTTTTGACGACGAAGGAGAGCTATTGGGATCCTGTGGGTTCGACAAGTGTGTGAGAATATGGAATCTTGATGATAAAGAGAGAGTCGCTACTCTTAATCTTTCTGCAAGTGATTTTGAGGATACTGACCAAACTGAAATGGACAGCAGTATTGCTAGCGGAATAAGTTTCATTAGCAAGGGGACCAGGGGAGTATCTGGAGGAGATAATAACCATGGAATATGCGTGGTTAGCTTTGATAGAGGTGTTAGATGGTATCGACAAGCAGGAGGAATATAGAAGATGTAGAAAAGAGATCCCAACTAAGTAAGTTGGTAGAGAAAGCATGAGAATTTGGACATCCAGCTTCTCATCTGTTTTTATAAGAATAAACCAATAGCTACATTACCACAACTGTTAGCATAGAATGTATATGATGTGCATCCATAGCATAACCTATGTGTATAAGCTCTTTTTTTGAAAGACGCGCATTTTGTATTCACTGATGATTCAAGAAGCTCCAGGAAAGGATCATATAGTGAGCCATGTGCGAGCTCTAAAGTCGACTTTGAGCCAGGAAAAAGACGAAAGGTGGCAATTAATATATCTGCTTGAAGACCTGGTGTCTGAAATTGGCTTGGATCAAGAAATGCTTCTGGAAGTTTTCGATATTATATTTGATGTGAGCTCCAAATCTCTCCATTCCAACGAGAAAAGATACTTGATTCGGAAAGTTTTGGTACCCAATGGACTCCATGAGCTTCATATAGCATTGGTTTACCGAATCATTGGATCAATCGGGTACCCCCGTGTTTACTACCAAAATGATAAAAAGGTGAAACAGAAGAAACTTCCACTGAACATTCAAAATTCGCTATTGCAATGGTTGATAGCCTCAATTCACTTATTTGGTGAACATGGGTTCAAAGCACTTCACAAACTTTCCCCAATTCTCTTCAACTTACTTTCGTTTGAATTTTGTCGACCTTTAATCACAAATTTGATCTTTCTATGTCTACTGAACACGAATAAGACATTCAAAGCGTCCGGTAACCACCACAAACCAATAGTGAAGAACTGGCAGATCCAGACTGTTGTGGACCTAGCTACTAAATTCCCGTTGGATCCTTCCTTGAAGGTGCTCCTAGTACTATTTAAAGAAATTATCTCCGATTTGGACTACCGATCTTTCTCTAAAGCTCAATATGACACACTCAATCATATTAAAGCTGAAGCGTCGGTGTTAAAGATACCCCGTCTAGAATGTATGGAGAAAATGGTAACAATATGTGAAAAGAGGCAGCAGGAAAAGTATAGAAATCATATATTTGAAGTATGTCAAACCCAATACGCCACATTCCGAAGAAACATAACAAAACGACGGAGGTTGAATACTTCAGAAGGAGTTCATAATCTTGAGATGATAGCAAATGGTTCTAAGAGTTCTAAAATATCAATTCATGATATCACAACGCTAGAAGAATTGATAATTCAGTTTGAACAGATTGAGTTTGTTAATTTTAGGAACATTCTTTTGAATCCTTCCTACCATAACAAGCAAATCTCGTTCAACTACATCATTTTCAAGTATATGATTGACAAGGAGGACAAATACTTCAGTGATATGACATTTTTTTTCGATCAAGCTATTCCAAGATTGGGTGAGACTGAATTTACTTTTTTAGAGGAAAGTATTGTTGAATTGTTGGGCTATTATCCGTCATTTCTTTCATTAGATTCACTTCAAAAAGGGTTAAGTTTACCTGATTGGGGACCAAAGCTATTGAGGTTTTGTGGCCCCAAAACTAATCCACAAGTGCTAAAAGATTTGGTTGCATTGTTGAGCAAAAAAGGAAACTACAAAGAAATATTCTTGGGGGTAGCGGAGCTTCTTAATGTTTCTTACAAAATGGCAAAAGAAGAGTGCATCGCATTAATGAATGAGTTAATTCCTTTCGTATTCGAGCTTATCGAACCAAGCGAGCTCAGTTTGGAGCACAAACTCAGCCTTTTGAAACTATTGAGAGTGATAAAAATTGTGGATGAAGACGCAATGAAAGATCTCAATGCAAATGTTATATCATTGCCTTCAACTCTATACTACGAGCTTCTATTCACAATTAACCCGATCGTCGTATCGGAAGCGTGTGGGTTTTTAGCGTTTTCAAAAACCTATAAGAATTATACAGCCCAAGAGAAGGTTGTTATAAACTCGATAGTTTTCGACACTCTCAACTTCTTGTGGAGAGACAAGGCGTTCTACAAAGACACGAATTCACAGAGAAACAGTAAGGGGATGTATTTTGCACCGGAGTTTATCAACAAACTCCCCACAATTAACGTGTTTAACTACACAAGTCTCGTTCAGTTGGAAAACGTTGGAAACATGTTCCACAATCCAGTATGGTCTTACTTGGTTTCCCAGATCTTATGGGAAATTGAAGACAAATGGCCCCATATTTCCACTAGACATCCCGGCCCGGTGACCAAGGAATCGGTAGCATCGCTAGTAAACAATCCTAGTATCGAATGGCTTGACACTGATTACGACTCCTTAAAGGTGCAGGTTCTCCGGGGTTTGGATAAGTTGGGGTATAATGGGTTAGGCGATTTACTATTTGGATCTTTGCGGACTATTGCCTCATCTAGAGACGAGCTGCCACTAATAATACCCGAAACTGACTAAGACCAATTCAAAATTTTATATGTATAATATAATACACTAATTTATGTGGTCCATGGTTTGCTCCAGATGTAAGTTTGTGGAGCGGGTGCAAAAAATAGAGCACCATGCCCCCGTACTCACGTAGTGCGCCCGGCGGCCTCGCGCAAAAAAATAATTTATTCAGCCCAACATTCAACAAAACACCGTTAAAACTACATACAGGAACATTAAAATGCTAAACGCCATAAATTACGATCACGCCAGAAACATATTAACATGGGACAGGAAAAGCGTGCATGCCCCTTTATATTGTTGAATCTTGGAAATACACGCTCTGGGGACTCAATATTAATTGTGGGTCTTGCGATTGGCGGTGACACGGCCGTCTGTTTGTCTCATAACGTCGCCACCGCCTGCGATCAATGTTGCAAAGAATCGTGGTGTACTAACCAAGATAGGTGCGATGGGATTTACAAACATTGATTTTTTGGGAACCATTTATGGAAAGATGTCATTATGTTAAAGTTACCTTTGCCAACTCTATAACAAGAACAACTAAACAAACCTTACAAAAGTAGTACGCTTTTTAAGGAGCACACATTTCTCATCTACAAAAGTCTCAGGTGCTGAAACATATGGGTTTCTGAAATGGCGGTGGTCCGGTGTGTGCAGGAGGCCACCAACAAAATTTAACCAACAAAAAATCGTTGGACCATAGCCAGTATTTAAATACATAGCGATCGCTTCAAAGTAATTTAGACGGGATACAATAGGTCTAGTATACATCTACATCTTCGGTACTGGAACCTTGCGAGCTTAATACATTCGGACTAATAAACCTCTAATCATCTGGCTGTTTGTGAACATAATATTACCACTATCCATCCCATGTCCACCACAAGACCGTTCCAGTTAAATCATGGATCGTTGGAATTCACAATTTTGGTACCATCTAACGTGTATCAGAATTTCATTCAATTGAATCAACAGTTTACCAAGCATTACTTACCCTTGCCCACCGAAGGATTTAATGACTTGGATGAACCCAGTTCTCCTATCGAGCTTTTTTCCAAGTTCATGGGGTTCATAAACAAATCTATTGCCAGAAGCAACAGAAATTTGACTTTGACCGATTCCGAATTAGAATCTGTGTTGAGTTACTGTGTCAATGAGTTCAAGTCAAATATTATCAACCAGGACATCCACTCGTTTGTGCTTAACTTGTTGAAGAATGACGAGTATCCAACCACTTTGGACAAAGTCAAGGACATCATCAGAAACTACTACCAAAGCATCAGTTTAATTTCTACAGAAACCGTTGAATCCAGGAATGTGTCGTTGAAATCCAACTTGTTGAACTGTGAAAGTGCCGATATATTTGCCATTTTTGGTGGTCAAGGAAACTCCGATGACTATTTCGAAGAGTTGAGAGAATTATACAATATTTATAACCCCCTCATCAAAAACTTGATTTCTGAAATCAACTCCAGCTTACAGACCTTGTTGAAAAAAGTCGATAATGTCGACAAGGTTTACACCCAGGGATTAGATATTATCCAGTGGTTAGAAAACAAGGATAAGACTCCTGATCAAGATTACCTTTTAAGTGTTCCTGTTAGTTGCCCATTGATTTGCCTTATCCAATTATGTCACTACCAAATTACTTGTAAGATCTTGGATATCCACCCTGGCGAATTCTTAAGCCATTTGAAGGGCTCAACCGGTCACTCTCAAGGTTTAGTTACTTCGGTGGCCATAAGTTGTTCTAACAACTGGGAACAATTTTTGGGGAACTCTGTCAAAGCCATTAATTTATTATTTTTCATTGGTTTAAGATGCTTAATAACCTATCCAAGTACCACTTTACCTCCTTCAATGTTGCAAGACTCATTGGAAAATGGTGAAGGTAGACCATCTCCTATGTTATCGGTTAGAGACTTATCTGAAGAGCAAGTTGAAAAATTCATTGCTCAAACTAATGCCCATTTACCAGCAGATAAGCACATTTCGATTTCTTTAGTTAATGGCCCTAACCAATTGGTTGTTTCTGGTCCTCCCGAATCTTTATATGGTTTGAATCTCACCTTGAGAAATGGAAAGGCTCAACCTGGGTTGGATCAATCAAGAATTCCTCACTCCAAGAGAAAGTTGAAATTTTCCAACAGATTCTTACCTATCTTTGCACCTTTTCATTCTCATTTATTGAAGGATGCCAACGACTTAATTATTGAAGATTTGAAGTTGAACGAACTCGAATTTGCAGCAAAAAGCTTGAAAATTCCTGTTTATGACACTTTTAATGGAGAAAACTTTCAAGATTTCACGGCTTCGACTTCTGTAAGTGAGAGACTTGTGTACTTGATTACACAATTGCCCGTGAACTGGGAAGTTGCCACAAACTTCAAATCTACTCACATTTTGGACTTTGGTCCAGGTGGTGTTAGTGGATTGGGTGTATTGACTCATAAGAACAAGGATGGTACTGGTTCAAGAATAATCTTGGCAGGTACTTTGGATTACCATATTAACAAGGAAAATGACGAGTATGGATTCAAGCAAGAATTGTTCAATTATGACAAATTGGCTACTGTCAAATTTCAAGCCAACTGGAATGACGATTTCAAACCAACTTTGATCAAGAACAAATCCGGTAAAGTGTTTGTTTCTACGAAGTTCTCGAAACTTTTGTCCAGAGCCCCTCTTATGGTTCCTGGTATGACTCCTACCACCATTAATCCTGGATTTGTCATTGATACTTTGAATGCTGGTTATCATATTGAATTGGGTGGTGGTGGTTACTTCCATCCAAAGATGTTACAAGATGCATTGGATGAGATTAGGGATAAGATTGTTCCTGGGTATGGTATTTGCATTAACTTAATTTATGTCAACCCAAGACTTTTGCAATGGGCCATTCCTTTGATCAAAGAATTGAGAGAACAGGGCTACCCAATCCAGGGTATTACTATTGGTGCTGGTGTTCCATCATTAGAAATTGCAAATGAATATATTTCTGATTTGAAGCTCACTCATTTGGGTCTCAAACCAGGTTCTATTGATGCCATCAACCAAGTGGTTAACATTGCCAAGCACAATCCTCATTTCCCAATCGTATTGCAATGGACTGGTGGTAGAGGTGGTGGTCACCATTCCTTTGAAGATTTCCATCAACCAATTTTACAAATGTATTCCAAGATTAGAAAGTATTCTAATATCATTTTGGTTGCTGGTTCTGGATTTGGTTCAGATGAGGACACTTACCCTTATTTGACTGGTACTTGGGCTAATGCTTATAACTACCCTTCGATGCCTTTTGATGGTGTTCTTTTCGGTTCAAGAGTTATGGTTGCCAAAGAAGCCTTCACTTCTTTGGCCGCTAAGAAGGCTATTGCCGCTACTTCTGGTGTCCAAGACCATGAATGGGAGAGTACTTACAACAAGCCAACTGGTGGTATTTTGACTGTTACTTCTGAAATGGGTGAACCAATTCATAAAATTGCTACCAGAGGTGTCAAATTGTGGAAAGAATTCGATGAAACTATTTTCAACTTACCTAAGAACAAATTGGTGGAAACTTTAAAAGCTAAGAAGGATTATATCATCTCAAGATTGAACAAGGATTTCCAAAAGGTTTGGTTCGGTAAAAACTCACAAGGTGTTTGTGATTTGGAAGAGATGACTTACCAAGAGGTTTCTAATAGACTTATTGAACTCATGTATGTTTCCAAGTCAAAGAGATGGATTGATGTGACTTTGAGAAATCTCTGGGGAGACTACCTTAAGAGAGTCGAAGAAAGATTCGCTAGCAATGATGTTGAATCTTTAATTCAAAATTACAACCAATTGACTGTCAACCCTCAAGCTTTCAGCGATAAATTCTTCGAAAGATTCTCCGCTGGTAAAGAACAATTGATCAACGAAGAAGATTGTGATTATTTCCTCATCTTGTGCACCAGGCCAACTCAAAAACCATGTCCATTCGTTCCTGTCTTAGATGAAAACTTTTCTTTGTATTTCAAAAAGGATAGTTTGTGGCAGAGTGAAGATTTGGAAGCTGTTGTTGACGAAGACGTCGAAAGAACTTGTATTTTGCATGGACCTGTTGCTGCTCAATTTACCAATAAAGTTGATGAACCAATCAAGGAAATCTTGGATAACATCCACGAAGGTCATATCAAGAGATTATTGAAAGATTACTACAATGACGATGAATCCTTGATTCCTACCGTGGAATACTTTGGTGGTGACATAAAGAACACGTCTGCTGATTCTTTACCTTCGTCTCTCAAAATTGAGGTGGCTGGTTCTAAGAAGACCATCACTATTGGTGAAGGGGCTTTACCTGAATTGAGTTCTTGGATTGACTTATTGGCTGGAGAAAAATTAAACTGGCTTCACGCCTTCATCAAGAGTCAAAGAATTGTCCAGGGCAGTAGCTACATGGATAACTCGGCTCACTCGGTTTTGTCTCCTGTTAATAACATGATTATCGAGATTGACAACTTCGAATCAAACACTGATCAAGTTTTGACCAGCTATGAGAAAGTTTCTGGTGACTATAAACCTGTTGTAAAGATATCCTTCAACAAGAAGAAGGAGCTTATTGAATACAGATTAGTTGAACATAGAACTGCCGACTCCACTCCAGTTGAGCTTCCTTTCTTATTTAGATACGAGCCTAACGATGGGTTTGCTCCAATCCTAGAAGTTATGGAGGACAGAAACATCAGAATAAAGGAATTCTACTGGAAGTTATGGTATGGATCTAACTCACCTGTGAACTTGGACATTGATGTTTCAAAGATTATCGAAGGTGAAGAAATCACTATTAATGCCCAAGATATTAGCGAATTTACTCACGCTATCGGTAACAAGCTGGAAGCTTTTGTTTCAAGAAACGGAAAGGAGAGCTACGCGCCAATGGATTTTGCTATTGTTATCGGTTGGAAGGCTATCATAAACGCTATCTTCCCTAGAACTGTTGATGGTGATTTGTTGAAACTTGTTCATTTATCTAATGGTTACAAGATGATCCCTGGTGCCAAGTTGTTGAAGAATGGTGACAAGGTAGCCTCTAAGGCTGAAATCAAATCAGTCTTGAACCAAGCCAGTGGAAAGATGGTTGAAGTCATTGGTACTATCTACAGAGAAAACAAGCCAGTAATGGAAGTTACTTCTCAATTCTTGTACCGCGGAGACTACAAAGACTTTGAGAACACCTTCAGCAAGATCACTGAAACACCTTACGAAATCAAGATCAATAACTCTAAGGATTTAGCCATTTTGAAATCAAAAGAGTGGTTCGAATTGGAGAAGGATATCGACTTGTTGAACAAGACTTTGACGTTCAGATTGGAATCGGTTTACAAATACAAGTCTACTGAAATCTTTTCTTCTATTCACACTTCTGGTAAGGTCTACTATGAATTACCTACCAAGGAAGTGGTTGAAGTCGCTAGTGTTAACTATGAAGCTGGTAGATCATACGGTAACCCAGTTATCGACTACTTGTCAAGAAATGGAAGTACCATCGAGCAAGCTGTTATATTTGAGAACTCAATTCCTTTGTCTTCTAACGAAGAATTAACTTCGAAGGCTCCAACTACAAATGAACCTTATGCTAAAGTATCTGGTGACTACAATCCAATTCATGTTTCCAGAGTGTTTGCTAACTACGCTGGCTTACCTGGTACAATTACTCACGGTATGTACTCTTCTGGTTCTATCAGATCATTGGTTGAAGAATGGGCTGCAAACTCTGTTGCCGAAAGAGTAAGAGCCTTCAAATGTAACTTTCTTGGTATGGTTCTTCCAAATGATGTTTTGCAAACTACTTTGGAGCACATTGGTATGATCAATGGTAGAAAGATTATCAAGATTCAAACCAAGAATATTGAAACTGAGACTGTGGTATTGGATGGTGAAGCAGAAATTGAACAACCAATTACTACCTATGTGTTCACTGGTCAAGGTTCTCAAGAACAAGGTATGGGTATGGACTTGTACGAGAAGTCAGCTGTCGCCAAAGATGTTTGGGACAGAGCTGATTTGCACTTCATCAACAACTATGGTTTCTCTATTTTGGACATTGTTAAGAATAATCCAAATGAATTGACTATCCACTTCAACGGTAAGAAGGGTAGAAAAATCAGAGAAAACTATATTACTATGATGTTCGAAACTATTGCTGAAAATGGTGAAATCAAATCTGAAAAGATCTTCAAGGAAATCGACAACACTACCACCAAACACACCTTCGTGTCTCCAACTGGTTTACTTTCTGCCACTCAGTTTACTCAACCGGCTTTGACCTTGATGGAAAAGGCCAGTTATGAAGACATCAAGGCAAAGGGATTGGTACCATCCGATGCTATGTTTGCTGGTCACTCTTTGGGTGAATATTCTGCTTTATCTTCTTTGGCCAACGTTATGCCTATTGAATCTTTGGTTGATGTTGTTTTCTACAGAGGTATGACTATGCAAGTTGCAGTCCCAAGAGATGAAACTGGTAGATCTAATTATGGTATGTGTGCTGTCAACCCTACTAGAGTTGGACCAACTTTCAACGATGCTGCCTTGAGGTTTGTTGTTGACGAAGTTTCTGCTCGGACTGGTTGGTTATTGGAGATTGTTAACTACAATGTTGAAAACACTCAATACGTTACTGCTGGTGACTTGAGAGCTTTAGACACATTAACGAATGTTTTGAATGTCATTAAACTTAACAAGATTGACTTGGTTAAGTTGCAAGCTCAAATGTCTCTTGATAAGGTCAAGGAGCATTTGAATGAAATCATCAAAGAAGTTAGCACTAAGTCTTTGGCTAAACCACAACCAATTGATTTGGAAAGAGGATTTGCTGTTATTCCATTGAAGGGTATTTCTGTTCCTTTCCATTCTTCTTACTTGATGTCTGGTGTTAAACCATTCCAGAGATTCTTGAACAAGAAAATTCCAAAATCTTCCGTCAAACCAAAAGATTTGATCAACAAGTATATTCCTAATTTGACTGCCAAGCCATTTGAAATTACCAAGGAATACTTTGAAGAGGTTTATCAATTAACCAAATCCGAAAAATTGAAGTCAATTATTGAGAACTGGGAGTCTTACGAGTCTGCCTAATTATGATGTAAAAATTTGTTTCTTTATAGGATTTTAATATATTTAAGTTTATACAATTTTTGTACAAAAAGGAGTTAAAGTGCATTCATTAAAGGACTGGAAATGTTCACTGGGGTGAACTTCTTGGGCAAAGAAACTCTGGTGAATCTTGACCTCAACTTGTGAGTTACGAAGTCCATGTCTAAATGTCTTGTCAAGTTGATTCTTGGAATACATCCAATATAGTGATCATCGTCAAGTTGGACATCAAGTGGATCTTGGGTATGACAACCGGGAGACAAAGATAACCGAATTGAAAGTTTTTTACCACTAGGGCTGTTTCTATCACCCGCTTCAAATAGTTCAAATGTAATTTGAGAAAGGTAATCAAGCTCAGGCAATGCATTTCTAGCAATTTGCATTGGGATTTGTGATTCGTATAACACATTTAACAAGGTATATATATGAGACTCCTTAGTGAAATACATTGATACCCCTGGTGTATCATTCTTTCTAATATCTTGGATATCATTCAAGATTTGTCTGGCTAACGGCAAGGAAGTCAACAAACCAATGTCAAGTTTCTCTTCATCCTTGATGCCATACTCTTGAGGACAAATGAAATCAAATAAAACCTTCGACAATCTGTATAGCTCTCTTAATCTGGCAAAAGTTGGGTGGTCGAATGGATTTGCATTCGAGTTTTCCAGTTTTCTGGTATTGGACTGGTTATTCTTAGAAGAATTCTCAATTGTCTCAGTGGCATCTTTCAAGACCCAACCTAAAGAACCTGCAGCATGTCCACCACCCGAGATGTTAATTAAGTTATTAGTAGAGTTGTTCTTGGAAGGACTGGTTGAGTTTGGACCGGAAGAGCTTTCGTTTGGAATCTTGAAATTATTCATGGCCAAAATATTGATAGGATATTCACTCACCAAACCACTCAGGTTGACTGTATCACCACATGTTTCACTCAATAGCTGTATCAATTTTTCGTCTTTGGGATCATATGAAAAAACGTTTTGTAAAAATGATCTATTGTGCAAAGCATCATACTTCATGGTGTCATAGAGTTCACTGATCTTAGATGGATGTGTTTTTTCCACAGTAGTGAACTCCTGGAATAATTTATCCCATCTTTCCTTGAATAATGTGGAGTCTTCACCACAACACCAAGACTCTTGGAATGAAGAGACATCCTTATTCTCAAAGTTATATTCCATGAGTTTCTTATGGAAATTCATTAATTGACATACCCTTTTAATAACAACAAAAGGCTGAGGCATCTTTGGAGGCCAAGTGAACTGTGGGGGTGCTTCAGCTCCTTGTCGTAAGAGAGGTTTCAACTTTTTCTTGACTTTATCCATTAAATCCTTCGCAGCGTTGGAATCATCCAACAAGTCTTTTCTAATGGTCATGAAATCACCTGGAAGCTCATCTTGGTCTTTATCATAACCTAACAAAGCCATAGATGCCAAATGTGCTGAAGCAATAACTCTTCTTTCTGAGGAGGTGTACACCTTGACATCTTTCAAAGCTTCACGATTCAACAATTTAATATTCTGTCTCAATTGCTCCCCCACATCAGTGGCTTGATATTTAGCAGAATGAGTTGGCTCACCACCCCATTTCAAGATGAATTGAACCTTTTCGACAAATTCTGGATCATCTTTAGACAAAGAAGGTTTAAGTTGGATCTTAGTACCTGGAAAGTTCATCTTCTTTTCCAAAGCGGTTCTCAATTGCTTAAGCTTCTTCAAATCTTCCAACTTCTTTGCTTCAGCAATTTTGACAGTTTCTAAAACCACCTGCAAGTCTGGAACCTCTCTGATGATAACCTCCTCTTTATGACCCTTCAATAATGAAATAAAAAGAGGGGATCTAAAAGAGTATTTAAACTTCTGTTTAGGTGTTCTATCTGCATGTCTGATGACAGAAACCATACCCTTGAAAACCCATTTTTGTTCTTTTTCTTCGAATTGAGATTTGTTAAGGAGTTTCTTAGAAGGTGGAATCTTATCCTTGATAAGGTCTCTTGACTTCTTGGCCTCTATGAACAAATTCCTCAAGATACTCGAACACGAATCATAGTAATCATTGTTATCTTTGACAAATGAAAATCCATTCACATCAATGACGTAGGACTTATTAAGCACTCTCAATAAATCAAATCCACAAATAGTTTGTTTGAATGTGTTACTAATATTCTGGGCCATAATCTTCTCTTCATCGGATAGTTGAGTGATAAATCTAATTTCTTTGCCATGAGTATTACGTCTTACAATTCCATCAACAACAGGAGATTTGCGGGTTTCTGCATGACAGAATCCGGCTCCAACAGTATAGGCCTTAACATCTTCGAAATTATCAGTATCCATGAAAGTTTCATAGATATATGAGCCTTCAGTTCTTGGAGTAGTTAATTCAGGATCAAACTCAGAGGATTTGTTACCGATCTTACGGAACAATCTCCGACCTCCACCTCCAGTGGATGTTGGATAGTAGATATACACATTATGGTCTTCACCATCGACGGGCTTTTCCACATACGGTTTTCTGATGATTTTTCCATTAACCTTGAGGGTATCATCATCAACCATTTCCCACTCAGCTTCAGGTTGGTCGGTCAAGTTTTGGATCTTTTCTTCAGTAAAACCAGCTTCTCTCAATTTAACTTCCAACACTTCATCTAGCTGGGGTCCCCCATCTCTACTAATTTCCAAACGATAAGGAGTAGGAACTTTCAGATGATCTAAGATAGCCAACACCAATCTTCTATCCCATAGAGCCTTCTGAAACACCAAGTCATTAATCATGTAAGGTTTACGATAATTAACATAGCTTATGGCTTTGTCCAAGGGAAATCCAGTGGAGAAGAAACTGATTAAAAAATCACAGGTTGGCCAATTTTCAATAGACTCATCCAAAATAACTTTATCACCAAAAATCACCGTTTCAAACTCACCATTTTCAATGAGTCTGTTCAAAATTCTTCTGCATGGTTTAGACATCACTTTAGCATCCATAGCACACACCCCAATTTTACCAACATATGGGAGTTTGGGTCCAATAACCTCTTTGTGAATAGACACTTTTCTCGAAGCACTCGAGGAATTGGAGATGGTCTTGTTCAAGATAGGAAAATCTGCTCCACTGGACGTCGAGTTTGATCTTGACTTCAAAGGGTTCAGATTGGTCGAGTTTGATCTGGTATTTGAGTCAAAAGGAGTACCAACACTAACTGGATCAAGTACCACGGGGCCCTCGTGGATAGCAGATAAATGAGACTCATCGATCACTCCAGATTGTAAAGGAGAAGAAGAGTTGTCGCCAGCTATGATTCCTACCCCATCCTCGGAGTTTGTCTTCGGAGTAAAGCCTTCAAGCATAGGAGCTATGGAAGCCATGGCAGTTTTGGTTTCAGATACAACAAATGTATCAGTTATTATCTTTTCGGTTCTGCTTACCACCGAAGGGTTTTGAGTGGGAGATAAGTTCAAGGGGGACATGGGCTGAGTGAGGTTAGATTCTGCTCCATAACCATTTACCTCAATAGGAATAGGATTGGTGGGACTAGCAGGAGTAGATACAACTGGTAGCTGTGGCATGGCTATTAATTTAAAAGACCCTGCTTTAATGAAAAAGAAGTGAAATTTGGTGCGACCTGATAAGATTCCTTCGTATATTCTCGTTAATTGTTAAAACTGTCCCAAGTGGTACCGGCCATCATACAAAAAAGTTGGCGATTATTGCGAGAGACTTGTTCCTATTTAATGTTCCAACGCTCCGTTAGTACTATCATTTATTGAAGAAATGAGTACTGCATCCCAAAAGTGGATGCATCGTTGGGGAAGAAATGTTTTCTACGCATGAATATTCATGTATTCATTTCAAGTCACGATAATAAATAGAATGGCAAACTCAAACAAGCTTATTCAAAGGCTGCCAAAGAGTCGAATAACACCGAAATCGACTCACCAAAGTGATCTCTTCTGATGCACTCGGCGAAAATTGGTGACACATCAATCACGCTCAATTTCTTGTTTTGCTCAATTCTTTCCTTAGATATTGGATAAGTGTTGGTCACAACAATTTTGTCGATACAACTACTCTCGTTTAAAGTTTCCAAGCATTTGTCTTGGAAAAGCCCATGGGTTCCCAAGATGTAGACTGATTTTGCCCCGCAGTTCATTCTTAAATGTTCAGCAGCTGCGATAAAAGACCCTGGCTTGTCAATCATATCATCCAATATTATGGCTGGTTTATCATTGACATCACCCACTAATGTGATTAATTTTTCTTGTGACGTCAATGTCAACTCATCTTCATCATCAGAGTTATCAGCATCATAAGAGCCACCTAATGCATCCGAGTCCAAAATAGGAGTCTTCTCGGGATGACTTTGAGGATCTGGATTTCCCCCTGCTTGATAATCATCGTCAACAACATGCCCTTGAACAATTCTGGCAGTTTGCATTTCGCTTACAATGTTGTCCTCTTCTTCATCAGCAGTCTTGGAGGCCCGAGATGTCTTGAGATTCTTCTTTTTATTCTTGCTTGAATATCCATCGTGAGTTCTTCTCCTATCAGTGTGAATCATAGCGAAATTGATCTTCAAAGCATCTGCTAAAGTGGTGACTCGTTTGGTTCCACCAGGATTCTTGGATACCACCACAGCCTTTTCCCATTCGGGAACATTGTGACGAATCCAACGAGCCAACGTGGGTGCTCCAAATAAGTTATCCACCGGTTTGGTGAAGAAACCTTGCATTTGGGAGGCATGTAAGTCCATCGACACCACATGATCTGCACCTGCCATGATTAACAAATTGGCCAACATTCTGGCGGTGATGGCCCCTCTGTGTTTCTTCATCTTGGATTGCTTGGAATATGGGAATTGAGGAATAACAGCGGTGATTTTATTGGCAGACCCACCCCGACAAGCAGATATTAAAATCAATAACTCCATTATGTGGTCGTTGATTTCAGGTGACCCACTTTGAATTATATATACATCTTCATCTCTGACAGACACACCAATTTGAACCGAAGTTTCTCCATTGGAAAACTTTTTTAAGCTACATGGGGCTGGTTCCACTCCTAACCTTTCACATACCAATCTTCCCAACTCAGGGTGGGAGGACCCCACAAAAACTTTACACTTTCTCATATCTTGATTGTTTTTGTACGCGGTGGTATTAGTAGATGATGCTGTATTAGAGTCCACTATACTAAATACAGTAGTATCAATACTGGAAGAAGACGTCAGTTTGCAGGATTTATAAAAGATTTTTCTGGCTTATTACTTTCGCTCATCGAGACAATCGCAGTGCGCGGTCGTGCGAATCATTATTTTATCTAATTTGTTCCGTAGGAACTAGGTATTTTCCTGATATGCCGCCGGAGCAGATGCTTGATCCTACAAAAACCCCCCGATCTTCGATCGAAATGTTTACTGATAAGGAAATGGAGGGAATTCTTAGCAGACTACAGTGTTCCTGTCAAGAAATACGTGGTTCTGAAGTGTTTGAGCGACTATCTAAATCCATCAACCTTAACATAAACGACATTCGATGTCTTGCGCTTGGGTCACCGACACAAAGTACCCCAGCATTGTACCAGCTTGCACTATTGATGGAGTTGAAGAAGCTAACAACTGCGAAGGTGTCGGTATATGATCCAATTTTCACATCTTCAGATTTGAAGCTATTTTCACATCTCGAGATAACCCCAACAAAAGAACATCCCAGTACTCTTACAGCTTCTACTCTATATTATCTTCCACATGCTGATTTGAGCATCACAGAAGAACTTTTCAAAGATAAGTCTCCGGCTTTCATGTTGGGTAATGATGTTTTTTCTCACACAAATCGATTATCCAAAGTTGAACTCCACACAAAGTACAAGATTCTTTCCCACATCGTTTATGTTGCCGACAACTCGTGTCAAGGAGCACCAGAAATAACAGACGGGTTTGAACCTGTGGTGGCTCGTTCCAGAAAGCGAGCCAATAAGCTCAAATATACTCCACCGCCAATCAAGTATACCTTTGATGAAATGTACTTTAGTAAGGTTGAAATCACTCCTATCGGAGAGCTTGGCCAATGGCAAAATGCATTTAGTGACCTTGCTCTACATATAATTAGATGATACGGAACCCGGTAATCCTTTATTTTACACATTATTTACATTAATAACACAATTGACTTTTGATTTTTCTTTCTAACTTTCATTGAAGTCGTTGTTTCTTCAACAATGGATCTCCCACACCACCCAGTAAAAAATCTGATGGTTGTGGTACCGCCGGCTGGTCAGAGGCATGGACAGGTGATTGAGCGGGAGCCTGAACCATTGAAGTTTGATCATCGGAAGGAGGAGACTGTTGAGGTGGAGCTGGAACCAGAGAAGGAGCCGTAGTACTCGATGATCCACCTGTTAGCAAGTGTTTGGCCAAGATAGAGTACAAGTCATCTTTGGTGAAAGGTTTGGCTAGAATATCAGACATTCCATTTTGAAGATAGTTAACGAGATCATTGTCTTCGATATTCCCAGTCATAGCTATGATAGGAGTGCGAGTATCGAATGAACGGATAACACTGGTAGCTGTAGCCCCGTCTAAGTTGGGCATCACGATATCCATCAACACCAAGTCATATTTTGTCTTTTCCACTGTGGAGATGGCATTTAAACCATCCGTTACCACGGTCACCTGACATCCATACTTTACCAAAAACTTCCGGCAAAGTTGAATACATACATTGTCATCTTCCACAAGTAAAACGTGAAACTTAGGATTCGGAATACTTGTAGTAATAATACTTTGACTAGGAGGCGTATTCGCAGGTACCGGACGGTTCTGGGGCGATTGCAGCTCTTTTACCAATGAGGTTGGGCCATTACCAAATGCAGCTGGTGTGGGTTGCGCGATCGGTGCAGCGGCATCTGGCGACTGAAGTTGAGTATGGCTCTGGTTTCTAGTATGGGATGAGTGTGTCTGTTGCAGTTGGATTGGCTGTTGCGGTGTTAGGCCCTGGCCTAGTGACTGGGGCCCGGAAAAAGCATAATCTAGTTTATCACCATAAGATTGTGTTGGGGCCTGAGTTACAGCACTTGGTACAGTACCAGTTTCCAAACGAGTAGGAGTAGGGCCAGCGCCAGGAACAGCCTGAGAACCATTAGTATTACCAATCAAGTCAGGGTTAGGAAAGTCAAGTGGAGGTAGTTTTATTCCCATTTGTGCCAACGAATTAATCATCAAGTTAATTGAGTTGAAATTTCGTTCTTCAAACGATTTAACCGTTACCATATGATCCATCAAATGTTTATATTTCGATTTCAAGGTTGATAATTGATGCGACAACGAGGTGTTATCGCCTTGAAGATATTCCACTTGCTCCTCTAATTTCATTACCCGTTGAAATAACGCTTCAGAAGCGACAGAAGACGGTACCAAGGCACCTCCATTACCAGGGGCCAGTTTTTTGGAATTGGTACCTTTACGCTTGATATTATCCAATGCTTCACGATCGTTGACGCGGAATTCTGGGTGTTTGAACTCCCAAGCATCATCACCATATTCATAGTTCCTCTTTGCTTCATTCGAAATCTTCACCTTGTGGAAGTCGTATTTGTTAAGTTGACGAACAAAACTTGCCAAATTGCTGTGCTTGAAATGACGAGGTAGTATTTCCTTGGTGAACTCATTAGTATCAATTACCACAAATGAATCTCCATCTTTTGTCCATCTCACAACATTTTTATAGCTATCTTCTTGAAGCATTTGAAATAGCTTTTTGACAAAGTCGTTAGACCCTCCTTGATGGGACAGACTAGTCGGGTGAAGACTGTCACTAGGTTCTTCACTTTTGATAACTTTCGACATATTCAGTTATGGGTAAAAATATTGCTGTCGCTCAGGGGCGCCGCTAGCAGCAACAGATGAATGAAGGTTGAATGAATTGGAAAGAAGGGGTTGTGGGCGGAGGCGGAGGCGGGATGAGGAGATGAGTCGGGATGAATTTAATTATTAATGGAGTTTCTGATTTTGATGCTCAAGCGAAGCTCTTCAAATTAATTTCTGGTTAAGTTTTGAAAATTTCCAACTAGGTTAATTGGTTGTTGTCAATGAAAACTTTACAAACAAAAACGCTGCGGTTGAGTCGCGCAAAAGTTTCAGTGATATTTATAGATTACGTCCTGGCCGCACCATTGTGGTATAAGCGGATTGTCGTAAGTTTCCGAGACATTTTGGCGCGCAGATTTTGCAGCATTTTCCTAAACGCAAGAGCCTAAACTGGGGGGATGATTGGATCTCAAAGACAAGTAATCTTTCGCAGTTAGGGGAAAGATATCAGATTCAAGTAGCATAGATATATATTCTTTCTAAAATAAGAAATATAAGAAAAAATTGAAACGGCGCTCCTAAGTTTTGGCTAAAGATGATTTGACGCATTTAAGGTTCAAAGTTTGTTGGCTTTGTAAAAATGCTTTCACTCGTCCAAATTTTGAGTAGTTACTAGTGTTTTATATTATAACGGATTTGAGCTGCAATGTCAGACAATTTGCAAAGTTTGAATTTCGCAGGTTTTAAAACCTAAAAGCCCATAAGCCAAGATGAAGATGCCATGTTGACCGATCAATCTGTCATTCTTCATGTTATTGACTACGAAGCATTTATTTACACCAATTATTTGAATAGAATTATAATGATTATAAGCTTTACGCCAAAATATGTACTGAACTATCAATTCCGAGTTAGGGATATTTAAGAATTTGGTAAAGAAAATTTCAGTCTTTTTGCGATCGAGCATTTCGCACTGCTCAATTTGCAACTTGTTTACCACTCATTTCGCTCATGTCACAGGATGAAAGGCATTTATCACAGCTATCACAATCCAATAAAACGGTACATGTGATACCATTTTACACGGTCTATCTTCTTCAGTCAGGTCCACGGTTACAGCTGTTTTACATTGGTTCCACGCCTAATCCGTGTCGTCGCCTTCGCCAACATAATGGTGAACTCCAAAGTGGCGCTTATAGAACTCGCAAGGACGGATTTCGACCATGGCATTTTGCCGCCATAATCACAGGCTTCCTGTCCAAAATTTCAGCCTTACAGTTTGAACATGCCCTCCAACATCCTCATAGCACTCGCCATATCCCAGACAATAAGCGTGTTTCTCGATCCAAATCTGGAGGCAGATCGGTCCATCTCAAGCTAGCCAACATCAGACTCCTAGTTTCAAGCAGATACTTTGGTCACCTCGGTCTTTGCGTCAATATCTTCAGTTTTCATATCTTAGATGTTTGGAACGCAAATAAGCATTCTATAGAGTATGAGAACATGCGATTTTGGGACAAAGGCTACGATGAGTTCGTAGGGGAACTCGAAGTGGGGGATTTTCACATGGTGAAGGATGCATGTGAGAATCTTCAGAATAAGCTAATGCAAATTACCCACTGTACTGGTTGTGGTGGATCCATAGATATGATGCCAGAACACGAACAAAATTCTTTACCATTACCAGCCATTACTTTATGTGTGTGCCAAAATGTGTATCATCTACGGTGTCTTTCAGACGAAATACTACCTAAATACGTGCATTGTAAGATATGTGGGGGTAAGCTGGACTGGTTCCGACTTGCAATGGTAGCCACCCAGGCTAGAAGTGCTTTCTTGTGATCACAACTCATCATGGACTAAGTCTTTCTTTATGACAATATTCCAATCTTCATTGATGTGCAAACCAGGATTTTGGATTTCCAAGTTTCCGTCAATACTCTTGAAACGTAAACTAGCTCCATCATGCTCAACTTTTGTGGCATGAGTATTTAAGATTAGGATCTTTTCAATCCTGCGAGGAGCGTTGAAAGTCCCAGTGACTTTGTTAGTCAATTTGCCATTTTTGAGCTCAAAATTTGCAACCAAGAACAGTCCATTTTTGTAGTCGAATGATTCATAGTCATCCACATACAATGACCCAGAAGCTGAATTTGTACTGCTTGGTGCAACCACTAAGGTATATGGATCATGATTCATCAACTTGCTTGATCTTCTATATCTCATTTTACGAGAAATTATCGACCCTCCTTTGATAACCATAGGAATATCTGATAAGGTCACAGGAACTTTGACCAGTTGAGTATGGTAACGAGAACTGATTTTGCCGTTAGTGAAATCATAATAAATCTCCGAGTCTGGAAACACTATCGTGACTTCTTTGGTTGTTTCTTCAGTGACTGGTTTCACAAGAATACCCGAATTCCCGAGGAAAAATTCATCCTCTATATCATAGTTCTTTGAAAACTTTTGACTTTCATAGAATAAAGGCTTTAAAATAGGCATACCACTGATACTTGATTCCCGGAAAGCATTATAGAATTCTGGTAGCAAAGTATATCTCAAATTAATAGCATCTCTTATGATCGACGTGTATGGTTCTCCTGGGACCCAAGGTTCTCTTCTTCTAGAGTCTATATGGGCATGCCCTCTGAAGAAAGGGTACCATATACCAGTCTGATACCATCTGGTTAACAAGTCTTTGGAAGGATTACCAAAGAATCCTCCTACATCAGCACCACCAAATGGCATACCAGCAACTCCATTATTGAGAAGCATAGGAATTGAAAGCTTAAGGTATTCCCACTTTGACATATTATCACCCGTCCACATGGCTGCGGACTTTTGCAGTCCAGCAAAAAACGATCTTGTCAATACGAAAGGTCTCTGTCTTTGGGTCAGCTCGAGACGTTTGGATAGAGAACTGTAAGTCATATCATGAAATTTTCTTCCATTTAAATTATGAAGAGATCGTTCTTCATACCCTCCATATTGCAAATTATCCCGTGGACTTGAAGTTTCTGGACCATCAAAAACAGAGATTTCGTTCATGTCATTCCAAAGATGAATGTTTGTATTGTCGAAAAACACCTTATTCTCGGGACTCAACCGATGAAGCTCATCCCAATATTCCTGAGAACCAGGGTTGAAAGAGTCTACCCAAAGAGACTCGCCCGGCCAACAATGCCCATAAAAAGTATCGTTTTCAGAATTCATCAATGTCAATCCATTTTTCTGGAGATGATTTGACACTTTTGATCCCTTCTTGATATGAGGATCAATGATGATGATCAAGTTTCTTCCTGTCAAATCCAACTCATCCAACATTCCACTAGGATCGGGAAAATTAGAATTCCATGTGAAGTACTGTTTATTGTCAGTGTACTCTATATCCAACCATATCGAATCATAAGGGATTTGATGCTCATCAAATAACGAGTTAATTTCCAAAAGGTCTTTCTGATCGTTGTAATTCCACCTGCACTGGTGATATCCAAGGGCAAAAAGTTGTGGTAATGTGGGAAAACCAGTGATTTCTCCATATTTCTTATTCACTTCTGCAGGAGATTCCCCAAAAAATATAATGAAGTCTAGCACACCATTTTCACTCATCCAATGAGTCTTAGCACCAGACTTAGGCTTGGAAAGATTTATATAGGTGTCAGCACTATTGATCCAAAATAAACCCATGGACAATCTGGGTTTAGATACCAATAAGAATGGAATAGAGCCATACATTGGCAAATTAGAGTCTACTTCATACTCAAATATGTCGACGTTGTACAAACGGTATATTTCCTCTTCCAACTTTAAACCTTTAGAATGCTCTGGGATCCCATATGCGTTATGAAAGTCAACAAAGTTGAAGTCTAACCCAATAGATTCTGGTCCCAACGGGAGTTTATCACTCGTGGAGTCTTTGAAATTATCTCTGAACATATTGAAGTCACTTTCCTCTGGCAAAAGTTGTTGTTGATTATCAGACTCATTTCTGAAATGCTCCAAATTCAAGAATTTGTCTTCGTTAATGGTCATTTGGAGAGTTTCATTTACAAACACCTCGATCTTGAAGTCTTTGTAAAGCAACACTCGTATAAATTTTGATGTGATACATATCTTTTCAGCCCCATCATGAATTGTGATGGAGGTCGAGTCTTTAAGTCGGAGTTCATGAGGTAATACATGTTCTGAAGCTTTGAATCGATTAGCATTGATATTCAAATCAACATTTCTATTCTCATCAAGGGTGAATCTGATATTATCATTCTCAAGAAAAGATAATTGGAATGGGAGCTTGACATCAGAATTTGGAAGCTTCTTCGTCAATAATCCTGAGATTACAGCATATTCAGAACCAACCTCAATCGCATCTTCAATAAAATAGTTGCTAATTTTTGTTTGGAGTTTATTGCGGCAATAATCTATGTTTCTCTTGCAAAAGCCATTTTCTTCACACGATTTGAAAAGATATTGTTTCGCCAGAATCACCAAACAGAACCAATAAAATATAGCAAAGATTTGCATTTTGTGGTATACCTAGCCTCGTCCAAATTTAAATACAAGTCAACAGCACTTTAGCTAATCCAAACAAGTACAATCGCAATGATGAAATAGATTTAAGGTTCAATTGAAGTATTTGAGTACTTCCTATGTATCTTTCACTTTCACAATATAATATTGAGACGAAAAACGGTAGCAAAGGCTGCTAAGCATTTAGCAGCGCGATCTATGAACAGCTTCGCCAGTGTAGTGCCCTGCCCATTATCGCTCCCCATAGAAGCGCGAAAAATTTGAACGACTAGAAAATGACAAAACATCTTCTTGTGACTGAGTTATTATGGAACGCGAAAGAGGCATAAAAGACAAGGTCAAGCTCGAAGATGGTGTAGACACTGACCATCATCTTACAAAGAAACGGAAAGTGTACGATGAAATTTCTGAGCCTGATGGGCCCTTAACTCAAGAGGATGTTAAATACTTCAAGAAGCAGGCTATTTGGAGACAGATGAGGTACTATAAGCACAAGGCAAATACGCATGAAGTATCTGTGTCAGATACTTCCAGAAAGATTGAACTGTTGAACCATGAAGTTGCTGACTTAAAATCCTGGCAGTTGAAGGTGTTCAAGCAACTTAATAAGCCAATCACTGACGATAAAGAACTCGTTTCTTCTATTAATGAAATTTTAGATGGCAAGATCTCCGACGATGATGTTAAAGAGAAGCTACAGAAACTTAATGAGTATATTGACGAAGTGGCAAGACTTGAAGGTGAGAATGAAGTTTTGAAAAATTTGAAATCAGACTTGGAAGTCAAGGTCGATGAACTTACAGATAAGCTTTTGAAGCAAAGAGAACGGTTAGAAAGTGAACTGGTACTGAGAGTATACAAACTCAAGAAAGAGGAACCTACTCTTGTAGTAAATGGTAAGGAAGAGGCTAACGGAACCCATGACGTGGCAAATTCTTCAACTGGAGATTTTAGTGAAGAGGTCAAAGAGTTGAACCGGATAATCAAGGAATTCGAGAGCAAGTTCCAAGTTATCCTTGCAGAGAAAGAATCACTAAGCAGAGACTTAAAGGCCCCTGTGGAAGTCATTAAGGTGGAAAGTAATAGCCTCAACCAGGATTCATCAATCGAAGAAGAGTTGAATAAGAAAGATGCTATAATCAAAGAACTAAATCATAAGTTGAACAACAGTGCCGAGTTATTGAACGATGAACTGACGAAAATGCAAAAGAAATTACTTGAAGCAATACGGAAACACGAGGGTGATTTAGTAAGAATCAGAAATGCCAGGGATGATTTGCTCAACAAGGTAAGCTTACTCGAAAGACAAAAGTCCAATGAAACATTGATTAAATTAAACCAACAAATTACGGAACTGCTTAACTTTCAAAACCTTCGAACAAGCAATAGTGATACCACTAGCGAAGAAATCATCAAAGAACTCGAAGAGAGCTACAAGAAACTCATTAGTGACATTCATATTAAGGTTCTCAGCCAAGCTGAACAGGAAAACTTAATCAAAAAGTATCAGATTGAAAAAACCAAAGCTGACCAAAAGTATTTCCAAGTCATGAAGATCCGTGACACGTTAACCAATGAAAACAGACTTTTGAAATTAACTGTCAACAAATCTAATGAAATCATTGAAAAATATAACGAATTTGAATCCAAGTATAAGGAGAAAGTTAACAAATTACAAGAGATTATTGACGAACACCGCAAGCATATTACCAACCTTAAGGTTGATAACAAGAAGCTTGTTCTGGAAAATCACTTTAAGCTGGTGGAAATCAGTAAAATGATGAATAAAATAAATGAAATGAGCAATGACCTCAAAGTCATTAAACAAGAGAAAGTGGTTCTTAGCAACAAGACCACAGAAAAAGACATTGAATTAATGAAATTACAAAAGTACAAGCATCAAAGTAACAGTAATTCTACAGTTGACAATGAAGAACTTAACGGATTCAGAAGTATGGTTAAATGTTCAGTCTGTTCGAAGAATTGGAAAGATACAGTGATCACAGTTTGTGGACATGTGTTTTGCAGCCAATGCACTAGAGAACGGTTAAATGCCAGACTAAGGAGATGTCCCAGTTGTAACAAAGGCTTCAGTACCAACGATTTACTTGGGATCCATTTATAGACGCCTGTAATTATTTTGTAGCATTTGTATAATAGAGTAAGTTTAATGAATGTATTATAGATGTAGTACATTGCAGATAAGCACATATCATATCACGTGAGCGTATGTCGACATCGTCAATGCACCACATTCGAAATTGCCGAGAATAGGTGCGTAAAGCTTCTCCGATCCCACAACATACTACTTCGAGAGAATGCAAACGCAACCGTGGTAAGTCTTCCTCAAAAGCAATATCCCGCCAGGGGGGTTCACTTTCATTATCAACTCTCAACATCTATACTGAAAAATGGTTGCTAGCCCCCTTCGTCGCGTTCATGCAACCCAGGCACGATATTAAAGATTACCCGGAAGTACAAATTCACTCAGACGTGCCCTGATGAACCCGCGCGACCAGCCTCGTACCAAGTTGGTACTAAAGTCGCGCAATATTGTACGACCCTTGCTGTCCTTCCTGCATTATTTTGGTATAGGGGCTTTTCACGTCCCCAAAACAATTTCGCCACATACACGCTTTCGCCCATCAGAAAAGTAGATGATGCTTTCCTGATATGCGGGAGTTTTTTCCATCGTCTCAGATTTTTCACAGCCAGCACATACTTCATTTAGAATTTATATCCAAGTCTACAAGAGATAAGCGATCGAGCCAGTAGCCGATTAAGCATGTTTAAAGAACCCATAGCTGTCACGTGTTAAAATCTGAGGGGCACAGCCACCTCTGTTGATGAACACGGGACATTTACCAGAAGCCAGGTGTCAAAATATTAAAAATATGTCTTTGCAACGTACGTTGTCGTTATATGGAACACATTCATGCTTTTCAACACCTACTGTTTGAAGATGAACGAAGGATTGAATCATATCTTGAAAATTAGCGGAAATATAATTGAAACAAGTTTGAGCCACACGCCTATTTGGCCACAACCTGTTATTGACTCCTTCAGAGCAAATAAACAACCAAAGATCAAGTTGCCAGTACCCTCAAGTGCATGTTAAGAACCACAATAGCCATTAAATGGAAGGGGATGAAAAGGTATACTGGGTGTTCTGGATAGCCCAGATTGTGTCAAATATTATACACGTAGAATAGGCATTCTAAGGGGCGAACTCCCCCAAATTTTACTTGAATAGTGGTGACATGAACTACTAGAACAATCAACCTACTGGCATCTCCTGAAACATCTCTATCTGAGCTCTGCAAACAAAAAATAACTGTAATTTACCTCTTCAAAAATTTTATCCCTGAATTTTTTTTGGTTTTGTCCTATTCGCCATCGACCAGCAACGAAAAATTATTTAAATAATTTGAATTTCCCTCTTTTCTAAAAACAGACTTTTTTTGCCATCTCGGAATCTGGTCGTGTCGTGTGCGAATTCGCCTAATCTTAATATTTATTTCATCACGCACAACATGGAAAAGAACCAGTTTGACTACGAAAAGAGAATGGTGCAGCCTCCCTTGAGCCCACCAAATCCTTCGTCAAGCCCTTCGCCAAACCCTACCACTGTGGATGCCGTGAAGATGACGACTGTGGCAGCCCCTACTGCTGCTGTTTCAGTTCCCGCCTCCGGTGCTGATACTTTGGCACCTCAAACTATTCTGCCAACAGAGCCTACTTCCAATACGGCCAGCGACGGTGTTCCCACCGGCAATATTCCCACCGCGGCCTCTCCAGCCCCAACCTCAGTATACACTTCTGGTCCCGCTGTGGTTCCTGTAAATATGGTTCCGGCCCCAACTCCTCAACCAGAACCTGATATGAATGACCTTCCTGACAATCCTATGCCTAAACATCAGGCTAAGTTTGCCCTCAACACCATCAAGAATGTGAAGCGTTTAAAAGATGCAGGTCCATTTTTGAAACCGGTTGATATTATCAAGTTGAATATTCCTTTCTACTACAATTTTGTTCCAAAACCAATGGATTTATCAACTATTGAGAAAAAGCTTACTGTCAGTGCCTACGAGGTACCTGAACAATTTATTGATGACTTCAACTTGATGGTGAGCAACTGCATAAAGTTCAATGGAGAAAATTCCCCAATCGCTAAGATGGGTAAAAATATCCAAGCTTATTTCGAAAAGCACATGTTGAACTTCCCACCAAAAGAAGCGAACGAAAGTGAATTAAGTACGGCTTCGAAAAGAAGGATTGAGCTGCAACTGCTGGTTCCCTCAATTGCCAGTAACAGACCAAAGAGAAACATACACCCACCAAAACCAAAAGAGTTGCCATACGATAATAGACCAAGAAAGAAGAAGTTTGCTGCTGATTTAAGATTTTGTAATCAAATACTCAAAGATCTCATCAGTAAGAAGCATTTCAGCTATAACTTCCCATTTTTGCAACCGGTGGATGCCGTTGCTTTGAATATTCCAAATTATTCTGACATAATTAAGCAGCCAATGGATTTGTCCACGATTCAATCAAAGTTGGCTAATAATCAATATGAGAATGGTGATGAATTTGAACTGGACGTGACCTTGATGTTTGAGAATTGTTACAAATTCAATCCTGAAGGTACGGATGTGAGTATGATGGGCCACAAGTTACAGGATATCTTCCAGAAGAAATGGATTAACAGGCCAATTCCAAAGGATACTCCTCAGAATTCTGATAATGAAGATTATTCTGACGATGAATTTCTGGATGACAACAGTGATGTGGATGAAAGTGTTTTATCCAATATCCCCGCTATCAAATTTTTGGAAGATCAATTGATTAGAATGACCCAGGAGTTAGATAAGTTGAAGAAAGATCACTTGTTGAAAATCAAGCAACAGCGTGAACAAAGACGCAAATCCCGTGCAAGTGGTAAGAACCGTAAAAGAAGTGGCTCTATGGCCCACAGCACAGGTGGAAAATCCAAGAAGATTAAATTGATACCTCAAATTCAAGTCACATATGAGATGAAGAAACAAGTTAGTGAACAAGTTCCAAACTTGCCAGATAAGAAGCTTCAAGAATTTATAAAGATTATAAAGGATGATGTCGACTTGAATGATGAGGAAGAGGTTGAATTGGATATGGATCAATTGGAAGACAAAACTATCTTGAAGTTGTACAACTTCTTGTTTGACAAGAAGCCAGCTAAGGCCAAAAAGATGGAGTTGACCACAAACTACGATAAGCTCACGAAGTTGAAGAACCAATTAAGTTTGTTCGATGAAGGTATGAGGGCTGAAAGTAGTGATGATGATGATATGAGTAGCGAGAGTTCAGAAGAGGAATGAACGCATACATAGTCCTGTAATAATAATGTATATTAATCAGAGTAAACGCAGGTAGGGATATGTGCAGCCAGTGTAAGTCTAACTCTGTCGCGCTTTTCATCTCATCGCTTGATTTCAAATCGTCATAGTTGTGAAGATAGAGGACTCAATGAATAACAGTAAAAGCATGCCCAGTCCAAGTGAATCAGCAAAAAAGCGTTCAAAAGATAATGATGAACTTGTTCAAGATCTAAAAACACTCCATATAACTCCAAATAAGAATATGTTAAAAGAAAGGATTACTCCGAGAGACCCAAAATACAAACCTATCAACATAATACAAGTTAATATTGCTAACAATAAATACACCACCATTGCTGGACCGATGGTGAGGTACTCAAAGCTTCCCTTTCGTGCATTATTGAGGAACTTTAAGTGTGATATAGTGTATTCTCCTATGATTCTTGCACGTGAGTTCGTAAGGAATGATATTGCACGTCTTTCAGATTTCACCACAAACTCAGAGGACAAGAGTCTAATAGTGCAAGTAGGAGTGAATAATGAACTTGATTTGCTCAGGTTTGTGGATATGGTTCATCCGTATGTGGATGGAATAGGATTGAATTGTGGATGTCCGATTAAGGAACAAGTCGCAGAGGGTATAGGAGCAGCACTAATGTCAGAGCCGGACTTGGTAGCCAGAATGATCAAGGTGGTCAAAGATAAGTACAAAGACACGGTGTGTATTGACGCAAAAATAAGGATTCACAAGGATTTGGAAGAAACTGTTGAATTTGTCAAAAAGGTTCAGGCCAGTGGAGTAGACTTTATTACAATTCATGGACGTACAAAGAGTACCAGATCGTCAATTCCAGTAAACCTTGATGCCATAAAATATGTTCGGCAGTTTACCACTGTTCCAGTTATGGCAAATGGTGATTGTTTTAATCCGGAGGATGTAGAGAGAATTTGCAGTTACACTGGCTGCGACGGAGTCATGTCCGCTAGAGGAGTGTTGCAAAATCCAGCTTTATTTGCTGGGTATGATAAAACTCCATGGATGGCAGTGGAACTCTTCTGGCACTACTCTATGTCTTATGGACTACCGTTTAGAATCATTCAACACCATTTATCAGAGATGTTGCACCAAATTTTAACTAATGCTAAGTTGAAAGAAATGAACTTCATTAACAATTTAGTTGATTTGATGGACTGGTTTGACCACAACTTTGATTTGAAACGGAACAGTGATCCTGGGTTTGCTACAAGGGTCGAAGTTCCTTATAAATTATAGTATTTCATTTTATTATACAATACATATATTATACATTTCGATTTGATTCAATTTAAGAATTCTTTGTTTTGCAAGGAAATACTTTTGGTCATATTGTTGACTTTGTAAATTCCTACCAATTGCTTGGCTAATTCGAACATATTATTTCTTAAAGAAATAACAATAAACTGACCATTCTTGGTTCTTTCTTTAATGTAATTTGCCACGATACTCACATTCCTAAAATCCAACGCTGCATCGATTTCATCCATGACATATAATGGGGTTGGTTTATACTTGTGTAATGCAAAAACCAATGCTAATGAACTCAAGGTCTTCTCACCACCACTCAAATTGCTAATATTTCTCCAAGACTTTTTTGGTGGCATAACGCTAAACAAAATACCTTCGGAAAAAGGATCCAAACTATCAACTAACTCTAATTCGGCATTACCACCCATAGTGATCATTTGGTACATTTCTTTCAACGATAACGAAATAGTATTGAAACCCTCCATGAACTCGTCTAATCTCTTGCGCTTCAAGTCTTCACAGTAGTTCTTAATTTCGTCCCTAGAACTGATCGACTCATCTAACTCTTGTTGTCGAATTTTGAATTCCTGTATCTTCAAACCGTACTCTTTTAAGATCTCTATATCTGTTTTGACGTTAGCCATGTACTTCTCAATGTCAACTATCTCACTATCGACTTCGTCAATATTGACTCGTTCTAATTCTTCTGTGGTAAGCTTCTTGATTTCATTACCATTGTATTTCTCTTGTTCTTCAGGTTCCAACCAGGAAATGTAATCTGTCGTGTTCCTGACTAGCAAAGAGCCCAAGTTCTCCTCTTCAACAGAAATTTCACGCTGTATCTTTTTAATGACGTTACCCAATTTTTCAAGTTTATTATTAAGTTCAATTTCCAAAGATTTGAATTTCTTGATCTCGGAGTTCTTAGCTTCTAATTGCTCATTCACACCTTCTAATGACTCTTGCAAAGCTTCCTTCTCGTCAGTTAACTTATCAATTTCTTTGTTCAATGCATCTAATTCTTCCTGTTTGTTGGTATCTTGGCTTTTAATGGTCTCCAATTCGGTTTCAGCTTTTTCAATTTCTTTGGAGCTTTCTTCAGAAGCTTTGGCAGTTCTCTTGATTTCATTTTCTAATTTTCTAATAGTTAGCTTCTCATTTGAAGTCTTATCATTTATAATCTCGATCTTCTGCTTGATGGAATCGACTTTGGCACTCTGCAACCTTAATTCGACACCACCTGCTTCCATGATCTTCTCTTCCAATTCCCCAATTTTAGATTCCAAGTCTTTCATCTCCAATTTTAATTCATCCTTGCCTTTGATTATTTCATTCTTTTCGCTTTCCTTGAATTGAATCTCTTGTTCAATCTTGGCAGAGTTTTCATTGCTTTCATTTTCGTTGATCAATCTCTTGCACAAAGCCGATACTTCACGTTTCTCACTGCTCAAGGCTTCAATTTCAAGTTTTAACTTGGACAAATTGAACTGAGTTTCAGGATGCAAATCTTTCAAACTTCTTAATTGGCTTTCTTTAATCTGAAAGTCTCTATATTCTGCTTCATATTTTGATTCCATAGAGCTTAAGTCTTGCTGTAATTGTTGCACATCCTCGTCGCTCAAATCCATTTTGTCCTCCAATTTGGAAGACGCCAATATCATACCTCCTTTGGCGAAGCTATTTCCTCCACCAGACATTGTACCGGAAGTATCAACCAACTTACCATCTAAGGTGACAACCCTAAACCTCTTCTTGCCATATGCAACTTGTTTGGCTTCTTGTAAGTTGGTCGCAACTAGAGTGTCAAACAACTTACTGTAAAATGCTGTTAAGAACTTTTCGTTTTTTGGTTTAATCAAGTCAAACAACCTCTTCACAGTGGCAGGGTTACCGGGTGTACTAATTGGTGAGGTATTGAAGTTTCTAAGCTTATTAAGGCAAATAAAAGTACCATAACCCAAGCTATTCTTTCTTAAATATTGAATGCAAGTTTGAGCGGTTTCCACCGTCTCAACCACAATAGAATCCAATGCTGGACATGCTGTGGAGATGGCAATATCATATTTATCATCAATGATACCCAAGTCTCCTAATCTCCCATAAAATCCATTAATTCTTCCACTTTTGGCCAACCTACTTAAGGAACTCAAAACACGACTCTTATTTTGATTATGCGAATGGACAGATAAGGAGTCTTGAACCTTGGTCCTCATGTTTATCAAATCGGTTTTTTTGGCCAGTAATTGTTTGCGTTCACTCTCTATCTGCCCCTCCCCGAGTCCGATTTGTTCGACAATGTGATCCAATTTTTCTTGGGTCTCTTGGTATTCGATTTCCTTCTGCTTTCCCTCAGCTTTGATGTTGATCAAACGTTCCTTACCAGCTTCTAACTTCTTGCTGTTTTCTAATTTCTGACTATTTAGCATTTCAATTGAGGAGTTGATCAATTGGATGGAATTCTCCTTCTCTTTCAACTTGTCATTCCAAGGTTCCAATTTGGTTTGCAAGCTTTCAATCTCTTTGGAATAAACTGATGTCTTGGAGGTCATCTTTTGTCTAATTTCATCCAAAGTTGCTTTCTCTTGGGTCAATTCTTTGACCAATTGATCCAACTCATCTTTAAATTGAGCAGACATTTCGTTTTGGGTATTGAGTTTACTTCTACTCATGGACAAGGATTGCTCCAGCTGCTCTTTTGACTTGATAGCTTTTCTCAACTTCCCGTTCAAATTCTTAATTTTCTCATCAACCGACACGATAGCTTTATTAATTGCTTTAGACTTCTCTGCTCTTTTGCCAATCTCCTTGCTGATAGTGACAATTTGATAGTTAATAGACTTTTGCTCTTTCAAGTCAGATTCGAGTTGTTGGTTTAACTCCTCATTTTTGGTCTTCTCTTCCTCATATTCTTCATTCAACTCATTAAAGAGCCTTTGCCTCTCGGCTAACTCACTGGTATTAGCATTAAGGTTGATTTGGAATTGGATTGACTTCAAATTAATCATCTTCTTTTCCATTTCTAGAAAACGCAATGCTTCAGTTTTCTTTTCTTCAAGTTGATTCTTATCCTTTTCAACCAACTCAAATCTGTTTGACTTTTCGATACAAACGTCGTTCAACTCATCAACTTTAGACAAGTTTGAGTCAATTAATTCTTTGTAATGCGAAGTACCAATGATATCTTCCAAGTATTCCAATAAGCCATCATCACTTTCTTTTTCTGCCTTTGGTTTCATCTGTGCTATAGACTCAACTTCACCTTGTAAGATCAAAAATCTTTTATGATGCAAATCAATCCCCTTATCTTTCAAAAGGTTGGTAACCTCCGTATAAGTACTAGTTTTGCCATTAATGTAGTATTGAGACAGGTTATTCTTTAGAGCCTTCCTAGACACAACAAGTTGGGAATCAGGAATAACGGAAAAGCTGTCGTCTTGTAGATCATCAATTACATGGTTGAAGTGGATGTCGACCTGACAGAATTCTAGTCTGTTACCTTCAGAGTTATGAATCAATTCACTCAATTTACCTTGTCTCATCTTGGAAGCTCGAAACCCAAAAACAAAAAGCATGGAATCAATCACGTTTGATTTCCCACTTCCATTAGGACCAACAACAGCAGAAAATGACGCGTTGAAGGGACCAATAACTTGACGCCCAGCGTAAGACTTAAAGTTAGTTAAAACTAACTGATCAATAACCAAACGAGGTTCAGCCTTCTTGGGTGCCATTGTGAAAGATTCTCTCTTCTTTGGAGATGTTATATTCATGCTGCTTTGCTGTTGTGAATAGCTCAAGACTTCTTCTGGTTCTTGGACAAGGTTCGGAACTGGCGTCAGTGGAGCCAATAAGGGAATCTCGGATACCTTGACCTCGAGGGAGTTTGCAGATTCTATCAGGCTCTTGGTGAAAGAACTGGTAGCATCTTTGGTAATTTCGTTGCTGGTATCCAGGGTTTCATTTGCTCTTGAAATATCTGGGGTTTGATCTCTATAGGCGACTTCAGACTCATTATCACTGTCATTGCAAGCACCAGCAATCGAGCTATTAGATGCGGAGACAAAAGTCTGGTCATCAAGACCGGATCGGTTGACAGCTGATGATTCTTGATGTGGTTTATTTGAGGAATCAATCAGATATTCACTGTTATTTATAAAGGTTTGATGGGCACTAGTCTCCTGTTCATCGATTTCATCATCACTTAAAGAGATCCTTCTCTTTGATCTTTTGGGAGGTGACATCTTCCACTATACAACAGGAAATTGAAGTTCAACAAAGTTTGTTGCCGTGTAACACGCTCAAGATACCTAATTTTATATTGTAAACAAAAGACCTTCGCAGAAATTATGGTGAGATTGGGATCGTGCACGACATAATTATGTAGTATAAAGCATGTAGCTGCATATTTACAAATGTGTAGTTATATATTTTAGAGTGTAGGTATGATCCAACATGCAACTATGAAGCCATAAAGTAGCTGAAATAATCCAAAAGGCTTTACTTATCGTGTTTATGGGTCTTTTCCTTTTTTTCTTTCTTGTCTGTTTTATCTTTTTTATGTTTCTTTTCCTTCCTTTCCTTTTTTTCCTTCTTGTCCTTCTTACTCTTCTTTTCCTTGGTTTCTTCTTTTGTCTCCTCTTCTTCACCACTAGAAGGATAGTCTTTAGTCTCGTTAGCAGTGTCGTTAATAGTCTCATCCACGGTTTCATCCATTGCAGTTTGAATTATAACTTCTTGAGGCTCTTCGAGTTCAAATTTTATCTTCTTGTTGGAAGGTTGGTCTTGGCTATCATCATCAAACCTAATCTTTTTATTACTGGATAATTCTGGTACTAAGTTGAACTCAGTTAAAGTGGGTGGGAGACCTCTCAAATCTCTTTGTAATCTCTTTAATTGACTTATTATAGCAGCATTCCCTGTACTATTACTCAACCCGCTGTCAGCATTCAAAATTTCATTGGATGAAGATGCTTGTCCTGGTACCGTAGTTGCAACCGATTCACTGATGTCTATGAAAGCCGTTAAAATCCTTTCGGTTTCGGATTGGGTGGCCAATTTGGAAGACTTGATTACAACGGAAGTGGGGGTGTTGATAGCACTTGGTATCACTCTTCTTGGTCTGAAAGATGACATAGATGGTTGTAGATTGCAAAGATTTGAGATGGGCATCTCTCAGAAAATGCGAAAAAGTGTAAAGATTGGTTAGTGCTAAAAATTACACTGAGTGATCGATGATTGAGAGTTAATACTGTCCTTAATAACCATCAAAACTTTTTCGCATTCTGGTAATTTTTCAGAGCTTCAATTTACGGGTTCTGTACTATCTTCTTTCAAACAGCATGCTTAGAGTCGGATTGCCTAGTATAAGGCCTACACGAGCATTGAAGACCTTGGGAATTAATATGGTTCGTGGCTTTTCCCTCATGAGACCCACTCCTTTGGCTCAAACCAAGCTTCAATCACTTCCCGTCAATCAAACCTCTTCTCCAATATTATCCTTAATCAAAGAGATTTCCCCTGCCTTGCAAAGCTCACCTTTTTCTTCATCCTTGGGTTTGGTACAAAGAAGATTCAAAACTAGAGGTAACACTTATCAACCTTCTACTTTGAAAAGGAAGAGAACATTTGGATTTTTAGCGAGGCTAAGAGTTAAAAATGGAAGGAAAATCTTACAAAGAAGAAGAGCCAAGGGGAGATGGTACTTGACTCACTAAACTTTTGGTATGCATGTAAATAATTTCCAGAGCACTGAAAGCTACGATATAGATGTTAAATAATTTCATAGATCATAATTGTATATAACTGATCAATGCAATGATGCTAAAGTATAGTTTATTTATGCTCTTCCCAAAAGACGGGAATATTCACTTTCAACTTGATGAATGACTTTTTGTAAGCTTACAATTCCCATTTCATGTGTGACATTTGGAAGTTTGTTTCTATGAAGCCCGAACCATTCTAATGGAGGGGTTGCATTTCCAAGTTCTTTTAATTGAGGTGCTTCAATGATAGGAGGTGCCAAAGGCAAATATAAGTATTTAGAACTCTTAGAAACTTTGTCAATTTTTTCATTCAATGCTTGGTCAATCCTTTCTGTAGAGGTTTCTGATGCTTTTGGATCCATCAATAGACCTAAGGCTAGTGTTTTTCTATTATCATCTTTATCAGTAAAGATATCTTTCTTGAAGTTTACCTCTTCAGTTCCAGTATTTTGTTGCAATGTTTTTCTGAACTGATTCCTCGATGCCAACGAATTGATGTGAATACTATACATCTCTCGAATAAAGTTGACTGATCCAAGATTCCACCGGATATCAACTGTTCCTCCAAACGTTGATTGATAGAAATACTCAATCAAATTGGTATTATACTTTTGGAATGTTTTCATTGAAATCTGGAATGATGGGAACAGGAAAATCAGTCCACCTCTTGCTTTACGGGCATACTTTGAAAAGTCTTCCACAGTAGCTTCTTGAATGAAATCTTCCAGAACAGCTGTATTGGTAGACAATGATACCTTCAAGTCATTGAACTGGATTTTAAGCTGATTGGCAATACCATGGTTGTATTCATTTTGCAGGAATTGAGCACTTGACTCATCTAATTTTATCACCAATACTTTGCTATCATCAAAGGATGTAGGGTACACATGTATGAGCAACGTTCCAGCCAAAACTTCAAACTCTGTTTCAAGTTTCTTGACGGTCTCGAGAATAGCGTTATTGTATGGTTTGTTGGACTTCTTAGCGGAATGAGACTTATTTTTGTTCGAGTCATGCAAGGTCTCCTTATACGAGATCTTATTATCCTGAGTCATTCTTAAGACTGCATTGTAGATATCTAAAACATTCGAAGCCGTGAAGGATGACATATAGATTTCACAAGCTTTGAATTGGGCTGCCACAAAAAGATGATCTTTGCTGATCATCAATTCACTCTTCTGGTTATAGAGATCAATTGAATAATCACTAATACTGATAACAACAAAGACGTGATAATCGAACGTACTCTTCACGGCTAATTGATCAACACCAGCTGAAACTAAAATCAATGGCACGTCTAGAACCTTACCTTCATCGAGTTTCCAAGTGACTTCGGAATGAAGATACAAATCATTGGCAATCAAATCGCCTCCCAACCTACCTTCCGAGGTTATTTCAAATGCATTAATACCCATCTTGAACTGTTGTGTCCAATCGGGTGTCTTCTGTGAAACTGCCCAAATCTCATTCAATTTAAACATCATTTCACCTAAAGATGGTCCACAATTAACTTTGACCAACACGTCAGATAAGACAAAAGTTATAAACCATGGTATTGCATTAGTAGTCGACACTTCCTTGAATCTCCATGCAATATTCTTGTTATCTGCTAACTCATTGGAGTTTGGTAGGAAATGCTCCACTTGTGGTTCTTCGTATTCACGCATGAGGTGTTTTGGCCACCAAATATCCTTGAACAAAGCAAGGTCTTGAAATTGTTTGACATTGACATACCCTTCGACATTGGAAATGCAACTAGCTGACTTGACACTAATTTCGTTGAGTAACTCAACAGAAGTAGTCAAAACAACAGAGTTGACATCAATTGACCCACTGACTTCTCTAGAATAAACATGCTGGACTGCAGCAGATATTTTATCTAACACTGCAATTGCATTAATCGAGGCATTGGATCCCGAGTTGACTTGGAAGTAGATGCCTCCAATGCCCACAATTGCTTCTACCTTTGCAGTCGGTTCACAACTTAATGAAATCTTTTGCTTATCCACTTTGATACCGAAGTGGATATCTGTTTCTTCAAGAATGGTACTAAAGCTAAAGTTCTTCTGACCAGCAGAGGTTTCCACTCGCTTATTTGGTACTTCCTTCTCGGAAGTACTAGCATGATTCTGATTCAGTAATCTCACCATTCTCTTGACCCCATATACAATGTCCATGATCACTGGTACACACGAAGCATAAATCTTGTTGTCAGAAGAAGATGTAAACAATTCACTTTTAATGCTGTGCTTCTTGGCTCCACTTTTGTAATGAGAATATGTGGTGGTACTTTTAACAGCTGGGAAATTTAAGATAAATGAACTTCCATCTCCAGACTCTCCAATCTTTTGAAGGGAAACTATCGAACCTGCAAAAGTTGCCTTACATTCAATGGATGAGAATGTAGATCTTAAAGAATTCATGTAGTCAACCTGTTGTTCCTCGTGAGATTTACTATCATCTTTCCATTTATCCATTATCTTAACACGTTTGTCAAAGAATGCTTGAACCTGAGAACCAGACTTGATAACGTACTCAAAAATGTGGAACGAGTTAGACAAATAATTGACGTCAAGTTCATCCCCGGTGATGTTCGATTTCATACGTTTCCCTTCGAGTTCATCTGTTACCACGTAGACAAACTGTACAAACGGTAAAAATGCTCTGTTAGAGTTAGTTTTCTCGGACTGTGTACTGAAAAAACCAGAAGAAGTTGATCCATGCGCAACAGCCAAGTAGGCTTCCATCAAGGATAATTTCCCAATGCCTTCGTCTGTTACAGCATAGAATCTTTCAGCACCAAGAATTAAACCAGGGTAATCATTTCTCGCATCTTCAAAAATCCATCCGATACAGAAATTGTACGATAAGATATGGAAGCCTGAAATGAAAGAGAGAAAACTCTCTTTGGTTTCATTAATAGCAGTCTTTTTATTTCTGGATTGTTTCAATTGCTTCTCTAGTTCCTTTTTTATTATGGCCAATTCATCAGCTAAGAACACTATTCTCTGAATTGCCCCAAAACTCAAACAAACTCTGCAATAGTGTGATACAACTTCTAAGATTTGACGATTGTTATGCTTCTTTTCGTTGATGAGCTTGATCAAAATGTTTACATCAATAATATTTGATAATCCCACTGGTATAATTCTATCGGCAATAGAAATACGGAATGATGGAACCAGTACACTCCCATAATATGATACAGTTCTCGAGATACCCACTTCTGGAGTAATAATATTGCTGAGTTTGATTTCAATATTTTCTGATTCCATAGAATACCTAGATCTATCAGCCAAGAAAGACATTCCCACATAATCAGTAGCAAACTTGACATCAATAGGAATTTCTCCCAAATTAAACTTGGATTCTGAAGTACGCAAGGGGGTCTTTGGCAGTGAACTGAAAAGCGAAGTCAGCTTGATTTTGTTGACCACAGATTCGTATTCTAATACCAGGTCCTGGAAATTATCGAGAATTTCGTTTATAGACCTGATCAATTTAGGACAGAATATTTTTGAGAAACCAAGTTGAGAGTCAACAGAAACGGCAGGTGTGCCATTTTGCTCACATATCTTTATGTTGTTCAACATTTGTGAATGTTCAAGTTCCAATATACTGTAAGAAGGAGTTTTCAAGTTAAAGTCGATCTTTTGTAGTAAGCTGCTTATATCAGCAGCACCATCAGACAAAATTAGTGAAATACTGTTATCATACACAGCTCCATGTAGCAGAATCGTCTTTAGCAAAGATATCATATATGAGAAATGGTTAACTTGAACATTCACAATAACATCCTTCTTGTTGAGCAATTCATGAAAATCGAATTCATGATCATCCTTTGAAGTCACTGTGGGATCAATTCTAGGCTTTAATAGCTCAAGGTACTTCATATCCATTTCAATAGCCATCTCTATAGTATGCGATAACTTGTCGTCAATAATTTTGCTATAGCTGTTTTCCACAAAGGCGTCAACAACTACCATTTCAGTCGAGGCATTACCACCGTAAGAAACAACACTGATTTCTTCTAATCCATGAGATATAAGCTGTTGACTGTCGTGCTTCATTTGGAAGAGAATCGAAGAAGCTTGTGCAGTGAAGGACATAAAGGAAGAATCCTCTTCAATTGCTTGGCAAGTTGCTGTTGCACTCAAGTTGAATGCTTGAAACTGGAAGCAAAGATAATCAAGTTGTAGTTGCTGATCAAAGTTATTGATGTTGAAAACCACAGATATTGCTGATTCTGTCTGGACATCTTGCTCACTAGCTTTTCTTTTTGGTTTAAATCGTTCAGCTTCTTCCATCAAAGACGGAATAACAGTCAATGTAGCAGGAGAAATAGCTCCCTTATAAGATCCTATATTAGCAAGAATATGGAAAGCCCTTACTCTAGCATCAAACTGGTGGGCTGTATCTTGAGGAAGCAACAAAAACATAGCATCCTTCTTTTGAGTGGTGAAGGAAAGATAGGCATTTTGAACCTCAATGTAGTCGGGTACCTTACTGTACTGATTTGAGAATTCTATGGCAATTCTGTGGAACGTCGTTTGAAATATTCCACTCTTTTGAATCACTGGAAGAAAGTTGAAGATCTTTTGGAAAAACGTTTCACGTTCTTGAAAATTCGATTCCCAACTTCTCCACTTCGAAAATACGTCCCAGGTTTCTTCATAAGCTGTTGATGGAATTTTCCAACCATTTTGTCTTAAAGCATTCTCTTGATCCGTCACCCACTGATCGTCCATACTCTGAAAAATATGACGTAGTCTCACCAATACCTTCCACGAGTCAAATACTCTAATATGCTCTTTCAATGATCTAAGTACGTAGGCAGGTTTGGTTAAAACTGTGGAGTCGTCATCAACCTTATACTTTTTGGAAGCAAGGCCCAAGGTATATACTAAAGCAGCTTGAGATTTCCCTTGAATTTCGCTGTTCTTTTGGAATGCATCGAGTGATGGCTGAAGTTCCCTCGAAAGGAAATCTATGTAGCGGATCAACCAGATCAACTGGGCATCCCCGAGATCTAAAGAAACATCTTCGACAATGAGAGAAGATATTTCTTCTTTCTTGTCATCCGCTTGCCAAAACTCAATGTCTTTAACACATAAACTGATGGAGTCATCAAAATCCTTAGGGCTAGTAATATTGACTATTATGTTTTTGAAACTGAAAGCTGTCGAAGTTTGTTTGGTCAGAAGATATTCCTCGCTGTGTAATTTTCTTCTTTCCTCCGTCATAGACAAAGCCATAGAAGGTTCAGTGACCAAGATATTAATTGCAGAAGAGTACTTCAATGCATCGGAAATTTCAACCTCATTCATGCCATGAAATTCCCCAAAGGAAATGTTTATAGAGGGAGCCACAAGTCTTTGGTTCTCGTTAGTCGAAACTTGAAGCATCAAAAGTTTAAGATCATCCACAACATGCTTTTCGAACAAATCCATCAAGTTATTCAAATCAGGATTATGCATGCTATCCTGAAAACTTGCGTAAACCTCGATCGCTTTGGGCGATATAAAACCAATGATATCATCAAATGTGTAAATAAGATTTTCATATTTGAAACTCTCATCCTTTTGGGAATCCGGTTGGAAATCTTCTTCCGCATAGTCGAGAGTAGGTGATATGAAGAGTCTATCTCCTCGTAATTCTTGTTCCAGCAAGGAAGAATTGGAGCTGGAATAAGACCCCAATGATTCCGTAGGATTATTGATATCATTGGTATACCTATTCAACGGAAGGGGAACATCAGGTAATGAAACAGGGTTGATAATAGAGCGATATGCTTCATAATAATTAGCATTTTTAGTCTCCTCAAACAACATTTGCAGAGCCCTGTGAAAAGGAGCATCATTAAACCTAATATGTTCCTGCTGTAATCTTCTATGCTCATTGTACTTGGGTTTTCTCAAAATATTATCGATAACAAGAGAGGTCCTGAACAAAGCACTAATATTTTTGGTTTCTTCATTGACAATTTTATGTTCAATCTCTTGGATGTTCACCGATAGCTTGGCCGAATACCTGGAATTGGCAATATCATTGAAAGTAAATACAACAGGCCTCAAATTCAACACAACAGCCTCTTTGCCACAAGATAATTTCACATTCAATTCAGGACATTGGAACGAAAAACACAACGCATCATAAATAGTTGGAAGTGTTGGGTGTAAAGCATTTTCTAAGTCTTTGAAGCTTGCCATAAAAGTTGAAAGAGTTTCTACCAAATAAAGCAAGAAACTTGGATCTGAATCAATACTAATGAGATTAGTTGCGACGACCCAGTTACAATAGTATGTGACTTCTTTCGGTGGAATACCAAACATCCTATGGCCATGGACAGAAAATTCATCAATAAGGATGTCAAAATTCTCTCTTACCTTGAATCTTTGCAAGTAACCTTTTATATCAGTTAGATTGTCATCCAGATTTACGTCCTTCGAGAGCTTCACAAACATACCATAAGTTGGACTAAAGTCGGCTTGCATATCCATGTAGAAGTTTGTGAATCTGATGTCAGCATCAAAATAATCAAAGGATAAGGCTATATGACTCTCTGTCCCATACATCTCATGTGGTAACACCAATAGGCCATTTCGTACTTGAAAAGAAAACAATACATCCACATTGTTATCCGTCTTCACCATTTTCCAATAATCAAACTGTTCAGTTAAGGTCGTATTTGAAGTAGTATGTATATCACTATCCATCAGGTGGTCATTGTTATATTCTTCAAAAGTTTTGAAGTGAAAACTATCGCCCAAGTAATTCTCTCTGATTATGAAGATGTACTTCATAAGTATACCGTAAAACTTCACCATAACGTCATCACCTTTACTCCGAATCACAATAGTGTTGTGAGTGTTGATTTCAACAGTGCTTAAATAAGAATATGAGCCGTCAATTGTGAAGTTATTTGCCCTTCCTATCAAAACAGAAGGCTTATTGAAGGAGTTCATAGTATGCCATGGGGGGACGTCCAAATTCAAGTCAAAATACGGAGCAAAGACTTTGAAACTAATGGAAGTGAGACGAGTGACTTGAGTAAGCAATGGAATCTCAAGAGCCAATTCAAGTTCCTTTCCTTGCACTGAAAGGTATTTATTACTATCAAAATCCAAAGGATTGTTGATAATGTTAGAATCATTGATGTTCAAGTAAAGCCTATAATTCTGAAGATTCCAGTTGAAAAGGTATGTAAAAGGCCTAAAATTTTCATAAGGCGCAGGAGCTCCTGAACCAAAGTCAGCAAACATATCCGAAATCAATAAAGTATGTTCCCGTAAAAAGAATATCCTAGCATTTGAACTGGAATTATCAAACACCCATTCACATGGACCATTCCATTCAAGAGGAAAGCTAAATTTGGCATCCAATGTGTGGACATCAGCCAAGTAGAGTATATCGTGATTGACAGAAGTACTAAGCTCTGGTTGAAGAAATACAGCAAACAAAGTATTGGGAAAACCTTCTTCTTCCAGACATAAAAATGAACTGAATGAAGATATGCTTGAATTTGCACCCATTTTCAATTCGAGCCATCCGAATGGCCTTATGGGTTTATTGATATTATTAGCCGTTCTTGCTGTTTTAAGAGCTTCTTTATCCTTACTGGGTTCTCTTGTCGGTATTCTGAAAATGATTTCATCTTCGGCGACCACGTTGACCTTGAATCCTTGGTATTGTCTCAACTGACCTGGTTGGGGTTTGGGAGAAGGAATAGTATCTCGAGATATTGGAGGAAAAAATGCTTGTTGGATAGGAACTCTTTGTTTATCTGCCCAAGGCCCATAGTGGATAGTTGCCATAGAAAACCTTATATCGGCTCCAAACTCTGGAAACGTATTTAACTCTTTGGCATCCACCTTCCCTGGAATATCGTAGTAGTAACTGAATTGTGTTGAGACAGAATCAAGTATCAAACTATATTTCCCATATTCTTCATTGCTGTTCATCAAATTATCGTACAAGTAGTTGAAGTCATCTAGTGATGCATTGAGGTATCGCCTCAATCCTATCCAGTTCTGGTAATCCACTTGTGGGGAAGCTTTTTCATGCAGAAAGCTGGCAAATATTGATGGTACCACATTGAGAGTTCTTTGGAGTTTCTTAAATTTTGAAACTGATGCGGCATGGGTGTTTCCATTTTGCTTGTTAGGCTGGTTTCCTTGGGACGATTCGTCATACAAGATATTGGCTTTCATTAATATTTGGAACTTCTCCATTTTAAAGAAGTAAAGGTGCTTGCAAATATCAAGCTTGCTATCAGTTCGTCTGATATCAGCAATCCCGTTTGCACTTTTGCAGGAATGAATAAGTAAAGAAGGTGTAGAATGATTCCCCAAAACTAAAACAGCACGTTTTATCGACACACTAATAGGAAAGACTGAAAGCAATCTCAGTAAGTGATGGTTGAGTTTATCCATATCCACCTCTGAGTGGTGAATTGTTGATTCATCAGACTTTGACGTAGAATCTCTCACCGAATTATTGCTTCTATTAGACCGCTGCCTCAAATCAGAAATATCTTTTTCGTGGTCATCCAACTTTTCAGGAGTAGAATCCATATTCGGGTCATCTTTGGTCAAAATCTTCATTATGTTATCGTATGCAAAAGTTCGGTTGTACATGAAAATCTCCAATCCTTCTAACAGAAGAAGAAACCGAGTGGAAAGTCTATCATTTTCCAGTTTAAGATCATCAGATCCCGTCAGGGAAGTCTCATCCTTCTCTTGTACCACATACTCTGCTAACCGGGTGCTACCCCAAAGCCAATATCTACAAGTAAGATTTACTCGTAGAACGGATACCGTTTGATTTTCTGTACCTATCGTTAAGTTCTTGATCATAAGTCTACCCCCAAGAGGGGAGAAACGGATAGATTCGATATTGATCATAATACCCAGAGTTCTCCAAAGTGCAAATCGCATCATAGTTGACAAGATAAACCCAAGGAACCTTCCAAAGTAAAACACAAAGGCTATACCAAGGATTAATACAAGGATCCAGTCCACCAAGTATATCCAAGAGGAGGCCAGATCCGTGGAGTGGCTTGCCACTTGAATAAACTGACTCTGTACCGCCATTTAGGATATATGATGTGTTCTGATCTCAATTTTTATGAGGCCTTTATGAAAATATGTAGAGTGGGTGTGAAAACTTAACTGTGTACTACTTTAATTGCGCGCAGTCATTTTGAACATAAACAAAGGGATCGTTTACACTAGTTCTTTTCACATCTTTCATCTCATCACAGCATCTGATACTATACATCAACAGTTTCACTCACCAAAGACATGTCTGGAAATACTCAGGTACCTGTAAATCTTAACCATTTCATTGACAAGGAAAATAGCACTAAAGACTATACAAACAAGTCCAAAACAAATGAAAATAGTTCAGCACATCTTCGTGGAAAACAGCCCATATCTCGGCCTCCTATGGCTGGAAGAGTGCCCTTGCGTGGAAAGGATGAGAATATGTCCATTCCATCCTTATCCAGATCACAGTCTTCAGTTGATAAACTAGACACAAACACGAATTCTTTATCCACAAACACATTTAAGAGAACTGCTCTTGCCAATAAGCCAAGGTTTTTGAAGTCTAGTTCTTCTTTGGGCTTCACTCACAATACATCTTCTCGCCACAAAGTAGCACCAGGAAGCCGGTCTTTGTTGAAGCTGAAAACTCACGTGGATCCAAATGCAAAGTTGACCTATAACAATAATACCATTTTCAATCCTGCTCTAGCCAACCGTGTACCAGAGTTGGAGCAGTACACCTTGGACACAGACTCATTGAAAAAGCGAATAATTAAGTCGAAGTCTCCTTCGAAAAACTTGTCTGACACCATCACAACCCAAACTGCTAAGTTGAGCTCGAGTAGCATTCCTCGAAGACAGATTAATGACGTCGACCCTGTTAAGAAAGGCCCTCTCATGACTGTCTCAAATAAACTTGATCAATATATCCAAGATCCTGAAAGAATAAAAGTCTTTGATGAGCTTGTAAATGATGAAAATAGCGTTGAGACAATCCCCCCCAAACCAATAGTGGCAGATCAACATGAAATTGAACTCGATGAAGAAGATTTGATGTTTTTCCGGACGGGAAAGACCAATCGAATTCAGGCACCTGTGAGCAAATTAAGGCTCGAGGAGATCAAACTCGAAGATACCACATTTGACATGGAAGATGTATCAAGAGAATCTAGTGATGATGAAGTAATTGGATTAAACGAACAGGAATTAAACGACTTATTGGACTTTTGAAATATACCGTCATGTAAGGTATATGATCATAATGTTACTAGATATATATATGTACTTAAAATATCATTCACCTATTTCATAACACATTCTTACTGTTGGGCACATTCGGGTTGAGCAGATCCTCCGCCATTATATGGGTAATCGTATTCATACTCATAGTTTCCATTGTACTCATGCTTGTCTTCTTGATCATTACTATAAGTAGGTAAGTTGTCGACATTTGTTAGTTCGAAGTCAGTGATCAACTCTATATTCTCTCGAGTTTTTGAAATTTCATCGATATCATCGGAATTTGAAAGGTCGTTAGGCAACACATTCTTCAATTTCAAAAGATCGTTTCTCTCCAAATACCAATTATCTTTAGGAAATTCAATATCAACCTTGATGTAAAGATCTCCTTTTGAGGCTCTTGAAAACCAGCTATCAGAGGACTTTATTGGCATTCCTTCACCTTTGATTTTAATGTAGTCTCCCGGTCTGATCACCTTTCCTTTAGGCGTGGTGACCTTAATAGCCCTTCCGTCAAGATGTTTAACTACTATCCTGGAAAATCCACACAATGCATCAACCAAGGGGATTTTCATGTCACAATACAAATCAATTTCTTTTCTCTCGAAAACTCGATGTTCTTTGCACAGTAGAGTCATTACCACATCTCCAGTCTCTTTTCCAGGATATTCATCACTTTCACCTTTTAAAGTAATTGATTCTCCGCCCATGCTGCCTTTTAGAATCTCAAATTCAAGAATCTTTACTTCCTCAATTAGCATGGTTCCCTTACACTTCTTACAGTAACTTTTGGTACTGAAGACCTTTCCTGATCCTTTACATGTAGTGCAGTCGACTGTTGTTTGTGTAACTAAACCAGGTCCCACTCTAGTAATTTTGGTAGCTTTACCCTTACCTTCACATTTGGCACACTGTTTAGCTACAGCATTCTTTTTAGCACCAGTACCTTTACAATGGGTGCAAATAATATTTCTGGTGGAGGTGATCTTGATGATTTTTCCTTTATACAAGTCTTCCAATGTTACATCAACATCAATTTCTGCGTTTGGAGTTTTGTTCGGTTTTCCTTGCTGGCCTTTTCTATTTCCGTTCATATTCATGCCATTGAAAAAGTTGGCGAAATCGTTTGCTCCAAACTCAGCTGATCCACCTTGACCGAAGAAATTGTCATATGGATTGCCATGAAACTCTTGTTCTCCGGGGAATGGATTGGAATCATCAGTGGTTCCATATATATCGTAATGATTTCTCTTCTCTTCATCGATCAATATCTCGTAGGCGTGCGATACCTCTTTAAACTTGATTTCTGCTTCTTCTCGTTCATGCTCGGTAACTTTATCAGGATGGTATTGCAAGGCTAGCCTTCTGTACGCTTTCTTTATGGCCAGACTATCGGCAGATGAGGTGACTCCAAGAATCTCATATAAATCACCACTCATCTGGTATGTTCTTGTCAGACAGATCTTGATGAGACGAAAATTTCGCGGACATCTGCCACTCAAATTATGTCTGGAGACCAGAACCTGCAAATAAAAACTGAACTTCAAGCAGTTGCCGCTACTGAAATGGCTTCAGACTTTAAGTTTAACTTCGATATACGTATTTGGATCTCTTCCTACTAAAAAACAGAGGACAATTAGCGTTTCAAAGGTCAAAAATAATAAGCGACACGAGCAGGGTTCGAACCTGCGCGGGCAGAGCCCAAAGGAACCTGCATCCTTCGCCTTAACCACTCGGCCATCGTATCGATAATCCAAATAAATATTAGAGATTCCGAATCAAGAAGACAATGTAACAATCCTTTACCTTCTATTCGATGTTTGTGAATTCATCCTTGGAATTGATATCAGAGACATACTCTAATCGTTCATGTGACCCTTAAATTGGGGTATGGAGGTTAAGGTTCTGACCGCCTGCTCAAGATCGCGTCACACTTTCATTTATATGGTCATTAAAAGTCCCATTAAATTTACACTTCTTACCTAATAATTGATACTGACATAATACCATACATATTCTATCCACTTTCATAGCATTTCTAGACCAAGCATTCTCTATTTGTAATTGAATTTGATAATTAACGTCAGTGATTTAGGCAAACAAAAAATCCGGGTAAGGCCCCCGCGAAAATCAGAAGGTCAAGGGTCAGAAAATCCTCCAGCAAATATCTCCAGCTGTTTATACTGTAACAAAACACAATAAAAAAATGGTATGCAATTTATCAATTGATAAAACGTTTATGGCTCAATATGTACTAACATTACTTGTAGTCTAGATCAGGGTATGTCTCACCGTGATGCAACAGCTGAAGCTCGTCGCACACTTTTCAACATAACTGTGTCCAAAACATGACACGGTTCCACTCACTCCGGTTTAGTGTTTGATAATGCATTGAAACTCATTGACTAACATACTTTTCTAGTGTCTCTGTAACTGATGAAGCTTTAAGTGCCTTCAATGATTTGAAGTTGGGAAAGAAATACAAATTCATTATTTTTGCCTTAAATGACAAGAAAACCGAGATTATTGTTGAGGAAACTTCTACTGACAAAGACTACGAAGTATTTTTGGAAAAATTACCAGAAAATGCTAGTAAATATGCCATCTATGATTTCGAATACGAAATTGGTGGTGGTGAAGGTAAGAGATCCAAGATTGTTTTCTACTCTTGGTCTCCAGATACTGCCTCTATCAAGGATAAGATGGTTTATGCATCTTCTAAAGATGCATTAAGAAGATCTTTGAACGGAGTGGCTGCCGACATTCAAGGTACCGACTTTTCGGAAGTTAGCTATGCTACCGTCTTGGAAAAAGTTAGCAGAGGTGCTGGCTCTCATTAAGAAGGATTCTATGGTTTTTAAAGTACATTGGTTCTCTTTTTTCTGTATATTTTACTTGAGCAAATATATATAAAACTATTTTCTTACCATTCACTTTCTCCGGTGGCTTTTTGAAACACATAGTCTCTTCCATTGATACTGGCAATTCCTTCTTTCAAGCTGCATTTCCATTTATTTTTGATTCTTTGAACTTTATCATAAAGACATAACATGATATGCCCATCTAGGTCATTATCTTCATCATCACTTCTGTCACTATCTAAGTCATCGTCGAGATCGCTGTTGATGTCGTCTGAGTCATTAAATTCGTCGCCGTACATCACACCCAATTCTCCATCCACCTGGTTCACCTTTTGTAATTGGCTAAGCACTTTCTTGGGGTTGTTTGTGTATATGGTCATTTCGAAGCTTTGCAGAGCTGATGCTCCATCGGTTTGCGTCACGTTCGGCAACATCAATCCGTTGCTATCGTCATACTCATCTTTGAAAGATTGGCTGTTTCCTATGTTGGGAATTTGAATGCCTATATCATCGTGATTATTTACGTTGGTATTATTCAAGTTCACCTCGTTACTGTAACTTAGTTGTTGGTCAGCACCTAATCCATAGTCATTGCTTATCAATAAGTCATCTTGAAGTTCTTGTTTTATGTCATGATTGCCGAGTGAAGGGGTTCTATTGGATTGTAATCCTTGTTGTCCAGCTGCCGCATGTGCTTCATCATCCCAAGTGAATCTGCTGACTTGCGATTGGGTTAATTTTTCTTGCCATATCTTTTTGAGTTCCTGGAGAGTGTTTTCATCCACTCCGCTATTTTCAAAGTCTTGCCTGGAGTCGTTTATCACTTCCTCGATTATTGCTTCATATAATTTACTAGCTTCTATGTTGGACATTCTGAAAGGAAAAACGATGAAAAGTTCGGTGATATTAGTTTCCTATAATAAGGAGTGTTTGTATAAGGCGTATATGAGGCTGTATTAAATACCGAATAAAACTGTACCGATTGTCCCAAGAGTTACGGTTCCTTTAACTGTGTCAGAGGAAAAAAATATTCATTTTTAAGAAGTGCGAACAAGACACCATAGGCGACTAGTTTGAAATGCTGATCGCAGCAGACACATTTGCCATATAATGGTACGTATATTTTAATCATTTATCTATTATAAAGCATGGGAGGTCTACTTTCTAAGGGTGTCCACCAATTCCTTGAAGTACGTTTTCTCGTCTTCAATATCTTTGACATAATCACATTGGGCTTTATACTGTAAACTCAATTCACTCAATTTCTTCTGCTTGTCTTGCAATTGTTCAAGCATCTCTGCCTGCTTCTTCTTGTGCTCAAGGCTCTGGCTCTTCAATTTATTGAATCTTTGGATAAGTTCTGCTACCATCTGCTCTTTAGAATTAGCCTTCTGTGTAAGACTCTTGATCGTGTAGGAGAGCTCGACGTTTTGGGATGTTAATTCAGAATTGGTTGTCAATAAGTTGTCAGATTCAATTCTTATCTCTTCAAGCTGATTCAAGATTTCCTTCGTTTCATTGTGCTTCATACCTAACTCCTTGAGAGCGATATTTATTCTTTCATTTTCGCTCTTCAAATTAGTTATGTCTTGCTTCAATTGATAGTTTTCAGTGGCCAACGCATTAGTGTCATTCTGGGCTCTAATACATCTATCAGACAATTCATGGATCTCGTCGCTCAAGCTTTGTCTCAAAGAGCTCAACTGATTTATTTCAAGTGCTGAGGCATCCGCATCCTTTGTGAGCTGTTTGACACTCGCTTGTAATTGGGCATTTTGTTCACTCAATTCAGAATTTTTAGAAGACAATTCTTCATGAATATAATTCTGATGTGTTCGTGTCTCCTGGAGTTCAATTACCTTCTCATTTAATTCAACGATATCATTCTCCAAATGCTTCTTTTTCTCGGATACTTCTTGGAGAAGTTGGTTTCTCTTATTTGATTGAGATTCAACTTGCTCTAATTGGATCTTAGCCTGTTGCAGCTCGCTTCTGAGATTGACGTTTTGTTCGTCCACCTCTTTAAACCTGTCAGATAATTCATTTAATTGGTTGTTCAACTTGTTATTCTCTTTGTTCAACTTATCATTCAAATTATCTGAGTGAGCAGAGTTTTCCTTCAACTCTGTATTTTGGTCTTCCAAGCTTTTGGTGATGGAAATCTGTTGTTCAAGGAGACCACTCTTATTGAACAATTGAGACTCTTTTATTTTCAACTCTTTTGCCGCCTTTGCAAGTTGGTAGTTCAACTTATCGATTCTCTCAGTTAAAACATTTATCTCTTCCTCTTTGTCTGTTAATGAGGTGTTCAACAGGTCAATTTCGTTCTGTTGAGTCTTGATAGTTTGTTCTAAGCTTCTGGTTTCTGACTTGTGTGATTCGTTCAAAGCACCAATTTCAGACCTATACTTTTTCAGCAAATCATCATACTCTTTGGATGAATACATTTGTGTGTTCATGAAGTTGGTGGTAGGCTCATCATAATTGATATCATTGTAACCTTGGAAACTAGGGAGTTCATCATTATCGGGATCCAAAATTGCTTTATTAGAAGATTGGGCCAAGGAATCTCTTTCACTTGGAAAAACCAAGTACTTCGTCATGCTGCTATCAACATGATTATTGTGCTCTTTCAAGGGAGTTCTGATTATGGGCCTGGGAACTGTGTCTCCCTTTTTAAGCGGTGATGTGAGGGTATGATTCTCTTTGTTGTCATTAGGGATTAGTGATTGGGTCATGACAGGACTCGAGTTCAACTTCTTATTCATATAGCCCAACATCAGAGGCGAGAATAAATGTGAAGACATGCGTGATAGGGTAGTGGGTTTTCACTGAAGAGTTTGTCAACAAAACTGGAAACAAAATGCTGGGGAAGAGTTGGTGGATTCTTCAATTATTGGAGCCAAAATGAAGCTGATGCGAAATATATCAGACTATGACCACCGTTGGACAAGAGAATAGGGTCTCGTGATATTGGTACTCAACAGTTAAAGAATACAAATACAAGCGAAAAACGAGGTAAACATACAAGCGTGTTTCGTGAAGTCGTGCAAGGGGAAAAGAAGCACTCAACATGATTTTGGAGATTATGAAAGGTCTGATGAGAAACAAGGGAATCATCCGGTATGACTGGAGTCTCCCTATAGTGTGGGACAGTTGCGTGGATGTAGAGCCAGAATGTGAGCTCTGCAATCCATTTCCATAAATTCGGAACTCTAGCCGTCTGCCATTTCTCACAAGTTTACAATTCAATAAAATTTGCAACTTTTAGAATTCTATGAAAACTACGCTTCATCCTAAAGGCCAATTATCTTTCAATGAAAAAAAGTCCGATCCCACTGTTCTTCTTTACTGCTCAGATGCTTTCTAAGTGTCGCTCGATTGGGTCTTACAAATGTTTCTGTATTAGATACCTATATCCGCCATGTGTTCGTCAGCGCAAGGCACAGATTTGTTGTTGAAATCACTTTCTCGTACATGTAAGGGCGGTAGACTCAGGCGTAAATATGGACCTAATTTTCATAACCCCGAACAATGTTGAAACGCGCAACCTAACCAAAGCGTGTTATCACAGGGTCCAAAAGGATCATACGAAGCACCTGATGCCTTAACTATACGATTGTCTTACACCAAGTAGAAGGAGAACGAATTCTTGTAGTAGGGCTTCCATGTGTAATAAAAACTGACTCTTCGTCCTCGAGGCGCTTATTTTCTTCGTTTTTCGTGGTTTACGCAAGCGTCTTCGCAATCCCATCGTTGCTTGAATTGAATAGTCGCGTTTTTGTGTTAGGTTCGCGATCAAAAATATTGACTTACTACCTGAGGTTTAGAAATAAAACCATAAAATATCACTGTCGTTCTTTTGTTATTTGTTACCTATAACTGTACTGGATCTCCAACTTCTTACACTCCCTTCATATACATCGTGGTGCTGAGCTTATAGGTTCAATTTTGTTTTTTAAAGCGCCCCATTTGTCTTCCTAGATCCTTTTTGAAGCTTCATAATAACATAAGAAATCAACACACTAAATATCAATTACTTTGGTGTCTATCTAACGACTTCAAGTGATAATGTCACCAAATCCAACCATAGGTGCATCCGAGGTGCCTCTCACCCCGAGAACTGCTGGTGCTCAACAACGAACATCCCCGAGTGGTGGACAGAATGGTAACTCAAACACGAATAACATCGGTTCTGGGTACCAAAGAAATTTAACACCTTCTTACAACTTCGGCTTTGGATTCCTGCCGTCATTCCAGTTTAATTCTCCCAGAAACTTGCTTAGTGGATTGTCTCCCCATAGGTTCTTCCAAGCTTCAAATAACTTGACCAAAGCAACCGTTGGTGCCAAAAGGGATGAGAAAAATGTCTTCAACACTAGTACACCATCAAGGACTTCTTCTAAGTTCTTGGATTCTTTGTCCTCCGCAAACAACACCAAGAATGATTCTGGTGAAGATTCGTCTACTAATTCCCATGATACTGAGGAGTCTGCCATTTGGTCCGTGAATGAAGCCGAAAGCCAAAATTTGACATCTTTGACTATTTCTTATGACCAAACCCCAATTAAGGTTGCAAACAAGGAGAACGAAAACACCCACCAACGGAATTTCAGTGGTGACTTCTTGACTCCAAATAAACTTTTCCTTCATAGACAAGATCATCTGGTTGCTACCAAGAAGAGAAGATTGTCGGTTGAAGCATCACCCAATACCTCAATTGCATCAAGACTCGAAACTATTGCCTCTCCTCCGAGAAGCTCTAAAATATTCAACAGACGTCGTTCTTCTTCGAATTCCAGCTTAAGCAGTAAGAATAGTGAAGATAAGGTCTGGAATGATGCATTAGATGACATTTTAATATCCTCATACATGAAGTTCAAGGCATTCAAGAAAAACACCACGTCTGAAAGCTATTTCGTGAAGAACGTTTCTCAGAATAAAGTTCTCTCGAGAATGTTGTTGAATAAGAGTGGTGTTTTGAGAACCCCCAAACAAATTGCATCTAGGTTATTCAAGATAACCAAAAGCACGAACGAGGCTCGTCCGGGGACTCATTATTTACTGTCGCAAAATGATCTATCTCATAGTCACAATATCTTGGATGAAAGTCCTTTATTAAATGACGGACTTGATGAGATAATCCGTACACCTTTGGAAGATTTAATTGAAAGTACTTCGAGTCATATAGATTCTGTCAGCAGTGCTGAGATCAATGCCCAGATTGATAAGGAATTGGACTTGATATTCTCTCCCAATGAGTTGCTGGCATCTCCAATGTTACTTTTAAAATCAAACCGAGTTGAAATTACCGACTTCCAAATCCTGTACAATTCAAATAGGGCATCAGGTACCCATCACTTCATCAAGAGCAACTCAGGCTGCAATAGAACTGTGGAGTTGTCGACCAACTCATTGTTAAACAGGTTGAAGGTCTCAGCTGATGAATCAGAGTTGTCTACAAAGTTATGTCCCAAGCTCGTTACCCAATACGAATCAAATGACCTATTGGTCTTCCAAGCTATGAACCACTTAAACCTCAATATGGTATCGAAGAACAAATTTGACACATTGGACTCTGTTGTATTGAATGCAAACCCCTTGGATTTGCACAATGGTTCTATTAGTTCTTTTATGAACTTATTGGTAAACGGAATAGAGCTGGATGAAAGTCCATTGAACTGGAGCTGTTATACTAGAATCTTTAGTGGTAGCAAATTATTGTTCACTTCCAATGATTCGATTGTGGGATATTCAAATGGAGGCAACAAATTTGAAGCAACTATACCCTTCTTGAAGCACTTCTGGACGGGATTTTTATCTTTATTGATTAATGGTAATGATGACAAGGATATTTTGAAGAAACTTTCAATTTTACAGATCATTCATAGTAACAGAGAGGACTCAAAAATTGAAATGTGTTTAATTCATAAGTTTGACAAGTTGAGTAGGTTAGGCAATTCTAGCTTCCAACTCTTGAAATACTCAGGCAAAAAGGAAGATCTCAATGATCTTGCAGAAGAGGACGAAATGTTCGAAGAAACTCAGGTTGATCATTACAGCCAATCTAATGATGAAACCAATAGTGCTGAAGATGATAATGAAACTGTATTGGTAGAGTCTTCTCCAGTAAAAGCACCGGAGTTCCACCATAGAGATTTGAAGATTGATATCATGGCTGCTAAGCATAGTATGGCAATGGGTCCTGCTTCTGCACCAATCTATAATCCCCGATTGGTACAGCAGATGAATAATGGGATTGTCAAACAAGAATCAATCAATATGTATCCTTTTACACAACACTCACAATCAACCAATGATATCCCCAAGTACATACCACAACCGGGGTACGGGTCTCAGATGAATGGAAATAACAAAGCACCTTTGCCATATTCTACATCAACTCCTGATGCCCTTTCACCTTACAGTAACTCATTTGATGGTAGTAGACCTATGTCTTTTGGAAGTATTCAAACCTCCAGTAATATGGCCACTTCAACTTCGTACAAAGGGTTCCCAATTGGCGATCAGTCCCACTTCCAAGCGCCACTCCCTCCATCTCTGGTTCCCGGTCACCAACAAATAGGTCAAGCTCAGTTGCGCCCTGAATCCCAAAGAGGGTCGGGTGCGTCTCAGGGAGAATCACAAAGCCATATGAACATGTCGTTCATGGCATCCGGTCGTCAGCAGTTGATGGTAAACGTCGGAAGTGGATATGTTCCCTTTGGTTCATTAAGTCAGGAACTACAAGAGAGATACATGGGAGTCCAAAAACAGTTTGAACTTCAACAGCAGCAGCAGATACAACAAGCACTTTTGCAACAAATACAGATGAATAACCTTGCTGGCACAAATCTTCAACCTCACCAAGGCATCGCCATGAATACTGGGAACATTCCTTTGTCAGCTCCAGCATCTCAAACATCCTTTGCTGACCCTGCGAGCAAGTCTTACAACACTGGGCAAAAGAAACATTCCAAGCCTATCAAATTTGGACCCATGTTGGAGTATGATCCCTCAAAGGACAATGCAGCAGCTGCAGCAGCAGCTGAAGCCGCATCTGCAGCTCTTGCGAAGGCCAAGGCTAGAGGGGAGTCACGTCCAGGGGTTAGTGTTCTCAATATTCCTCGAGACACCCCTGTTTACATATACAAGCCACCAAAAAGGAAAGGGCCTTCTTAGGGTCTCATTCCATATTTTTCTTCATTTAAACGACATTTAAATCTAATCAGATTGATCTAGACTTTGTAAATTATTTAGGGTCAATGAATGTTAGCTTATCTCGGTAAAACTAGTAGTTGAACTGCCGGGGACACAAGATAAAAAATGCAACCCATATATTTTGAATGACTTCGATATGGTCTTAACTATAGGAGAGTTTGTGGCTGCAAAAAAATTAGGGAAGTATAGGCTGCGAAAACGGTCATCAATGTTGCATTTGTTAAATGTTTCCTGAATGTAGATCTATAGTTTCCTAAATGTGGAAAGAATCGAAGGTTTTGTGTTCGGTACCTGCATTTTGTTTATTTGGCTGCGAAAAACTAACAATCGCTGCTTCTTAATTTTAGGAAATCCGTAAGTATATAAAGAGCTGTATCCCCCCTGTCTTTCAAAACTTCTCTTTTTTTTTGATCTCACCATATTAACAATGGATTACTCACTTACCTTCGCTTTTACTGACAGGAATGAAGACCTGTACGCTCCAGGGCAGTTTATTACTGACCCTATTACTGACTTTACTACTTCTGAGTTCGACCTGGATGAATTCTTAGCTATGATGGAAGAAATAACAGATCTCGAATTCCAGCATTCAGAAGTACCCAATACCGTACTCAACAGTTTCAGTTCCGTGGAATCTGAAGCCATGGAGCTTGACAATGAGCTCAGTCTTAGTTTGTTAGTTCCCCATTTGGTTAACCAGGAAGGGGAAAATGTGGCTACTTTTGGACAAACTTTAAGACAAGTCTTTAACAATCAAAGCGTGACTGCAAACTCTTACGGTCACGTTTCTGAAATTTACGCTAATGGTCATTTAGTTGAGCAAGATGTGCAGGTCGGATCATCTCAACAAAATGCTCAATTTGCAACTAATTCATTTAACCAGAGTGAGCCTGAGTCCTCATTTGATTCTGAAGAGGAACCAAGTGTTCTTTTTGGAGGTTCAAACAGTTCTAACAATACGTTACCTAGTTTGGACCCTGAATTAGTTACAGCCTACGAGTTGTATGAACCTTCAGGCTTTGAAAAGATTTCAATGAGATTGGCATCTGATGCAGACCTATTTGCGAATATTGATGAAGCCATCAAAGATTTCATGAGCTTGAAGCAGTCAGAAGAATCTTCAGAACAAAGAGTTATTCCTCAGACTCTTCAAGTGTCTACCAATCTTCAAGTCCCACACAACAGTCCGGTTGTGGAAGCCAGCACTACAAGTACGAATGTTATTCCTTCTATCACCAGGGAACAACCAAGTTTGAGGCGAAACTCGAAAGCTTCTTTATCAAACAGAGCTAGGATTCCTTCCGTTTTTGACTTCACCAAGCAAGAAGTCGTAGAACAGATTCTTTCTCATGTTGATGATAGGATGAACTATTATAAGAAGAAATCGGGTGCTTCCAAACCAGGAAGTTATAAGGGTGATTATGCGAAGATCGAAGATTCTCGATTCACCCCAGTCACTAATTTATATGAAACAAAAATCGCTCTTCCACATAACACATGCCATGTGTTGGGACATCCAAAACACTTAGGTATAGATGGGGGAAAGGCTACCGTGACTAGAACTCGGTATATTAGAGGCACTTCGTTTAATGGATTTTTTGACCATCCAGACCTTGAGTTGAAACGCTATGAGGGTAGTGGTGATTTGATCTACGAACCTGAATACTACCGGGTCCAGATGATCAATGTTTGTAGGAATGACGGGAGTCTGCACAGGGTTCCAATCAACCAAACACGTTCTGGTTTGTGTCCTTATTGTGAAGATATCAAATTCTATGAATTGAGAAATTCTTCTTATGGACAACATTTGGCATTTCATCACGGTATTGGAACCGATTCTTTTTTAACTCCAAACCCATTTGAAACCAAAGTTGAACCCAAAACTTGTGGTAAGGTTGTTGCCTGTCCTGTTTGTTTTCAAGCTATATCTGTTGAGAAATCTTCCACAACGGCTCTGGTTCAACCACTTTACACGTACTTGAGACACTTCAAAGATTTCCACAGGAAGGGGGTGAACCACAAAGTCAACAATAAAGTGTATTCGACTGTTCCTTCCTTCAAGGGGATGTATCTTGATGGTATCAGTCCTTGAATCTGTTCTCCATTATTTGAGAATTTTGGTGTGTTATATGAATTGTTTCATGTCAACCCAGAAAATAGTATAAACAAATAAAAACTATAAAACATATAAAATATACATAAAAACCAACGGATACAGTAGGTACATTTACCTTTTGACTCTCTGAATTTGTTTACCAAAAAAATGTTTTGTTGATGATGTTGCATTCTACAATCTTTTTCAACGCGTCTGAAAATTATAAACAACCACAAGTATGGGTGTAAGTGGTCTTCATCCACAACTAAAGGAGATCCTGATACCAGTTTCTTTAGAGAAGTATCGTGGTAAGACATTGGCGGTAGACACTTATAGTTGGTTGCATAAGTCCACTATCTCATGTGCCCAAGAATTATGCCTAAATCAACCAACCCAAAAATATGTCAGTTATATCATCAAAAAGATTAATATGCTCAGGCATTTTGGAGTGGAACCATACATGGTTTTTGATGGGGCGAGCTTGCCAACAAAAGCAGCGACCGCAAAGGAGAGAAAAGAGAGGCGAGAAGAAGCCCAAGCTAAAGCTGACGAATATATGAAAAAGGGAAACAAAAAATTGGCATGGAAGGAATTCATGAAAGCAGCAGCAGTCACTAGTCAGATGTCCAAGTCTGTAATGGTAGAGTTGGATAGAATGAATGTCAAGTACGTGGTGGCCCCTTATGAAGCCGATCCACAAATGGTATACTTGGAAAAGAAGGGATATGTTGATGGGATCATCTCTGAGGATTCGGACTTGTTGATTTTTGGATGTCGTACTTTGATCACCAAGCTTAATGATTTTGGTGAATGTATAGAGATATCTAAAAGTAACTTCTCAAAAGTCACCACTATAAGCGGATTGGATTCTTTCACACCTCAGCAATTGAGATTGGTTGCAATGCTTTCTGGGTGTGATTATACAAAAGGCGTTCCTGGCGTGGGATTGAAAACTGCCTTCAATTTGGTTAAGAAGTACAATCAAATTGATAGAGTGTTAATGGCTCTAAGAGCAGAGGGGAAGAAGCTTCCACCGGAAGGCTTTGAAGTCGAGCTTATAAAGGCGGATTTAGCATTTCAATACCAGAAAGTGTTCAATCCAAAAGATCAAACCTTAGAAACATTAAACGAGTATCCCGAGCCTTTTGACTTTGATATGGAGCTCGTCGAGCAGTGTTGTGGAGTTACTTTTGATGCTGAGATTCATGTGGGAATCTCTAAAGGCAAATTACATCCCAACACGCATGAAGTTTTAATTTCCAGGGAGCAAAATATCACATCGTTGAAGAGCAAATCATTCACTCTGGAACCGAAGATTAGTACTGTGGCAAGAACCAAATCTGTTGGATCTACGAGCCTGAGACGAATGGTGGCCCCTAGAGGCAGAATTGACAGCTTTTTCAGCGTACAGAAGAGCACCAAGATCACCACCACAGATACCACATCAGATCAACAAAAACTTCAAATCGAGGCTAAAGCCGAAGTACACACTGAACAAGTTTCCCCTGATCATAAGAGAGTCAGGACATTGTTAACTCCAAAAGAGAATCCACCAAAGTTGGTTGGTACATTTAGTAAATTTTTCAAGTCACCAGCAGGTGGAATCCCAACTCCTAGATCAACTTTTGATGCTGATATTACTGGGGATTCAGAAATCTCAGACGTTTCCTCGCCCTTCCGTTATACTAAGTCGACTTCAGATAAGGTCGATACCAATAATGTTTTAGGTAACTTGACAGACGATGATATCGATACTCAAACTCAAAGTGACCATAAAATGGAAGAAAACAGAGACGATTCTCAACCACCAGAATCTCCAAGCCTGAAAATATCAAAACAACCTGCAGTAGGAGACTTTGACTTAGACGATGATGAAGATGACATAGAGGAATCCCCAGTCAAGTCTTTATTACCTTCTGGAATTCATTTTAATAACAATAGAGACGAAATAAAGCAGCTTTTAAGAGACACTTTTCTGTTCAGGCCCGGTTCGAAGGAAAAGTTTCAAGTTCCAAAGGCCCTTCAGAAGCTTTCTGCTTTTGAAAATGCAAGTACTATTTCGATCGCGAGTGCCGAAAGCCTGCATTCGGATAGTTCATTTGACTTGAACTCTGAAGAGTTCCATGAAGTTCAAAAACACGCGGAAGTTTTCACCAACATCGATATGAACAAGTCCTTTGAATCCATAAGCTCCAAAAGAACCACCAAAAGTAAGTTAGAGATAAAGAACTCATCACTATCCAGGTTTGCATATAAATAAATACTGCATTGTCATGTATTCATCACAAATTATGTCTATAACATATTTATTCAACATTTCATTTTCTTATTTCCCGTAACATTAATTACCTCTTATTAAACATGCCCCTATGGCTAACCTGGTTAATTGGATTTGTAAGTTTTCTGACTCGGAGAGCTTTGCATCGTTTAGTTTAAAAATCTTCTTGAATTTAGATATGTCCACTGTTTTGAATAAATATGCATCTTGTAGAGGAATATTCTGAGATGCATCGGTGTGAAGAAGCTTGGAGATATGTGTGTTCAAATCCTCGAGGCAGTTTCCGTCTGAGACATAGTCAATGACTTTTATACAAATGACATTACTTTGATCTTGAGAGTCATCAACTCCAAATCTTTTAAAGGCATCCATTATATTATTCACCGGAGACAAGTTGAAGATGATTTCTGTGTTCAAGGTTTTGGCCTTCGACTGCCCCGTCTCAAAATTCAAGATCGCCTTGTAGATGGCGCTGTATAGGTATTCAGTTGAAATGATGTAGTTTGTGTTTAAAAAACAAAGTTCGTAGTTGGGGTCACCTTCGATAAGTTTCGTTTTGACTACCAGTAGAACATTCTTTGGAACGTTTGCAAACACCGAGATAAACACAGTTTTGTGAGGATATGATGGGAATACTACTTTTTCAAATACCATCTCCGTTGTGTTTAATTGTGGAAAATGCGAACAGATTCCTAATTTACATTTAGTGTTAATGGCTGGAGAAGAGTATAACTCCAATTTGGACCTTGCAGAAGTATTCAATACCATTGATGAAATCTTTGGGACTATAGAGACCTACCAACCCCCTTCATCTGATCACATATATCCTGAACTCATACTTCAAGAGTCTCAGCATGGCATGAAATATCACTCTTCATTCCAAAGGCACAATCGCCAATTCATACAGAATGCGGGTGAAACTCCACTAGTCCGATGGCGAAACTCTCATATAGAACAGCTTCAACAGCAAGTGGTTGAACAAAGCTTTATGGGCTCCAAAGTCTCGTCTCAAAAGGGAATTTCCAAAACGTTTTCAAGACCAGCATCCAATGCATTATTCAGTTGGTCCTCAGATGAAGCATACATAGAGGCAAGAAAGAGTGAGTTGCTTAAACGAGGTAGAAAGATTAGCGGTGCTTTCCTCAAGTCCAATGATAAAGATTCAGAAATAGAAATGCCTGAAGTCTCCAGTGCTCCACTCACCGAAAGCTTGATTGACCGTGTCAACTTGAAGATACCTGAAGCTTCAATGATTAAGAAATTGAACTCTGTGATAGACACCGAATCTAATAGGTTTGTCCACCAGCGAATACAGATCATAAAAACCCATCACAGTAAACAAATATCAAAGAAGATTAATGAGAGGAAACGTAAGGACCACGAGATTCACCTCCAAAGACTCAAGTTAAAGGAAGAACAATACGAGAGAGAAATGAGGGCTGCTACAGAGGACAAAGAGAAAGAAAAGTCCACAAAATTTCTTGGTTTATTCAATTTCAGCCATTCTGACACCACTAATGTTAATGTCGAGACGAAGGAACCAACAAGTCCAAATGGCACCACAGATAAAAATAGAATTACAGTTGACAAGAACAAACAGAGATTCTCTTTTCTTCCAAAGACGAACATATTTGGAACCACCAAAACCACAAATGAGGATATTGAAGAAAATACACAAGAGTCTAATGTACTGCTGCCTCAAATTCACATAGCAAGCGATGACCTCGATAAGGCTTTTCAGATGCCTGGAACAAATAAAGATAGCCAAGATGACGATTTTGATGACTTCAGTGAATTCACCTCCTCGCCTCCTCAGGCCACTAGCAACCAGCTACCAGAGCCAGTTGTGAAAAACCATAGATTCATGACTATCAGCGAGCCCAAACCATTGATTGACTTTGGAGCAGATGCTGAGGGAGACTCCCAATCAAATTTCAAGGGTCAAAACAAAGACTTGCTACTGCTATTATAGACTCACATTCAATTGACGTGAAAAAGAACTTAGTATTACTATTGCCTATATGTACAAGTATAATACACAAATAACTACTAGTCTATGTAGTATTAGCCTTCTTCTCCTCTTCAATGAAACACCCCAACCCCATAAATGCCTCTTCAAGAGCACGTTCATATACAGCCTCTAACCTCCAACCTGCTCCCAAAAATTCTTTGTTTTTTGCAAATTGGTTCACGAACGGATCATAGTACAGGTTCACAACTGAGCTGACATTTATGTCAACTATTTCAGGTGCTGCTAACATGCGGTATGGTTTCTCGATCATCCGATCTCCCATAAAGGGTGTGAAGGGTGTTTTATTACCCTCTTCCACCTTCTTCTGGTTACCAGGAATCATGTTTTCGAACAGTTGTTCTAATTGATTATTGATCTGTTGCAATTGCCTCTTTCTGCTGTTGCTTCTTTTTAGCAGATTGTTGGTTGCCTGGTTGATTATATCATCAGAGTTGGCATTTGAATTTGAGAGCTTATCTAAAACTTCTTGTCTCTGTTGTTTTTTAAACTCCAAGTCTTCCATTTCCATATGTTGTTGGATTTTAAGCTTTTCCTGCTTCAAACGGGCCACAGCCTCTTGGTACTGGGCCAAGTCAGCATTCTTCTGACTCTGTCTCATCTGTCTTTCCAATATCTCCACCTTATGTTCTTTTTCATATGCCACCAACTCAGCTTCCGTATTCAGCGCATCCTGGTCATTTGCCAAGTTGAACACGATATTCTCTATGTTTTCAAGATATTGATTGTAATCTTTTAAGTCTTCAAAGTCGTCTTGTGTCTTGTTGTAAATTGTAGAAACTCTCTTTCGAATATCGACTTCTCTTTCTATGTTGATGTCATCAAAGATCTGTTTCTTGAACTTGTTCTTTCGTAGAATCTTCCCACACTTTGCATATGGACAAGGGGCTGGGCCTAATGAAAAGATCCTATCCACACAAGATTCACATATTTTGTGATAACATTCAGGATTTATCAAGAAATTCATATTTGGGGAAAGGTAACGATCTGTTCGACATATCGGACACATGTCATTCCCTCTCTCATCTATGACTGTTAGTATACTTGTTGGCGTGGTTATACTAGATGCTAACATACCTTCTGTAATATTCATTGCTCCAGTTTTTTCTGTTGCGCGAGTTAAGTTTATTAATCAATAATTTTGGATGCTTTTAAGTCATGTCTTCATTGCCTTCACCCCTCCCAAGTAAACCAAGAACTTGGAGGAACAAAATCGTTCCAGTAGGAATTATAATTGGGTTGGGATATCTTGACTTCATTTCCTGCTATTCCTTGGGCTACCAGGAGATATATACACATCATTCACATGGAGTTGCAATATGCTTGTGGGTTTTGGCAGGTATATGCCAGGTTTTATTATTTATTTACTGGGCTGTAATATATGTTAAAGGACCTGGAAGTTGTCCTCAGACAAAGCCTTATGACCTACACAACTCTGGTGATTGCCAGTTTGACAGACCGCCTCCAATTTTCACCTGTGATGAGTATGGTTATCCAATTTGGTGCAACAATTGTCAATCAATAAAGACCACTAGAGCTAGCCACATGAAAACCGTCAGTAGATGTGTTCCTCGAGTGGACCACTTCTGTATCTGGATTGGCACTGTGATTGGTAAGAACAATTACCGTCCTTTTATCAAATTTATGCTTTGGTTCCTTGTCTACTTCTTAATTATGTTGGTATTCCTTGTTCGTTATACCCCATCAAACTACCACAGGGGTGATCCGGGTATCAACAATAATTATATTGTGTTATACATCATGTGCGGGCTATGGATACTTATGTTGTCAGGATTATTAGTGTCACAATTGTACTATATCCTGAAGAATATGACTACAATAGATGATTTGAACATCAAAAAAGCAAGAATGTATCATAGAAGAAACCCTTCGAAGGAAGACGAAAATCACCCTAAAACTGAGGCTCATCCAGATAGTGGTACCAGGTTCGTTAGTGTGGACAAAGGAGATTTTAGGTTAGTTGTGCAGTGCTCTGTAAACGATTTGCTTTACAATTTTGGTCCCAAGAAGAACTGGATCAATGTAATGGTCTATGATTCCAGCACCTATTTCAGCCCAGATGAGAGACTCTACTCTTCAGGAAAGTTTGTAGAAGCAATCTTGATTTTTATTGTTCCACTTCTTGACTTATTTTACACCAAACAGATAACAAATGATTCTGAACCTGTATCATTTGGTCCTGAATTTTTGGCCCTACTTGAAAGCAAGATCTCAAGGCATAGATGTTACTTGCCTCTGTATTTATCTGAAAGACCTAATGCAGAAGAACCTAAAGCATCTGAAAGCTCAAGCACATAACTTAGAAAAGCAAGATTTCTCCGAATAACTGCATCAATGCCTATGGACCAGATCGTTATTTCCATCTACCATCAATCTATACACCTACCCTAGTTTTATGACTTTGCATTTTAACATAGAATTATCTTAATAGATATTAATGACCTGAATCGCATGGGCATTCCTAGTAATACCTTTGCTCCATCTGCGATACTAAATCTCTTCTGATTTGTTCAATTTGCAACCAAGTCATCTCATGAACTTTTTGGGATTTCCTAGTCGCGGAAATTTGAACTCATATACTCTAATTAGACGATGGATTTGGTAGGTGAAATAGTCGAGAAGGACGTAGGAGAACCTACGCTACCATTGCCCACAGATGATTTGGACATAAAGAAAATAGAGGACATCAAGAAGAGAAGAGAATCCGCATTTACAACCAGGCTTAAAGGAAGGAATGGTGGTCCTTCTGTGGCAAGCAAGTTCAAGCAAAATGCTAATAGTCAGCTAGTTTCAGAGAAAGGGTTGAGTGAAGCAGAAAAAATACACAAGGAGAATATGGAGAAACTTGGAAGCATGTCCGCTGAAGAGATCAATCAAGAAAGAGAGGAGTTATTAGCACAGTTGAATCCTGATTTAATTCAAAGTTTAATGAAGAGGGCAGAAAAGAGAGAAAAACATGTTGAAGAACCCAAACACACGCACCATGAGCATCGCCATGCCGAAGGATATGGAGAGTGGATTGGAGGGATGAAGACGGAATTTGGTGTCAAGGACCTTACTCATCTTGACAAGGACGATATAGAAAAGGCATTAGGAATCAGTTCTTTGAATATCGAGGATGAAGAAAAGACCATCAAGCCTCCTAAAAAAGTGAGGTTTGATACTGTATCTTCAGTGAGATATGAAGATTTGCCAGAAGGAACCCAAGTGGAAGAGTCTGGTTGGGAAGATGTAGAGGACATTAACGATTTAATCATGGACGACGAGAATCAAGAAATCGCTCCAGATGACTATCAGTTGGTTAATGAAGATGAAGGAAATGATGACGTTCATTTCACTAAACCAAAAGGTACAATTAAAGAGTACGGAAAGGATTTGGACCTTAATGACCCCGAATTCTACGATCAATTACACCAAAAGTATTACCCAGACTTACCCAAAGAGACATCGAAGTTGGCTTGGATGACGGAGCCAGTTCCTGTTCAGAAGACATCTACTTATGAGTCCATATCCGATATGAGGTTTGACTTTCAAGGAAACTTAATAGAATTGCATGCTGAACAAGACCAGGAAAAGGAGATTCCAACATATTTAGGTTTACATCACCATTCCGCAAACCCCCATTTACCTGGTTACACTTTAGGTGAGTTGGTCCATTTATCAAGGTCTGTGGTTGCAGGCCAAAGGTGTTTGAGCATCCAAATGTTGGGTAGAATCCTCCACAAACTTGGTCTTCACAAGTACAATATTATGCCCATTAGTGATGATGAGCAGGACAAACAGTTTAATGAAAGCGTTAAACAGCTCACTAGGCATTTTGAGAAGATGATGTGGGATTTGATAGACGAACTCCGTGTCATTGAATCGATTTCTGAGGCTTCAGATGAAAAGAAGAGCACCAACATATCTGTTAGAAACTACGCGGTTGAAGCATTGTGGTTATGGAGACAAGGAGGTGGGAGGCCCAAAGAAGAAGAAACGACTATAGACGAAGAAATAGCACAGATAATCTAAATAGAGAAATGTTAATATTCCTGTGGATTCGGATAATAATGACGGACAAGCTGATTTTACAATCACATCAAAATCTTGAAGAAAACCCAACCACAAAAGGTGTACAGAGACCTTGGGAGATGTACTTATAAAACATAAACACAACGAAGGAACCGGTACACTTTTCTTGGGTGGAAGGGAAGAACTGAAATATGAATCGATACTACCACATGATCCCACCAAAAACTGGTCAGAAATGGCTTGAATATCTTCTTGATCCAGTTCAATAACATCACAAATAGGTAAGGAATATTTGGTTCACTCTTCGCATATAGACACATTGGCCGATGATCAGAAAGATGGCAAGAAACCTTATCGGACAACTTAAGTTATGCGGTGCAGAGATGTTAATCAACATAGCATTCTACGCCAAGCACTAGTAACAGGTTTATTAAACGATACACCGTTGGAGAAGAGAAAAAAAATTCTATCAGCTGCGAAAGCTACAATAAATTTCATGGTAACTAATAAAAGGAATACAACCAGAAAAGCAACACACTAAACCCGAATTACATTGGGGATCACAAGTAAAATATCTACTTCTCTAGAGAGTTATCGGAGATGTCAATATATTTTCTCAATTCTGTACTTATTCACTCCGTACCTTCCTTTAAGAAAGGCCCTATCTACCGTCAGTCTTAGCCTGAATTCAAGTCGAACCATAGTTATTGACTCTGTGGTTATGACCATCACCTCCGAGAGCTGAGTGTGTTTCTCTGTATGGGTAGCTCAGGATGATGTAGTAACAATGTAATAAACCCGGGAAAAATCCTAAAAGACAAAGGACAATATTGATCAAAAAATCAGCAGAAAAGAAGCCTCTTTTGACTAATACCGGAATGGGGGGGAAGAAAAACCCAATAAAAACCATAAACCAATCTTGTGGATGCATGTTTAAAGTTGGTAATATTTAACGTGATTTGTTCAAGTGATAAAGATTCAAGGAATTTAGACGTCACTCAAGATTGCTCCTCCTCAAAAGGCTGCTAAAAAATATTATCGGGACCTAAATTTATAGAACCGTGTACGGCACAATCTCACCAAAGTTTTTTCCAGTCGAAACCAATAGTGAAGGCAAACCATAAACATGGTTAGATTGACTCAATTTCTAGGATTTGTGGTTCTCATTGCCACATGCGTGTCAGGTGTATTTCTAGAAGATGCATTCACAAAAAACTGGGTCAAATATAATCACGCGTTGATCAAATCATTTGATGCTATTCAAGACTCAAGCTTCGTTGGTGTTACTCTCGATGGTGAATTAGTCAAGTACAATTTAACAAATGAGGCCGTACTTTCTTGGAAGGTTACCGTTCCGTTGAATGATGTGGAATATTTGATCAACGGTGGCACGATCCTTACCTACTCCACAAGTGAAGACACGATCTATTTGTGGGACATTCAGTCTGGGGTGCTATTAAACAATTATCAAGTGGGTCCTGTCAAATATATTTCCCGATCATTTGGTGGATTCATTGTTTTGTCCAGTAACAGTTTGTTAACATTTGTAGACGGAAACCTTTCAAAAGAGATTGCAACGTCTGTCGGCGATATATGGGCATCTGAGTTCAATGGACTTACTTACATTGTTACCGACGACTCCAAGTTGCTCAAATTGGATCCTAATTTCAAATATACTACTGTTGATATTAACGTGAAATTCAGCAAGATATCACAGATAGTCGGAAACCGTGTTCTCGTGAACGGACAGGTGTTTGACTTAGATAAGAACCAAATTACTACAAAGGCAAAGGTAACTGGTCTTTTTGAATCTGAACCGGCTTATAGCTTGGAGAAGAACAAGTTTAAGATTATAAAGGATGACAAGGTTGTACTTGAAGATGACTTCGAAGAAAGTAGTGTCAAGGTTCTTCAAAATTACTTGCTTGTGGACTCTGAAGATGAACGGAAGGTTATCGACTTGAAGGGGTTTTTCGAGAGTCTTGATGAAACCTCGATCAACTTGGAAAGCTACAATCATAGCATTACCGGAAAGGATTATATATTTGGTAATGAAATTGTGAGTTTAATTGTCACTGGAAAGTTCATTCAGTTCTCCAGATATAATATTTTGTTGGACAAAGTTGCTCATTACAATTACCACATCAATACCTACAACTTGAACTTCCCAAAGGCTTTGTTAATCAATAAACCCGAGTCCAAACAAACAATGGATTCCATTCAGCATTTGGTGGATGAAATTCAGCAAAATAACGTACTTTCCAGGTTCATTAAGAGAACTAGAAGACATTTGGTCGAGTTTGGTAAAAGTATTATATCTAAAGTTACCCGGTTAGATTTTAATTCTGACCATATAGAGATCACAAATCCATATGATTTAGAGAAATTGTTGGTATTTGTGGATGATTCAAAACTTGTTGCTGTTGACTCCTTAAATGGAGATGGGGTTTGGGAAACTGTTATAGAAGATGGTTTACTTGATTTGGAAGAAAATGGAGATACAATGTCATTGGTTTATGGTGATAAGGCTATCACCGTTAGCACAAGAGATGGTGAAATAATCGACTCTCATGACCGCACTAGCAGTGTCGACTTACCCCAAGGTACTATCTATGTGAAGCAAGTCGAAAATTCTATTCAAAGCTATAAATATGTGGATGGTAAACTTATTCCCACATGGAAGTTTGCAAAGGATAAGATCATCAACTTTGCTATAAAACCAAATACGAAAACGGGATCTGTGGGTATAGCTTTACATGATAAATCTGTGTTGTACAAATACTTGAATGATAATTCTATTGCTGTTATAGCGGAAGAGGATGGCATTTTAAAGTTGTACTTAATAGATGGTAAGTCTGGAAATGTGATTTACGTTCAGGAGCACCTTAAAAGTGATAACATTGACACCAAAAGTATTAAATTGATTTTGGATGATAACTGGATTATCTACTCTTACTTTGTAACGGAGCCAAAGTACGAACAAAGAATTCTGGTGGTCGATTTGTTTGGTGAAGCTCCGACTAAGGGTAATTTCACTGTTCCTATTTCATCTTCTTCGAGTAAATCGTTCATATACCCAGAACGTATTATTGATTTGAAGTCCACTTATACTAGATTTGGTATTACCTTGAAATCAATTATTGCTTTAACCGAAGACGGTGATTTGGTTGAACTTCCTAAATATATTTTGAACAGTCGGAGAATTGATGATAGACAATTGTCCCAAAATGACTTTAAAGATGACTTCAGGATGCTCCCATATGAACCAGTGGTGGCCAGAAACGATTATCTGGTATTGAATCATGGATACAAGTTGGACACCGGATCTAACAACTTGATACTCCTTAAAGATACCAAATTAGAATCAACTTCGATCATATGTATGATCAACTCTCGAAACATGTTTTGTACTAGAGTTCAACCTTCTTTGAGTTTTGACAACTTGACAGAAGCTTTTCAAAAGTTCAGGCTAATAATAACCATTTTTGTTCTATTTGTGGCATACTTCGTTACCAAACCAATGGTTATTAAGAAAAACTTGAATAGTCAGTGGATTTACAAAGCTTAGAGATCTTTATATGGCTTAGTTTTGATGTATATTCCGAATAGCATTATACCAATGATATATTATCAAGGTACTCTATTAATTGTTTATCCTTAATACCGAAAGCATCCCAGGTTATTTCCCTATCGTTAAAATCGTTAAAATTAGTTTTTCCTTTGGTTGATGAGTAAATTGACCAAGTCATTTCGTAGTTCATATTAGCAACTTGGTGAGTATTGAACTTTGTTAAAATGTAGAGCGATTTTGAATCCTTAATAAATCCCAATAGATTATGGCCAAGGATTTCGTTGTACTTGGCAATGATTTTGAGGAGCCTGGAGTTGAAAAAGTTCCAGTTCGATTCGTTGTTTTTGGTAATCAAAAGATGTATGGTTTTGAACTTCGACTTCAAGATTTCGTAGTCTTCGACTGACTTCAATAATGGGGTATAAAAAATCCTTTCCAAGATCAAAGACACAAGCTCCACAATAAACTTATAATGAATTGGCAATTGGTTGATGCTATATAAGTTTGGAAATTCATTAGTGAACAAATCAATTACCCTATAACATGAAGTTAAAGTTTTATAAATGAAAACTCTGTAATCGTTCAACAGGAGCTTCAAAGAAGAGTCCAAAGAATACAAGTACAATTGTAACTTTGAGTATTCCACAGATAATTCAATCAAATTGTCCTTGCTGATGGCAGATGTATCTTTTTTCAAATCATTCAAAATCACTTCAAACATGTTCAAGCTAATCAACTTTGATTGCATTTGGTTGTTGTTATTCAAATTCTCGTGTAGTCTTTGCTGGACAATGGAAACTTTCAATAACGAGTTAATATACCTATCTTCCTCGGAAATATCAGCTGTATTTTGATTCATACTCGTTGCCTTATTGATGACATAGTCTTCTTGAAAGCCATTAAAATTCAAATGCAACAAACCTAAGTTGATCAACCAGTAATTGGAGTTGACAGTTATGAACTTGTAAATCCGTTCTCTGATCAAGTTGTTCATATTGATTTCTTTAGTGATAGTCATGTTGGTCTTGTGCAGAAACTCATTGATGAACTCCAATCTATGTAAGCCCAATTGCAATGATAAATTTCTCATCAAAGACAAATATTTGATAGACAAATTATCGTTCATCTTTTCTTTAGGGGACAAAGGGATTGGCCAAGTAGTCAAAACCAATAAAGAGCACAACACATAAACCGACCTGGGTGTATTTAACCAACACATTTCCACCACCAACTTCTTAACATGTTTAGACAAGTTCAAGTATTGCTTGGAGTTGTCAGTGTTCAAATGACTGGTTAACACTATACACCAGAACAACAACTTGCTCTCGTCATATATTTGGTTAACGTTTGCTTCCTTGTATAATGAGTCTGGTAAGATTGGAAGAAACCGGTGGTAGTTCTTAAAGTAGTTATCAAAGTGGAAAGTAACTTCGTCTTTGGTCAATGATACAGGGGCCACCGAAACATCGGAGCTGATGGAGAAATCACCTGAACTAGAACTTAATTCCTCGTCTTTAATATCATAGTCATCAAGCTCCAAGCAGTTTTGTATTTCAGAAATGGAAGGATTCTGCTTTATTAACAAGTTTATCAAAATAGATTTTTTGTAAATCAAGTGATCAACTGACTCCTTCAACAGATTTACTTCCATGTCCAATTTCTCGAGTACATCGTTTGAAGTTCTCTTTGGGTTGGAGGAAATAATGTCCAAAAAGCATTCAAGGTTTCTCTTTGCACAGCTTGAACATGGTAAAGGATTTCTTATAATCGAATCACACCGAGTTTTATGCTTTCTACACCTAGCACAAGACTTGGTCACTTTTCCTTTGGATATCTTTTCCATTTTTGTAATCATGATAATTATAGTATTCCTAGGTAATCCGCTAGCTTCTCAAAAAACGATCGACTTGAAGGTATTAATTGGCAAATATATTGGGAAAGTGAAAATACGTGGTAATATAAGCCGATAAATGATAAAACGGTTAACCGCAAAAGGATCGAATATTAATAATTGAAAATGCTATGCTAGCTATTGGTCAAATTAACCTTTCCCATTTATCGGGAACTCTCAATGGTGATGCAGTAGGACGTGTAAAAACTGCTTTCAGACAAATTCTAAAATAAACTGCCACGCGATTATTAATCTTATAGCTCTTATTGGTTCATTAGTGTGATTGCGAATTTTGGTGAACCCCGTATTTCGCATTTCGTATTCAATTGGGCGACTGGGGCCCACTTGAGGGTTTGGTCCAACACCGCAGCTTTGGTGTAAGTGCTTCGGAGATGACAAATATATATATGGGGTATATCTCCTTCATCCTCCTCAACTGGTCTCTCTACATGGCTCTGATTTACTATTCTTTCACTCACCTTTACCTTATTGGCTCCAAACGTGAGAGCCACACCAAAGAGTTAACGAGTTCGCATATCGTTTTTTATTTGGTGTTGATACCAATAAACCGATAAGCGCACAGACGCAGGACTGGAGAGCTTATTACTGGTAATTTCATTGGCTGCTATTTATTGCCTTAGTGCCACCTTTTCATTTGCTGCTATTGTTTCGGACCTTATACAACTAGGTTTCTGAACGATTCTAGTGGACAGTTTGTACGGCGGGGAATTAATGTTAACCGATTGACCGACTTTTGCGCTTTGGCAATTCGGACCTGTAATATGCATCTACTTAGTGGCTGGTCCACGCCTGCTGTGGCGTGATGGTTCAGTGTTTCTGTTTCTCTATACTTGAAGGTATTTTTGGGGTGTCCCTTTTCGGTTGCGCACTTGAGATGAGCAACAAGAGTTGAGTAAACATATATGAGCTCGTCACTTAATTCTAATCAACTTAAAAGTATTCATTTACTTAACTTGGCTCATTCGGTACCAACAAATCCCTTGTCAAAGGTCTATTCTCTTAAGCTTCATACTTTCAACTGCGAGAAACAAATCAACTATCCAGATTCATTCACTAATGGTACTCGAATATGCCTGAATTGTGGTAATATCAGTGTTCCTGGTGTTAGCGTTAGAGTCAGAGTCATCAGACAAAGACTAGTATACAAGTGTTTGAACTGTCGCCATCTTCAGAAGTTTGATTTGCCAACGAACAAAGCAAAGAAATATCAGACTCAATCGCTGTCAGCTCCATCCTTACCTCAAACTTCAGGTGGATCTCAAGGTCTGCAAGTGAACAAGAACAAGCAACCTAAAATTAAGAAAAAGAGAAAACCTAACACTTTGCAGAATATGCTTTTAGAGAAAAAGAAGCAGAAAAATTCAGGTACTACTTTGGATTTGATGGAATTCATGCAACATTAACGATTTACGACTTATGAAAGCTTTAATACATATAATTATGTCAATGGTCTGCACTCGACTCGCGTTTACAGTATCTTATCCACCTTCTTCTCCTGAAGATTTCAGAATCTTCATCATAAAAGTCATAAACCCACTTCTCATCATCATCGATATTAACGATTTCATTGACCAAATTCTTCTCTACCCAGACCTTGGGATTGAGATCTATTAGCCAATTGGGATTCAAGAATGTCCAATTTTTGGCACATTTAACTAGATCCACACTTTGTACCCGGTTGATCTTAATATTATCTTCAGCCTCTATTATGCCATCATCCAGTTCTTCGTCCTTGAACAAGTTAGAGTTTAGTTTTCTTAAAGGATGGTTAATCGAATAAAAATCGTTAGCAAACCCAATTACTTCCCAAGATTTGGTAATCTTGTTATATTTTTGCAACTCAAAAACTTCCACCACTTTGACTGCTTCCGATACTGTTTCATCTTTGCTGATAGGCACCATGAACTTGCTCACTAACTGATTTTCAATATAGTTCATACGATGCAAAGAAGCAATCCGAGTCTCCTCCTTGAAGAGAAACTCCAATATGATTTCCCTATTGCTAGGATAGCTGAGAATTCCAAACACCCATACAATTGCAATGAGTCCAACCTTTAGGTATTTGAAGTGGGTAAGGACAATTGGCACCAAAATGGGCAGTATATATAAACTTGCTCCTATCAATGTCAACAACACCAAAAATACTAACGAACTGACGTCCTCATTCTTGAAGTATAAATAGTCATTAGTTAACCAAATAGCAAAATCATAACCGTAAATATACAAAACCATATGATTCTGTAAATCGGTAAAATTGAGCAAGAACTCTTGACTGAACTGTGGTACTGGTCCAGGAATATGGGGCTTGTTGAGTGTGGGTCCATTATCCGGAATTTGGTTATGCTCTAATACCGAGATATCAGGAGGATGAATTATTAAGTAATGAGGAACCAATATGTTATTGACAACCAACGTCAACGGAAGGGCCAATACCAAGTAAGGATTCAAGATCAAGTGGGTGACTATTAATAAGACACCTAAAGTGGAGTAAGGGTTCTGCCAATTCAAGATTTTGATGATGTTATCAAAAAGTATGAAAGCGTTAGTTAATCTGGCATTCAACATGATGGCGTTATTGGTCATTGTATTCATGGATAGCGGTTTCCTCGTCTTCTGCATCACCATTCTATCGTTGATAATTTTCTTTTCGTCATAAACTGGTATGATCATTGATATTAGGCTTTCAATCAATTTATCAACCAACAAGGAATTGGGCTTCTTAGCCATATCAACTAGTCCACTATAACGCTTTGATGATCGCTTGGATACATCTTCCTCATTGTCTACCGTTAGAATATTCTCCAAAAAGCTTGAAACTTGATCCATTAGTAGAATGAATGATGATTTATGGATATGATTTTGTGCGATCTAACCGCACTTGCAACTAGTACAAAATTTCAGGCATATTCAAAACTTTCTGAAGAAAGGCTGATGAATCAGAAAGAGCTTAGAGGGCGTAGATTAGTTAATCGTTACGAAGAATATCAATAAAAGTGACTTGGTGTCAGATTTTAATGAAAATGATGATAGTGAAAGCTTGCTACTTCAATTACTGCGAAATCGGAGGATGTGATTTTCACAAAAACTAGTAAAGTCTACGAGTGTAAAATCATCAAGTCGTTAATCATTAAAAATCTATAGAAACATAATCAAGTTTCAGTTTTAATTTTTTTGTTAGGAGTGAAGTCAGATTCTTGGTTGGTTACTACCACATCATTGTTGAAACTCGTTGGTGGAGAAGGCAATTCATACTTTAAGCCAAATTTAACACTCCTTTCGCTATTGAAGTCCCTTCTCTTTAGCACAGGTCTAGCAGGTTTTCTTTTCGTAGGAGTTGGAGGAGGCGTCTTGACTAGCACCTGGGGATCTTTCTTTACCTGGATCTTCTTTTCTTCTCTAGCTTCTTGTTTTATTCTTTTGGCTTCAAGTTGCTTAAGTCTCTTGGAGTCTAATTGTTCCTGGGTCAAGAACAAATCAGGAATTTCTTGCTTTAACACTTTGATGAAGTTATCACAATCACACAATACTTGATAATCAACATAGTTGTCCCATTGACTAGAAGATACTTGAGTTTTATTGATGAAAATGACTTTTCCGCCTTTCTCATGAATAGATGTAGCTAAACTTTTAACCAACTTCTTTACTCCATCAACCTTCAAAGAAGTACCCATGATGATCAATATGTCAGGCCTAGATTTAATATCTGTATTCAAGCCTTGAGCGAGGATTTCTGATTGAGGGTGGTTTTCTCCGTATAAAACAATTCCAGGTCTTAGTATTCCAATATTTCCTGTGAGTCTTTTACCCAGATATAATCTTTCCTGGTATTTCTGAAAGCAGTTTGAGCACTCTGGGTTGTCACCACTTGACAACATATTTTGATACTTTTTGGTCCACTCAAAGTTGGAGAAACATTGGGTGCACGTTAATTGGTTTAAGTCGCCATGAAGTTGGACCACATCTAAGTTCTTCCAATTTTTATTGAACGAGGAATTTACAAGACGTCTGTTGGTCTCCTCGGTTTGAAATTCAGAAGACTTAATGCCGGTGGTCAAATTAACTTTAGATTCTATACCATCGATGTTCTGAGTGTAGCATCTAAGGAGCTTATTCTTGTCCTTCAAGAGCTTGATGAATTTGTGAGTTTCGGTGGGTTTTGCTTGCAAAGAGCTAGCGTACAATCCCTCCATAAATGTGCAGAAGACTTGCAATGTTAACTCGTCTCTGAAAAGCGAGATGTCAAATAAGTCTTGTCCCTTGACAACTGTCTTCGGGTATTTTTCCTTCACCAAGTTGTATAATCCTTCACTGGATCTGAAATCAGGAATCCCAGCGTTGCAACTAATCCCTGCCCCAGTTAATAAGGTGGCCTTCTTAGATTTGAAGATCACTTTGGAGATTTCGGTTAATTTAATGCTGACTTCACTTGGTAACGAGTGCACTGAGGCAGATGGGTCATGGTCCAACAAGTCAATGACCTTCATTTTTAAAGGTGGAAGAAGGTGAGCTTGAAGGATAATGAATTTGTGGAATGCTTTTGGATGGAGTACGGCAACGTCAGTATTTATGTGAGTTTTAGTTCCATGCAAATTTGGCAAAAAAAGTAGGTAATTTGTTGCTGTATTGGTAGGTTTTGTAAATATATATGAATTTGAAATAGAGTGAGAACTGGTGGACGCGCACGACCAGATCCACGGCAGGGACGAGCTACACGAAACACGATACAAGCGAAACACGATACACACGTAAAACCCATTCTAAATTAGTCGATGAGATACATAATCGTCAACTGGTTTATTTATGTGTAAACTAACTGTTTTGACTATTTACTGCCAATTCCATAATCAACCTAGTTGACAAGTGTAAGAATGGATATGCTGAAAACGAGCTCATTTCGTCGGGATTGGTGTTATCGGTGCTATTACTTTTTTCCCAGCCGTCAAACTTAAAATCTACCAAGTAGTTATTGGGTTCCAATTGGAACAATTGGATTTGCATCTTCATCATATCAGAAAGAGATTCATCAACTTCCATGCCCAGATTGGTGGGACTGTATTTCCATCTAACTCTAATGGTCCATAATTCTTCTTCTGTAGGTTTAGCCCATTCAGCTCCCAAGTTCTTCAAAGCTCTGTAGATTTCTCCCATGACATCTAAGGGGTATGATCTTGACCGGATCCCAAAATGCCATCTGGTCTTCAGCTTTTTTGTACTTATGGGACTAATTTTACTCTGGTTGGTGCTAGTAGTATTCTCCATCATATACGCCCTGTGAATTGAGGGTAATGAGGTAGGCAAAATAGCAATGGTGGAATTGGGTAAAGTAGACAAATCGGGCACTTGTGCTAACGTTTGATATGTTAAAGATTGTTGAATGCTAGGGGTCCTGTGGCTCAACACATTGTTGTTGATATTATTCGTGTCCCAAGGTGGTGGAGGAGAAGAACTTAAAAAACCATCCATTTGATCGGTCTTGTGTTTTTTCAAGTCTTTAACCAAAGCGTGATTGTCTCTCATCAAAAGGTAAGCATCAACAATTTCATTAGACTTTTGTTGAGGAGTTGGTGCATTGTTATACCGATTTATAGAGCCAACAATTTCATCCCTTTCGTATCCCATGGTGTGAGTTAAAGCCGACAAAACATCTTCATCGACATCAATGTTATTTTTTTCTTTACCGATATCTTGGGGTAACAAGTATTGTTCAATACCTTGTTTGAACCATTCGTCTTCCATGATTTCGTGAATGGTGATTCTGTTCAACGGATTTACCACCAACATCCTTGTTAACAAGTGCTTGGCACCTGGCGACAAGTAGTTTGGAAGGGTATAGACCCCGTTACTAATTTTCTTGAACAATGCAGGAATAAACTCATCATCAAAAGGTAATCTACCACATAACATGACATACAAGATCACCCCCGAAGACCATACGTCGACTTCCGGACCGGCATACAATTTCCCACTAATAACCTCAGGAGCAGCGTAATTAGGAGATCCACAACTTGTTTTTAAGAAATTACCATCAGTCATGATGTTAGACAAACCAAAATCAGCAATTTTGACGTTATACTTATCATCCAATAACAAGTTTTCCGGCTTCAAGTCTCGATGCACAATTTTGTGTCTATGGCAATATTCTACCGCTGCAATAATTTGTTGAAAGAATCTTCTTGCTTCATCCTCAGGCATTTTACCTCTCTGTACAATGTAATCAAACAATTCATTTCCCGCATATTCAATCACCATGATGATTTCGTCTTTGGATTTTATCACATCGTATAACTTGATGATATGTGGATGTCTTAATAATTTTAAATAAGAAATCTCTCTTTCGATTCTTCCTTGCATATCTGATTTGGCCAAGGTTTTACGGTTAATGATCTTCAAGGCAACTCTTTGGCCAGTAGTTAAATGCTCGGCCAACTTCACTTTACCGAACGAACCTTCTCCCAAGGTTTTGATGATTTGATACCTACCAATTCTATTGGCGGGGTTAATATTAGGATCAATGGGAGTCGCAGGTTGCGGGTTGGTATGGTTACCCGAAGATCCCAGACCATGGGCAGCATTCAGACTCTGATGATGATGATGATGGTGGTGATGGTGATGGCCATCTTCGGTGGTGGCTTGATCTGACATGATTGAAGGAATGGGTTTATATGTTTATCCCTTTGGTGTCGAAAACGAAAACTGAAAATGACTGAGGAGTTTCGGTGAGGTGGGCGCAAATTTGCTCGCACACACACCCTCGCCTTAGAACCGATTGATGTCTGATCTGTCTCGATACTGATTATAGGATGAACTATCACCGTTAGTGCTGGCAGATGACGAATGAGGAGTGTTACGATTGGACTTTTGGGTACCGTCTCGCTCCAATCTCCTGTAGGGGTCTCTCAGCCTATCTGGTTCTCTGCGGTCTCTATGACTTGGATGTGTTCTTTGGAACTCTTGCTTTAAGTTGGGGTTCGCCTTCATGAGCTGCTTCTGTTTCTCCACAAGTTCAGGTGGAATGCCGTTTTTATCGGCCTGAGCTGCTAGGAGTAGTTTCCATAGCTTTGCCATGAACCTCATGGAGTCTTCTCCTAAAAACTCCCTGACATGCAGATACATCGTCTTCACATCTGGAGTGTCAGAACTGACAAGTAACTCGTAAACGTAGTCGACAATGACGTCGTCGTCTGGGACTATTTCGTTTAGTTTTTCTTCTATCCATCGCTTTATGACTGGTAAGTGGACCTCCCGAATATTCACAGGCTCGCTGAAGATTTTGGGATAACGGATAGCAGCCTTTTGCTGGTGAAGGCCGGAGTCCACGCCCATGGCAGTGGAAGGGGGTTTGGATGACATTGAATGATGGTTATAATCAGTGTACTGAAGATGAGATAAATAATGTGTGCGACATACAAATCACCCGCCGCTCTAGCTGCAAAAAACTCCACCTGAAAGTTACACATTTGTCTACACTTGAAATATAGCCTCTTTTTTTCCAAGGGATTGTTTTGGAGTTAGCTCGAAGCTTGGGTGTAATAAGAAGGTGAAATGTGGTTACAGTACCCTACCAGCCCGGAGTCTGCTTCCGAGAGCCTTGATACGTCTGATACGTCTATATACTCAACTTTATCCATACGGGATACAGAATATTCATTCAGTTGTAAAAGTCCAACCGAAGCCTTTTGTACAACTCAGTCACTCGCAGCCATTAAAGCACTCCCAAAAGATCCCAACGAAGATAAGTTGGAGTTGGGTGATAGCGTGAATATTTGGGCGCTTGACTATAAGAACGAGTATCCTTTGAATGATTTCAGGTTGGGATTCCCATACCGTAATATATTTGGAGGATATCTGACTGATTTGGGCCCCAAACATCGTCATGGTCTGTTTTCCTCATTGGGACAGATCTCTGCTGCTGGTTTCAGTCCCATAATGTTTCAGAAAAGTGCACATCAGGTTGCCCCAGAAAATACATGTAATGTCAGGGAGGAACCTATGCAAAAATCTCCCAAAATTTCAGCAATAAACCCGAAATATGTCCCGGTTCAATACCAGCAACAGCAACAGAAGAAATGGACTCCACTACCATTCAAAAACTATGTAGGTACCCAATTTAATGTGTCTCCAACCTCCAAGTTTTTTGTCATCAAATCTTACACCTTATTAGATGTGAACGCGTCTTTCATCAATAACATTTGGGCATCAACCGAGCTTGGAAATAAGAGATTATCTTCTGCTTTTAAGAAAGCTGCTGACGATCAGGGGGAAGTTTATCTTTTCTTCCTGGTCAACGGTAGCGGCAAGTTTTGTGGGGTTGCCAAAATGACCAGTGACTTAGATATGGAGAAGTCCAGCAATATATGGTTTGAAACAAGTAAGTGGAAAGGAGTTTTTGATGTTGATTGGCTTATGGTCAAAGATATTCCCAATAAATATTTCCACTTCTTGAAGGTTGCAGCCAACGAAAATAAACCTGTTTCTAACTCCAGAGATACCCAAGAAATCCCATTGAATATTGCCCTTGAAATGCTCAAAATCTTTAGCACCTTTAAAACCTCCACTTCTTTCCTTATGTGCTAAAGAGGTAATTTAAATTGTGTTTGTGCTGCCTAGCTTATGGTTATGGTTAAACCCGAAACCCGCAACTTTGAAAAAAAAATTGCCTGATACAATTCCTATATTCCAGCATCATGTTCAAAAGACCCTTGAGTCTGTCTTCCAGAGCACTACAACAAGTGTCGAAGGCGTCACAGTCCAAAAAGTTCAATTTATCGGACCTCGAGTTCGGTAAACTATCGAAAGCTCAAATAGCATATTTGGACAGAGTTATTCGAGTTGACCAATCCGGAGAACTTGGAGCCAATTTGATTTACAATGCTCAATATGTGGTGCTTGCCAACAGATATCCTCACTTGAAGCCAGTGTTACAACACATGTGGGACCAAGAGTTACATCACTATAGTACTTTCAATGATCTCCAAGTTAGAAGAAGAGTGAGACCTTCATTGCTTACACCTTTGTGGAAGGTTGGAGCAGTTGGTTTGGGGGCAGTCACCGCCTTGATCAGCAAGGAAGCTGCCATGGCATGTACAGTGGCAGTTGAAACTGTGATCGGAAACCACTACAATGAGCAATTGCGAGTTTTAATGAACCAATATGATGTTCCAATCTATGAAAAGAACACTGGGGAAGTGATATCTAAAGAGAGCCTTGAGATGACGTTAAGAACCTCGCCTGAATTGAGGCAGTTGAAGGAGTTCATCAAAGAGTTTAGAGATGAAGAGCTCGAGCACTTGGAAACAGCCATTGAACATGATGCAAAGAAAGCGGTACCCTATATGCTCTTAACTGAAACCATTAAGCTTCTATGCCATGGGGCCATTTACACAGCTGAGAGAGTATAGCAGGAGTGTGTCCTGCCCAATAATTTAACCTCGCGCACAAAATGATTTAGAAAAATACGAATGATAATAACATAAACAAGCTGTTTCGTAGATCAGTATATCATCATGTCACGACCCAGTCAATTATTTCGAAACAGGAACTCGACGATTCACAGACGTCGAACTAGTCTTCTACATGATGACCACCATTTACTGTTTCCCATATTGGACGCAAAAGAGATCAGCCATGTTTTGCAAGCGTGCGATTTTGATGTGCTCGAAGATATGATTCAGAGACCTAACGGCCAGTTCATGTCCTCTTTAACAGAGAAGTTGTTGGACACCTTCACATCGGCCTCAGTTGAAATTTTGAATGAGCAAGTCAAGCAGACCGCTAAAAAGGACAAATTCGAAGCGAATGGAGATGCTCACACCAATGGGGCTTCCAGTGCAAAGAACGAAAATAATGAGCTGTCAGATGCGCCTGTAAACGACGATACAACCCAGAGCTTGGGAGTGGTGGTATTTGCTCGTAAAGCCGGTGAGTTCTTTCAAACATGTGGTATATACGATTTCTCGTTGATAGATATGGTAAGGCCTGAACCCTATAGAACAAGGCGAATATTGAGTGCTGTCGTGAATTTCATCAGATTCAGAGAAGATAGGGCCCTGGAAATTGAAGGGTTGGCCACGAGTGCCTATGACGGTTTGGAGGTATTGAGACAAACAGAGGTTGAAAACATCGAGCTTTCTAATAAAATTAATATCATGAAAGATAGACTCGAGAGAAACATTGATGAGAATGGTAAGTCGAAACCTACTTTGAAAGAGGTCAATGTTTACAATTCTAAAATGGAGAATGAATTACGAAAACTTAAGAAGGTCCAAGAATCTTTGACAGAGGATCATTTTCAATATAAGAGTGATAAGAGCCGCTTGATTCAGAACCTTGAAGATATAAACTACGTGATGTTAAATCAAAGCAAACAAATTGAGCTTCTCAAAGATTATGACCAAGTGGATGTGAACTCCTTGCATACTATCATAGATCAACTAAGATCCAGTGCTACCGAATCGAGTGAAAAATTAAGCTCTTTGGAACTACAAAACCGAAATATTAGTATAACTATTGATTCATTTAATGTGGTTGAAAACGACCTAAAAAACCTTTTCAGAATTCTTGAAGAAGTTTTTCACGATGTGGAAAAGGAGGAGCAGGTATCGGATACCTTGACAAGAATTCAAGAAACAATGGATCAACAAAACTTTGAGTCTACGGATTTGCAAAGACAAATCCAACAGATTAAACGTCAATTAATAAATATTAGAGAAAAGACGGAAAAGCTTGAGACCCAAAGTGAAGAGAAATCGAAGAAGAGTCAAGAAACTATCGATCAACTCAAAATCGAGTACGACGACACTATTAAGGAGAGAAACTTAAAAGATCAAGAACTTGAAAAACTAAGAGACCAGATTTCCCACATTCAAAATGACATGAAAGTGAGAAAGATGGAGCTTGAACAAGAGATAAACAATAGTGAGATGGCAGTGGCACGATTGAACTCACATTTGAGATTATATTTGACTGAGATGAACAAAAAGATACAGCAATGAACTCAGTTAAAGCAAGGTATATATTGTACACTATTAAAATCTGTATTTTTAATTTAAAGCAAATGCTCAATTAGCTTTGGTTACTCTCTGAGTTGTCTATTGGTGTCGATTTTTCTTCGTTTTCGGAATCGTGGTCACTCTTTTGATTATTCTTGGGTTGGCCATTTTCAAGTTCATTTGTGTCATTATTTGGGGTGCTTTTAGCATCACCAGGTTCATTTTTGGTGTGAATATCCCCATCTTTTGGTAATTTCTTATTGCTAGTGAAAACAGAAGTGATAAGTAAAATACAAGACAGGGCAAGTGAAAGATAAAATATATTGTGAAGTGAATCCACATATGCATCAATAAGGCTGTTCTTAAGGCTTGTGGGAAACTGATCAACGATCAGTGGGTTGGCAACAATAGCATCAACACCCACGTTACTTAAAATGGTGTAGTCAGCCGAATGCCTTTGTAAGTTGTTGAGGATGTCTTTCATCTTACTTGTAGCAGATGTCTGCAATATTAATTGTCCAACAACTACTCCTATTACACCTCCAAGTGATTTGAAAAAGTTGTTCAAAGCAGTGACAATGATCATTGACCCGGGAATAGTGTTAGGGGCTGCCAACTGAGTGGACAATAGACTTGACTGGAATGATAATCCTGATGCTATGCCGTTTATCACCAATATTCCAAAATGTTGCCCAAATGTGGTTCCTCTGCGGAGCAACAACAGCACACCACTACCAATTACGAAACAAACTCCACAAAAGACGAGTACCAACTTTATTTGTCTGGTGATCCGAAGAAAGATTCCGTTAGATATTGAAACGATTGGAACCGTAATAATCATTGGTAGCATATCAATACCCGATTGCCATGCATTAGCTCCTTGGACTACCTGGAAATAGATGGAAAAGTAAACAATACTTATCATGAACTGAATAAAAGCAAAACATCCACAGAAACACGCCGTCATCACATATGGGCTTGTGGCAGCTTCCTTCATAATAATAGGGATCTTGGAGTATTTGAAGTTATAGACGCAGAAGGCAATCACCAACAAACCTCCCAAAATAAAACACAGTATGACGGCAGCTGATTTCCAAGCAAAGTCATTACCTCCAAAAGTCAACCCAAGTAACACCAAGACCAATCCACTTGCCATGAGAAAGTTTCCAAGGAAATCTATTTTAGCTAATTTTGTTTTCAAGTCACCTTCAGGTTTTGGAGGCTTGAACGAAATCATTAAAAACACAAACCCAATGCCGGAGATGGGTAAGTTTATCCAAAAACACCATCTCCAGGTAACATGTGTTGTGAAGGACCCGCCAATGAATGGCCCTAAAGCCGATGCCACAGAAAAGGTGATGCCGATCAAAGTCATTGAAAGCGATCTTTTAGATGCTGGGACCACCTCGCTCAAAATCACCATAGTCATGGCTTGAATAGCGCTTCCACCAAGCCCTTGAATGACACGTGCTCCGATCAACATATCCATACTTTTGGACAAGGCTGCTATCAAGGAACCGATGAAAAAAAAGAACAAGCCAAAAAGCATCGTTTTCTTTCTACCAAAGGCGATGGATATTTTCCCCCAACTTAGTGCAAGGCAGGCCATAGGAAGCATGTATCCAGAGGTAAGCCAACCCACTTTGTTGAAGTCTCCGAACTCATCTCCCACAGTAGATAAAATTGTAGACACAATTGTCTGGTCTAAAGCTGATGCGAACAATGCGAGCACAACGCTTAGCAATGTTAATGATAACTTGAAACCAGTCAAGTATTGGTCAGATACGAGGGTACCATCACCGGCATTACTCTCGTAGAACTTACCATCCTTGGAATTTGTCTTTTCTAACTCTGGCATTTTTTAGACAACTTCAAGGGTATGACTAATGTTCTGGAAAACCAATAGTATGTTGTGCGGATCGATATGTCACTGACAATAAAACCGATACTTTGAGTTATATTAATATTAGGTGTGTAGAATAGCTATTAAAATAAGTTAAAACATTAAGAATTGAACATTAGTGATGACAACAAGTACTCCTTGTTCATGTAGGTGGGCCTTTTTTTAAAAATTCTAAAAAGTCCATCTCATCGCCCTCATCGGACACAGTACTACTGGTTCTGTTGGTATCAAGAGTTCCTTTTGAGAGTTTTTTGGGAGGAGTGGAACTGCCGGAGTTTCCTCTTTTAGAGCTAGCTATTGTTTTACCTGAATTGTAGCTGTTCCGGCTCGTTTTTGAATAACTTGGGGAGTTTTTGGTGTGAGTGGGGGTATTTGATACTGGTGTTCCAATAAAGGCATCATAGGCTTTACCTTCTATGATAACAGGCTCATTAGGATCCACCACAGAGTGTTGTCTTCCCCTAACTGAACGACCACTCTGAGAAATAATGCTGTTTTTACGATCATTCAGGGTATGACTGAAGGAAGCGACATGAGGACTTAAGTTTGAACCTGCTCTGGCCTCAGAATTTGCTTGGGTATTTGATAAACTGACATTGGAGCCTTTATTGAAGTTCAACGAAAAGTTTTCAAGAGTAGATCTGAATTCATCTTCTCCCATTTTGCCCTGTAAGACATTAGAGTAATCATGAATCATGTTCTCACCGAAGACTTTCTCATCAGATTGAGTTTCGACTTCTTTGCTCCCGTTGACTGAAGCAGAAATCTCCTTGGCTCTTCTGCTTATAAGCTTCTTTTGAAGAGTTGCGAGATTCGCCTCGGTTGGTAGCTGGAATAATGGTAAGTTGATATCATTCAAAACTCTTCTCCAAGTCTTGAATCTATTGAGGTCAACGCCCAAATTGAAGCTAAGAGAGTTGTTTGAACCACCTCCACCATACTCTGTGGATGTTGACAACGCCCGTCCCCGGTGAAAAGCAGGTCCTGTTGATACAGAAGAATACAAAGAATGACTTCGCTGAGAGTATCTTTTTGATAGCACTGCTTCCATTTTATCGGCATGGTCTTTTTCAAACTTTTTCATCACAGTATACTTCCATGGTTGTTCTCTATAGAAGAAGACAAATGAATCGACTGTTCCGTTGAATGGCTGCATAAATGCACCCATACAATTGATCCAGTAAATAGGACCGTGTTCCCTCTCATAGTTGACTTGAGTAATATACAAAATGAAAGGAAATAACCAGATGAAAACATATGCCATTGGATAGATGAAAATGGACTTCATCTGTTTCTTAATAATTTTCTGTCTTTTATTGAAGTTTCTCAAGTTCTCCATCTGGATATCATCATTACGAGCATTGAAGCTATTGGAATGACGACCATCTTCACCACCAGAAGGAATGTTACCCGAATGACGGGTTTGAGTGGCTTCTACTTCATCAGCGTCCAGATCATCATCAGAAGACAAATCATCGATATCCACTTCGGTTATATTTTCCAGGGCAGGGGATGTATTACCACCAACGGTCCTTTCATCTTCATCAGTATCAGACCTACTTTGAGCCCCTTGATGAGTATGACTTCCTCCTGAGTGTCGATGATCAGTGGCTCTGGATGGGGCTCTAGAAAGCTCATCATTCTGAGCATCTGGTAACACTAACTTAGGTACCAATTGATCTTTGATAGACCCCAAAAAGTATTTCAAAGCGGAGAAAAATGAAGGCTCTTCGCTAGCAAGATCTCTCCGGGGAAGCTTTGTAAATACACCCCCCAATACCCGATATTCCTTAATGACATGGTAATAAATTAAAGAATAGCAGATGAAGATCACTGTCACAATAACAAACCGGGGAACCCAACTCAATACCATTCTGTACCAAACGGGAGTTTGCGGAAGATAACACCAGCAAACAAAGGATGAATAGCCTTTTCCATTGATGAAAGCCAAACTAGCCAATATAAGGGGAATTAAAAATGAAGTTCCGTAAATATAGTGTCTGTAAACAAACAAACCACCTTCAGTTCTACGGCTATGTCCCACTTTGACGTTCAACGAGGGCCGGAAGATCAATAAGTAGGTGTGAATGGCAAAGGTCAAAATGGCAAAATCGGCCCCTTCGATGGCGGTAGCCGTGAAGAATCCCACAATATGACAAAATTTGGCATTGAAATAGGCAAGATAGTGTGTTAGCACTCTGCTAGGATACAATAGTAAGATGATAGCCTTAAGGAGATCGAAGAAAAGGAGAAAAAAGATTAACTGATGTCGAAACACCAATCTTCTGGGATCGATTGCAAAAAAAAAGTAAATGGACGCCACACAGAACACTATGGAGGTGCTCGAGGATGCAATAGCTAGGATTCGCTGCACGTATGTTTCATGGCTTGTGAACTCCTGAACCTGATTTATTTCATTGGCTCTGATGAATACGTCCATCACAGACGATTCCACTGGATTTGTTAGCACTGATAGTACCATTAACCAGGCAACGATACCCCACATGGTGTTGGTCCGACTCATGACTTGGGTTGTGTTTGTTGACAGGAGAGAAACACGCTAGGCAAAAGCGCCGTTCTATAGTGGGAATATATTCGATTGATGACCAGCAAAAAGGACCACTTAGAAAGATTCGATAAGGCCTTGCAAATGGATATTTTGGAAGTAAGACAAAATAGCAAAGGTGAATGACTAAGGATATATGCGTCTTATGGCACGGGTCAATTCAAAGGATGTCGTTTCAGAACTCTCGTTTTGCTATGGAGGATGACGAGAATACCTTGGAAATAATAATTTTGAGGCTAGTTTATTCGGTGCTCGCCAGCTTTTTTGAGGCTTCGTGGATAGTCTATTTTTACTAAATCTCAGATTGGCTCGAGAGGGTGACAAGCAGATCTCGCCTCGGTACCAGTTCCGTGTCAGTTGTATGGAGAAATATAAAGCGTTACTACAATAATCGATGTCCCATGTTTTGAAAAATGCCTTGTTGGACCTTGTTGAGCCTTCTTGGCAGTGTGTAAATTCACCCAACAGGGAGAAGATTTTATAGGTGCGCGGAGGTGCAGGCCGGGGGCAGAATCCAACAGATGCGATCGCTACTTGGGAAGAAACGAGAAACACATCAGCAGTGTGGTTTACCGAGTGGGTGACACGTAGTTTACTGATATTACAAGCTACAATTTGTTAGTAACATTGAGTATACTTCATGGCTTTTGTCAAGATGGGGATGCAAGCAAGATTCAGGTAAAGAACTCTGGCCATCTTATGCGGCTCTCAACAATAGAAATGACCACTGGTTTAGCATAGTATGTGTTTTTGTTTACCCTTCTACGTTGACATAGAATGTTCTTTCGTTTGAGCTTAAAAAATAATATCATAATATAATTATAAACCAATCCATGACTTTACCCGGAAATATCGTTAACAGATTTGGAGATCTCAACCCCACTAACCTTTTGTTGATATGTTGGGGTGGGTTGCCATCTTCTAGTAGATTTGATTTCGTCCATTGAATATCCGGGGATACGAATGTTCCAATTTTTCTCTAAATGTAATTGCACATCTCTCACGTCAATGCTCTCCACTTTACGGTGTTTTGCCAATCTGCATGCAAATCCGGTGACTGAGTTGATAAACTCATCTGCCAAATCCAATAACAATTCTTCAACATCCCCATCAATAACAGTTTTACCATCGCCTTGGTCTGCTCCAATTGTTTGTACCAATTCGTTCAACTTCCGTTTAGTTAATACTCTTCCTCCATTATCGGGGATTTGGGCATTTCCGCTTTGATTCAACTCATAAGTGGGGATTTTGACTATGGCAGGAGTCCCTAAAATTTGTCCAAACCCATTAGCGACACCTCCACTTAAAGTGGGTCTAGAAATGTTATTTGGCTTCATGGTTACCGGTTGAGGAGGCCTTACGTTTATGCTACTTGATATGGGTAATGAAGGAGCACTTTGTTTGGTTATACCTTGTAAGTTAAGGTTCGAGTTTATTCTGGCTGGAGAAGCTGAACTGGACTGTGGTTGCGATTGGGGGACTGGTGATGTTGACTTACCCATTTGAGGCTTCTTATCACCCGAGGCTTGGACATGTGAGGCCTGATTCTGCACCACTTGCTGGGGTAAACTTATAGGAGGAGTTTGTGATAGTGGCAACCCTTGTCCTTGTGCCGTCGAAGGAGTTGAAACAGATCCTTGCAGCGATACCATTTGCTGGCCTACCTGGTTGAAATTTTGAGAAGCAGTTGATTGTTGATTTTGACCCATTTGCAGACCTTGGGATTGTCCCTGGGCCCTGGCTCTTTCCATCAATTGAGTCCTCATGTACAAGGCAAACTTTTGGTACTTGCTATATTTACTCTTCAATTCAGTGATTGAAGATTCCACTTGAGATATTTGCTCAGGAAGCGTATAGTTCTTCTTTGAGTTCTCCAATTGGTGGATTTTCCGTTCAAACTCTTCTAATCTGAGCTTCACTTCACTGAAGTTTTTCTCTGTAATTGTATTTGCTGGTAAAGATGGAGTACCCGAGTTGGCTCTTTGGTTATCAGAGGTAGTCGTATTCATTCCCATCTGTTGAGCCTGGGGAGCCGTTTGAGGACGGGGTTGTTGTTGTTGTTGAAAATTGGAGTTTCCCACCGATTGTAGATTTCCTTGCATGCCAAGTTGATTGCCTCTTGATAAACCGGCCATTTGTTGGGTTTGAGACATTGACTGTTGTTGTTGAAGTCCCTGATTTCCTTGGCCCTGAACCTGAGGTTGACCGGTTATCCCAGCAGCACGCTGCTGGGCCATCTTAGCCTTCTGCTGGGCCTGATAATCCAATAAAATTTGTTTGATACTTTCAGCTTTAACAGAGTGATGTTGTGCTCTTGCAGTATCATTACCAGCAGCCTTGGCCAAAGCAACCTCCTGTTTCAACGCCTGGAGAAGCTGAGTAACTTGTGAAGGTTGTATATTGATGGCCCTTGATTGTCCTCGGGCTTGATTATTAGTTTGATTGAGGTTTGGAGTAGACATAATTACTGTGAGGTATAAGTTTTGTTAGAGTTTTGGAAGGAAGAGGACCGCGAGAATAACGGTGGACACACGCACCAATAACCACAAATTGTGTGCTTCGAGGCCTTGTACAATAATGTAATGTATTTATAGAAGGAAATGGACGACAAGGTAGTCTTAGGAGACGTATATATTGTGGTGAGAGTTGAGGATCTATTACAGTGATTCAATTAGTTAGAATAAAATTGTCTAGCTAAAAAAACATGCGTGAGTTTAATGTCCATTAGATATTTATTTGCAGCAATTACATGAGTGCTATATTAGAAGAGTTACTATTACTTTTGTGAAATTATTACAAACAATTACAAACAACTTGGGAATACTTTTGGATTACGTTCTAGTCATTATATACCTAAAACAACAAAGCAGCAGCAGCAGCAAAGCCGGCAACACCAACAGCAGCTTTACCAGCACCACCATCGTAAGTAGTAGTGATAGATGGAGCAGCAGAAGCCTCTGGAGCAGCAGAAGACTCTGGAGCAGCAGAAGACTCTGGAGCAGCAGAAGACTCTGGAGCAGCAGAAGAAGCTGGAGCAGCAGAACTGGCATCACTTGATTCTCCCACAAGTAAGGTCACTTGGGTTTGTGTTTCGCCTTCAGAGCAAACAACACCAGATAAGTAGTTAATTCCATCAGATGCACACACGTAAAAGTTTGGCTGGTTAACACCACTTCTCAAACGGTTTCCATCTTCGATACCCCAGTCTCGGGAAGCTTCACTTTGAGAACCCACAACCAAACCTGTTGGAGTGGACGCAACATATTGGTCTCCTTGAGAAAGGTATCCAGAAGGCTCAGCCAAAAGCCACTCATTGTTACCGTCACCAACAGCAAGCCTGTTGTTGATGATCACCACGTTACCAGAAATGCCATTGGATGAAGTAATACTAATGGTTTGGTCGGCAATGACCAAAGAAGCGAGTGTTAATAATAAAGTGAACTTGAACATGATTGAATGTTTATGAAAAAAGCTCTCCAAGAGGAGGAAATTTAGGGTTCTTATAGAAAATCTTGGACCCAACATGGAAGTGAAGTGGCCAATTGCATTAATATTATGATACCTTTCTCGAGAATATGCTTGGCATTATCATGCCACTTAAACGGTGTGAAAAAAGCGCAAACCAGCAATGAGCCCCACGTCAAGTGGAGAAGGTACCAAAATTAACCTATAAGGTACATGTGGCGGTTGAGCTGGCTAGGTGGTTTCCCATTAGGATGTCTATCATCCAGCTCAAAGCTCAAGCTTAAGGCTGTATGGTATAGAGTGGTAGAGCTACTTAGGACGTGGTAATCGGTGTAGAGAACGGTGTACTAACCATTATAACATAGCTTGTGCGTCCGATGGTAGTGGTACGTCATGCGCACTATTTTTAGGACCTGCGGGTATTACGGTTTTGTAACTGAAGTTTCTGCAAACGTAACCACAATAAACTGACACGAACGGGAATTTTTCCACAGGGATCGGATAACTCTAAATCATTTATGGACCACGCGGAATTTGTCTTTGCTACAACTATTAGTGTTTACTTTTCTATTCAACTATATCAACAAGACAACTTTGGTGACGTGGACGCACTAGCTCATCTCACTTCCAAAAATAACCGTGATGATTCTATTGAAAACATTTCTTTTCACGTGTCCATCGACCAACTTATGACGCCTCTCAAGTTCAGCGTAGTACGCTTGCTCGTGTAACTCCACTTCACGGAGGCCCGTCACCAAATCGATTTCGCTACTCTTTTTCCATTTTGTTCTTCGGATAATTTTGAACCCCACAAATATTGCAATATCAACGAACAACAATAAGAAACTGAACAAAAAAGTCTGAATATCCCAGGATCCTGGCATAAACACCGTGTAAGCGGATACAAAAATCATCGTAAACGACAGAATTCCTCCAATGATCGCCAACCACGGTTGGTACCAACCTTTGAATGGTAACGTGTCCCTGTCAATGTTTTGAGCCTTTAATCCATAGTAGAAGGACACATAAACCACACATAGAATGGTAAAATTGATCAATTGACAGCCAGTGATTAAATTAGTGATCCAATTTAATACTTGCGATGCTGTATCTCCCATTTGTAAAAACGAGAGGAGTGCCCAGCACAACGAAATCAACACACAGTAAATAGGAATTCCTGTTTTGGTGGTAGCTGTCAAGAACTTGGGTGCATATCCATCAAGAGCCACTCCGTATAGCGTTCTGGACGAACAATAAGTATACGAATTACCGGCAGAAAACGCTGAAGACACCAATAAAACATTGACTATGTGCGGTAATACCGAGATTCCCAAGTTCTGCATCGAGATCACATACGGTGACGAACCAGCACCAGGTTTACTGGCCCCCAAGGTCTCCAACAAAGTTGGATCATTATAAGGAATAACAATCCCCACGCAAAGAGCTCCACCAATGAGGAAAACTGACAACCTGTAGAACACCTGCTTGAAAGCAGACGGTAAGGTTTTCCGAGGATTGATGGTTTCAGATGCCACACTCGAAACGTATTCGGGACCAGCGAACATGAAACAAGCTTGGATCAAACACGCCATAAACCCTTCAAATCTTCCCAATGAACCAGTAGTTAAATATTCATTCATCACACCAGGGTCTACCCAGTATCTGAACCCGTATACATCATGCTGGGGGTTACCTCCCACCATGGTGACGAAGGTATAGAAGATTAAACCCAAAGCTAAGACGATTTTTCCCAATCCCAACCAGAACTCAGTTTCACCATAAATAGCCACTCCAAACACGTTGATAAAGAAGTAAAGTACCATTTGGATTGCCAAAGGTATGGCTGCCGAAAAGTCATCTCTCCAAAAATGTATAATAGAATTGACGGTAACAACCTCGAATGGAATCTCTGCACAGCACAAGAACCAAAAATTCCAAGCGGTCATAATTTCCAAAGCTTCGTCACAGCACCTCCCGGCCATTCTTACGAAAGGGGAGGTGATGGGCATATAACTGACAAACTCTGCTGTAGAAAGGGTGATACAGAGAATTGGAATCGACCATACAATAAACCCAAGTAGTAAATTCAATGGCCCACCCTTGGCCAAGGCTTTTCCTATAGCCACGAAAAGGGCCGACCCGATGGTACCTGAAATCCCGAGGAGCTGCACGTGACGCCCGTGCAAAGAACGGTGCAAGACATTCTCCTTTGCTGCCGTTGATGTAGTGGACCTGGTGTACACTGAAGCATCATCATCGTTTTGGGGCTTTTGCTTTTCGAGAGCAGCAATTGAACTGGGGTCTATGATCTCGATTGCTCCGTCTTCCTTGGGCATTCGAGGAATGAAATTGTCCTTGAGGAACTGTACAACTGCCATATTTGCTGGTGTAAGATATAAAGAAGGAAAAAAAAATGGCAGAGATGTATGTGAGATTGAAATATTTTATTTTTATTTTTTATCATCCTGTGGGGTTAGGTGCGAGGTTAATCTGGGGAACGTCAAGTTACGGCAGACAAATCCTCCGTGGGTAGTGTAACGGTTTTGAGAGGGCATAGTTAAGAAAATTATGTGTTTCCAGAAAACAAATTAGACTGGAAAACAATTTTACATGTACTTACCATTTGGTAAGCCGAGGTTAGGATTCTGGGAAAATTTACATTTCACCCAAATGCAATTTCGATACTAACTATGAAAGCGCGCCAACTAGAACAACGACGAAGCATCGACTTGAGTGATGTTGGCACAGGCAATACGAGAGTTATCAGCCAAGTGAACGGTCACAGACCTTCCTCCAATGTACGCCAAAGACTCTGGATTCAATGAAAGGTATTCATCGACGTAAGTCTGTTTACTATCACCAGCCAATAAACCATATCTCCCGCTCAAATCTCCAATTTCCTTTTCATTGGCATTTGGATTGTTGATGTTACCATTGTAGGGATTCAAGTGAAGTAAAGTTCCCATGCAATCACCATCTACAGGAACTGGAGCTTGATGAACATGGTACATAAATGGGCCTCCAGTTTGGGGAAATCCATGTAAATCGAATGAGACCGAAATCGAGCCGTTTTGTAAACCTGTAAATTGCACAAACCCGTTGACTTTATTAGGATCGGAAAACTTGGCAATGTACACATCTTGAGGAGAGTCGTTGGCCTTGGGCTGGACCTGGTTCATCCAAGCCGACCAAACAGTTAAAAATGCCAATTGTGGAACGTACATTTCAGTTGCAGTGGACAGAAAAATTGGACCTTTGGGGTTATTTGGTGGGCTTTATATAACAATTTAAATTGGCGACGTAGATATGGTAAAACCACAGTTACCACCTGCCGAATTAGGTGAAAAATGCGAGCGAGAAGCCGGAGATCGTAGGGCTCACCAATTTTCTATTGGTTATCAATTCCATCTGTAAAGTTTTGGGGCCGCCGACAACAAGGCAATGCCCCGGCTCTCGAGCCGGTTCCGGTATTACTAAGCATATAATCGAATTAAGAAACCGTGCGATCGTGTCAGAAAAACCATTAAAGTCTAGTCGCGGGGGGATAACGTAGGTCTTTATATAGTTAGGCCATGAGCAATTATTATTCCCATAGCTCTGATGTTGGTGCTGGTTAGGATCGGGCGTGCTCGAGGACCGTCAAAATGCGTGTGCGTGTACGTGTGCGTGTGCGTGTGCGAGTTTGATGGTGCTGGTGGTTTCGAAAATGCGCACGCATTGCTATCTGACACTACAAGATGGCGATACCATTACTAGGAAGACTTTCAGTTGCTGAGTATTGCATTCTTAGTGTGAGCTTCACACTTGCTTGGCTAGAGTATATCATCTCATATATCACTCATATTCTTCCGTCTCCGGTCATTAATGGGTTCACCTTCACGGTTAAGAAGATCTATAACATGCTTAACTTGACCATCCTGTACAACTCAGACAAGAGATACCAGTATTTATACGAACAAGAACAGAATGAAATCGACAAGGCGACATATCTCCGTATGACGCGTCTTATTGAGTGTAAAGATATCAGTGAGTTGGCGGCAGTTTTTGGCTACGATATCCAAAGTCATGTGGTGAGAACTGCCGATGACTACCTTTTAACTATCCACAGGGTCATGAAATCTCCCGATGAATCGCCTCCTCGTAACGGAAAGGTGGTGTACTTGCACCATGGGCTTTTAATGAGCAGTGAAATCTGGTTGACCATGTTGCAAAAGCATGAAAACTTGCCTTTCCTTTTGTACGACTTGGGGTACGATGTGTGGTTGGGAAATAACAGAGGAAACAAGTACTGTCAAAAGCACACGTTTTTGAGAAAACCCGAAGACTTCTGGGACTTTTCTATTGACGAGTTTGCCATGTTCGATATACCCAATATCATCGAGTATATTTTGGATTATACCCTCGAACCCTCGTTAACTTACATTGGATTCAGTCAGGGAACTGCGCAAGCATTTGCCAGTGTGTCAATAAATAACGAGTTGAATTCCAAGATCGATAAAATCATTGCCATTAGTCCGGCCACTACTCCTCATGGATTATACTCCAAGTTTCTTGATATTGTCATCAAAGCATCGCCAGACATCATTTACTTATTATTCTCGCGGAAGATTTTAATGCCCTCAATTCAGTTTTGGCAAAAAATCATGTATCCTCCATTATTCAATACTTCCATCGACATTTCCAACTACATGTTATTCAACTGGAAGGCTAAGAATATTACTAGAATCCAAAAGTTGTGCCTGTACTCTCATTTGTATTCCACTACTTCGGTGAAAACAGTGGTTCACTGGTTTCAAATTATGAAAAACAAAAACTTCCAAATGTATATTGATAACAATTATTATCCCACCACATATCCTTTGAAAAATATCACCATTCCAATCTACTTGATATATGGTGACTCGGATTCTTTGGTTGATATTAGTGTCATGAAACGACAATTACCTTCGGAACTTGGGGCATCTGTGGCAGTTCAAGGACACGAACATCTTGATAATCTCTGGGGCGTCGACGTGAACCCAAATGTGTTTTCTCACGTGTTACGATTTATGGACAGCAATATTCATCAGAATGGCTCTGTTCATAAAGAATAATATATAGCGTTGTAATATACTAATTGGTGATGAACTTATGTAGTTATAATTGCTTGGTGGTGGATTTTGCAGCAGGTCGTGCACCGGTCGGTTGCAAGCGAAGCACGAATAGCGGAATTTTGTGTCATATTTTTGAGGAACATAACACAAAACGCAAGACAACATAATGTAGTACTTCTGCGATTGAATACCGATGAATATTGGACAACTCGGGGCAAAAGGATAGAGCGAATAAACAACCTACTGAACCTTTTTTTGCGATACAACTTCAAAATGAGTTCTCGATTGTCTGGAACCTTTTGGGTAAAATCAACTGCTCATTCGTATTCTTCCTACGTTGGACGGCTCCAAGTGGAGATTAGGGATATTCCAGTGTTTGGAATTGCCTTAAAAAGTTTCCTAAAATAACTATACAATGCATATTGTATATATTCTCCTTTAAGAAGTAAGTTTTCTGAGTTTTTAATTCTGAAGATCCCAGGTTACATTACACATTAAACATTATATCAGCCATTGTTGCAACGAATGCTCGTTCGCAAAAAGTTGGAATATTTTTTTCTTTGGTGAGATTAACAGATTCTACTTACTAAGTAACCTACATAATGGCCCAGGCCAATGCAACTTTGACTTATCTACCAATGGATCTCATTCTGAGAATCCAAGGAAGGTTTCCTACCGGTCCTTTGTCAGGGTTTGATCCGGATGCTTCGAAACTGTATGATCCAATTTGGAAATCCTTACTTAAGTTCCAACCTCCAACAACCTCAAATATCGAAAGTAAAGATAATACCTTACCAATACCTGCTTATTCTCAATATCTCACTGAGCTATTGAATGCTATGGTGAATGGAATCGAATCCCAGAGACCCATGTTTGAATCAAGTATTTTTACATTGACTACTTCTATTCCTACATTAAAACAAAACGAGTATTTCAATTCAAAGAGATACCCAGATAACTACCTTTCCAAAATCCTTATTGACAACTTTGAGCAGATCCAACTGTGTATACTAACGTATTCCAATTTGAATGTCTCCTCCCACTTGACGAAATTTTTGGTTAACTTGATATACTCTCTTCAATTTTGGGAAGTATACCACTTGATTAACTATTTACCAAACTTCAAGCTGTTTTTGGTATTGTTGGACTTTGACATTGTGGAAACATACGAAACTTTAATCAGGCCCCCCAAGAACTATTTGGAAAAGAACCTTTACCAGGGATTTCAATATCCTTTCCCTTACCCATTTTATAACTTTTCCTATCATACACTCAAGGACAATGTTGAACAAAAGTATGCTGATGTTCATATCACACCTTATATTGACATTCGCTTACGAAAAAATCCCCCAAATAGGCGGTATAAAAAGAAAACCCAGAGATTGAAACAACAAGGCTATACTGCCTCAAAATATGATGAGAAGATAAAACAGGAACCAGCGAAGATATCTGAGACTATTCAAATTGGAAACCAAAAATCGCTGTACGCTGCAAACGAGATCAATGAATCAGTAACTCAACAACCTGAGTTCAATCGAATGGCACCTAGCACTGAAGATATGCAGTCATCTCCATTCACCGCAACCCCAGCTTTGAATTTCCCATACTCTCAACAGCATAATTTCGGTTATCAACTTAGACCGTTACAACCTCCACCAGTGCAGATGAACTACGGCCAGCCTGGGGTATTCGGTGTATCTCAAGGAATGTACCTTCCACCCGTGGCCAAAGCCCAAGGTTTATATCCTTATATGCCGTTTGCTCCGATGAAGCCCAATGATCAAATTCAATCACAACCTTCTTCACAGATTCCTTCACCATTACAGCAAGAAGTCCAACCAATACAACCACAGGTTCCTTTAATGGCCACTTCATCAGCACAGACCAAACCTCAAATACTGCCTATGCAACCTCAGTCTCATCGTGAAACCCAGTTGCAAAATCAACCAGAAAGGCAACAACTTGACCACCTGTTAGACCAGTCTGAAATAAAGCTGGCTGTGCCAAATGCCCAGCCAGTACCGTGTGCACCTCCTCAATCTCAACCGGAAGTTCCCATTGTGTCTCCTGTGCAAACCCAAACTACTACTCTACCTCAAACTTCTCAAGTCGTGGATTCTGGTGCAGGAGATAAGAGAGAGGTAGTCCACACTGAAACATATGACTCAAGCTCAGTGTCACATGACCCACCTTCTGGTCACAAATCTCCTAAACAGGCTCCAGCTCTACGGTGGAGACAAAACTATGTTGCTCCACAGGAGCACGTTCGTCCAGAAGTTCAAGAAGATGTCCATAAGCCTCTTCCACAAGGTGCTTTGGAGGACGTATTTCAAAACGGATCGACTAATGTTACACTTAAGTCTGGCTCTGGAAGAAATGATGCTGGAGTTTTCCAGGGAAAGTTCCTGGAAATTGAACAAAGTTCACTGGCTACACTTAAACAGGAAAACGATATTTATGGATCTGCCGATGCTTCTGGTGACTACGATTCTAGTGACATTTCAAGTGATGAAGAGCCATATGAAAAGGCCATACGTAATCCAGACCGTCCTATTGTCAAGTACAAACCTCGTGCTACACAAGTTATTCACCAATGTCATTTACTTGATCCCACATCATATACCCCTTGTCTTAAGATCTTTTATGGTAAAAACGAGTTGTTGCGTCACCAAGAATTTGTACATGCTACCAGAAAGAAGATTTACAAATGTCTTTATTGCCTGAGGAACGGCAGCAAGATCCAGAGTTATCCAAGACATGATTCTTTGGCTCGTCATATTCGTCGAAAGCATGGGGTCACAGGTAAAGAGAATAAACTTGCGGTCAATTATGCCAAAGAAAACGTTGAAATCATCGAAGATCCTAACAGGACTAGTCAAGGAGAGCTTTTGGAAATAACCACTCGACCTTTACCACACCCACAGTTTTTGAATGAAGACTTCACCTTGAAACCTAATTATGCTGGATTCTTACTGTTTAACACTCGAGAAAGGCTCAACAAAAAAGACCCAAAAGATACTGAAAGTCTGGACTACGGAAACGAAGGTGCCGTATCTGACTCCAGAGCCTCCACATCTCCTGATGAAGGCAATTTGGCCGCCAATAGTGGCACGGAAAATCATACCGCTCCACCAACCGGCAAATACACATACCCTGGTGGAACAGTGCCTTATAGCTATATGGCGAGCCAGTTCCCGTATCTGCAACAACAGATTCCTATTACCAACCAAATGGGATCATCGCAGCAATTTAACCCTCTGGGAGGGTATTTGAACCTTCCACAAATGCACAAGCCACCGGTGCAGAATTCAGTTCGTATGCCGACATCTACACCCACGTCAGATCAACGTTCGGTCCCAGCTCCAGGTTTCCAGGGTCCGATTATTTCGTTTGCAAGTAATTACTACACTGCCAAAGAGGAGGAGAGAGATGAAAAAAAACAAAACCCAACCTAATAAATGTTGTACAGCATCAATTTGCAACATCACACGAAATACTTAGATCGGAATTATATAGGTTAATTATTCAATGACTAAAAATTATTTTTTTTTCAATTCATAAGCAAACAGCTAAGGTAACTCAAAATCTCACTTATCGCTGCATATTTGGTGTTTTTTGCAGTTATTCAATCTCAGCCAATTGGAATAAAAAGGCGTGCGCACATCTAAAAAAATTGCAGTCAAAAGAAAAAAAAACCTGTTGTCAAACAAAATCTCCCACTAGGTCAGCGCTTTACAGATACTAATCCAATAAAAGCATCCACATTTTCTACTATTTCAATACTTCCTATCAGTGCTTAAATTTGGAACAGGCACATTTTCCTTTTATATTCCTAGTTTTACCGACTTTTTCCATCTTGGTTGGTACGGCAAGTCTCAATATTATCCTTAGGGTGCTAAAAACTGACGAATCCCTATTGCAAAAAAGACAAGTTATTTGAACTCAGTGTTTGATTCTTTTTTGTACAATCCACAAACAGCCAACCGACAAAGACCATCAAGTGGTGAATTGTATAGTTTATTCACTATACTTGGTTTATTGTTACTACCCCTGGGGCAACATTGTTAAGAAGGCGCCCGGCTTTGTGTGGATTTTTCGCATTTTTTTGCCAACCGAGAAACTTCAAAGGTTTTTCTATCATTTTTTGCAAGCAAAAGCATTGCTAGAGTTTTCCATTATTTGAAGTAGTTGTTTCCCAAATATGGCTTCTATGTTGAGTACGTCTGTGGCTACCACGCAGAATATATCACATACTCCAACTGCGTCTCAAATTGCTAGTCTGTATGATAATCAGAACCCCTTTCATGAGCACCTCCAAAATGTTGCTGATAATGTTTCAAATTCCAACGATAAAACAACAAAATCCCCAGTTCCATTCCTTGATAGGTTGGTGGAAGATGGAGATATCGACAAGTCTCAAATTATCCAATTATTGGTATTAGGACAGCCTAAAAATATCACCCAGTACAGTGAACACATTTACAAGCTATTGAGTATACTATATGAGTATGAACATATAACTGGTGATGAATATGAGAAATTGAATGGAAAGGCCATCAATCTTTTTGACGGGTTACCGATGTATCAAAACTTGAACAATCCCTTGGCGTCCAAATTGTACTTGATTGTGGAGAAGAACTTTGATATGTTAATTAAAATCTCCGTCGACGCCCACAATCTTAACTTGTCGACCAGGGCCGTTCGATTTCTCACCGAAGTGATTCTGTCGTTGAATTATTGGGAAATCTATAATTTGCTAACTTGGAAACCGGCAATTTATCACTTTTTGTGCATCATTCAATTCAACATGAATGAATGTTACTTACGGTTCATCAAGGACTATTCCAGCTATAACTTCCGACAGCAATACGTTAGTTTCAACAGAGATAATGTTGGAAAAAGATCAAGACGGATCACAGATGGTCTAGATGACGAAGATGAAGACGAAGACGAGGATGAAGACATGTACGATGATAATACGTCTACCAATGAAGATAATGAAAACTACTCATCCGGTTCCAATACTCCTCTTGATGGCAAACATATGATGATACAACATTCAGGCTTAAATAGTCAACTATTGAATGCTGATGGTGAACCTGTTGACATGGATGGGGACACATTTATCAACAGTGACTTAAAATCATTGGCTCCAAAAGACAGAAAGAGGATAACAATTGAACCCAAACTTGCTCGTAAGATTATTAAGAGAGCAAATACTAGGATTTCAACCAAGTCCTCTAATTATGATCCAGATGTGGTTCATGAATGTCAATTACCTTCTGCTGACGAACATGGTAAAATGTGTTTAAGAAGGTTTTCCAGAAAGTATGAATTGATACGTCACCAGGAAACAGTCCATTCGAAGAAGAAGAAGCTTTTCAAGTGTTTTGTTTGTGTGAAACAGAACCCTAGTATTGGGCCAAGAATATTCACCAGACATGATACTTTGGCAAAACATATAAGGGTCAATCATAAGATTTCTGGAAAGGAGGCCAAAGCTGAAGTGGCCTTCTCTAAGAAGCACGCAGAAGTGGTCGAGGAGGGGGATATCACCGTTCATGTGGGACGGAGAAAGACTAAGGTGGACTTTGAGTTAAGAGCACATATGGAGAAGAAGAGGATTAACAAGGATGGCGAGTACTATGAGGCTGACTACTCAATGGATGGTGACATGGATGACTCACATGATGGCAACCTCATTGTGGTGGACCAAGAGGATGATATGGACGACGATGTGATGGATGAGACTGAAACTCACGAAATGTTAACCCCAAATAGGTCTGACAGTCCACCTAAAGACTATACACCGGCTTCAAGTTTTGCAAATACCTCACAACCGGAGAATTCTACGGCCTCTACTTTACCCCCTATACTCCAGAACCCCAACACGGACACCAATCCCATCCTCAACACGAACCCAAATGTCAACACCAACTCTCACGTCACTATCATCCCTGATACCAACACCAATGGTGTAATCAACACGTACACCAATGTTAACATTAATGATAACCAAAAAGCTATCACTAATCTTAACTCGTTAGCATTTGACGCAGTAACAACATCATCTGTTCCTGTCCCTGGAGTCCATAACTTCCCACAGGAACCTTATAAGGTTCCCCAGTATTACCAACGTCCACACCCAGAATTGTTTGCTCCCCCAACAAAGGCCACACCTGTTCAGACTCAAGCATATCCCCCTGTCTCTCCATCGCAAGATACCCCACGAGGTGACTAGGATATGAAAAAAAACTACTATATAATAGTCTTCAATTCTCCATAGCATCTAAATATTTACACTACATTTGATGTGTTATAAAGCACCAGCTTCAGTTAATTATAATATATTACAAAGAGTTTTCGTATCTAATTTGCTCCAATATAGCGGCTTTAACAGTTTCATCTTTGATAGTATCAATTACCAGTTTAGGAATTGAACTCAATGCAGTGAACTTCTGTCTTATATTGGAGTTTGAAAATTTGGTATCGAAGGTGAGAGTTTCAGATTCTCCAATTTTGCTAATCTTATACTTCGAAGGCTGGGTCCCAGAAGGAACAAAAGTATGTCCCGTGTAGGTGTCTTTGAATCCGCTGAAAGCTTCACTTCTCCCTTCCAAAAAACGAGCATTCAATTCACGAGTTTGCATGGCAATTTGATACATCCAGGTGGGATCTGATTGATAACTGACCAAAGCGGCACCAGATAATTGCAGTGGTTGGTTGGTAGAGGTTGCATCATAACCAGCACTTTTACTCATGTTGTAGTTATAAAGTTCGGTAGGATCAGCATATTCACCTTCCACATCACCATTGTCTCTTGCTTGCTGTTCCCAGAAATCATCAAGCACCTTTCTACCATTATCCAAGATCTTGGCTCCAAATTCTCTATAGATTGACCTTGCAGTCACCAAATTTACAGACCGACCTTTATAGGAGTTTGGAATGATATTCCTGTCAATCAAGTCCATCTTCTCTTCGTTGGTACAAACCTTTTTAAACAATCTGGTGTGGGTTTTGAACAACAAGTATGAATCTCTGAACCCAACCAATCTAGCAGGTTCTGTAGAGATCATATATTTCCTGTCGCCTTGACCCAAAACTGTGAATGTTTTATTTATGAACCTTCTTCCTCCAAGTAAGTTACCATCGATATCGATCTTTTCGATTGCCTTGGGATCTTCATCATCTACCACGATTTCGTCATTGGTAACGCGTAACAAGTTGCCCTCTTCATCGTAGTAAACTCCATCTTCTGCCAACGTTAACTTGGTTCTCTTTCTTCCTCTTTTCTTGGGAGCCGGTTTCTTGATCTTAATCTTTGGTCCTACTTTGGGCTTGGGTTGTCCTTCCTGATTTTCTTCTTCATCGTTGTCTCTCGCATACTCTTCTTTTTCATCATCTTCTTCCTCTTTGTCATCTTCCTCGTCATCTTCCTCGTCGTCATCGTCGTCGTCAGAATCTTTAGATTTGACACTCAGAATATCTCTTTTCCGTTTGGCAGGCTTAACATCTTCTTCATCGTTTAGTATAGAATCATCAGGGTCTTCATCCTGTCCTGGTTCACTGTACTCGTCATCATCAGCAGGTTCGGGATCTAAATCCAAACCAGAAAGATCTGCTTTCCTCGCAGCAGTTCTTCTTCTGCTCTGAGGAGACGCCGTTGGTGAAGAAATATTGCTTCTAGTGCTACGCTTTGTTGGCATTATTCAGTTCAGTTGAGTTGAGGTGAATTGTACTCGCGTTGATTTGTTTTTCGTGAGGGTGCGAGTGCGACGTCCAAGAAAAGGTCGTGCATATTTATCAAGTACAGTTCATGTTACTTTATTTACAAGGATTAGATATATGGGTTTATATACGGTTCATTCATGCTTATGCATTAGCAGGTTCATCTGGTTGTTGCAAGTCTTGGTATGGTGGCTTGCTGTCGAGGTACTTATCAAAAGCATCGTTGTTTTCTGGAAATGGTCTCTTTCCGAGAAGCCTAATCATGTCTTGTCTGGTAATGAACTCTTTCCTCAATAATTCCAGAGCAACAAGCTCCACTTCAGTTCTTCTTTCCTGTAACAAGTCCCGGCACTTTTCATAGCATTCGCTGACAATTCTCTCAATTTCTTCATCGATAATTTTGTTGGTCTCATCACTAAATGGTTTGGTCAAATTATCTTGCGACCGAGTATCAGCATAATTGACCATTCCAATTGCAGGAGACATACCGTATCTCAATACCATTGACTGGGCAATCTGGGTGACCTTCTTGAAATCATCATGAGCTCCGCCAGTAACTGATTTGAAAAACAATTCTTCGGAAACACGGCCTCCCAAAGTCATAATCATTCTGTCAACCAATTGCTTGGTATTCAAAAGATACTGGTCTGGAGGTAAGTATTGAGCGTATCCCAAAGTACCTTGGCCTCTTGGAACAATAGAAACCTTTAATAAAGGATTAGCATATCTCAAGTACCAACCGCAAATGGCATGTCCAGCTTCGTGGTATGCCACAATCTTTTTCTCTTCTGGAAGTAATACCTTAGACTTCTTCTCGATTCCACCAATGACTCTTTCAATGGCCAACTCAAAGTGCTTCAAGTCCACTGAAGTTTGATTATATCTGGCAGCAATTAAGGCAGCTTCATTACACACATTTGCAATATCTGCACCAGAGAACCCAGGAGTCAAAGCTGCCAATCTTCCAGATAAGTCATGGTCAACGTTTTCTCTCAACTTGATCTTCTTCAAATGGACATCAAAGATATCCTTACGATCACTCAATTCGGGGTTATCAATAGTAATATGTCTGTCAAATCTTCCTGGTCTTGTTAAAGCCTTATCCAAAATGTCTACCCTGTTGGTACCAGCTAAAACCACAACATGGTCGGAGGTATCAAAACCATCCATTTCAACCAATAACTGATTCAAGGTTGTTTCTCTTTCATCATTAGCACCATTAGCATTCCCTTTAGTTCTAGCTTTACCAATAGCGTCGATTTCATCAACAAAAACAATAGAAGGAGCGTTTTCTCGTGCCATTTTAAATAAATCACGGACTCTGGAAGCACCAACACCAACGAACATTTCTACGAATTCTGAACCAGAGACTGAATAGAATGGAACATCTGCTTCGCCAGCAGTTGCCTTTGCAAGCAACGTTTTACCAGTACCTGGAGGTCCAGACAAAATGGCACCTCTGGGAATTTTGGCACCAAGTTTTTCATACTTTTCAGGGCTCTTTAAAAACTTAACAAATTCCATGACTTCTTCTTTAGCTTCGTTCATACCAGCCACATCTTTGAACCGAACTTTAATATCAGTTTCTTGATTGAACTTCTTAGCGTTGGACTTTGCAAATCCTAATGGTCCTCCCATTCCTCCCATATTACTGGCTCTTTTACCCATATAGTAGATTATGGATAACAAGAGAATAGTTGGAACAAAATTGATCAAGAATTTGGCGGTGGAACCCAGAGTCGTATAAACAACTGGTATTCTGGCTGATTGGTCAATATTCAATTGATCTTGAACTTGTTTCAAGGCATTTTCAAATGACTCAACCGACCCAATAGTGAAATAGTATTCTGCGGAGCGTTCACCCTTTGCAGAATCATGTAAAACAATGGTTACAGTCTTGTTATTCACCACCAACAATCTACTGACCAATCCTTTTTCCAAGAAATCTGTGGTAAACTTCTGGAAGGTAACTTCCACAAAGCGTTCCGAGTATACTCTGGCCCATAAGTATCCTAATACAACCACCACGAATCCTATATTGAACAACCGACCGGGGGTGAGGTCAATCTCAAATGCAAAAGGAGGTTTGTTGTTATCCTTCTTTTTGTTGTTCTGCTGCTTTTCACTAGTGGAATTGTTGTTGGGTGATGAACTCTTTGTTGACCCTTCTTTATTACCGCTCTCACGGTTGAAAAAATTACCTAAAGATAATTTTTCAACCGTGTCGTTGATCTGCTCAGAGACAGCTTCAATTCCGATTTGAAACCCGTTATATTCCCGAGGAGAAATGGGGCAACGGTTGACTTCACCTTCTTTAGGGAATGGAATGTCCATCAACAATTTAAAGATATCAAACCAATTGGTCACTAGATCTTCGCTCAAACTCAATTCCTGGGCTACCGACAGAATTGGACTTGAGAGATCTTCAAAGTCCTCCACGTCCAAGAAACTGTACAACATCAATTGCACCTTGGAGTCTTCAATCTTGATATCCTGTAAAAACGTATATCCGTTAGACAAATCATAGCAGATGTGATAATAGTACAAAATGTCTTCCCTGGTCAAAGGTGTCACCTCGGGATGAGCCTCCTTGAATTCGGCAACCAAGTTATCCAATAGGACATCAGGAGGTGTGAGCTTTGCATTCTTAAAGTTGTCACATTCTCTAAAGAAGGTATCCATGTTGAAATCGAAGTATACCTTTAAAGTCTTAACAGAAGTGACATCTAAAGGATCCATACCATTGAAATGAATAGCAGGGGTCTTTATTTTCTCTTCATACGCCAGCATTTTCTCAGTGAGCTTCAAGGTAGCTACCTTGCGTTCTTGGGACCTTATGTTGAGGTGGATCTGTATTCTTTCGATCAATCCGGCATTCTTCAACAGTTGTCTCATTTTCTTGAGTGTTTTGATTTCTTCATCTATTTTGTTTCTGGAATGCTGGTTGAACAAACTCTTTGATATACGGAATGTACGAATGGGCTGTATTCCAAAACCGACCTTCACGGCTCCAGAAATTGCCCGAGGCGTAAACCTAGGTCTGATTATTTGAAGCATAGTGAAGTTAAGTGTTTGCCCTCAAAAGCGAAAATTTTGAACAGTTTTCGCACACAAATTCGTGTGCCTCCTACAAAACCGCTGGCGCTCAATATTTTGCAGTAATTAAAAACAAATTTACGATTGAGTAAATATATAAAGAAACACTCATCAAGTTCATCTTGGTTTCACAGAAAACTCCACCACCACCGGACGATGGTCTGAGTATCTATAGCCACGTTCCGTCCACGTGTCCAACACATTGTATTTGTTGACAGAGGTGTGCGAATTCTCCTTATTAGCATCCTTGGCACACCACACAAAATCAATCACAGTGGACGGATCTTCAGGCTCAAATCCGGTGTATGTAGCCATTTGCGTATCTTTGACACGGCTCACCTTTCGAGTATCAGAAAGGTCTTGTATGAGAGTTTTATAGGAAGCATCACTGGATTGGGAGTTGAAATCGCCCGAAACAAATGTTTCATGGTCATTAGGAATTTGATGTATCCAGTCAAGAATCAACTTGGACGACTTTCCACGAGCCAATTGACTCTTGTGGTCAAAGTGGGTATTGAGCATATTAATGATTATGCCTGTTTCCTTGTTTTTGAAAGTGGTTATTGTGACAATCCGTACATCGGCTGCACCCCATGCCTTGGAGGGAAGACGAGGCGTGGGGCTAAGCCACTCAGTAGTGCCGTTTAGTAACTCCCATTGTGATTTTCTGTAGAATATAGGGGCATATTCACCCTTTTTCTTTCCGTTGTCACGACCTACTCCAAAATAATCCCAGTCCTTACCATCAGTTAAGTGGTTTAATCCTTCTTCTAAATCCATGAGCTGGTTATGTTTCACTTCTTGCAACCCAATAAGGGTTGGCAACTTGGAAGTTGCGTGGTGGTGAAGTGTTTGTATCAACTGGACTTTGCGCTCTTTCCATCTGTGTTCATGACAAAACCTCCATTTTGTATCGGTTCGGACGTTGGAAGAAATTACTTGGAAGTCCAAAGACTGACTCAAGTCCAAAGATACGGGGTAAGAAACAACAAAAGTGATACACAACAAGAGCTTCAACACCAACATGATCCGAAGGTACGCAAGGTGGGATAGCACGCGGGTGATTGTGAGTATATATGGACCACAAAACAAGCCATGGGCGCAAACACAGCCCAAACCACATTAAAACATACTCTGTGGTGACTGAAATACTAATTATAAAATTGCTGTAAAAGCATCACCATGTTGGATATGGTAAAGTTTAAAGCTTATTAGCTATGGGGTCCAACGTGTAATGGGTGCAAATTAAGCGTTTTTGGTTTGCACACTGTAATCTAAAACGTTTATTTTGACACTGTGACAGACAGCAAGAGTCACTAAATTGCTCGTTAAACGTTGACAGGAGGCGAGGGTAAAAAATAAACGGGGTGCCTTAGGAATAAATGCGCTAAGCAGGTTTGAATGCGAGGCTGCCAGCAGGAGCCCCGGTATTTATATTAAACTTCGGACCTATTTACTTTTGACATGGCCCCAGCCTTACGGTACTGTGCCTTTGCCTCGTTGTAAACTAGTGCTTTGCCGATTCACCCGGTAGACCTGGAGCACAAAAGAATGAAGTCAACTCGTTCACAAATGCAAAGCGTAATTCAACTCTCGGGTTGGTCTAAATATTGTTCATGCTACTAGTTGGCGTATTTACTAGTTTGACAGTTTCACAATAGGGTGTTGCTTCAAAGCTGGTGTGTGGCCCTGGCCTCATCGCAGTCTGGCCCTGGCTGCGTTGCAGTCTTGCCCTGACCCCATCTCAGTCATCTGTCAAAGTGACAGAAAAGCGCTTAAGCCATGGCATTCTATCAAGTTGTCGGGAATTTCCCACCCCGTTCCGTGCAGGCTGTTCCTTTATGATGTACAGCTTCTGGTGCTTTTCTTGAGGATTTCCATCCATTTTACTGCCGGTCCCGAAAGTTGCGAAATGTTAAATATCCTCGCTTTACGACCGGCGATTTTGCAGGACCGATGATAATTTAAAATAGAATAACCTGTTTTCATGAACGAGGCTTCGAGTATTCCTGAACTGGGACCCAGTACTTATGCTATAATATCCACGGAATCATCCACACACTCTGATGAGCTACCGGGGGAGGCCTTGGGCAGTACTGGATCACCTCCTGATGGTCTGGACCATAGTCCAGAAAATGAATCTGATTTGGATGAAGACGATATCATTGATTTGGGGGGTGTATCCAACAGTACCTCCCAACACCCCAGCCTTGCAAGACCACTTTCCCGAAACGATGCCAATTCGTTTGTAGGTGGTGAAATCATTGACAATGAGCCTACCAAGAAGATCTTTTCATTCCAATTACCATTTGGAGGGACTTTCTCCAGTTTGAAGTCCAATTTGTACAGTCAGGTGCAGCACCGGCTTCCCAACTTCAATATCTTTAACAACCTCAACGGTGATTCTGAAGAAATCAAAGAGGATATCAGGTTAAAGTTGGTGAGACAAGAATCGCTAAATACCTTAAACGAAGCAAACTACTTCAAAACCGTCCGAACACGCGACGACGTGCGGTTCCGGGCCGTCAAGCACTCAATTGCCAATAAGTATAACGAATTCATTCCTCATATAAGCAGCAATGCCAAGCCCATGGAAGAATATGAGTCGATATACCTGAGAATCAAAGGTAACATAGTGATATTGGGAGGCTACCGAGGATCCATCTTGAGAGATGCCCAGACCCACAAGCGGGTATGGATTCCTCTTAAGGCTGGATTCAACCTACGTAAAATCAACTTGCTCTTGGGCCCATCTCTTGAAGATGAAGTCAATGCCTCCAAATATATCATTCCCGATGGAGTCTTGAAAAATATAGGTCCTATTGATTTGTGCAAAAGTTTCATCAAGCGATTGTCCAACAACCCGAACACCAGGGTCAAGGAATTTGGCTACGATTGGAGGTTAAGTGGAGAGTTTGTTTCTCAGCAGTTGGAAGCGTTTTTGCAGAAGATATACGATGACACTGGTGAACCTACACTAGTCATCTGCCACTCCATGGGAGGTTTAATTACCCACAGAACGCTCCACAAAAACCCCAAACTCTTCAGGTCGATTATCTACGTTGGAGTTCCTTCCGAGTGTCTCAATATCCTAGGCCCCATCCGAACTGGTGAATCAGTGTTGTTTCTGGATAGGATTTTGACGGCTGAAGCCAACTTTATGATGAGATCTTCATTCAATTTCCTCCCCTTAAGCGGGAAGGTGTTCTACAATAGGGAAACACATGAGCCGTATGTGCTAGATCTTTTCAATCCTGATACATGGGTAGAATACAACTTGAATCCGCTTGTTGCAAAGTCAAGATTGGAGAGGAAACTGGAGATTTTCACAGGACAGTCGAGTTTGGGAACCGGTTCCACCCTACTTGAGAACTCATTGACGTCAATTAGCTCGAGGCTACGCTCAATTAAAGTGAGGTCGTTATCTCCCTTGTCAAGATCTCCTAGGTCTGAGACGTTTGATGTGGCAGAAAAAGAAGCTTCGCCGTCTCCCACCGAAGACGAAGATGGGTTCACGGTTTCTTTTGACCTGGCGTATACTTACCTTGCTGACTCCTTGAAAAAAGCCCATGATTTCCTATTGGATCTCTCATACAAACCAGAGTTAGAAGCTAAGTACCCTCCCATGGCCATTGTATACGGTAACACTGTCCCGTCTGTAAGAGGATCTAACGTATCCAGCGAACAGGATATAAAAGACGGCAACTACTACGATTTCTTCTATGGACATGGAGATGGAGTGGTACATCAAAAATGGTTAATGCCGGAACGAAGAGGATTCGAAGTATATGATCCTACAACCAAGAAGGGCCAGATTGTGGGCAGATTTGCAACTAGCCATGGGCACGTAAACTTAATGACTGACCTCAAGGCCATGGGTGAAGCCTTGAATGCTGTTTGTGAAGCAGAAAAAATATGGACTTACAACGAAACTTTATAACTAATATATTTACGCGTATATGACTTAGTCACCAGTATCCAATTCTATTCCGATAACTCCTCGGAGTATTCCACTCGTATCCACAAACTACAGTCACTGCACTGAACAATAATCTCGTAGTTGCCGACCCCATCACCTGTTCCATTAATCAAATCTGCCTGAGTGATCTTCATGGCCTGCTCGCTGGTACACCGGGGACACGATTTGATGTAAACATCTTCATATATGTCAAAATCCCCTAGACTGTAGATGTCAAGGCCATCTCCATTGAGATTTACACCTTGAGTTTGCGTGAACGAATCGAGCTTTTCACGATACTCATCTCGGGTATCTTGGTTGACAAGAACCCTATAGGCCTCTTGAATGAGGTTGATTTCGGTGTCGGTAGATATATTGCTGTGGTGAGCGGCTTTATCGGGGTGATTGGATAGTAGCTTCTGTTTGTAGGCAGTCTTAATTTGTGCGTCGCTGCTATCTACAGAAACCCCTAGTATCTCATAATAACTTCTTCTCCCCACTGTTATCTCATCCATTTTGCACCGAGAACGAAAGATTGCAGCATCGACTTTTCGCATCGATTTTTTTTTCTGAAGCTCATCACTTGAACTAACCATGGCAGGAACTAAAAGAAAGGCCAACGACGATTCGTACACCAACGTGGCCATTAAGGAGTACTCTCAAGAGTCCAATATGGTGGTTGGAGCCTTTTTCAATGGTCTCAGTGTGGATTCTAGTACTGAATTCGATGTGTACAAACACAAGTCTAAGAACCAATTCGAGCTTCATGGGGAAAACGACACATTGGAATATAACGCCGGTAGCAACGAAGATGAAGAGGCCCACGCTTACACACTTGCTATTTACGACCCTAGCACCAAGTCTGTGGAGTTGTACGAGTCTCCCATGTTAAATGGAAGAGTTATAAGCAAGAGTAAGAGACAATACAAAGGCCCTAAAGTCAAACAGCTTGGAATCAGAAACAATTTGCAAAGAACCGCATTGGGTGAAGCTTTTGGTACAAAGAAAGCCAAGAGTGCTATTTCCAACTTGGAAAGGAACAGAATCGATTCAGATAAATTACAGGATGTTGAATTGGATATTGTTGATTCCGTCAGAGAAAGTACCCAGGCCTTACCCACCAAGGTGCAGATGGACCAGGATTCTAGTGAATTGAGGCCAACTCCTCGGATAAATATGGAAGCCACCAGCTCCGACGACATTTATCCTGTAGAAAACATCATACCGAGCCCAGATTGGGATGCCATTCGGATTAACAGCATATTGGACGCACCCACCACCGACTCCAAATTGGAGTTGTTACCATTTAGCAGCTCAGACTACATTCGTCATCACATTGATGCCGAAGATCAAACTAAGCTCAAGTTCATCTACTATTTGTCTATTTTATTGGGCATTTATCATAACAGAAGAAGCAGGGATAAGGCCACGTTATTGACCAAATTCAAAACCCAGCCTTCTGAAATGTTGATTGATACGATTTTGAAGACATTTACTGTGAGTAAGTCCGGAAAGTTTGGTAAAAGTAAGGATAAATCTTTCTTCATTGATCCCCATAACGAAGATAAATTATTGTGCTACATCTTGGCTATAATATTCCACGTCAACAACTTTTTGATTGAACTTCAACCTCTTGCATACGAATTAAACTTAAAACCCAACAAACTAGTTAACTTGTGCAGAATTATGGGTGCAAATGTAAAGCCTCCAACCGTGGGACAAGCCGAAGCATTGTCTATTCCAAAAGCTTTGATGGCCACATCCAAGTTGGCCTCATTAAAGGCCCCTGTAAGGTTACCTGATATGAGCAAAAGAGGTGCCAGAAGATGAGCTTGTTGTTGTATAGAAATTAGGAATGGAGCCAATACATAATACTATGTACTCGCGATCGCATCTACTAAAGTTTTTTTTCAAACCCAAACAATGCCAGAAGACGAAGAAGCCAAAGTAATTGAAGCTAATCTCTTGAAGTTGGCCGAATGTGAAAAAAGTATGGATCAGGCAGAAAGGGAGGCCGAGATCTACAGGATCAAGAAAACGCAGGGGATTTTCCGTGATCGAAGACATATTCTCGTTAATATCCCAAACTTCTGGTACATCATTCTTGCTGAAAACGATGACTTTTCAGATTACATTAGTGTTGAAGACTTGAAATACTTGGAATACATCGCAGACATATATGTACATTACAAGGTCACTGACGGTGATGCCGACTTGAAGAATCCTAAGGACTTTTCCATCTCAATAACGTTCAAGAGCGATAAGGAATTGGTGCCAAACCAGACAGTTACCAAGCATTTCGAAGTGGAAGTAGAAGACGGCGAAGAGAAGATCACGTCTGAACCTGTGGAAGTCCAATGGCCCCAGGAATTGGGAACCATCAATCCTCACTTGATTAAACAGCGAAAAGGTAAAGACATGTCCAAGGAAGACAAGAAGAATTATAGGCTAGGCATGAAGTCCTTTTTCTCGTGGTTTTCATGGACGGGGAAGAAGCCAGGAAAAGAGTTCAGAGATGGTGAAGACTTAACCAGATTGATAACTGACGACTTATTCCCTTATGCTGTCAAGTACTACACCGAAGCATTACCTGGTGCCGATAACGATGACGCCGATACTTCGGATCCTGAAGAGTTGGACTTGGAAGATGACGAAGAAGAGGAAGAGGAAGAGGAAGAGGAAGACGAGGACTCTAAGAGAAAACCAGAGGATCAATTAGGTGCTGATAGCAAGAGACAAAAGTAAATAGAAAATTCACGACAAAAGACAGTAATAGGTGGTACGTAGCCTTTTATGTTGGTTTATACCCTAGTTTCTATGTCTCGTATTTATCTGCTCTGTAGAATCACTTCCTTTTCACGCGCATTTCGATTGCAAATAATGCTTCTACGCTTCTTACACCATCCGTCTAAGGTTTCAACCCTTTCCATTCGATGGCTCCAGTCTGCAGCCATAAAGGATCCATTTCTCCTTACTGATCAGTTTGCTGCGTTGAAGCCCAATTATACACCCACCAAACACCCGATCGTGCTATGCCACGGACTTTCTGGATTTGACAGTTTAGTATTCTTACCCAAACCCAATTTCTTCAGAAAATCACGGGTTAAGAAGGTGATTCGAGATGGGTTGATCAAAGTAGATTATTGGTATGGAATCCAGGATATGCTTACAAGAAACGGTTGTGAAGTTTACGTGGGGAAGGTTCCACCATTTGGAACCATTCATGACCGAGCCGAAAGCTTGAATAAGTATCTAGAATCACAATTCGAACCCAATGACTCGGAGACTACCGTTGTAAACTTGGTGGCACATTCCATGGGTGGTCTTGATGCCAGATACTTGATTTCCAAACTTCACAAATCAAACTATCGAGTGGCTTCACTAACTACTGTGTCTACACCTCATCGCGGGTCTGAGGTTGCTGACTACGTTCTGGTACACATGAAACCAGCACTCCTCCTTTTCCAAGCGGTTCCCCAGCTCACCACTGACTACATCTCCAAGTTCAACTCGGAGGTGGTGAATGACCCTAATGTGGCGTACTTTTCGTATGGTGCTCAATTCCAGCCAAAATGGTTCAACATGTTCAGATACCCTTCTCGAATTATTACAAAGACTATCAAGAGCCAGAATATATTAAATGGTACAGATAAAAGTTATGTTAATGATGGTCTTGTAAGTGTGGAAAGTGCCAAGTGGGGCGAATATTTAGGTACTTTGGACAACGTCGACCATTTAGACCTTATCAACTGGACCAACCGAGCAAGAATTCTCGTGGACAGAGTGATGTTCCAGCACAAACCGACCTTTAATGCATTGGCTTTCTATGCTCATATTGCCCAGAGTTTATCCGAAAGAGGGTTCTGACTCACTCAGACATGGTGATGGTCTTGATGTATGAAAACTCTTGAAGTCCCCATTTGCTGTTGAACCGTCCGTATCCACTCTCTTTAACACCACCATGTGGAACAGTGGGTTCGTCATACACAGTGGGCCCGTTGATATTGACACCTCCTGACTCGATGGTATGCGCCAACTTCTGTGCCCTCAAGATGTTTTGAGACCAAATGGAAGTTTTAAGGCCATAAGGCTCTTTGTTCAACTTTCTCACAAGTTGGGCAGCATCATTATACTTATAAACCGTCACTAGAGGTCCAAAGGACTCCGCTGTATCGAGCCTCATCAGAGACGTGACGTCTCCTAAGACAACTGGTGAAATCGCTGTGTTCTTAAAAGGGTCTATTTCAGATCGATTCCCAAAGATTAGTTTAGCACCGTTCTGTAGCGCATCATCAATTAAATTCTGGATTCTAACAGTAAACTGTCTGTTTCTTTGGGGGATATGATAGTCCGGGTCCTCGAGTAGCTTGGGAGCTATTTGTTGCAACAGCCCCAAAAAGTCCTCGTATACATCTTCGTGAACGTACACCTTATCTGTGGTCATACAGATTTGACCTTTGTGAGCAAATGATCCCCATAAAACTGCTCCTACGGCTTTTTCCAAGTTTGCATCCGACTCAATAATCGCATAGTTCTTTCCTCCAAGTTCTAAAATACAAGGCTTCAAGTTCATTGCAGCAACAGCAGCGATCTGGCGTCCAGTGGATGTTGATCCTGTGAAGCTCACCTTTTTAATACTCCTATGTTCAATGATTTTTGTGACAAACTCAGGGTTGTTTTCGGGCTGGAAGTGTACAAGCTGGACAGACTTGGGTGGCACACCAGCCTCGTGGAGGGCTTTTACTAGAATATATCCTATTTTTGGTGATAATTCAGACGTCTTCAAAATCACTGAGCAACCAGCTGCTAAAGGAGCACACACCGTTCTTCCGGTCAACACTCCTGGAGCGTTCCACGGGGCTATCGCGAGAACGGGCCCCACCGGCTCGTTCACGGTGATGGCTAAGTCGCTCATTTCGGACCTCACCACCTCTCCGTATGTGCCATTCATCTGGTTGACATACTCTTCTAGCTGGTGCACCAATTGATCAGTGTTGAAATGACAAAACCAGGGAGGGATTCCCAATTCCAGCATCAGCTCCATCAACTCATCTTTCTTTTGACGTAATATTTCCACTGCTCGACGCAAAATTTGGATTCTTTCACTCACCTTCATCAAGTGCCACTGCTCGAACCCTTCTTGGGAACTGTCACAAACGGCATCTATATCATCGACACTCAAACAACTCGTGATATGTAAACACTTCTCATCCTCCGTGTGGGACCGTACGCTGTAATGGCTGTCGGTGTGTATTTCCTGCCCATTAACAAGGAGCGGTATCTTCATGCTTTAGACTTTTGGCTTCTTTTGCGCATCAGAGTTTTAGGTAAACCACTGCGAACTTGCTGCAAAATATTTGGCGGGCCGTATACAGATTATGCTTGAATAAGTTATATACTCTTTATTTAACAAAGAGAGTACTTTAGTGGGTTCCCTTACGGGATAGACACCTTGTAAACCTTATAGTCGGGTGGAGATCAAACGAGATGAAGACCCTTATAGTCTTCAAGACACCCTCTGCAATATTCGTCTATACTCTTCATTCCTTCTTCGACAAATGAAACATTCTCTGCACCTAAATCGCTCAAAGCATTAGCAGCAGCTGTTTTCTTAAATCTCTCACATTTGCGGAGCTCGCTCACAAGCCAGTTGCGGTACTCTGCGTTTGCAACCTCTTTCTCCATGTCATTGAGAATCCTTAACTCCATCAAAACCTTGTGTCGTTTGACCCCGATCTCCTCAAATGACCTTTTGAGTCCCATGGCTGACTCACGTATGTCTGCATCGATGTACTCCTGTTCCAAATCAACATAACTACCGACATTTCTTATGAACGAAGCCTTGTTAAAAGATTCCAACGACTGCGACTCACCGGCTCCAATCGAACTGTCTTGAAAAGTAAGCTCTTGGATATCCTTCAAGTATACAGCCCTTTCAAGCATAATAGGTTGAGAATTGAATATCTTCAACGCTTTATTGTGGGCTTGTTGTGCGGTCCAGTAGGAAATGCTGGTTTTGGAAATCAAAAACAAGTTCAACAAACCGGACACGGCAATAATCGCCAATAATAATCGTTGGCCGGTAATCTCTTTGGCATAGCCGAAGATAAAAGCAAGCACCTGAAGCCATTTTTGCTTCATGGACACAATGAACTCAATCAAGGGCTTGACCACTAAGAGGTATACAACCAGCCGTACATCAATGCTACAGACAGGTGCCTCCATATTCTGTTGGACATCTGCTACCGATATGGATCCGTAAAGATAAATGGCTTTACCAACTTGACCTTTATCACCAAGGGTTTTAATAACCCTTTTAAGCCATTGATGCTGTTTGTTCGTTTCACTGATTTGGAATCTGCGCAAAGCTGGCTTCAAGGGAAGATTCAAAGGGGAAACACCAAAAAATTGAATGGCTGAATATGTGTGGACAATGCAATTGCTGGAGTTTGAAGCATTTATTACAAACCTCACTTGTGCTGACATTTTTGCCCCGTAGAAATAAAAATACTTCTTCTCGAGAGTTATGTTGTAGTAAACATTTTCCACCATTTTTTCTATTGTTAAAACACCCATAAACTTACCCAGGCCTTGAAAGACTCTTGGAAAACGATAATCAAATGTATTTATCAATTTTCCGTCACTTAACCGAGTCCAAGGACCCTTTAAGACTGCGGAAGCTGACAAAGCACTTGTTTGGAGGAAGAAATGGGAATCATCTCCAAGCATAATATGGCACATGGCCTTAGCGGAAACAGGATATTCTTTTTCGTAATGAACCGAATACTCATTGCTATAGTCAAGTCGGAGATTATCTGAAGATGCCGGTTTCTCTTTGAGTTGAAGAGTTCTCAATGAGTCGTCAACGCTGGGAGCGTGCAGTAGAGAAAGCATGGATTTCTCCTGTTGGTATGCCTTACTAATTTCTACAAGACCAATGACTGTCTCGTTGAATGTTTTGGGAGTTTCTGATTCTTTATTAGAGATTAGGAACTGAAGGTACCGGTAAATAAGTTGACCATCTTCCAAATAAATCTTCACCACTACTGAATCATTCAAAAGGTGTACAGTCAATTCTTCGTGATCCTCTCGTACCCTTAATTCAACTGCCACCAAGCCACCGATCTTAGATGCCAATAATGATCGAAAACCAGATACTTGGTTGCATAAAAACACACTTCTGTCGGTAATAAACATACGAGAGCATAGTTCCTGGTTAGCGTTTGGCGACCATAAACAATTGAAGCTGACCAAGCAATACTCGTCCGGCGCCACCTCACTTTCAAATAAAGACTTCATTTCAATATCCTGGGAAACAAGAAAATCTGGGTAGCTTTCAGATCGATTATTTCTTATCAGGGACTTGGTATTGAAATCAAATGCCCGAAAGAGACTTGGACCTGCGGGATATTTCTGGGTCTCAGCCTGATATGCCATCCCATTATAAAGATAATATACTCCCCAGTTTACACTCCCCCACAAATTTGCAGTCAATGCAGAAGGAACCGGAGCCGAAGAGGCAATTGAGTTTGCTAGAATGGCTGTCTTGGTGTTACTGGTTACCAAAGGAGGTTTAAACAGGGGAATCTGATAATAAAGGTACTTTTGAAAGTACTTCTCGTGGGGTTTGATTTTAGTAGAAAGGGTATTTGAACTAACAGTGCGGCCATCATCATTCTTTATCTTTGTCTTCAACATTTGCTTATCTACAACAGTATCCATTGTGGAAGCAAACTCCGTTATTAGGGGAGGAAATCGTGAACTAGCGACTATGAAAACGGTTGAATCTTTATCTTCTAGTGATACTCTGCTCTTTTCATTTTCAAAAACCTTCAACCATGACTTCAAATCTATCAACGATTCTGCCTGAAGCACGATAACTTGATCACTGGTTCTGACCTCAAAACAAAATCTTCTATCTTCCTGAGCTGCATACCTTATATTCATCAACACCACTCCAATTTTATCTGTTTCTTGGACAAAGGTCTTGGAAGGACTCAATATAAGCATCCCAAAGACACCACCTGAGATAAAAGCCCATCTTTTAACCCATATTGGCTTGAGGGAGTTCTTTGTCCACGTTTTCATCATAAGATATCCATGCTTCTCAAAAGAAGGCTCGTCTATTTGATTCAAAGTGTACTGGCTGATCAAAGAAGCATCATAATCTTCAGGCCTAGTGGAAGGATCAAACAACTCGATAGTTGACTCTTCAATCTGTTTTCTAGCCGCTTGAATGTCTTGAATGAATAGTTTTGTGGCCCTGCTGTAGGCATTGGCCCAACTTTTTGTTCGCTCGATCTTCAAAGTAGTTGTTCTAAATACTTCCAGAAACCCAAACACTCCTTCGTTGGTAACGGCTTGCAGCCATATCTTATTACCAATATCGATGAAGTGAGTATCCAATTCTGTCGAAATTTCGTCGAGTAAAACCGCCAAGTCAAGGGAAGCATGAAGATATGCTTTCCTTGTACGGAACAACTGTTGTGAATCTTCAATGGCCATTTCCTCCTGTTTGAACTTCAGAGCCAGCATGTACACCGCAAAATACTGGTCGTAACGTTCTTGGATCGAGTCGAATTGATGTTTCTGACTTTTGTACTTGGCCATTAAGGTGTGCACTTTGGAAACCAACTCTCGTACTGGTTGTGGGTCTACTGACATCAAATTGAAGAATGTTTTGAGTAAAACTTCATGTCCATGGGATACACTTTTAAGTAATGGAACGGTTGTTTCTTGATCCAAAATTCCATCATCTGCAAAACTGGGTAAAAGATACTCGGAAAAGGAGCTCATTGTGGCCTTTATTTCCTCCACACGCTTAGGAAGTCGTTCTGCTTCCTGAAGAAGAACACTTGCCCAGCTGGAGATGTTGTGCAATTGCCCGTGCAAGTGATTCATAGAGGCTCGAAAACTGGGAGAATCAAGTGCCGCCTCCTTGAACGTAACAGAAATCAACCTGAAACTCGTCCCTTCGTGGGCCAACAGATCCATTGGTAAATTGTTGGCAGAGGCCGTTTCTGAATTCATTGGTGGCATGGGTTAGTGACTAGAGTGTTTTCCGAGAAGATACGATAAATGTCGCGCGCGGCCGCCGGCCTGGGTGGTTGCAAAACACATACCACAACTATTAGAGTATAGGGAAATGTTGGTGCCAACCGTATGCTTTTCGACTTGTGTGTGGGAGATGACGAAATACACAATGAAGTGGATGTGTGACTTTGGGTGATCCAGCTCGTATAGATCCAATTTTTACCAGTACCTGGCTGGTACACCATGAGGATCGTTCTACACTAAGCCATTGTATACATCATACCGTTGTAGCCAACATACAGCACCCATATATCCAGGACAACCTCATTCTATCTCGCTGCATTAATAAGTCTAATAAGTCTCCGAAATCCGTTTCTCTGCGGGAGATAATTTTTAGGTGTAAACAACGCGCATTAAATCAAAACAGCTTTTCTCAACTGTTTAGAATCATGAAGGTGGAAGAGTTGATTATCGACGGATTCAAGTCTTATGCTACGCGTACGGTGATTTCGGGCTGGGACTCTCTGTTTAATGCCATAACCGGTTTGAATGGATCTGGAAAGTCCAACATCTTGGATGCGATATGTTTTGTGTTGGGAATTGCATCTATGACCACTGTGAGAGCACAGAATCTTCAAGATTTGATTTACAAAAGAGGTCAAGCCGGGGTGACAAAAGCCAGTGTTACTATTGTGTTTGACAACTCGGAGGTATCAAAGTCTCCTATTGGGTTCGAAAATTGCCCCAAGATCAGTGTCACTAGACAGATTATTCTTGGAGGTACTTCAAAGTACCTTATCAATGGACACAAGGCACAACAACAAACGGTTTTGAATTTGTTCCAATCCGTCCAGTTAAATATCAATAACCCCAATTTCTTGATTATGCAGGGGAAAATCACCAAGGTTTTGAACATGAAACCATCGGAAATTTTGTCCTTGATTGAGGAAGCTGCAGGCACAAGGACTTTTGAGGACAGAAAAGACAAAGCTCAAAGGACTATGTCCAAAAAGGAGGCTAAATTGACCGAAATTCGAACCTTGTTGCAGGAAGAAATTGAACCCAAACTTGAGAAACTCCGGTCTCAGAAGAGAACTTTCTTGGAATACCAACAAACACAATCAGATTTGGAAAACCTTTCTAGAGTTTTGGCTGCTTACAGTTATGTAGAAAACTCAAGAATATTTGATGAACATCTGAGGCTTCTTAGTGAACGAGAAAATATAATGAGTGGATTGAATAATGATGTCGATAGAATCAAGATAGAAGTCGAAAACTTAAACAGAGATTTAATTCAGGTAAAAGAACAGAGAGAACAAGAAATGAAGAAAGATGGAAAGATCAAGGAGTTGGAAAAACTGGAAATGCAACTCTCTGAAGAAGTCACCAGGCTGAATACTTCCAAGGATATCACTGAAGACAACTTGGAAGAAGAACAGAAGAAATTGAAAAAGCTTGAGTCCCAAATCTTGACTTTGCAAAGTACCATTGAAAACAGCGATGATCTTTACAAAAACCAAGAGAAGGCATACAAGGATGCTAAGAGCAACTTGGCTTTATTAAAAGATGAGTTCAATAAGAAGGAAGAATTATTGAACAGTTTGTCAACAGGAATTTCTACCAAAGGTTCGGGCTCTGTGGGATACATGGCTCAATTAAAAGAGGTCAAAGACAGGTTGAATGATTCCACCACTCTAATAAAGCTGTCTCAATTGAAAATTGAACATCTAAGCAAACAGTTAAAAGAGGATAAATCAAAATTGAGTTCTGCAAAATCAGAATACGAACAATTGACTAAGGATATTGAAGTGTTCAAAAAAAAGGTAGAATTGAAGGAGCAAGAGTTGATCGAGCTTGGCTATAATCCTCAGAGGGTCAGTGAACTCAAGAATGAGGGGAAGGCTTTACAAAATCACCTCAGCAAGGCTAACACTCAGTTGGATTACTTAAGAAGGGAAGTTGGTAATGTTGAATTTCATTATTCGAAACCATACCCAAATTTCAATCCATCGGTTGTTAAAGGTACTGCAGTACAATTGTTCAACTTACAAGAAGGGCAAGATGAAAAGGCCATGGCATTACAGATTTGTGCTGGAGCTCGATTATATAATGTCGTTGTGGAAAACTCAGACGACGCATCCCAATTATTGGAGAAAGGTCAATTGCGTAAACGTGTAACCATTATTCCATTGGACAAAATTCATCCAAGAACCGTTAACAACGATGTTGTTAAATATGCCAAAACTGTTTGCCCTGGACAAGTTGAAATTGCCATCAACTTGATTGACTATGACAATGATTTGTTGAAGGCCATGCAATTTATTTTTGGCACCACGTTTATCTGTGATTCTCCAGATGTTGCTAAAGCCATTACTTTCGACCCAAAAATTAGATCAAGATCTATTACTTTGGAAGGTGATATTTATGACCCAGAAGGTAATCTTTCTGGTGGATCTAGAAAGAATACTTCCTCGTTATTGATCACCATGCAAAAATTCAATAATGTCCAAAAAGAGGTTAGTGAATTAAACAGACGGTTATCCAAAATCCAAGAAGAATTAGCATACTTTGATAAACTCAGTGAACAAACCAGAGTACTACAGAATGAACTCAATTTGGGTAAGCAGGAATTGGTAATATTGAACAAAAAATTGGATAACAATCAAGCGACAATCATTGTTAGAGACTACGAACAGAAGCAGCAAGAAGTTGAGAACTTGAAACAGAGTATCCAACGAGAGCAAGGGACATCTGATGGGTACAAAAAAGATATCAAGCAGATTGAAATTGATATGAAGGAATTCAACAATGACAAGGGAAGTAAGTTGAAGCAATTGGAGCAAGAGGTTTCTAAATTGAGAGAACAGGTTGTTTCCAAGGAGGAGGATATTAATTCCAAAGAAGAGCAATTCCAAAACATTAGCATTGAATCTGAACAACGTCAAAGTGAATTGGATTCATTAAAGGAATCGGTGGGTATCAGCAAGGGTTTGATCGAAGAAAATTCTGCAAAACTCAATCAAATATCTATCAAAATTGAAGAGCTCAACCAAAAGAGTGTTGAGGTTAAAGCTAAATTGGAAGATGAAAAGGCAAACTTGTTGGGCCTTAACGAAGAAATGAATGAGCTAACTAAGGTCATACAAAATAAGAATGACGAGTTGAATAATGCAGAGTTATCGATTCAAAAGTTGAATCACGATTTGGAAAAATCTAGTGCAGCTACCAAGGGCTTGAAGCATAAACTTGACGAGTTAATCAAAAACTATGACTGGGTTACTGACTCCAACATTGTGAATAAGCTCATACAAGAGTATCCTAATTTTAATGTCGAGAAAAACACCGAACATATTGCCATTTTGGATGAAAAGTTCCAGGATATGAAGCGTAAGGTGAACCCCAACATCATGAGTATGATCGACAATGTAGAAAAAAAGGAAGCATCTTTGAAACACATGATCAGGACCATTGAAAAAGACAAGTCCAAGATCATCAACACAATTGAAAAATTGAACGGATATAAGCGTGATACTTTGAATAGTACATACGCCAAGGTTTCTGTGGATTTTGGTAACATTTTTTCAGACTTACTTCCCGGTTCATTTGCGAAATTGGTTCCTTTGAATGCTGAAGACGTTACCAAAGGCCTTGAGGTTAAAGTTAAGTTAGGTCAAGTGTGGAAAGAGAGTTTGGTAGAATTATCTGGAGGACAACGGTCATTGATTGCATTATCATTGATTATGGCTCTTTTGCAATTCAAGCCGGCCCCAATGTACATATTGGATGAGGTGGATGCTGCATTGGATTTATCACACACTCAAAATATTGGACATTTGATCAAGACCAGGTTCAAAGGGTCTCAATTTATTGTTGTTTCCTTGAAAGAAGGAATGTTTACAAATGCCAACAGAGTTTTTAGAACAAGATTCCAAGATGGTACTTCTGTCGTCTCTGTTTTGTAGTATACAGTGTAATATATAATTAAATACTTCTACGGTCAATCTTAATGTAAACCTTTGATTTTCGCAAAATCAGTACATTTTACATCAAATATAGAAGTACAAAAAAATCATTCAAAACAGAGTCAGAAAAATTATATGTTTCTAAGTAAGTAAAAAACCAGAGCAATTTTCCAAGGTTATAACCATGCTATAATATTTAATGTTTTGCAAAAGGTCTTAAATTACACAATTTGCGGCAATTAGAGTTATTACAGGCACTGGCCGCGTTTGGCGCGACCAAAAAAACTAACCTCATCACAAGCTTCTTATAGATGCTTAGGATATTAAGACTTAGGACTACGCCGGTAGGGCTAAGATGCCTTTCACAAAGCAAATACACATATAGAAGACATGCTGATGAACTAACACCAGAGGAGCTCAAAGCCAAATCATTGTCTTTTCTCAAGGACCTTGATGACATTAGAAACAAGACTTCAGGAACCTCGAAAAATACAACGAATCAATGGAAGGAGACAGCTACTCACGAGGAAGTGAAGCAGATAATTAACACATCCCGAGGGAAACCAAAATTTGTTGACCTAGAGAACAAGGGTTTAAATTTAAATCTTCTGAACAAGCAGTTAGTTGAACAAATCATAAAAAATCTGGAGTACAGAGTCAGCCGAAGACTTGATAGAATTTCCCAGAAGTGGAGAACAAAGTTCTCTGAGATCGTGGAAAGTTTTCCAGATTCGATATTCGAAGGTAAAAAAGGATCTCGAGAGGCTATTATCCAAAGGGAGTTCAAAGACGAATTTAAAAATGCACATATAGCAGCTAGCAGGGCTGGTAAGCCTTTATCCATCGGGGATTTGGTGATCATAGATGAAGGGAGCACAGATTTCTTCCTCGTGGTTGCATGTCCTCGTAGCTTTGATGCCACAAATTACACCTTCATCAATAGTAAAGGTAGAATTATATTTGGGCCCAGCGTGATGATACGATTCAGAATCCCGAGTTTTTTACCAAAACATTTCCATCCAATCTTGGAGAGCATGGTCATGCTAGAAGAAAAGACTTTGGATATCGCACCCATTGGGGTGGTTGATAAAGAGGTCTCAAGGTCTGAGGAAGCTAGACCTGTAGAGCTTAGAAAAAATGGAACCACGAGAAAAACCCTTGAGCATTTGGACAACTCTGCGTTCGAAATCACTGAAGAAGATGAGTTTATTACTGCTCAAACTTCTTCATCTTTGTTGAAGAATAGTGCTGTGAATACGTTCGTTGTTCCACCAAGTGCAAGAGAATTGTACTCTAGTTTATTAACACAATTATCCATTGACAGCATGACCAAATTCAAGAGCATGTCTTTGAAGTTGGAATTGATTCATCGAGCACTACAGTATGATGAATCAGATGCGCTCAATGTGTCACCCAGAATCGTATCAATCTTTCAAATCCTTTACTTAATTCAGGATCGAGGAACTGGTCCGTCGGTGAGTGGATTGAGTCATTTTCGGCAAAAGCACCTCGATTGGTTCAGACGAGACATCGGTAAGGTGTTTCTGCTAAAAGGGGGCGAGGAGGAATCACTGTTGGGAAAGATAATCCGCAAACCAGATAAGCAAGTCGATTATATTGAGAGATCTCAATACGATTTGTCTCTGTACTTTGCCATAATTCTTTTGCTCAGAAAACAGACAAGATTGTGGAAAATCAACGAGCAGAATCTGATAAACCCAGTCACAAGCATCATTATTCTTCCTCTCTCCAACAAAGTTGGGAAGGATGTGTTGGCTAGTAGATTGAAATCAGCAGATGGGAATGTAATTAACCACATTATTAAAAAACTTAATGGCAACACCAATGATCCCAAACCGAAGTTCTATGATGAAACCATTGAGCTTTTGAAAGATTTCATTATAGACAATTTGAGAAATGATTTCGAATTAGAGTCGTTATGTGCCAGCTTGGTCAGAAAAATTGGGCCTCATTTGCCTAGTTATACTGAATACTCTTACGAATATGGAAGATCTAAGGCATATGATATCTTGCAAGCTCTTGGTGAAACTGAATACGATAATCCTGCAAGATGGTCTTGGGGATTAGAGTTGAACAGCATTGGCGATGCCGTCAATAAAGAGTATTACGACTTCCTTCAAAAAAGCCACGAAGCAGGCACTTCAAATTCTTTGGATGATTTCTATGACGAAGATCCTATTAAGGACCACAGAGAGGACTACAGAGAACCAATTTTCTGCATTGACTCAGAGTCAGCGCACGAGATTGATGACGGAATTTCTCTCAAAGAGCACCTGGATAAGTATACGGTGTCCATTCATATTGCCAATCCGACATCATTTATCAAGCCGCGGTCAAATTTGAGTCAAATTGCGTTTAGTAAAGGAACTACTTCATATTTGCCTGAAGGACCCATCAAAATGTTCCCTGATTTCGTCAGTGATCTCAGTGGATTGGGAGTCAATGGCCAGACCACAAGAACGTTTGGAATAGAATACGATATTCCCAAAAATTTCCAAGAAATGGAGTTGAAGAGTCTCCAAAAGAATATCCAGGATTCCGGCAGGATCAAGTTCTACAACACTTACAACTACCCAGAAGGTTACACCTATAAGCACGTAGACAAAATTCTTAGTGGTGAAGTTGCAGACTCGCACTTCGATACTTTGAAGACGTTAAGAGATATAAGTGCTACACTCAAGAAAATAAGAGTAGAGACTGGTGCAGCTCAGGACTTTGGAATGAATAACACTGAATTAAAAGTTCAATATTGTGAAGACTCCAAACCTGATGAGTTTCGGGTTGGGGAAGACGGGTACACCCTCAGAGTCAAAAACGTGGAAATATTTCTCGGGAACCCTGAACTGTCACTCGAATCGACTTTGCTTGTAAGTGAAATGATGATCGCTGCAAACCATCTCACCAGTCGGATTGGACGTCAATTGGGGTTGCCATTGATCTATCGAAACCAGAAGAGAAACCTCAGTGCTGAGATTTTGCAGCAAATGAAGGAATTGTCGGGAGGTGACTTTCATGATCGAAGTCGAGTCCTCCTGTTAATGAACAGTGCTAAGATAGATATGATCAACCAGGGTCATGAATCTCTTGGCTTGGGTAGCTATTCACAAATAACTTCTCCATTAAGAAGATACACAGACATGGTAAATCAATGGATGTTCCAAAGTCATTTCCGTCAAGAAACCTGCGAGCTTAGTGTCAGTAACATTGTTAACCACTTGCAAGCCAAAGAAATCATTAACAAGCAGTTCGATCAAGTGTCTCAGAGATTCTGGAAAGGCATCTTTTTAAGAGAATATTTCCGGATAAGAAATGAAATTGGCGCAGCCGATGAGATGTCATTCAAAGTGTTCCTCGGGAAGCATTTGAGTAAGGATAAGTTACAAATTGCCTTGGAAAACTTTTCCAATTTCAAAACAGTGTTGAAAATAGATGAAACAGTACCATTTGATATGACGACCGTTGAACTTAATGCTCTGGGTAATCTTGATATTACCCGAATTGATTTCATTGAAAATGAATTAATCTTTGAGCTTGTAAATAGCGCATAACCCGTTATGCGGTACCTGTAAATAGAGTTAATATTAACATGCTGGAGCAGCAAAAACTTTATATAAACCTGGAATTAAGAATCTACGTGGGGGATAGTTCCGTATAGGTTCGCAAACTTTTGCGGCGCTCGAACAAAAAACACCGTTGGCATTCGCGGAACCGGACGAACAGAAAAAGCCGCTTGAGGTGAAATTGGTAATGCAGCTATGGGTAAGAGATCTTCAAAACAAGAAAAGAGAAATGAAATTCTGTGTTGTTACCGGCGATAGATGCAGCCAATGAATGAAACCATTGCTTACTGGCAGCCGTACAAGCAGAAGTCGGAGCTACCAGTTTCAAATGTTCCTCTGTAATTGAAGTTCTCGTCAAGATGAGTTACCTAACGTGGATCTACAACAAACACCGACGAAAATTGATACATTATTGTATTCAAGGCAGCAGATAATCGAGTACAAAGAGAAGGATAACTTAACCTATTCAACTCGCATTAAGTCAAGATACAGACCCATTCTATTACAATAGTACCGTTAATGTGGCCCTTAAAGGAGTTGAGTACTTCTATTGTTTAAAGGCGATCATCGGAAATATTGTTAGCTGCAGTGCTATTGTGTGTGCCCCTTTTCCATCCAGTGGTTATGATTGAAATTCGGATCTGGAACGACTATGAGGTCAGACACAGGTTGTAATTACTATAATGCTACGTTATCTAGATCTCGCTCGTACCCATGGCGAAACTAAAAATGTTCGCCTAAAAGGTTCCGCTTGCGGAAAAAATGAAAAAGCTGGATACGCCAATTATCCGCACCAAGGAAATCAAATTCTCACTCATTGTACTGTACTAATCGGTAGCAAGACAATATGACATTATGTATAAATAGATATTAAAAAAATACATTGCTTCAAATCTATTGCGTGGGCTCAGGACTGCAATCCAAAACAGGTCCCCCATGCGTTAAAAGCTTGGGTACTCTACGAACATGAAGATCCTATTCGCGCAAAACGCCAGGTGTGTAAAGTCACAATAGTAAGGCCTAAAACGGCACGGCCCGCGGCCTAGTTGGTCAATATTGTAAATATTCGCCCGTAGATAGACAAGATTTCCGGGAAAGGTTTCCAGGCCCACCGGCCTCAACGCTATCTCCCACGCACGCAAATTACTTTTGGACTAATTTGCGAATAGTCCTGTTTCAGATTTAGAGATACTACAACAGGGAATGTAAATGCAAGACGTCAGCAACTAGCAAACGTGTCTTGGGACCCCCTTCAAGCTCTAGAAGCATCAGGTGTTAGTTCCAAAAGAGAATTCACTCAGATATCACGCAAATCTAGACATTTGGTCATGGTAAATGTCTCATTGGGAACAGGCGAACAGGCGCGATAGGGAGATTCACACCAACCTGAAAAGATGGCTTATACTGGGAGTTGTTTCTGCCTCTGCCTTGTCCATGGGTTGGGCTTTTACAATTAACTCACTCACGTTTTTTTTATAAATTATTTGTTGAGGCTTTCATTATCATGCAGTACTTCGAAGGACTGAAATCGCCGATCTACGACATCAGATTAGTAGCAAGTCTAACCAAGAGGGGAGATCTCGTAAGAATGCCAATACCAACGTGGACTAAGCCAAGCTAGGAGGTATAAAGCAGATGATTACTAATATTCTTTGAACGAAGACTTATCTTCATGCGTGTAAATTGGGTGTGAGATTTATTAGAATCGTAGAACCAATTATAGAATTCCGTGAAAAAGAAATGATTTCACCATGGTTTTTTTTTTTATTGGTCGCGCAGTAAAACTTGGCTTATTTTATTTTATTTCTAATCATTTATGCATGCAGCTATTTTGCTGGCTCAACTCCTAAATCTATCTTGCAACCTATAAAAAGAACCAAATGCCCACTTTCTTACTGCCATACTTTCACTCGCTTAAAGATCAAGTATGAAATTTACCAACGTTTTGTCTACCGCCATTTTGGCTAGCTACGCTGTCGCCAAAGATGTCGCTTGTTTAGTAAACGGTGAAGCTGTTGGAGTTGTGGATCTTGACACCGGTGTCTGTCCATTTACCATTCCACAAAGATACCCTGTTGCCTTTGACTTTGTGTCTTCAGATGAATACGATGTTACCTTCTACTACGCCGTTGCCAATTCCATCAAGTACTTCAACCAAATTGCCGATGCTGGTAGAACCATCTCCATCCCAGCTTCAATCTTATACGGTTTACCAGCTACTCCTTGTTTCCAAGTTCACTTGGACCGTACTCCACCTTCTAACTCTACTGCTGCCATCAGAAGAAGATTGTTGAAGCAAGTGGAGATGGTTAAGAGAGCTGAGGTCGATGACTTCATTGCTACTGCTGAAACCACTGACGGTACTGCCATCGATGGTGTTACTTTCGAAGTTGTCGACCTTTCTTCTTCTTCTGTTACTGCTACCGGAACCGGTGTCGGATCTACTGGTATTGTCACCGAAACTGACGTTGCCACCACCGTTATCACCATCACCACCTGCTCTAACAACGCCTGTGGTGAAGCAACTGTTTCAGCTACTGCTTCTGAAGTCGTCACCACTGTTAACGAAGAAGTCACTTCTTACACCACTTACTGTCCATTGACCACTGTCATCACCGTCACTTCTTGTTCGGACGATGCCTGTGCCACTTCTGAAGTTCCAGTGACCCCATCTTTGACCACTGAAACCGTTGAAGGTGAAGTTACTTCTTACTACACTTACTGCCCATTGACTGGTGAAACCACCACCACTGAGGTTGAGACCACTGTGATCACCATCACTTCGTGCTCTGAAGACAAGTGTTCTACTTCTGAAGTGTCTGCCACTCAAGGTCCAGTCACTACCACTGTTGCTGGTGAAGAAACCATTTACACCACCTGGTGCCCAGTTACCGGTGAAACTACTGCTGAAACTACTACTGCTGCTGTCAGCACTGGTGAAACCGTTGCTGCTGAATCCACCACCTTGGCTACTTCTGCTGCTGCTGCTACTTCTACCTCTCCTATCAACACCTTTGAAGGTGCTGGTAACAAGGTTGGCTCTTCTCTCTTGGCCGTTGCCTTAATTCCATTGGCCGGTTTGTTCATCTAAGAGGTTGACAGAGTTTCTTGTATTTCAATTACTTCCTCTCGGATTTTCCTTTCATCATTGCATTTATTCCCGAGCCACTGGCTCATTCCTTTCGTGGAATATTTTCGTCACCGGTTGGTGTTGTTTGATTTTTGTACTATATTTTCGGTTAAAAGTCTGTACTATTTTTTCGGTTAGTCTAATAGATCCCCCTTTGTAATGGTGTACATGTAGTGAATAATCATTTGAGAAATTATGTTGATGGTGGTTGAAAGTGGCTGCAAATTTTGGTCGGGCCACGACACATGGCCTGGGGCAGATCTGTGCATGGCCCAAAATTAAACTTCACAATTGAAACGAAGGCATCAAATAATGCACGACCTCACCTCAAATACTCGTCACTATTCCTTATTAGACAGAGCTTATCATCGTGTATCCTTCCGAAAACTAGTAGTTAAGCGCAGAGAAGGAGTCAAAGAAGGCAAGCATTTGACATTTCACATGCCTGTTGTGCACTACTCCTTCCGAATTTCGGTCGTATGCGGTGCATTACTGTCGTAGGCCCCACACGCTCTTCCACTGACAGCTGCTGTGGTGGTCGATTGGCTAATCAAATACCTTGATCAAACATGTAAATTCCCAGCTGCGAACTCGTTTAGCACTTCAGCCATTGTCGCAGGAATGCCCACGAGGCCAGGCAAAAATAGTGGTATCCCATACCAGCCCCTATCCATCACGTCTCAAGCCGATTGGCGGAGCCCGGCGCTTCGGTCGTGTAGCGAATGCGGTTCCCCTGACGATCGATTTGACCATCGTCTGGACCGCCTGAGAGTTGAGGGATGAGAATTAATTTGGATCTAGGAGCTGGGAGCTGGGAGCTGGGAGTTGTGAGAGTTAAGAGAAACCTGGGAGGCACCCTATTCTCATCCAGCCAGGCCCACAACCATTCCCGACTCATCTCTCCAATTACTCCAGTCGCTACCACCTCACAACCATTTACTCCTTCCACCGAAATTACGCGCGTTTTGTTTTGGTTTCTATCCGAATCGTCTCCGATTAAGTGCTACACGCATTGTTTGCAAGCGTGTTTGGCGACGCAGGCTGGGTTTGCCGAGTCCTCACACCTTAATCAGCCATTGTCTTCTGCTTTCTGGCAGGGGCTCATGCGTATACCATAACATTGGCATTTGTCCTGACGAGGTTTGTTTTGGTTGCGGTGGTGGTGATTTAAATAACCCCTGTCCCCAGTCTTACCAACTTCAATTCTGCTGAATTTCGTTCTTTCAAGGCCAACTCTTTACATTCCTTTCTTTATCTTGATGAGATTCTCCACCTTCGTTTGTTCTGCCATTTTGGCTGCCACCCTGGTTATGGCCAAAGACGTGGTTTGTGTCGTGGGAGATGAAGCGGTTGCTACCGTCGACCTCGACACCGGCGTTTGTCCGTTCACGCTTCCTGCCGATCTCCCAGTTGTGTGGGACTTTGAGTCGTTGGACGATTATGATGTTACCGCCTACTACGCGTTGCTCAATGCTACCAAATATTTCAATAACATTGCTAAAGCCGGTAGAGATATCGAAATTCCTGCCAAGTTGATCTACGGAGGAGGCCCGGTTCCGTTGTTCAGAATCGACGAGACTAAAACCCCAGCCACCAACTCCACTGCTGCTTTGAGAAGAAGATTATTGGGTAAGACCATTTACGCCAGAGACGAAGAATCTGATACCATCGCGTATTTGGAAACCTTGGACGGAAGCTCGGTTTCGGCTGTTGAATTCTCGGTGGTCGACGTCAGCGTGGCTTCCTCGCTCGACCCTTCGGCCGACCTCACCTCGACTGTCACCGATGCGGAAACTACCGTCATTACCATCACTTCCTGTTCCGCCAACAAATGTTCTACTACCGCGGTGCCAGCCGTGGCAACTGTCACCACTGTCACCATTGACGATGAGGTTACTTCTTACACCACTTATTGCCCATTGACGGCTGAAGAAGCAGCGGCCGATACCGTCACCGACATTGAAACTACCGTCATCACCATCACTTCTTGTGTTGACAACAAGTGTTCTACTTCTGCTGTCACCACCGGTTTGACCACTGTTACCGAAGAAGAAACCATCTACACCACCTACTGTCCATTGACTGCCGAGGAGTCTACTGAAGATGAAACCTCGACTCTCTACGTGACTTCCTACGTTACCATCACCTCCTGTGGTGAGGCTGGGTGTACTCCAACCTCTTTGGTTGAAACCGTCACCACTGTTACTATTAACGGGGTGGAAACTGCCTACACTACGTTATGCCCTGTCACCGCTGAAGAAGCCACTGCTGTCACCTCTGCTACGGCGGTGGCATCGTCTTTGACGTTTTCGCCAATTGTGAACTCGACCGTAGCCGTCGTCAATTCCACCACCGCCGCTCCAGTCGGGTCTTTGGCTGCTGGCGCTGCGTCCATTGTGTGCTCCGGTGACAGCTGTGATACCACTGTTACTGTGCAAGCCACCGTGACTCTCTCTACATCTTTGGAAGCCGGAGCTACCACCGAAGCTGGTGTGTCTACTGTTGAAGCTGGTGCAAACACCGGTGTCACTTCTGTGTTCGCCGTGGTTATCGCTGCTTTGGCTTGGTTGATCTAGTTAGACAATTTGGCTGCCTGTTAATAACTAGGTAGTCATTCGAGCAACAGGTATTTGGATAATTATTGTATACTATGGTCTTGTCTGAACCCAGTTCGGAAGAAGATTTGTACCATACTTGTGAACTATATTCTTGGAAACTCCTGCTATTCGTATTAAAAATAATATCACTGTTCAAATCAAAATATTATGGCTGGTTTAGAGCTCGTAGACAAAATCATGTAGATCTAGAGCATTTAGACCGTCATATGCTGGTTGCTAACTCACACATTGAAATATGGTCTATATGGGCCAAGGCTTGGCGGTTCCAAGGCGCGTGGCGAGCCTGCTTGGCTAAATCTGCCTCATCAACTCTAAATCAGCTTTAGGGGACTTCCAAATCCAGGCGTGACAGCCAGCAATTGACAAGGAAATATTAGTCCGCCTCAGCCAGAAGAGATCTCTACAGAAGGTTTAAATCTGAATTGGGAGATTCAGTCTCCGCCTTGACTTTGGGGTTGGTTGCTGTGTGATGGAAGTGCCAGAGTAGATCAAGACAATCACCATCTGCTGGCCTCAGGTCTAAATGTGAGTAGGGGGATTTACCTTGCATATCGAGACAATGTACCGATCGGCGTAACAACTGACGCATGACAACCAAATGATCGGCCGCAGTGCGGGTGCATATAGAAAAGTTGGATGGGGGAATGTGACCGCTTTCGCGCAAAGAACCCGCAAACAGCTCGCAAAGTTCTGGGCCACTGCATGAGTTGCAAAATATTATTTATTCCAGCACCAACATTTACTAAATGCAAACTAAACAATTTTTTGGAGGTATCTATTCCACCACTCATAACCCTCGCAGTCCGTGCAACTAGTGAATGAATGACCCAAGTTGGGTTTCAAGGGCTCCGAGATCGTCCCTCTTCGTGAAAAGGTTGCTATTGAAATATATCTTTAGCCGTATACTAGTGCACGCGGTTAAAGCCCCGTAGCCGCAAATCACCTGCTGCCAATCCAACAAAAGCATCCGCTTCCAGTTGCTGACTTTTTCAGTTAGATATCAATAGCTTCTTTGCACATAGATTTTCTTGCGTGAAGAATTCCAGCATGGGGGTAGTTTGAGCCGGTTCAAGACCGACGAGGGGTTACGGATGGATATCCCACCGCGTTGGTTTCGTTTGATTTTTGTTGGTCTGACCCTGCAATTCCAGCTTGGCATGGAATGCACATATATTTATACGAATTTGATCGGAGAATTCCTTCTCTTGTCTGTCAACAGGGCCAAGAAGTTTTAGTACCGGCTAAAAACGAAATCTGTCGAGCATTCCATAGAGATAATTCATGAAGTAAGCCAGGAATTTTATTTGTGGCTTCTTCAACCACGTTGAAGATAATAATTGTTAGGGTTTCTAAAACCACATTAAAAATTATCTTATGGTTTCTTAAACCACGTTGAAGATAATAATTGTTAGGGTTTCTAAAACCACATTAAAAATTATCTTATGGTTTCTTAAACCACGTTGAAAAATATGGTATGGTCTATGGACCACGTTGTTACCTAGAGGGATTTTGAAGGATACCTTTTGGCAGTTCTGTGGTGAATGATTTGTGTAGGAGAATAACCCCGTGATCCCACGAACCAATTATGGATGAAGACCAGAAGCCAGATAAGAGAGAGTTAGTAAGCACAGTCTTGCTGAAGTAGGAAGCGTAGCGTGAAGAAGGCAACGTAGTAGCCGAGCAGATTAACTAGTGGTCAAAGCACATCACGCTAGACCACAACTCGCGCTGCGAACTTGAGAATCGTCTTCGCACTTCATCTGAACAGACACACCACAAATGGCCGACTTGGAACTACTGCAGCTCTCGTACGTAACGACCAAGCACCACAGCTTCAAGAGCTCCACCAAGGTAAAGCCCTCGAACAAGCGGTTCAAGCCCGCTCGGCAGCTCATTTCCGATGAAATCAAATACCTTCAAACCAAAAGCCTCAAGTTCGACACCCCAACCCTCACATCAATCACGGCTCCACCAACATTAAAGCCCCTGAAAAAGTATTGTGATATCACCGGCTTGGAGGGAAAATACCGTAGTCCCTCGAATAACTTGAGATTTTACAACGTGGAAATTTACCAGGAGGTGATCAGACATATGCCTCCGGGTTTGGACCAAGAGTACTTGAGTTTGAGAGGGGCCAACGTCATTTTGAAGTAAAATTGTTGTTATGTATTAGAGTAGCGATGTGTTTATACTTAATAAACTTTATGATATGTATCAGAGTACCGTACTTATAAACTTTTCGTCAAGCGTCGTTCCAGTCATTGACTATCTTCTTTATGCTCTTGTCAAACACTTCGTTCTGCAACATGCCCTCGATGTCGCCAGACGAATCAATTTCCAAGAATGGGTTACATATCGTTTTCACGTACGCCTTGTGCACCAGAAGAAATAACGTCCTTAATGTAACCATTTTAGATTCCTCTTGGTTCAAATGAGTCTGATTGTTGAACCCAATGATGATCTTTAGCCCCGTGTTCGACTCATACCCATAAACCGAGACGTCGTCATACACGACGAGAAGCACTGCTCCGTTGCGCACATCTGCTTCTTGTTGTTGTTCTCGTATGCTGATGGATGCTGGAGATGTGATTATGTCCAACGCCATGTGCGAAAGAAAGTTGTACTTGAGAAAGTTATTAGCATTTATGGTGTCTCCTTGTTTGGTGTCCAAGTCAAACGATTGGATGTAGAGCGGCTTGTCGTCTCGGGAGATAAAGGAAATAAAGCAGATTCTTTTATCTTCAAACTCGGCCATTTGAGTATTTGATCCAAATATTGTTGCGCGCGGTGTATTTCACGATTGACACTTTTATCTCATATCCTATGACTCAAATGTCTCCATCCTTGGATAAGGTCGACGACTTCTTGTCCCAGCTCTCACAGCTCTCACAAGAGAGGTTATCGGAGGACCAAAATCGCCAGCAAGCATTGGAGAGGAACATCCAGCTGTTGAGGCTGCTGTCATCTTCTCCTCATAAGCGACTTGACTCGTTTACTCCTTCAAAACCCGCCTACACCGACGTCCCGCTGTTGAAGTTCAACAGAGATAAGCGTTTAGGGAATACGCCTCCCCCCAAACCACAGAGACCAAAGCCAAACCTTCAGGAGTCTCGGGATGAGTCTCCACCACCACTACTTCCCAGAAGAAGGGAGGAAACTCCACCAGCTTTGCCCCGACGCCGGGACGCTTCAGAGGACGAACAAACACCACCATTGCCACAAAGAAGATATTTGAAGACACCTCCACAAAAGCCTTCTCAGAAACCAGGAGACTTTACCATAGACTTGGTCAAACCAGTACTGGCCCCAACAGCACACAAAATCAAACCCTTGGCTTCCAGGGGCTCTTCCAACCAAAGAGAGGTTTCAGATAGTCAGGAGAAGAGATTCAGGTCATTTGCTGAGGTTGAAAACTCTATTAAGGGAGAACCTGCCAAACCTGCCAAACCTTCCAAATCGGATGGGTTAAGTTCCAGTATTTCTCCTAGTTCCGCTACCTCAGGTGTCGTCGATGCTGTAGCTGCCAGTCAGAATTCAAAGCCACTTGGAGAAAAACCGGTGATAGCTGCTAAGTTTGTTCCTCAGACCGATGAAGTTGAAGTGGTTTCTCCCACCCGTGGTATACGCTCGACTTCATGGATTGACAGTGCCCAGAGTCGGTCTCCAATAAGAAATAGATCTCCTGTGACGCCTATAACTATGAAGCCGAAACCTCAGGTGAAGCCCAAGGTAGAAGCAAATTTGGAAACCAAAGCAACCCCTAAGCCTGTAATAATCAAACCAAAGCCCATAGTGGAAACGTTTACGAAGCCTTCCTATGATAACTATAAGCTGAAAGATAATGAACCTCTTTTGAGCCAACTTGCAAAGATGAAAGATAAACCCAAGCCTGTGCCCAAGCCTAAACCAGCTGATTTAGCCAAGTACGATGAGAATACCACTACTGAGTTGAAAACACAATTGACTAAGCTTGCGTCTAACAAGACCAGTTCCCAACCTATAAAGCCCATAAAACCATCGGTGATGAAGTACAAAGAGCAGGATACAAGCTTACTAAATTCCCAGATCAGCAGACTCGGGAAGCGTACGGCTTTGGAGTCGGCTCCTGTGGATTTTAAATCGCAGTTGAACTCAATTATCAGAGTTACCACTGCTCCTCAACTAGGAGGTCCACCAGCTACAAAACTCCATCAACTAGAAAGAAGTCAAAGTTTTCCCATAGAGAAGAGACCCGACACCGAGTCCACAAGCAAGTTGACACACCCACAGAAGTCTCGTGCTAAAGGACCCAAGAGACGTTTGCCCAAGAACCTTAATAGAGGCACCAGTATGCCCTCCAGTGCTGAGGCCAAGAAGTTCCCGCCGCCTACAAACAAGGACTCTACTCTTGAAACAAAGAAGGCCTCCACTCCCGAAACCAAGAAGGTGCCGCCGCCTATAAATAAGGCCTCCAAGCCTAAGCCCAAAACCCAACCCGTAGAAGACGTTAAAACCTCCCTTCAATTCAAAGGAGAAGTATTCATATAGACAGCTAAGCAAGCAAGAACGCGAATTTTCACCAGCTTTTATCATATTGTGTAGTCCCGCACAAAATCTTACTTCAACACAAAGCATGGAACAGATAACTGAAAAGGTTAACGACGTGATTGCGGTGATTCCTCCCAAGTTGGAGCAGTTGCAGCAGTATTTCAAGCACCATTTTGTTCAGGACGTGGAGTCTTATATCGATGAATTCAAGTCTCTCGACTCTGATCAGGTACTCGAATCTTTCAAACAGCTCAAAGTCAATTCTGTCACCGTGACTATTTCCATCGTGGGGCTCACCACGCTCTTTGTACTTGGACGTTTGTTATTTGGAGGTTCTTCTGCCACCTCGGAAGAGAAACCCAAGAAGAAAAAGAAGAAGACATCAAAAGCTAAGAAGGCCAATAAACAGATTCAAGACCTCTTGGACAATTTTGAAACCACCTGGGTTCCACAAATCAATGATTATTTCAACGACTACAAGACAATGAAACCTGAAGATGCCCAGTACAAGTACAAGTATTTCCAGGAAATGTTATTGAAAGAATTATTCAAGTTGGATGAAGTTGACACCTTGGGAAACCCTGTCATCAGGGAAAACAGAAAGAAAGTCATCCAGTTCATTCAGGACCACCAGAAAAGATTGGATGCGTTCAAGAAAGAAGTGGATTTGTAGATTGCACTACCATATACAATAATATAACATAGTATCAACTTTCAAACTCTTCTGGAGTAAGACGCCGGCCACCCTTCACTCCATACTCAGCAATTCCCAGTGGAAATGGATCAAATACATCGGTGAAAAGCGGCAACTTATCACCCAACCAAAGGGCCCTGTTGGTGTGGTCCAAGAGGTCGTCCCCAGATTGTGGATGAATTAATACACTCAAGCTGCCGTGGTTCAATTGAAACCAACTAAGAACCCTGATGAATATTTCGGGACGGCACACGTCAACCTCCCAAAACTGCGTTGGATGAGGCCCTATGATCTGGTCGTTGGGCAACTTTTTGACGATAACAGATCCGTCTTTGCCCTCTTTTGTAAACTCAGCTAGAAATTTGTCCCGCAAAAAGTTCGATTCTGACAATGATTTTTTATTGTGGGCAAAATAGTAGACATGGAAGTCGTAGTACTTAATGGGGTACTCGTACGAAAGTCCGAGAGTGGATTTGGTGGCACTCGAAGGGTCCTCGGGGTTCAATTTTGTTAAGTAATCCATGAGAACAGGAAAAGTGTGGAGTTGATTTTTGGAATCTCAATTTCCACAATTTTCTATCACCAGCTGAAGAGCCTTACTCAACCACCACCAGGAAAAATGCGTGCTTTGTGCCAAAGCTAATTTACAAATTGCAAATAAAATGTTTCTGACAGGTTGGTGGACACAAAAAGGTTAGTGGACACAAACAGGTTACTGGGGGTTTAGGCAAGGTCATATATTTTATGGCTGCAAAATTAGTATTTAGATGCCCAAGTCTTTCTTGACTAAGGCTTTGCAAATTGGGTGATAATTGTCGTTGGCTTCAAACGTCTTTATTGCAAAGTCCCGGGAAATATGTTTGGCTAACAACCGGTAACCTGGTCTAACGTACTTCATTCTCCCCACCGTGTGCAACCAGCTTGCGAATCGTTGCACTGTGGTATCTGTTTCGGAATAAGAGCCGTATTTGATCAAAAGACTGCTGGTGTTGAAGATGATTTCAAAGTTCTGGCTTTCACTGTAATATGGATAAACATCAGGGAATACTCTTACCAACAAAGGATCAACATCCGTGGAATCAAGTTGTTTGGAGAGATTTCCAAGGAATACCAAATGTTGGTTGGCATCAAAACTGGCAAAGTCCTTTTCTTGGTCAAAAGTGGCTTTAATCAAATCCACATCACCCTTTACAAAGGAAGAAATCCACTTATCAGCCAAATTAGTGCACTCATCTACCATACTGGTGTCGAAATTTTGATATTCGGGCAAACCAGGTGCAAAAAGCCATGCTTCAAAGTCAATAGAATCTAATACCTCTTGTTTCCCCTTTGGGACAAAAAACTCATACAACAGGTCAATGAATTGGAAGGAATCAATGGACTGGTACCGGAACTTTTTGAAGTAGAAAGGAATAAAGTCGTCAAACTCCTTAGTCCCTCCGAGCTTGTTCTCAAGGTAATAAAGGAAAGTGAACCCTTTATCGTAAGGAATTCTTGAGTAGAAGTCATCTGGATCTTGATTGGTGAGATTCCATATCAAAGAAGTCGATTCCACAGCCAAATCAGGAATGGTTTGAGCTAATTCACTCCAACCAAGATACGCTGCAAAATGCCTGTACTTCTCCCCATACTCCTCGTAATCTTGCCTTCCACTTCTTTTGGCCTTTATTGCGGCAATCGCTCCTAAGATTCTTCTTTCAAAGTATACCGTCCAACCTTCGTTGAGCCAAAAGTGCTCCCATGAACAGTTTGTGACCAAGTTTCCAGCCCACGAATGGGCCAATTCGTGTGCAAGCACTTTCACTTGAGACCTGTCCTTGCAAAGTAAGGTTGGGGTTGCAAACGTGATGTTTGGATTTTCCATACCACCATACGGAAATGTCAGCGGTAAGACCAACACATCGAACTTGGACCATTCGTATTTAAAAGTCAATTTTTCTGCCACTTGAATAAAGTCTTCCATGTCCTGCTCAAATTCCCATTGACATTCCTTGATCTTGGGTTCTTCTGAATATACCAGTGATCTAGGACCAATTGGAGCGGAAACAATGTTACCTGAGGCAATGGCCACCAAGTAGGATGGGATTGGAATGGGCTGGTTGAAGTAATAAACATCCTTTTCAATGGTTTCCTCCGGTAACCCAGACATTAACACCTTCAGAGGCGAATATACCTTGTATTTAAACGGAGACTTGGCTCCTGGAGTGTCGAAGCATGGAAATAAGGATCGAGCGTGTATCGGCTGGCACTGGGAAAACAAGTAGGGGCCAGTATCACCATTTATAAATTGAAGTGCCGTACACTTTTCTGTGGTGGCATAGGTTATAGACACAGAAAACTCTGAGTCGACAATGGTCTCCAAGGAGATTTCAAGTGGAGATCCAAAAGGTTCAGATATGGGAAGCATCGTGAATGGAGCTGACTTGTCGTTAACTGAAACCCCTTTTATATCCAAGTAAGAACAGTCTAAAGTCAATTTTGACACCCGTTTTGAAGCAAACTTTAAAACGTAAGTCACCAGGCCAGAAACAGTTTTGTTGTCGAACGACACCACAAGGTCTAAGTTGCTTGACACTATATTCACGTCATAGTAGTTAGAAAGCGTGCAAGGGTCCAATTCTGGGGAAATGGCAGGTCTTTTATGTTGAATGGCTTCTCTTCCTGTCATGTCACAATTAGTTATTCTAGGTGCGAAGTTTCAAATTGTAAATCAATGTATTGAGAGTCTATCTTACAATAAATATTATCATGCGGTTGGGATTGGTTCAGCTTCAGCTTGAGGCTGCTTCTTCTTGTGTCTCTTCTTCGAAGCCTCGGCCACTAACTCCTCAAAAACACGGGCTTCTTCGGCCTCATCATCAGTTCTGGTGGTGGAGCTGAACACTTCGCCAATTAAGCGTAACCCTTTGGCTCTGGCGATTCTCTTTTCAAGAGGAACCTCCTTGTCGTACAACAAGTTGTCACAAACCGCCCGTACTGTCAACTGGATCTCAAAACGTGACCCAGACCACGCAGCAGCAAGCACTTTACCCATCAAGTACTGTTCCATTTCAGCGAATTCCTCAGGTGTATGCTTCTCGGGAATTTTTTCTTCCTTAACAGCTGCAGAAGCAGAACCGTCGCCAGAATGTTCTCGTTGCTGTTGCTGTTGCTCCTGCTCCATATTCACTTTCATTTCTTTGAGCTTCAGTTCAAGAAGAGTTACCTCGTCTTCAGCAGCTTTAGTTTCTTCCTCAGCTTCTTGCTTGATCTTTGCTTCCTCTTCAGCTTCCTTCTTGGCATGGAACTCATTATCCTCTTGCATCTTTGTATACTCTTGCATAGTCAGCTGAGCGTCCAAGGCACTGGTGATAGTCTTAAAAGTGTCTCTGACAACCCCACCTTTCTCTTTCACAGACCACCAAAGACCACCAAGCCCCAAGAAGGTCTGGTTCTTTAAAAATATCTTCAGCTTCAACTTGTAGATTGATCCAATAGTGTGTAATATCTCAAGCCCAAAGCTCTCCATTTTCAAAGACTCGGCTTCGTACTTCAATTTGGTTTTGAAGGATTCAGCAATATCAGCAGCCATGTCTGTCTCAGTGAATAGTGAAAGCCGGTTTACCAATTTGGTGGTCAACTCCTGTCTCATTTCGATCTTCTTGACCCGGCACTCTTCTTCATACTTTTCTAGTTCTTCTTTACGTCTCTTTTCCTCCTGTTCTTTCTTCGCTAATTCAGTTGCATTGGCAGCCTCTGCGCTTTCCAAAAACAATTTGGAAGCCGACCCCGTAGTTTCTGAACTCGGCTGGTGGTGAGTAAACTCAGTTGTGGTTGTGGCTGTGGCTGTGGTGTTTGTGGCAGCGGTAGGTTCTGTGGGTTTGGTTTCAGATAACTCGGCTGATTTGGATAATTCTTGGAGCAAGGATAACTCCCCAATCCAATCTTTGAAAGCCTCTCCTCCAAAGATCATCAGGAAAAATTCAGAAGGATCCTCAAACCCTTCGGTCGGCACGCTTTCCTGTTTACCATACTTATCATATTTGGCTCTTAAAGAGTCGTCACTTAAAACCTGATACGCCTCCCCCACCTCTTGGAACCGAGCGGCGGCTTCTGGGTCATTAGGATTTTTATCGGGATGCAAACGGATGGCGGCCTTTCGATATGCTTTCTTGATGTCCAAGGCAGTGGCCTCAGGCTTGATGCCCAACAAATCGTAGTATGTGGTGTCAACTACCATAATAACTAGCTAAAAAAATGTGATTATCACAGACATGCGAGAAGAGCCAGTGCGCAAAAAATATACACGACTTTGCATTCAACTATTTACAAGACCCTAGGCAGAATAATACACTTTTCTCAAGTCAATGAGCTTCTTTCCCCGACCACCGGCCAAGTCCTGCAAGCCTCTCTGTTTGGTGAGAGCCTCGACAAATCCTTTCACCACATTCATGGGGTTTCTCAGCTTATAGATCTTTCCTCTCAAGTCTTTGATACCAGCTGCTTGACACACCTCGAAGATCTTAGAGTTCACCCGGAGACCAAACCCGGCGGGCGCGGATTGGAGGAACAACTTCACTGCATGGTACTTGTAGTCAATGTCTCCCAAAATGGTTCTGTCTTCATACCGTTGCACTGGAGCCAAGTTTTTCACTGCATTCCAATGAGCTTTTACCAAGGCGGTTCTCATCCCATCACGCGACTTACCTTCTCCCAAGCCCACCATTCCATTTCCGTCTCCCACCACAGTCAAGGCAAAGAAGTTGGGGATTTTTCCCTTGGAGGTTTGACAACTAACTCTCTTCATCACCACTGGCCTCACGTATAATCGTTCAATGTACCGTTTGTCCAACCCCGTTAACTTGGACAACCCTTCAGACACCCCACGGGACGTTGCGAAGTTGTCCTTTCGAGGACCTTTGCCGGGGCTGAATCTCAACTTTAAGTCTGAGCGATCGGGTGCTTGCACCTGAGGAATGTTGGGATATGGAGTCTTATTCACAGCTTGATTGGGATACAAAACCGGCTCATCCCACTTGGGATCGGTCTTGGAATAGTCTGTGTTTTGGAGTCCAAGCTTGGAAAGGGCGTTGGGACCTTGTTTGGTTAATTTCAAGATAGTGTCAGGTTCCACGAGGGACTCGGTGATTTTGATGCTTTGAAGAAGCTCGGGAGTGTAGAATTTCGACAAGTACGCAATGTGCTCTTCGGCCCGCTTGGTAGACTGCCTGGCCATAGGGCTGAAGCTTAAGCTCCGTATAAGCTGGGGACCAATCGAGCTCTTCACCGTCAGAAACATGTTCTCAACTGAAAAAAATTTCTACGATTCTACATTGAAACTTTTTCGGTGGTGCGGGCGCGTGCGCCGCCCAGGATTCCTCTATAATAGTCTATGATCTAACAACATCCTTTTCCAGACTCAGCCACATGGCCGGCCTCAAGAAGCTCATCAAGCGGGTCCCCGGCTTCTAACTTCACCACCTTATCAGGATTCAAAACTGCGTGCGGGTCCAACAGATACTTGATTTTTCTCATCAAGTCCACCGCCGGCTGGCCTAGTTCCACTGGTAAAAATCTCCGTTTTCCTACCCCAACCCCGTGTTCTCCTGTGCAAGTCCCTTCAAACTGAAGGGTCCGTTCCACCATTCGGTCCACCGCCGCCTGGGCCTTCCCATAGTCCTTTTTGTTGTACAAAAGCAAAAAATGGCAGTTTCCATCTCCAATGTGGCCCATGGTTGCGAATTTTCCTTTGAATCCCAGACGGTTCAAATCATCATGAGTTTCGGAAATCACATCGGGGAGATTTGAAAGCGGCACAGCGATGTCGGTGGTCCAACACTGGACGTCATTCGGGTCGTCCAAAACCTTTTGACCGTGTTCAATGGTGGAAAAGAGCCCATTTCGTCTAGCAGACCAAAGTAAGGCATTTTCCTCCTCCGAGGTGGACAGCTCAAACTTCACAACTCCATTGTCTTTGGCGATTTGTTGCACGAGCTTTGTGTCTTGGTGAATCGATTCTTTGGTGGGCCCACCAATCTTCAACAAAAGCGTAGGCTTCTCAAGAAAAACTTTGGGCCGGCCCTTGGCATCGGTGATACCTCCAGCATTCACAAACCCCACCATGGTGGTATCAAGAAGCTCAATTGCATTCAACTGGAGCCCGCTCTTGGCCACAATAGTAGAAGCAGTTTTGGTGGCATCCTTCATCGTTGGGAACGTGGCAATACTCACATACTCGTACACGGGCTTGACATGAAGTTTTATGGTTATTTCGGTGATCAAGCCCAATGTTCCTTCCAGGCCAATGAACAAACGGGTCAAGTCGTAGCCAGCACTGGATTTTCTGGGCCGTTGTCTGGTCTTGAGAATGGTCCCGTCAGCCAAAACCACCGTCATGTTCACGACGTTTTCCTTCATGGTTCCGTAACGGTACGCATTGGTACCGGAGGCAGACGTACTGGCCATACCACCCACGGTGGCACCCATGCCGGGATCAGGCCCAAAAATCAACCGTTTACCCTTCTCGTGGTCCTGTAAAAACTCAGCCAATTCCTGCCATCCCACCGCTGGTTGAACCACTACGTCCAAGTCATCGGGGTGGAATTCCAAGATTTTGTTCATCCTTGAAAACGATAATGATACACTATAAGGACCTCTGGTGTGCATCGTGTGTCCTTCTAAGGAGGTCATTCCTGAGTTGGCAACAATTGGCACCCGGTACTTGTGGGCAATCTGGACGATTTGAGACACTTGTTGTGTATCAGCCGGGCTTATGATTATACTGGGCTTGTTTTCTGCGGGTTTTGGAGGTCTGTGAGTGCTGAAGAAAAGGTCAGAAACGGCAAGAATCTCGTCTTCGGACACCGACCAGTTGTCTTCGCCTACCACTTGTTTCATCTCAGCAATTGCCACTTCGTATGTGTTTTTATCGGCGTACTGGAGTGGTGGAACTGCATCGAGCGGTGCGGTCGAGCGAGTGTAGATGTCATTTCTACCACCGAAATAGGTGCTGCCAAAGTAAACCCCGGCGGCACCGGACACAACAGCAGCCGATATGACTCCCACGCGTCCGGCGGTGGACAGAGGCTTAGGAGCTTGTGTGGTGCTGTATTGTCTTACAGTACGAGCAGCAGCTCTGAGTCGTGAAAACATGCTTGGTAGTGATTTAAATCAACGGGTGAAAAAATACGAAGGTTTTAGTGCAAACAGTGCGATCACCGATCCTCACGTGCCAGAATTCGGACTTGGGGGTAGCTGCCAATCAGGTTGACTGTTTATGGGTTTATATTCTTCCTGTTTCTGCAATGGCGAACTGTGGAGTTTGAGCCACAAAAGATAGCGCGGGTCGTGCGGAGGTCGGTTACAGGTGCTGACCTGATCTTGATTTTGTTAGACGAATGCGGAAGCCTTTCAATCTCCACGGTTACTACTTTGTTTCGAATTGGAGTTATAAGTATCAGTACGATGATGTTCGTTACAATATTCAACAATATTTTGCGAATGACATCAAACACTACCAAAAGGTAAACGACTTTAACCAAAGTCACAGATGCAAAATCGACACGCTTTCGGGTTTCAATGCAGGGTTTTGTTCTTTCTGGAGAGATCAGTCAAAACCAAAAGATTCAAACAACTATATTGCATCAGGTTTGACTATATTCATGCCAAAGTTGACAAAGAAGCTAAAGACACAAGAGGATTATTTAAAAAGTTTAAAGCGATTAATCGCCATGGAGAACGCTGGTTTAGCCGATTTTGCTGTCAACTACGAAAATATGTTTATGGATAAGGGAAAGTTTATATTTTCCAATTATAGTTCACCATCAACTAGACCTAGTTCAGCTGAAAGTGATGATAGTCAAGAACTTGAAAGTTTACAAACACAGAAGATCATCGAGTTTGCCGGGATATGGCGTGAGAAGGACCCTGAATATCTGAATATTATTGCTCAAGAAAGTGTAAACCGTTTCGAAGAAGAAACTCAAAGAGAAATCACAGAATCTCAACAAAGCAGGATGGTGACAATACCTATCATAAACAGAGAAAAACTGCATAGTTCGTAAACGGTGCAGTATTAGCTGTATATAGTTGATGTATGTAAAATAACCAGAGGGTATACCTAATAGTATAGGCCAGCAGCTGTGACCAATCAAACAGTATACCTACATTTGCTGCGACAAGCCTTATTAAGCTTCGGCTGCGAAAATATTCTGGAACTTACTGCGCACTACCGTGTTGCATTTAGTCGCATATCTGGTGCAAAAGTATCATCCACAAATTCATAATTAGAAATACATTCCCAAAATGTGGAAGTATAAAGAACCTTCTAGTACTCAACAAGTACATATTAATGAATATTTGAAGGCTAAGCTTGAAGACTTCCCCCAGGTAAACAATAAAGTCCCTAAAAATCTTGAGTTTGATGTAAGAAAAGTTTTGGGGGGAATTACCAAAAGACGACCCAATGTTAAAGACAACGCCAATATGGTACGTGATTCTCAGGTACTTCCCCCTGATCTGTGAAACCACAGACTTTGACCTCAGTACAAAATCGAAAGGTACTGCTAACACTTTTACGGAGGTAGTACAAGATACCATTTCGTTGGAGTTAAGTCTTCCATCTCATAAGGTCTTTGTTGAAGAGCAATGGAAGTATCTTATACTGTTAATGGTCTGTAACAGTGATCAGCCATTAACGTTTACTAACATTATTATTTTTTCCGACATAGAATCATCTCGAGTACCAAGGATGACATTGGATCGGAAGAGAAAACTTCATGAGGCAACTATGACTAATATTGCAAGGGAAATGGTTTTCGACTTGGTAACTAATATAAGCCGGTTGTTTTTTGGACTGTCATTGGAAAAGTCGGACGGCATCGA